GCGCAGTGGTCGGCTTTCATCGCCAACGAGGAGAGGCGGAGGACTGCGATGGTCTGCTTTCGTACGTTCTCGCTCGTTTCCGCTTCTAGAGTATCGCTAACAGTTCGTCAGTAGTCCTCGAGGGAGAGGTGACTACGCTGCTGCACCTCCCTCCTGTCATTCCCTGGAGCGACATCAAGACACCGCTTCCCTGTTCAGACGACCTTTGTGAGCGGTGCTGCTACTCGTTCCTCGCCCCCGCAGCTGACCATCCTCCCCCTCTCAGGGAACGCTCCGTCTGCCGAAGCTTGGCTCGAGCTCAAGGCAAACGCGCCTGAACCTGCCTCAATCCCCGCCGTCGCCAAGCTCCTCGCGTCCGACTCGTCCCTCCCTCTTCCGCCCGTCATCTCGCTCACCCCCTTCGGCGCCCATGTCCTCGTCCAAGGCATGCACATGAACATCTGGAATGCTCGCCAAATGCATCTCTCCGGCCTGACGAACCACGCCGAACTCATCACGACTCATATCCGCCGGTCGCTCGTCCGCCTCGCGCGCGGGAGAGACGAGTTCTCGCCACGTTTCGCCAAGGGTGCTGCAGGCGATGGCGATGACCCCGCACTGTACGCCGCCTCACACGCGTGGTATCACCTCGCACAGATATCCACGCACATCCCGCTCGAAGAGCTCGACCTCGTCGGGAGGAAGGGCGGCGATAAGGAGGCGATGGAGGCGACTGATAGGTGGGCGAGGTGGATGCAGGCGAACCCTGATCAGGCAAGGATGGTCGCGCTGCACGCAGGCCAGCTCTTCCGAGTCGTGCGGGATCACCCAACTCACGGTGCGTCCGCTTTCGTTTCCTCGTGAACCTCCCGGCTGACCTGTCCGATTTCACAGCAACCTACGAGTCTTCCGCCCTTTTCCACGCCGGACTCTGCCTCTACATCTTCGCCCGCTCGTCATCGACCTCGTCGAACCCAAGCGCAGGCAGCACCTTTGGCAGCACCTCCCGCGATCCCGGCTCATCCGCCTCGTCCACCGAGTCGGCCTTTCCTCTCGACGCCGCGCTGCCCGGCTCCTCAACGCCGGTCGACTCGGGGAGCTGGCTCGCTCTCGGCGGTCCAGCATCCTTGACAGGCGTCTCGTGCCTCTTCTCCGACTCGTCCGCGCCAATTCAAGTCCTCCGCGCCGTCGCCCGCCTCCTCACCCAGCTCGCAACGGTGTGGCGTGTCGGACAGGTCTTTGCAACCGTGCTGGAAGGGATGGCGAAGCGAGACGAGGAGCAGCAGAAGTTGGCTCTCGTTTCCGCCGCCTTTGACTACGGCGGCGCGCCGGCCAGCTTCTAATCAGTACATTGTTCTGTCAGTACTCTTGGGTTTTTGTCGTCCTCTGTATCGCATGGTTTGCAACGTCGTTGCGTCCGCTTGTCTCCGCCCGCCGGTGGGAAGAGTGGGAGCGAGCGAGCGAACTCTCCTGCCTCTCGACAACTCGCTTCGCCTGGCTGGCTGACATGACTGACGCGCTCTACACAGAGGTCAAGCAAGTTCTTGGGCCCGGGAGCACCTGGATCACTGCGCCTTCCCCGTCCACCTCCTCGTTCGCATCTTCATCAAACAGCACCGCCTCCGACTCGCCTGTCCTCTTCCACGCTTTCCGAAGGACCTTCACAGGGGCTGCGAAGCACGATAGCTATGTCTGGCTCGAGATTGTCAACCCTGGCTTGCTCAAGGCGCTCAAGGCGGTCTTTCCGACGCTCGCGACTCTCTACGAATCGGGTCCAGGGGTGCGTACCATTCCCCTTGCGATTGCCAGCTCTGCTGACACACTCATACACCTTGCAGATCGACGCTCGAGCGGTCTATGTCCAGCGCGAGGCCCTCCGCGCAAACGCCAACTCTTCCGCCGTCGACTCGCTGCTTCGTTATGTCGAGGCGTCCTTCGCTTACGTGTGAGTTCAGTCCTCTCCAGCCGTAGAAGACAGCTCATGCTCTCTAGTCCAGTGCGGAAACCATCGCGACTTACCCTACCGGCACATTCTCGTGGCATCTCCTCTGGAGCCAGTTGGAGATCGGTGAAGACCTTGAGACGGTGCATGACGTGACAGGCGAGACGGTGCGTTATCTCTGCATACCTTTGTATGTCTCGCTCACTTGCTCCGTGTAGATGGCCGTGACGCTCGACAGTTGGGCATATGTGCAAGAAGCAATGGGGCGGTAAACGCTCTTCTCGTATTTCTTCGCCACTCTCGCTGATACTTAGTCGCTTGCAGAGCACTCAACCTCTCTTGCCACTTCTACCAATGGGCAGGGACCTGCTGGCACCGCGTCCCGTTAACCCGCAAGATTCGCGAATTCGGCGTGAGTCCAGCCTTCTCCCGCCTCTAACGACGATTCATTGACTCGCTTCATTGACTCGCTTTGATGCAGAACCTGCAAGAAATCGCAGCGTTGCCAGCACGGCCATTGACGGAGGAGAAGAAGGCGAGTTTGCGAGGTGCGGATCCTTCACCTTCAACTCCATGCTGCGCGCGTTGTCGAGGCCTCTTCGCTAAGCGGACCGATTTCTATCGTGCAGAACGAGGGCGAATGTACACGCAGTACGCTGGCCAGGTTCACGCCAGCTACAAAGGCTTCTTCTTTACTCGAGCTTTCAGCGGAGCGTGAGGCGTGTTCTCCAGCTTCTCGCCGCCATGGAGCTGATTCTTCGGACCACAGAGATCGGCTGATGGGGGAAGGGCAAGTAGTAATCGATGTGAAGAGCTTCCGGCGCTGCAACCCTACTCTCGATCATTGGGGGTGTGTCCCCTTCTCATCCAGGTGTTGAGCGCTCAACTCAGCGTTTGCTATACAGAGACGACGTCGTGGACCGCGGCGGGACGACGCAGTGGGCGACACACTCGAGCAGCCGAACAAAACCTTGTCCGCCCGTAACAGAAGACCAGCTACACCTTCTTCCACCCTCCATACACGGCTTCTCGCTTCGTGCCAAAGTGAGTTATCCAAGCTCTCGCACTGGAGCCCAAGAAGCTGACTACCTGGTCCGACAGCGCTTCGGCGAGTTCCTCATCTCCCGCCTGTCCCCCATCGTCTGGCGAGACGAGTCTTTCTCGCATCTCGTCATCCCCGCCTCTTACCGACGAATAGTCAAAGCGCTCGTGACGGTCCATGCAGGCGAGTTGAAGGAGAAGCTGATGGTGGACGTAGTCGAGGGGAAGGGGAACGGGCTGGTGATGGCTTTCCATGGCGCGCCTGGAACGGGCAAGGTTTGTTGCACGTCCTTTCTCTTTCGTCGCTGAGCTCCCAAGCTTGTCTCTATGCAGACTTTGACTGCCGAGGCTGTCGCGGAGCACTTGCGAAGACCGCTCTACGTCGTCAGCGCTGGCGAGCTCGGCACAACCGCACAGACGCTCGAGAACCAGCTTAAAAACGTCCTTGAGGTGCATTCGGCCCCCATGCCCAACTTAGCAGAGGCTGACCATCTTGACTACAGCTTGCGACCGCTTGGAACGCCGTCCTCCTGATTGACGAGGTTCGCTCCGATGTCTCAACCAATTGCCAAGAGATCGTGTGCTGATAACCTTGTGCGCAGGCCGACATCTTCCTCACGAAGCGTGACACGAGACAACTCGAGCGTAACGCTCTCGTTGGTATTTTCCTACGTTGTGCGTTCGTTTCCGTTCGCCGGCCGAACCTCATCCGCTGATGGCCGTTCTCATCCTACTCAGTGCTCGAGTACTTCACTGGCGGTACGCGCCGTCCGCCCACAACCGCTGACCTTCCCAGCTGACGTTCGCCTCTTCCGCAGTCCTCATTTTGACGACCAATCACATCGAGAAGTCGGTCGAGCTCTCTTTCGCGATACCGTTGATGGAATTGCTGACCCACTGGCATGCGCAGCTTCGACGAGGCTTTCCTCTCCCGCTTCGCCGTCGTCCTCCGCTTCGACGAGCTCGACGAGCCTTCACGTCGGACACTCTGGGAGCGGGTGCGCCCTCCTCTTCACTTCTCCCTTCCGAAGCTTCGGCTGACACTTGCTTCCGTAGTTCCTCCTCAAAGCTACTTCCTCCTCGTCCTCCTCCCTCTCCCCCTTCGACCTTACCCACCTCGCCTCGTTCCGCCTCAACGGTCGCGACATCAAGCACGTCATACAAACTGCGCAGGCGGTCGCGTTAGTTGAGGGAGAGGAGCTGGGGATGAAGCATTTGGAAGAGGTGTTGAGGGTTGCGAAGTCGGGCATGCGGAGGGAGTAGCTGGCGGTCAAGCCTGAGCGGTGCAAGACGTTTCATGATCCTGCTTTGGCTGTCTGCAGGCTGAGCGAGAAGGAGCAGAGAAAAAGGGTTCGCGGACCACGGCAGTCAGGTCTATTGAACAAGCTCGTAGTTTCACCGATCCAAACGAACGAACAAGCGCTTCGTAGATGGGATATACAACGAGAGAAGAAGAACAATGCGAGGAGAGAGTGCAAGATGGGCAGGAAGGAGCGTGAGGAGCTGATCAAGCCCTTGCGGCACGACGAGCGGCACGGGTCGCGGCTTGGAAACCGGTCTTGATACCGGCGACCGAGCGAGTCGATCCGCACGACGAGCAGGTCCTGTCGCAGAACGGTCAAAGAGTCAGTACAGCGCAAGGAGGCGGGAGAGGAAGCGAGAGGCGAACAAGAAGAACAGCCTGTTGTCCTTCGTCAAGGTCGTGTCGGGGCTCTTGCAGGTCTTGCAGGTCACGTACTCGACGATGTATCGTCGGAGAACGTTCTCGATTTGCTCTGCGGGCGGGGCGGGCCGGAGTAGGATGAAGGTCGTGCGGGAGGGCGGGGCGGGGACGAAAGGCGAGGGTGCAAGAGCAGTGGCAAATGGAAGTGAGTGAGTGACAGCGGAAAAGGGAGAGCCAGTGATTCAGTCAGCGCAGATTTCGAGCTGGAGGATAAAGGGAAGCGCAACGCACTTTGCTGGAACCGACCCTTGATGACCAACCGACTCGATCCATCGACCGAACCGTTCGTACCCAGCTCAGCAAACAAGAACTGAATGACGTGCTCGGGCTGACGGTGCATGCGCTTGCAGATGTCGGCGATGTTGGCAAAGATCGAGCGCTTGTTGCCTTCGCGGAAGAGCTGCGGGGGCGGGATCGTGTACTTCTTCTTGCCGGCGCCGCCGGAGAGCGAGGGGTGCGACTGGTAGAGGAGGGAGAAGAAGCGGCCGAGGAGCTGTGCAACGTCGCAAATTGGGGCCATCAGTACCAATCGCCTCAGCAGGGAGATTGCTGACGATGAACAGGTCGCGACACGCACCTCGGTGTAGGTGTAGTCACGGTCCTCCTTCAACCACGCCTTTGCCTGCGCCGCAGCCTCAGCCTTGCTCGTCTGGCTGTCCTCGTCACGGTCCTCCTTCGCGAACGGGTCCTCGCCCTCGACCGGCTCATCCTCGTCAACACCCTCGTCCTCGTCGTCCGAGCCCGCGGGCGTCGCCTTCTTCTTGAGGATGCTCTTGGGCTGAGGAGCCTCCTCGTCGTCCTCGCCGCCGGCAGCCTCGGTCTCGGCAAGCTCCTTGTCGAACGCGTCCAAGTCGAACGTCTTCTTCGTCTTCTTCTTGCGCTTCTTCAAGTCGGAGAAGTCGTCGAGTCCGCCCGAGGCATCAGCCGACTCGGCAGGCGGGGTGGAAGGCTGCTCGTCGTCGTCAATCTCGTTTCCAAGCTTGTCGACGCGCTTGCCCTTCTTAGGCTTGACGTCCTCCTCGTCCTCGGCGTCCGAGTCGATCCGGACAGACTTCTTCTTCTTCTTCTTGAGCGAGGCAAAGTCGAGGTCTCCGTCGTCGTTGGCAGGCGCGTCTTCCTTCGATTCAGCGGGGGCGGGGGCGTCGAGCTCGAGGTCGTCGAGGTTGACCTTCTTGGTACCCTTCTTCTTCTTCTTGATGCCGGCAAAGATGTCGTCAACGGGAGGGTCAATGTCAGCCATGGTGGGTGGTGAGGTGACTGGTCGGGTTTTCTGCGGGTATGAAGGCGGGTCAGCAAGATTCTTGTCGTCGTCTGTAGCCCGTTGTCACTCTTTCACACCCGCCCAGTCCTTCGAGAGACGAGGTAAGCCGCATCGCCTCCTCACCGGGTGAGGCGAACATGACGCCGCATACTCCGCCTGGCCCGCCTTGTGCGCCCTCGAGATGGCGCGCGAGACCCCATCGAACGGGCCTATGACCCTCCAGACCTGCCAGCCCACGAGAACCGCGACCGCATGGGACCGCTCCTCCACCCAGAAACCTTCGCGGCGATGAGGCGGTCCATCGCGGCCACGCCGACCCCGCCTGACCAGCTCAGTCCCGTCCAAGCACCTCTTTGGCTCCATTGAGCCCCTCAGCCACCCTCCCAGACGCCGCCGTCCGCGTGCCAGCTCGTGCGACCGGTTGACGCCCTTTTCGTGACTGATGAGAGCTCGTCCTGCGCGACTCACGGTGTAGGTGGGTGTGGTAGACTGTTGTTCGAGCTGAGCGTGCGCCTGAGAGACTCGTACGAGCAGCGAGTGCGTGTAGCGAGTGCGAGTGAGCCGGGCGACAAAGGGCGGCGCGGGTTGACTCCGAAGAAGGTGGTCGTCTCGCGCTGCCAGACTTGCTGGGACGATGCTGACTGGCTTGCTGGGCTCTCAAGAGTCTGATCTCTAGGCCACACGCGCTCGAACCACAGCCGGACGCCGTCTTGCTGTCGACTTCTCCTCGCCTGCTCACCCTCACTCGCTCGCGTGTATCTCAAGCTACAGGTCGCGAGCAAGCGCGACGAGGCGAACGGCAAAACGAAGAGATACATGACACAGACTTCCACGAACCGCGATCCTCCTCCCTCCCGACTCAAAAGCTTCCTCCGATGGGGTACTTGAACAACCCGCTCGTCAGCCTCCCAACCGTCTTCGCCCAGACCGTGTGCACCTGGCCGATGACGAATACGCCCGTCATCATCAGGGAGACGAAGATCCGCTGGTCGGTCGAGGCGCCGAGCGGGCGCGAGACGGCGTCGCGGTTTCTGTCGAGCGGTTGAAAGTCGGGCACGCCGCGTCCGACGGGCCATCCGTCTGCGCGCGAGGGACAACACAGTCAGTCTCTGTCACCCGAACCTCGCGGGCCCACGCCGCTTCGCCCTCGCCGCCTCCCTGAGTCGAACTTTAAAGCGCACCTGGGTTTCCTCCCTCGAACCGTTCGCGGTACTCCCTATCCGCCCGCAGCCCCTCCGGCACCCTCGACACCGACCCCTGCGCCTGCTGCCTCGCGCTGTGCTCGCGAATCAATGCCTCTTGCTCTGCCGCGGTGCCCTCGCCCCGGAGGAACAGCGTCGGGATCCCTCCTTCGGCGACTGTGGCGGTCGAGGTCGTGCTGGCGATGTTTGAAGGCTCGTTGGGCATGGTTTTCGAGTGTTTGTGCAGGGTTGGAAGGAGTACAAGGACGGTTGCCGGACTTCGAGTCGCCCCACCTCCTATCCCACCGGGCGGACAATGTCGACCTTCGCTGCTCGCCCTCGCTTGTTTCTCTTGCAACTCCTATCGCTGCAACGCTCTCAGAATGAATGACACGAAGCTCCTGACGCACCTCAAGTCGGTTCATGCTGCCGCGGAGGACGGGACGACTTCCTACCCTCGCTTCATCCAGGACCAGCTCATCAAGCTCCACAGTGCGTTCCTTCCTCACTTCCTCTGGTCCCCTCGCTGATGCAGCTGTTGCACGCAGACGTACTCTCCGAATCGCGCGACGAGCTCCTCCAAGCCCTCCAAGCCGACGCGGGCCTAACCACCGCCGAAGCGCACGTCGAACTCGCCGAGACGCTCCAGCTCGTCAAGCGCTTCGCCGTCGAAGAGCTCGACTATGAGAAGTGGAACAAGGAGAGGAAGAAGGCGTTGAAGGAGGAGGGCGTCAGCAGGAGCGGGAAAGGGGTGGTGGTGGTGGTGGGCGAGGCTGCTGGTGCGTGCTTCTTCCCTCCTTTGAGAGCCGCCTGAGCTCATTGAACTTCCACAGCTCCCGTCTACTCGGTCATTGGCCCATTTGCGACGGCAGTGGCAGCCGGGAATGCCGTCGTCTCTCTCGTACGTCCTTCTTCTACCTTCGGCACTCGCAGTCGTCTGACGTCCGCTTCTCACAGCTCGCCCCGGAGACCAAAGCCGTCTCGTCTCTCCTGGAAACAAAGCTCAGCACCAAACTCGACCGCTTCGCCTACTTCTTCACCCGCTCCGCCTCTCTCTCCGACATCCTCTCTGTCTCTTCCCTCCCCTCTCCAGCCCTCATCGTCGGTCGCAATCTCTCCTCGATCCCCGACTCCCTCCCTCGCCTGCTCAACACCTCCGGCTCGTCCGGGTCCACCGTCTTGATTGACCGTCTCTCGCCCGCTGCGCACCAAAACATCGCCCACCTCGCGCGCCTCATTGTGCGCGGCAAGCTCCATGCACTTGGTAGACTGCCAGGTTCGGTCGCCCGTGTGTTGGTGCACGAAGAATCGGCGGGAGTCGTGTTGGATGCGGTTGTGCAGGCGCTCAAGGAGGCGTATGGGGTTGATGCAGCGCTGTCGGGCGATTATGGCCGGATGAGGGGTGAGTGGGACGGGGAGAAGAAGGTCAGGGCGGAAAGGGAGAAGGGAGAGGGGAAAGTCGTGTGCGGCGGAGCGAAGGGCGCGAAGGAGGAGGAGGGATACTTCCCGCCGACGATCGTCGAGCAGCCGAGTCTGTGAGTGTGCACTACTTAGTGGTGCGAGGTAGGAGACTGACTTTCTTTCGAACAGCACTTTCCTGCGCCAGGACCCGGCAGGTCCGATCCTTTCCTTCGCAACTTTCGCCTCGCACGAAGATGCTCTCGTCCTCCTTAGCAAGATGTACGTCGTGCCGCGCCATACCACGAAAGGACAAAGCTGACCTTGAAGCTTCACTACCAGGGACAGCCAGACGCTCTTCCTCTTCTCGGACGACCCGCACAACCTGAACTACCTCGCTGTCGAAGCGGGCGTGCCAACTGTCTACACGAACGACATCCCTGTCTCTGCACTCTGTGAGTCGCTTTCCGTTCCATTTCTTGACTCGCGCTGACCTCCAGCGAATCTCGCAGACGAACCCGCTCGCAACCTCACCGATATCTCCAACTACACGCTCACGACCCGCATCATCCGGCCCCCGTCCGCATCGTCACCCACCTCGAAGCTCTTCGCGCCCTTCACCTCCCCCCGCCTCTCCGCCCTCACCTCCCTCTTCCCGCGCGAACGCACCCTCAAGTTCATCCGCGCCAAGCACTCAAACTCGATTCTCCGAGTCTTCTTCCTCCAGGGACTGTTCATCAGTGTCGGGACAATTCTAGCGTGCTTGCTCGGAACGACGGGTTACGGCGCGTACCTTGGTTTCGGGTACTTGAGGAGGCGGTTCTTCCTGTAGGGATTGTCGTGCGTCTTCTTGGGTACACCATCCTCTCTCTCTCGCAACGATGTGTCTCTCAGCTTCAGTTCCCATGCCCGTCGTCGTTCCGCAGAGGTCTGCTTCGCTCTCCTCGTTCTCGACCTCTCGTTCCCTGCTCTAGCCAGCCCGCTTCCTTTCAGGTCTCCTGTAACACTCGGTACCGACTGCACGAAGTGCGATTACGAGGAGAATCTCCAGGATTGAAAGCCAAGCTAGAACTGCGAAGTGCGAAATTGAGAAGAGGCTGCGAGGCGGGCGGAGTGGACAGAGGAGGGAGGTGCGAGTTATACAGGCTACAAAAACGGAGAGGAGCGTAGCGTGCAGGCATACAAGCAACAAAGACGCAGAAGGGCGGTCTATACAGAGGGAAAGGGAAGAGTTGTCGCGCTCACTCGCCGACAGCAGCGTCCTCTGACTCCTCGACATCCTCGTCGATCCACTCGAGCCGGCCGCCCTCGCCACCCGCCGCCTTCGACGCCTCGGGATCGGCGTCCGGGACCCAGTGGATCAAGGGAAGGTCGTTGACGGTGACATGGCGGAAGTCGACGGTTGGGTGGACCTGTGAATCGGGAGCGACGAGTCAGCAGGCGAAGAATGAGGGAAGGAAAGAAGACGCACGATCATGTGGCGCTTGAGGTTCGAGAAGACGGAGAAGGTGCGGCCGCAGGAAGGAATGGGGCACATGAACGCTACGAGACGGCAACCGTCAACGGAGTTCTGGAGGGAAGAGAAAGACGGGTGACGCACGCTTGACGCCGCTGTGAGAGCGCATGTGCGTGTCGCGAGCGGAAGGACGGCCGACTGTGAGTGTCGCGGTACGAAGTTAGCACCGAGGCCGCCGCCAAGTGAGAAAGTCCGGATCGAAGCGCTCGTCGCAACTCACAGCTCTTGTCGCAGCCGGGAAAGTCGCACGTGTAGATCCGCTTGTGCTGGTCCTTCGGCGGCCAGCTCCTCGGCGAGATGACCTTGACAGGCTTGCCCGTAATCGGTGAGACGCGGGTGGCATGCACGTGACGAGGCGAGGAAGGTGCGCGAGTCGGCGACGAGGGCGTCCAATCGGGGTCGACGGAGGAAGCGGAGGACGTAGAGCGACGCTTCTTCCCCTTGGCTGTCTTGCTGCTCGAGGACGGGGCATGCGGGCTGGAGGGCGAGAGAGGAGCAGGCGAAGCGAGGATAGTAGGTGAGTCGGGATCCTCGACTCTGACGAAGGCTTGGGCAATCTCGAGAGACTGCGGGCGAGTCTGGCGATGAACCAAGGCGTTTGCGATTACGGAACGACGCGAGCTGGGGGGAGAGACGGTACCGTGACGAGACGCATTGTAGGCTGGGAAGAGAGGGGATGTCGTCGTCGGAAGCGATTGAGGCGAGGAAGGCAAAGGCGGCGGGAATTCGTCGGCTGGCGACTGCGGGCCTGGTGCGATGTGGAAGGACTGAAAGGCTGTCATCGGCGACCTCATCTCGTAGGAGGCGTAGTACGGGGCGAAGTGAGCGGCTGGGTCGGGCATCTCCTCGTAGTCGTAAGAGCCGGGTTGAGCGGGGACGTGCTGGAAGTGCCCGACCACAGACGGCGCAGAGTGGCTGTACGTCGGATGGAGAGGATTGGTGCGGCCGAAGTGCGAGGAAGCGGAAGCGGAAGCGAAAGGGACCGGTCGCGAACCTGCCGGGACGAAGAAAGGCTGGAGCGGCGATTCAGGCGAGGCGGATTTGTCGGAGTCGTAGTAGGCGCTCTGCGGGTCTGGCCGGTAGGCATACGAATGCTGGTCTGGATGGCGGTGCAGGTCGTCCGCACAGAGCGAAAGCGGCGAGATTGGCGAGTGGTCGCCCTGCGCAGCATGACTTCCCGATCCTCCGCCGTAGCCGCTGTCGCGATAGCCGTCGTATGCCGTCTGCAATCCAGCGGACGGGTATTGAGGGATGTGACGAGTCTCGACGAGACCGGGCGAGTCGAAGGCAAAGTCAAACTCATCGCCGACCTCGCCCGCCGGCTGAGCTGTCGAGTGCGACGCGGAGAACTCGTCCTGGCCATAGTACCCGTCGCCCTGCTGGACAAACTGGCCTGCGAAGCGGTCCTGAGCCACCGGCGCAAGCGAAGCCTCCAGCACCCAACGCTCCCTCCGCTCGACCTCCTCATCCTCCTCCTTGATCGCCGCCACAATCTCCTCCCCGTACGTCGCCCTTTCATGCAGCTCGCGCCTGACGCCGTCCTCGCTCGAGCCAACTCGGCCGCTCGCTCCTCCGCGCAGAATACCGGAACTCTCGTCTTGGCGTGGGTAAGGGAGGTCCGACCACGACGAGGTTGAGCCGGAGGCGTACTGCTGCGACGAGGAGAACGTGTAGGAGCTGTGCGAGGCGGGGACGGAGGGGCTTAGATGGTATGCAGGTGCCGGAGAGGAGAGGGCGTGAGAGGAGGAGGCGGTGGTGGAGGCGTCGAAGGCGGCTGGGGAAGGACCGGAGGACGAGTGGAAGCGCTGCAGGGTAGGCGACACGCGGTCTGAAGGCGGTACGACGGGCGTCGAAGCGGGACGAGGCGCAGCGAAGCCATGCCGAGGGCGTTGAGCGGTCGAGGCGGCAGAGTTGGGGAAGGGCGTCTCGTCTAGCGAGTGCGCCGCGCCGCGAGTCGACGTGTGAGGCATGCTCGTGCCCTGCACCTGTGTGCAGGAGGTAGAGTAGGGAGTTAAGGAGGAAGAGCGAGGAGGAGGGAGGCCAAGTCAGTGACTCGCTCACCAGAGCAGCGACCTCGACAAGCACGGGCTAAAGTGGGACTCCTGACGGACGAGCAGACTGATGCGCGTGATCGTGCAATCAGGCGACGCTCGTTCGCTCGGGCCTGTGTGAGAAGGTCGAGAGGAGCTTCGCCTCTGTGCGGGTATACGGTGAGTGCTAGCAGAAGACCAATGCTCACTCCTGCACTCTTGCCTCTTATGACGACTTAAGCACGCCCGTCTCGCCACAAGCGCAGTCCTGCTCACTCGACGACCCCTTTGTTCCCGCTCATCCTGCTCGCCCACACATCCTCGTTGCTCGTTTCGTCGCTCGTGAAAGGCTGACGGGTCATTCCAGACCGTGTGGCGATGAGCGAACGCTGTACCTTGTCTGAGCGGCGAGATCAGCCGACGAGGAAGAGAAGGCGAGGCGGTGAAGGGCGGCGAAAGCGGTGAAGACGGTCTGTGAACAGGTCTCGAAGGTACAATCGCTGCAGTAAAGCGTGTTGAAAGGCCCTTGAAGGGAGCGCAGCGCGTTGACCGACGCCTGGAGACTGCCGAGGAATCGAAAGCGGGAGCGAAACAGTGAGAGCGGTCGTTTCCTGCCTGCAGGGCGGCCGCTATGAGGTTAGCGCAATGCTAGTAGGTGGGAAGGAAGGACCCAAGACGTACCGAGTCTCTGCCAACGTAAGAACCTCCGCAAGACAGACCCTCGTGCGCAGACAGTCGACAGCCAGCCACTCCACCCTCAGATCCAAGCCGTTCCGCCAGGACCCGCGCAATCATTCATCCACAAGGATTGCGATGAGTACACCACCCCGCCCGAAACGCTCCTTGTTGCTGCGGACGCCCCGAGAACAGCGAGACAGCGGGAGAGGTCGCCAGATCCAGCTCGACACACCCCGTGGGCGGGCAGCTGGTCAAGCTTTACCGCTTTGAAGCAAGCCAATAAGTGTCTGAGCAAGTCAGTCCAGCCAGTCGAGCAGTGTGAGTGAGCAGTTGAGGCGGGAGCCGAACTTGCGATGGCTTGCACCTGAACACTCCGCTCACTCCGCTTCTTTCGCTGGTCTGTCTGGTCTGACTGCTTTTGAGAGATCGTCTCGTAGGCTGCTAGGAGTGGCACGGCTCTGCGAGGTGTTGACGGCGACTGGTGCGCTCATCTCTCCCCCACTTCACAAACACTCCATCACACCGCTTTCAAGGCGTTCGCCGGCTCGGACGCGCGCGGCGGACTGGGGAGTATACTTAACATGGCGACCGAGGCCGGCGACGCGTGCGGTGGAGCTGCTGTTGGCGAGTGTGACGGATGCTGCCCCTGCGAACAGTTCGGCAACCGTGATCTGCGGTTTGTGAGGGGCTTTATGGGCTTACACTCGCTCGCTGTAGGCTACAGGTCGTCACCATGCTCCACTCGGCACAGGCGGCGGCGCCGAGCCCTCAAGCTCCTCCTTCTCACCCTCCTCGCCTGACCCTCCAGATCGCCTCTCCTCTCGCCTCTACCTCCTCCATCTTTTCATCGGCGAGTTGCGGCGCATCAGACTATGTCAAACCTCCTTCACCTATCAAGCCGTCTCGCAACTCGCTCTTCGACCTCGACTGGGCACCCGTCACGCCTCACACTCGCTCCCGCAGCTCGACGACTGAGAGCCAGTTCAGTGCGACCAGCAGCGCCGGCACCACAGCGAGTAGTAAAAGCTGGATGGACGTCGACGTCTCGCCTCCGCCGTCCATCTCGCACTCTTCGCTTCCTCCGCCTATCCCGACGTTCTCGAGGAGCGATACGGCGAGAGGATGGCAGGCATGGGAGCAGACGCCGGTACCGGGGAAGAGCGAAGGCGGCTTCGAGTGGACAGCTCAGGCTGCACCAGCGACTCAAGGCGGTGTTCTCGGCCCGCCTTTCACGAGCGTACCCCTCCCACAAGCCAGTCCTTCTCTCGCCGAACCTCCTCGGCCTCCTCCGTCCCTACCCGCCCAATCTTTCTCCAGTATCGTGCCGCCCTCGCCGCCATCGCCCAGTCACTCGTCTTCCTACTCCTTCCCCTCTTCCTTCGCCAACGATGAATCCGGAACTCTCCCACCAACAGCCGGACACTCGTCCAATCCGCTCCTCGATACCCGCCGAGCTCCCCCTCTCCGTCTATCTCCCACTCCCCTCTACAGCCTGGGCGAAGGGCGGCACGCGACCGTCTACCTCGCCTCGTTCGTCCCGCAAGCGCGAGATGGACAAGTACGAGCCGAGAAGCGGAGACGACTCTGCGCGGCGAAGCGGTTGCTTCCTGATCGCGAGAGTCAGGTGTCCGGATTGGGCGAGGCGTTCATCCTCGCCAAGCTGTCACAGGCAGACTCGAACTCGGTCGCAGCGACAGGCTCGCAGTACATCCTAGGCTTATACGGCGTGCGCGATGAGCGCGACGGCATTGACCCTCCTGCGTCGCTGCTAGCCTCACCGTCATCGGCAAGCGCGAGCAGGCGGACGAGCCAGCGGTGGAGCTATGGCGGTGCGACGGGGTGTGGAAGCGGGAGTGGGACGCTCAGTCCACTAGGAAAGGAGACGTTCGCCTACGGGACGGACGATGCGGAGGCGACGAGTCGAGAAGACAAGCGGAGAAGCCTGCCGTTGCAGGAGAGGCCGAAGAAGGGCAAGGCGCGGCACTCGGACATGATGCCAGGCTCTTCGACTCCGAGCGGGCGCCTCTCGCTCCTCTCGCACGCCCTCGAACCGCCGCTTACCTCGACGCGCCGACGAACGACTTTCGGCGGCGGCCCAGCTACAACTTCGACGACCCCCTCACAATCGCCGCCCACTTCTCTCGCCCCTTCCCCTCTGCCTCATCCCGCGTCTCCCCGAATCGATCTCCTGCTCGAGTACTGCCCGTTCGGCCACATCCTCCAGTTCGCGAGGAGCCACCCCGAGCGGATAGGCAAGCGAAGATGGTTCGAGTGGGCGCTACAGATCTCGAGTGCGGTGGCGTGGGCGCACGAGAAGGGCGTCTTACACGCGGATCTTAAGCCTCAGAACGTCATGGTGCGTCCGTCTCGTTCGCTTCAGAGGCTTCGCCGGCTCACGCTCGTCTCACGCAGGTTGCTGCCGATCTTACGTTGCGACTGTGCGATTGGGGCAACTCGCTCTTCCTCCCCCCGCCATCCTCTCCCGCACACCTCTTCCCGACTGACCCGCACGGCCTCGGCACACCCGCCTACTCTCCTCCCGAATTCGTCCGCGCGCTACCCTCCCGTTTTTCATACTCGAGCGACATCTTCTCGCTCGGCATCACCCTCCACACGCTCATCACCCTTCGCGAGCCGCACGAAGGCGTCCGAGCTGTTGAGCGGATGGTCCGCGTAGCGGAAGGAGGGTGGTGGGAGTGGGAGGAAGGTCGGAGGCTGCGGGAAGTTGAGGGCGAAGTCGAGGAGGGGTTGGAGTTGAGTCGGACGGGAAGCGTGAGGAGTACGCGGAGCGGGAGAAGCAGCTTGAGGGGAAGTCCAGGCGCCGCGAGGCGGAGGAGGGACGATAGCGAGGAGAGCGTGCGGAGTTACCTGAGTGTATCGGGAATCGGCGAACAGGGCCCGCGCGACTGGAGGGCGCTCGCACAGTCGCTGTTGGCGCCGGAGGAGGACGAGGGTGCAGGAGCGACGGACGATCTCGACTCTCTCGTCGACCATATGATCCCGCTCACCCCGCCACCCTCCCCTCCGCCGTCTCCTCACCTTCTTCCGCGCTCAACAATGCTCTCGACACTCTCACTCGAGTCAGCCCTTTCCTCGCCCGCTCCCGCCACTCTCTACTACCCCTCGACCTCCGTCCCCGTTCAGTACTTCCCTTCCTTCTCCGCCTCGCTGTCGGCCCAGAACGACGATGAGGCGGATGTGCCGACGGCAACGCTGGCGGAGGAAGATGCGATCGTCCCGCTCGCCGTTCGCGAGCTGATCAAGCGAATGGCGAGTCCGGCTGAGGCGGATCGACCGACGGCGGCGGAAGTTAGGGAAGAGTTGAAGCGGATTGGACGTTCGGAGGGCTTCTTTGTGTGAGGTGGCCGTCCCCTTCTGTTGAATTCAGCATGTAGCCCTTTCCTTCAAACGACGCACATGTAGCTTTAGCCTTCCGCATCCGCCTGGTTGGCGCACTCCATCTCCGCGCTCATGCGATGAAGCCTTGTTGCAGAGCGCTGTAAGCGAGCGCTGGCGAGCTCACGCTTGCCTTCGTCCGCATGTCGCTCGTCACGAAGGGCTGTCGGCGCGCGCGAGCGAGTTCGAGGAGGACAAGCGAAGACACAGCAGCGAGACACTCACTTCCGGGCTGGCTAGCTGTGTCGTGCGGCAGGAGACTTCGTGCGAAGCTCAGACTGGGAGACTCGATGTGGACTGTCCCTTTGCCGCGAGAAGCAGCAGGTCCTGAGGCACACAGGTCGTTCTGTCCCTCGCTTCACTTCTGAGCCTCTCCGTTCAGCGCGCAAGAGCATTCACCAGAAGGCGAGTCATTGATGCCGTCGTGACCACGACGAGTCAAGAAAGGGAGGGGGAGGGAGGACGCGGATGGACAGGCGTTCCCGTTCAGCTTGTGCCCAGTACCGCCAGGCGCTCACCGACCCAAAACCTTCACGCGATCTAGGAAGCGACGCCCTGCTTCAAACTGAAGAACGGAAAGGTGGGAACTGAGTCAGCTCCTATCTCAGGATGCGGCGCCTTTCGCCCCACAAACCTCGCGCACTCGTGAACAGAGACGTACCCGCGACTTCTCCTCCGGCTGGTCATAACCCGCGAGCATTGGGCCGTAGTAAGTGCTGTGGTTGTGTGGATCCTGTAAAAGCCGCCTCGTTCAGCTTTCGAGGCCACGAGCACTATATTGGAGAGGGCAGACGCACGACGACGAGTGTGGTCGTTTTGCCATCGAGCAAGTCGACAAAGGGCTTGGCAGACGGCTGTTCAGGGATGTGAGATGATCAGCATGCGTATTGATCCGTACCGGTGAGCGAGCGAGCGAGCCGGCGAGAGACCAAACTTGGGTAAAGGAACGTACAAAGAGATGTGGCGGCGCGCCGAATGAGCCTGAACGCTGCGAGTAGGCTGCACACGCAACCTGTAGCTTTTCGAGCTTCGGAAGGCGAGCCCATTCGACAATGTGGGTGCGGAAGAGGGCGAGGAGTGCCGAAGCTGGACCGCTAGCGTATTTCAGCCAGTCTTCATGGCGAGCACCGTTTGCTGCGGTGTCTGTGGGACGGCCGGAAGCGCTGTACAGCTGTACGAGGCTGAGGGCAAACTCGATGCACTTCTGAAGGCCTTCGTCGGTGTGCCCTTCTTCGTCATAGAGCCTGGCAAGGTGTGGGTGCGCGCTCATCTGTATCAACAATTAACCGATGAGTGAAGCGCGGCGGAAAACTCGAAGTAGACGGGCGGAGCTAGGGGAGAGGCTCACCTTGCGATGGAGTGCGCGAGGCAACAGGGGAAGAAGGCGCGAGCAGAGTGGCGAGGCGGCGGTGTCGAGAAGCGTAGAGCGCAAGGATGCGGTGACAGCAAGGCGGGAGGAGAGAACGAAAGCCAGACATGCCCGCGTAGCGGAACATCCGCGGAGTCTCGAAGCGGGAGACGAGCTGGGCACAACGTGAGCAAGTGCGCCACGTCCCAGTTCCCTCAACTCGCTGGCGTTACCGCAACACGCCATTCCACGCCGACGGGTCCGCTAGTTGATCTCCCTCTCCCCTCTCTCGCCCCTCTTCTCCGCCTCACCCTTCTCCACCCTCCTCCGCTTGTTCTTCCCGCCCGACGTCGTGAAAGGAGCGGTGAAAGCCTCGCGCAAGCGACGAACTTTTTTGTCACCCAGACCGGGGAGGGTCGAGAGTTTGGCCGGTTCGGCGAGGACGAGGTTGGCGAAGGACTGCGGCGGAGTCCAGGTCAGCTGCTCAACAACGTCACAGATAGTGACGCGAACGCACGCCAAAGTTGCTGATCAACGTCGTCACGTCCGTCTTGTTGACGCCACGAACGCTCGTCAAGGCGCTCGTCATGTGCGCCATGTACGAATCGTCAACACGTTCGCGGATCAGGTCGGGCGGCTTGCGTTCGAACGACTTGTACGTCTCGAGGTAGCGGCCTGCTTCTTGGGCGCTAACAGACGGCCAGGTCGACGAGGCGAAGGGAGTTAGCTCAAGCTTCTTCAGCCTCGACAGCTCGCAAGTTCTGACGCACCTCCAGCACGTGATGAGCGTGTAGCCGTTGACGATGGCGACCTTGGTGAGCTCCTTCATCGCGGCAGTGTGGTTGTCAGCGTCGCACTGGCAGAGGATGATGCGAAGGTTGTAATTTTGGCCGAGGTCCTGAATGCGCGTGTGGATGTATTCGGGATGAAGGAGGTGGTAGCGAATGCTGCGAACGTATGTCGACCGTCAGCTGAGCGAGCGCGAGGAAGCGGTCCGGGAAACGCACGAGAGATAGAGGACACCGGCTGTTGCGCCAACCTGGTAGTCGCACTTGATGTCGCCATACTCCCATGGCACGGTACGTATATGTCCGATGACAGGGTTTCCTTTCTGCGCGAGATGAAAGCCGTTCCAGTAAGAGTGAGCGGAGCTCAGGTCAGACAGAAGGGTCAACGAGGAGCAGGAGGCTGGCCGCACCTGCCTGACATTGACGAGGATCGAATTGAGCGTCGGTCGGATGACTGCTGGGCCACTCGCAGCACCCGCGTTGACCGCCCTCCCGCTTTGCGCCTGTCCAGCGCCTGCCCCACCACCACCTGGCTGCACGACCCTCCCTCCTCCTCCCGCTCCCGCTTGTACTGGCCCGCCCGGCACCGCAGGCTGTTTCCCTCGCTGTACAGCAGACTGTCCACCAGCTGGAGTCCCCTGGCGAGGCGTGTTGGTCGAGAAAGCACCCGGTGTCGACGGTCGGACTGATGAAGACGAGGCGGAGGTCGAAGACGACGCGGACGCTGCTGGCGGCTTGGAGGGACCTGGCTGCGCGCTCATGGGGAGTGGGCCGGTGCTAGTGAGCAGCCGGGCGAGTCGAGGCTGGTGATACCGCTCAGGGAAGGTTGCCTTCCCCTCTCTTGCGTCAACCAAGTCGGCTCGCTCATCGTGGGAGGGTCTTTTTGCGTCCTTACACTCTCGAGACTACGCTCGACACTCTTGGGCTTTCGGACGACTCACTGCACGCCGTTGAACCCGCTCGCTCGCTTCCTCCGTCCCGAACCAGCCCCCTCCCCACTTGTCACGTTCGACGGGGCCTCACGCACTCCCAAGCTGGTCCTACTCGCCCGCTCAGCGATCTCGCTCGCCCCGCCGCTCTTCCTCGCCCTTCGCCAGATCTGCCTCGCACAACACCGTCCTTCTCTCTCCCCTCTCCGCCTCTCCCACACGATGGCCAACTCGCAGACCGCTCCGCCGACGCACATCTTCGACCCGCTCCCTCACTCTCGACCCGATGGGGGCCCTGAACATGAGAACGGCGCAGCAATCTCTGCGCTCTTCGCCCATGGCGGACCAGGAACGACTGTCCTCCTCCGCCCTCGCGCAACCTACGTCCTCTACTCGCAAATCGACATGTCGCATCCTGGCACTACTCTTGCGACCGAAGGATACCCCGTGTTCGAATCGGGCAACCAGGCCATTCTCGAAACGCGAGGCGAGAAAGAGTCGGGCGCGGTGCGGATGTTCAACCTCCCTCGCTGCGCGCTCAAGAGGGTGCATGTCAAGGGCTGCCGTGGTTGGGGAAGCAAGGCGCCGACTGAGGAGGAAAAGGAGAGGTGGAAGAAGGAGGGGAGGATGGGATGGTTGGAGGGCGGAGGAGCGCTCGTCTGGATGGGAGGTCCCGAGGCGCACGAGCAGATTGTCGAGGGCTGTCGCCTCGAGGACCCGCGTGGATGGACTTGCGTGCGTCCTCAGCTCACTCCTCTGTCCCGCAATATTCGCTGACGCCGAGCTTCGCAGGTCCACCTCGTCGACTTTGCCCAGCGCTGCCGCGTCGTAAACAACCTCGTCGGCCCTTCCGGCCAGCAAGGTGAGCTCGGCTCAAGGGACCTTTTCTCGCGACTAGAGCGCGCTGACGGTCTCACCTCGCCGCGCAGCTCCGGGACCTTGGGCAGATGGCCTCAGTATCGCCGGCAAGGACAGCTTGGTCGTCAGTCCTTCGCTTCTTCTCCTTTGCGGCTAGCACTGATGCGAAATCACGTTGCGCAGGCCGGCAACACCGTCTTCGACGCGACAGACGTTCGTGTTCCGTCTCCCTTCCCGCAATAGCGAGACTGACCTTCGCGATCTCACAACAGGGTGCCATCGTCCTCTTCTGCGCTCCTGGCACGGTCTGCACGGACAACACCATCATCGCGCGCGAGCGCAACCTCCTCGGCGCAATCAACATGTGCGTCCGTTCTTGCCTCCCTCGGCTTGCTTGTGCTCACACTCGCCCCGAGCAGGGTCGACGACTTTCCCTTCGACCGCGACTTTACCGAGACGAGGGTCATCGCGAACAAGATCAAGACCGAGGGAGCGTTCATTCGGGTTGCGATTGCGTGCGGACCGACGAGTTGGAACCCGTGGGGACCGCACCACACGCTGGTGCGTGCACTCTCGCTCACCGTACCGTTCAAGATGAGCTGATCAGAGCGGATGTGTACGCCCGCAGAACTACGGCGGCCACGTCCTGCACAACCTGATCGGCCCTGGCCAGTTCGGCTACGGCATCACCCTCTCAGGCGTCGACAACTTCACCGTCCTCGGCAACTCCCTCGCGCCTCACACACGCTTCGCAGGCTCGACGCACCGTTTCTACCCCGCAACCATCAACGCTCCTCCGTCCGCCTTTGTACGTCAGTGGGCAGACCGCGGGAGGGTGCTCAACTGCGAAGTGCAGGAGGAATTCGTGGAGGGCGAGTTGCAGTGGGTTATTGGGATTGAACCAGAGGTAGGGGACAAGTTGGAGTATGAGGCGGGGCAGGTTGGGCTTGATGTGAGGGGATTCAGTCGGGCGGGCGAGGGAGGGCTCGCGATGCGTGGAGCGAGGTGGGAGGTTAGTACGAGGGGCGAGCTGGTGTTGAGGAAAGTCGAGGGGAAGGTCGACCAGTTCGGGCAGGGCGAGTATGGGAGGGGACGCGTCGTTTGGTCCAGCGGGCGTGCAGGCGGTAGACACGGCGCCGTCGAAGAACCTCGACTCGACTTCCTCCTCGAGGGGCGGGTCACGCTCCGCTCGCACAGCGGCGAGGGCGACGTCCTCTGGGACCCAACGTCCTACCTCGTCCCCTACCTCTCGCACCTCCCTCCTCCTCCGTTCCTCCCCCCTCCTACCGCCCCTCAGCCGCCCGAGCGCTGGCTCCCGCACCCCAAACTCATTCTCCAGAACCAGCAGCCGTACGTACAAATCAAGAACCACGAGGGGAACCTTGTGTTCTCGACGCAGTACGAGTGGGGGAACGAGGATGGCTGGACGATGAAGGCCGGTCAGTGGATTGCGGTGGCGCCGAGGGAACTGAGGGGCGCTGAGGACCCGAGCGGGTTCGAGGAGGAGGAGGAGCAGTCCGGTTTTCCGCCACCTCCGCCGCCGCGTCAAGACAGCCAAAGCCACGGCGGCCACTTCTCTCGCTTTGTACGCGACTTGAACTCCTCCCTCCAGTCACACGGCGTCTCCGTCCCTTCTCTCTCCCCTCGCGGTCCACCACCTCCCATCCCACCGCGCCCCTCCTCCTCCCCTTCCTCTCAACCCTCCCCGAACAACCTCTCCCCAACATTCCTCTACCTCTCCCCCTCCACCTCCCAACTGATCCTCCACTCTTCTCCCTCTGGCCCTACTTCCCCAACTCCAGACTCAACACACTTCTCCCTCCCCCCTCAACCCCCCTCCCCTCCTCCGACCAAGCCGGAGGACTCGTTCCTCGCCTTCCAAGGCGACGGGAACCTCGTCCTGTATACTTCTGACGGACCTGTTTGGGCGAGTGGGACGAATGGGGATCGGAAGGCGGTGAAGGTGGGCTTGAGGGGTTGGGGGGAGGAAGGAGGGCCCGGGATGGAGATGTGCGACGAGAGGGGGGAGAGGGTTTGGAGTTCGAGGGATTGAGAGCGAGTGCTGGAGGAGAAAAGGAGTGTGTAGCCTGGGTTTTGCGAAAGCTTGTATCGTTTTCTGTTCGTGTCTCGTCCTCGCTCGTCCTTGTGCGCGTTCGCGAATCGTGAGAAGGAGAAGTGGCGGCTATTACGCTGGCGACGGGCGACGCGAGGAACGAGAGATGCCACCAAATCGAATACAGCCTATCCCTACGAGAAGAAAGGGTGAGAACGAGGAGAAGAGAGAGTGTCTACCAAGCGATCAAGCCGCGCAAAACCACAGAACCTGAGAAAACCATGCAGAACACAACGCGTAGAACAGAACGTGTAGAAGAAGCCCATGCGAAAACAGAACCAGGACCAAGAAGCCGCATGCAAAGTCAAGCAAGTGTCCATCCTCCCCCTCCGTCCGTCCTTCTCCTAAGCCATCGCTGCCGCGACCGCCGCGACCGCCACAACCGCACCTACGACTCCCGCCTTGAGACTCGACGCGCCGCTCGAAGGCTTCGAGGAGCTTGAAGCGGAAGCGGAGGCCGCAGATGCAGAGGCCGTACGAGAAGCGCCTGCGCCGCTAACCGTGCCGCTCGACGCCGAACTCGTCGCCGAGCTAGTCGAGCTCATACTCGTCGACGAACTCGCCGCCGATGCCGTGGCCGACGAGGGAAGCGACGGAGTCGTCGAAACTCCATACTGCGTTCCCAATGCCTGCGCTTTCGCTTTGACGGCGTGGCAGGAGGTGGTGGAGGACGATTCGTCGGTGTTTAGGCAGCTGCGGGGGGAGCGGGAAGGCTGAGCGTCCGCGTGCTAAGTGAGAGGTCGCGACAACTTACAAGACGGCGCCGAGGTAGCAGGGCGAGTAGTCGGTCGCGATATCGGCGAAGCTGTCGCGCGTGCCCGAAAACGCAAGAAGGAAGTGCCGAAACTGTCAGCTCCGTTCCTCCTTCCGAGACGGAGCGCCGCGCAGACGCACTAGAGGACATCCGAGTTGTTCTGCACATTGAACGTCGCAGTCGGTCCCTGACCCTGGAGCGTCCCATTCGGGACACTCAAGACTCCCGAGTCGAACCCGCCCGCGAACGCGCACGGGTCCTGCGCCGAGACTTGGACGACGCGGTGGATCCCCTCGAGGAAGGAGAACTGGATCGTGTTCGAGGCGGACGAGTCGGCGATGACGGTGCGCGAGGGGTCGAAACCGATTCCGGGGTCGCCCGTCACTTCGTTCTTGCCGACTCCGACCTGCGTGCGGTCAAGCGGGGAGGAGGGAGGGAGGGAGATCGGGTTCGAGGTCCGCGGGTTGAATGAGTCGGATGAGCGTGCGTTTGAGGCGGCGGGTTGACGGGCGGGCAGGGGTTTCAGTTCAGTTGGTGGAGAGTACACTGAGTGAATGGGACGCACGGTGTATTGGTACGCTGCTGCGGTGTGAGCGAGTGCGAGTGCGGAGATTGCGAGGGTGGGGAGGAGGGAGGGGGCGAGCATGGTGTGCAGGCGGTAGTGGGTGGCTGCGGGTGTTTGAGTGTGGCTGTCGGGGTGTCTGGGTGACTGGAGTGAGCAGTTGAGCGAGGTGAGCGGTGAGGAGGACGAGGTCGAAGCGGGACGGCAGCCCTTCGTCGACACCCGCTTGCATACGTACAGCATGCACTCAGCTCGCAGTGGCTTGTTCGCTCTCCCAGTACAGTACAAGGCTGCCTGCGATGGACTCACAGGTTCACTCGCACTGCTCACTCACTCAACTCAGGCTCAGTTGAATTCGGTGCACGTGCATCGACTGCGGGACACTGTCGATCCGATCACTCGTCTCGCTCGGCCAACCTGTCACTCCCTCTCTCTCTCTCTCCTCCCACTCATACTCACACGCACGCACTTGGAGATGGCACCGACACTCCCCCGAGACCCACCCGCACCGCGCTACCGCACCCAAAACTACCGCGGAAACGCCCGCGGACTCGGAAAGCAGGACCATCCAGAGGGGTCGAGCAACTACACGCTCTTGCAGGGGTGCGCACACATCCACACTCTCTCTGACCGGGGAGAGGGGCTGATGAGTGAGAGGCAAGCAGGTTCGAGTGGTATCAGGAGGGAGGGGGAACGTATTATGCTTGGTTGGCTGGCAAGGCAGAGGAGCTCGGCGAGATGGGCATCACGGCCATCTGGATCCCTCGTTCGTTCATCCCCTCATTCTCTCCTCTCCCACCGCCGACGAGACTAACGAGAGGAGCGTCGACGCAGCCCCGACGAAAGCGGACGGGCCCAACAGCGTCGGCTACTCGATCTACGACCTCTGGGACCTCGGAGAGTTCGACCAGAAGGGCGGGAAAGCAACCAAGTGGGGCACGAAGGACGAGTTGCTCGAGTGTGTCAAGAAACTCAAGGAAAACGGTCAGTTCGGCCGCTTTTCGCTTGGACTCTTGGTGCGTGAGGTACGGGGGTGCTAATGAGACGGTGTATACATGTGTGCGCGGGCAGGAATCGTCGTCTACATCGGTTCGTCCCCCCTCCCCTTCCTCTCATCCCTCCGCCCCCTCCGCCCCTCCTGCCTCCCTAACCCTCCCTCGCTTCGCTCGGCCGCAGACGCAGTCCTGAACCACAAAGCCGGAGCAGACTATACCGAGCCCTTCCACGCGACCGAAGTAGACTGGGACGACCGGACCAAGGAGATCTCCGACCTCGTGCGTCCTCCCCCTCCCCTTCCCCCTCGCTCTCAGACTGACTCTTGGCGAGGGATAGTACGAGATCGAAGGATGGACAGGCTTCAACTTCCCTGGCCGGAAGGGCAAGTATTCCGAGATGATCTGGTCGCACATCCATTTCGTGCGCTCCCTCCCCCTCTCTCCTTACAAGCGATGCCTGACGGGTTGGAGGGACAGACGGGAGTGGATTGGGACGACAAGGGGAAGAAGAAAGCCATCTTCAAGGTTCAAGGCGAGGGAAAGGTTCGTCTCCCTCCCTTCCTCTTCCTCTTCTTCCTTCGTTCCTCGTCCTCACGCAAAGTGCGCGCAGACATGGGCCAAGTCAGTCGACAGCGAAAAGGGAAATTTCGACTACCTCATGGCGTCCGATATCGACCATTCGCATCCTGAGGTGCGGAAGGACTTGATCAATTGGGGCGAGTGGGTGTACGTCCGACTCTTCTTGCACGCTCTTCCATCCGCTTCTCGCAATTCGCGACGAGCGTGTGAGGGATGCATTGGAATGCAGACCGGACGCTGACGACCTCGTACGACTCGCGCAGGATCAAAGAAACCGGCGCCGCAGGATTCCGTTTCGACGCAGTCAAGGTGCGCTCTCCTTCCTCCCTTCTTCGCCTCTCGTCACTGACACGTTCGTTCGACGGGGCAGCACATTGACGAAGGCTTCATCGCGGATTTCGTGAGGGAGGTCAGGGAGAGGTTGGATAACGTGCGTCCGCTTTTCCTCGCCGTCTCCTCTCGATACAGTAGCTGATGGGTGATGGGTGGTTGTGCAGCCGGATATGTTCGTGAGTCCGCCCACAACTCACTTCTCGCTTCGAGCAGAAGGAGGCGAAGGGGAGGGGGGGGGGGCGGGGACCTTCCCAAACTCGCCTCCATCCGCCGATTCTCGCGCAAGAGAGGCAACGACTGACTGAGCGCCGGATTTTGCGTCTTACAGTGCGTTGGCGAGTTCTGGAAATCGGATCTCGGTGCGCTCGAAGGCTACCTCGACCGGTTCCCCGAGTGCGTCTTATCCCTTCCCTTCCTACCTGTATGTGCGGAGCTAACGCTGGAGAACGCCACGCGCTCAGGCAATTCTCCTGCTTCGACGTCACCCTCCACGACAACTTCCACCGCGCCGGCGCCGAAGCGGAATCCTTCGACCTGCGCTCAATCCTCGACAACTCGCTCGTCCGGTCGCGTCCGATGGACGCCGTCACAGTCGTCTGCAACCACGACACCCAACCTACCCAAGCTCTCGAGGCACCTGTTGCGCCTTGGTTCGCGCCGCTCGCGTATTGCTTGACGTTGTTGAGGGCCGAGGGATACCCGTGCGTGTTTGGAGGTGACTTGTGGGGGTGTAAGAGCGAGCCGGGTGTTGAGCCGATTAGTGGGTTGGCGGAGTTGGTCAAGGCTAGGAGGTGGTTCGCTTGTAAGTACCACTTTTTCGCTTCCTCTTTGAGCGAGAGAGAAGCTGATGGGGTGCGACGGGCAGACGGACCGACGAGGGACTACTGGGATCACGCCAACTGTCTCGGCTGGATCCGCGAAGGAGACGCGGACCATGACGGCTGTGCGGTGGTCATCTGCAATGGTCCGTCCCCCATCCCCTCCCTTCTCTCTCCTCCTCGTGCTGACCTTGTGAGGAACACAGGAACGGGCGAAGGAGAGAAACGTATGCAAGTGCAGGGGAACAACGAGCACAAAGGCGAGAAATGGATTGACGTGCTCGGGTGGACGCAGGGAGAAGTCGAGATCGAGGAAGACGTGCGTTTTCCTTCCCCCTCCCCTTTTCCTTTGAGCGTTGGTTGCGGTGCTGATGAGGATTGGGTTGACGGACAGGGCTGGGCGACGTTCAAGTGCCCGAGTAAGAGCGTCGCGGTGTGGGTCAGGAAGGACGCGAGGGGTCTCGAGGCGTTTGGGAGGAAGTAGACGCGAGTAGAGGTGCGGGTAGAGTAGGAGGAGGTAGAAAAGCGTTCTGGATGTCGTGCATTGCGTTTCGTCTTTACGCATGGGAGGAGAAGCGGACAGCGAGCTTGAGGGAGGCTTTCTCCGAGCTTTTTCCCTTCACCTTCTCGCAGCTCGACGTCCGCGTCTGACGCCGGAGCTTGATGCGAAGACCTTGTTGCAGAGTGGGTTCCTGGGTACACTATCGCTCCTCGCCTAAGCCCTCGCTCGCGCCTCGCTCAGATGAACGTCCAGCCATCGGCAACAAACTTCGCGTCCGAGATGAACCTGTACCAGCGAACACCTATGTACTTCTCGAAGCTCGAGAAGAACAACAAGCGGAGATCGAGGACAGCCGTCTGTTCGAGAGTGAGCAGCAGGTCGGCAATGCCCGGGAAGTCATCGGCGAGGCGGTCTTGACGGATTGCGGTCAGCATCGCCTCCTTCTCTTCTTCGATCGAGAATACGGCGGGACGACGGTAGTAGTCGAACGTTTCGAGGCGGAGGGCTTGAAGAGCGGGACAGAGAGCGAGGAGAGTTCGCATTCCTTGCAGCTCGTCCTGCGTGATTGTCGTCAGCTGGGTGATGGGGGGCGGAAGGCGGGACGTACCGCTGAGTAACAGTCGCAGCGCCCGGACAGCCTGAGTCGCAGGACAGACTGCAACTTGCTATCGGAAGTCCACGACTTCAAGGCGGCGAAGGATTTGATGTTAAGAACTGCGAGGTCGGTCAAGCTGGGCAGGCTCTCCGCAATCCGGACCAACTCTTGCCAGCCGTGCAAAGCGCCGATGTCGAAGGAAAGGGCGAGGCTCCGCAAGGAAATGGGCTGTTCGGCGTGCAAGGAGTTCAACCCACGAGTCCTGAGAAAAGTTGAGAAGGAACAAACTCACCGCGATTGCGCAAGCAGTCTCAAGGGTGTTCGCGACTTTCTCGAGGTCGAGGCCGTCCCCGGGCACTTCGTGTACACGGCGGGCGATGGTGACGTCGAGATGGGTCAGGGTTTGCCACGGCACGCCCGAGCCGTCAAAGCTGGTAGACGACACCTTGAGATGCGTCAGCCTGGATAAGCCTGGCGCGCAGGCTGCCAGGCTCCCTTCGGCGCCAATGTTCAGCTTGCGCAGGGACGGGACGTCACGCTCAAGGGAGAAGCCATCGAGCGGCTGCAGTCTGAACTCATGCGCGATGTTGAGGTGAATGAGGTGGTTGAAGGACCGCAAAGCCCAGAAGCAGTCGGGAACCTCCACGATGTTCTCGCCGTCGCCGAAAGTGACCTCGAGGTGCGTCAGGTTCGTGGTGTTGCGGAAGATGATGCATTGTAGCTCGGGATGCTTGTCGACATTCTCGACTTGCAGTTCTTTGACATTCAAAGCAGTCTCGGGAGTCGTCGCGAGCTTGAGGAGAATGCTGCCGCTGGTCTCGATGCCGACCTCGAGAGTCTTGAGCCGGTAGTCGCGCGCGATCTCGAAGACGCGGTCGTTGACGAGAAGCCTGTCAAGAGTCTCGCTCGCAATGTCGCGAGCGATAATCTCGAGAACCTCCGCAGGCAGCAAGGCGAAGAGGGACGGTCGAGGGGGAGTGAGCGGCTCTGCAGAGGGCCGGCCCCGTCAGTCGCTCGCCTTTCGACAGCAGCATCTTTACTAAAGCCCCTGACGCACCAGATGAGCCATCCCGGCGAGCAGAAGAAGTCGCCTCGTCCTCATCGCTCGAGCGGGTCAAGGCGGTCGAGTCGGGGTCAACAACGTCGCGCGCGGGTTGGAGGTCCTGCTGAGGGGTAGTCATGGCGTCTCGAGAGTGTCTGAAGTGACTAGCAAGGTGCACGAGCGGGTGAAGCGAGAGCAAGTGAGCTGGAAGAGGGAAAGGAGAGCGGGTTGACCTCGTCCGGTTCACTGCGCGCTTCACCTCGCTCGAGGACCCAGCAGAGCAGCGCACAGGCTTCGACGGCATCTCTCGCAAGCCGCCAAAGCCGCGCACTGCCCGCCAAACCCCGCTGAACCGCCTACACCCTCTCATCACCTCGACCCGCTTCACCAGCTCTAGACCGGCTTGCGGGTGCTCGGCAAGGACCGCAAGCCGCACACTCTCCGCTCCACATCCGACCGAAGCCTTGCGGTCCCCGCCTTTCTGTCGCATGGACTCGGACGCCGCCGAACTGCTTGGTGGGGACCTTCGCTCCCTCCTCGCGCCCGAAGAGGTCGTCGACCGCCTCGTGAGCACTGTCAGGGATGCGGATGTTGCCCAGGCGTTGTTCTGGCTGAGGCAGCTGGAGAAGAGCGGGAAGGGCGACTTGATCAACCAGGGTCGTGCGTTCTCTCTGCTTCTTCTCGGCTCACAAGCGCTTGCTGATCTCGGTCGCGCTCGCTACAATCAGACACTGAGACGGGCATGTCGGCCATCGTCACTGCCGGCTCGAAGGAGCAATCTCGCGCTGCCGCCATTCTGGTCCGCGTCCTTGCAGCCAAAGGTGCCAAGCTGCCAGACGTCACGCAATCCTCGGAGTGGATCGAGCAGGTCGAGTCGTGGGCGATCGAAATGCTGGAAGGCGGGCTGGAGAAGGAGAACGAGGGAGGCAAGTCTCGATTTCGCCTTCGCAGTTTGTAGCCTTGGGCTGACCATGCCACTCGCCCACAGCCGAACGCGACGCCCGCATGCTCCTCGAGATGAGCTACGACGACGCCGAGCAATGGTGCAGGGAGAACCTCCCGCCGCCCGAGCGCCGGGACGACGAAGGAGCTGACCAGCTCGACGACGGCTACATCTCGGATGAAGCTTTGCGTGCCATGTCTGCTCCTCCCGCCGACCAGAAGCCAGACGGGCAGCCGAGCGCTCGCTCGTCCACTGTCGACATCGTCCAAGGTCAGCGCGCCAGCAGCCCGCCCGAGCTTCGCCCGCCTGTCCGCGCGGCCGGCAGGCCAGTCAAAGCCGAGCCTGCCGAGCCTGTCGAGCCTGCCGAGCCTGCCGACATTATCGACCTCACCGCCTCGCGCTCGCCGTCTCCCGATCCCAAAGAGGAGGAAGTCGAAGCCTCGCTTGCGGACGGCGCTCCCACCTCCCCTGGCACCTCGCCGCACCAGAAGAAGCGCTCCCGCTCCCGCTCTCCCGACGCTAACGCCCGCCGCACCCGCGAGCGCGAGCCACAGCCCGAAGCTCGCGCCCACCTGCGCGTCGACAACCTGCCCGCCGACTTTACCGACAACGACCTCGTCCGCCTCTTCGAGGGCGTTCCCGGCGTCATCGATGCCGAGACGCACCGCAACGCCGAGACGGGTGTCCTCTGGGGCTTTGTCAGCCTCGTCTCGATTGCGACGGCGCAGCACGCCCATGCGATGAAGGACGGCACCTATGCCCGCCCGAACGAGACTCGTGCGCTCCAGCTCAAGATCTACTCGGCAGACGGCCAACCGATGGACCCGCACCGCCCTGTCGAGCCCGTCACGAACAACGTCAACGGATGGTCGCAGAACTACCAGAATCGTCACCCGCAGGATCAACAGCAGTTCCCCCAAGGCGGCGGTGGTTTCAACGGGCCGCCGCAGGGTGGCTTCTACCGAGCTCCGCGCCCGAGGGTGCCGATCATCTTCACGGCTGCCGAGCTCGCGGCCAGGGTGTACTGCGGAAGTTTGCGGTACGGCGTCACGTACGAAGAGGTGGGCAGCTTGTTCTCCGGAAGGGCGGGCGTCCAGGCGCATGTGCTCAAGGTCATGCACTCGCAAGACAAGAGTCACTCCTTCGCGTGCGTGTCGTTTCTCTCTGATCGCATCGCGCTGCTCAAATCAACTCGGCCACTTCGACAGCTTCGTCAAGTTGCCCGACGCCATCACCGCCCAGCACGCCATCCGCAACCTGCACGGCACCATGCACGGTGAGCTCGACTGCTCGTGCTTATAAGAGCGTGGCCTGCAATGCGCTTTCGCTTGCCCTGCAGCTGACCTTTCCGACTCGACCGCTTCTGGCAGACGGCCACCTCCTCCAGATTGAGCCCGTCAACGAGCTCGGCCACAGGTGGCGCTTCTCTCTCACGCTGCACGGCTTGCCTCTGAGGTGGCAGTACCGCAATGGTGAGTCAGCATCTCGTCGCGTGTCTTCTCCCGCTGAACTCGCGACCCGCCTGGCAGTCTCCGACTTCCTCATCCAGCACATCGGCTCCTTCGCCGGCCTACGCGTCAACCCTCCATCGATGTACACAATGTCGTCGCGCGCCGAGCTCCGCGTCCAGGTCGAGCTGCGGTACGAGACCGAGCTCCGCTGGGCTTTCGGCGAGCTCAACGGACGCGTCGTCGACGGTCGCCAGATCACCTGCGAGGTGGACCAGCCGTGGGTGCGCAAGAAGATGGAGACGGAGATCGCCTTCCAGAACCTCCAGCAGAGCATGCTGGCCGGGAGCTCTGCCTCTGTCAACGGCGAGTACGACCCGCACAACCCGGGCAGCAGCCGCTCGGGCGCGGCCCAGCGGTCGCAAACGTACGATCAGGCGTTCCCGGCGCTCGATGGCGGCGCGACTCCCGGCGGCGGAAGGCGACCTCCGCCTCCTCCGCCTCCGCCTCAGCAAGTGCCGGTGGAAGCCGACGACGACGTCAACCCGTTCGCCTTCACTCGTCTGAGTGCGGCGTGAGCGGGTCGACTCGCTTGTTCGGGAGAGGAGTGGGTTTGTCGCTTGTTCAGTACTTTCTTTCCGCTTCTTCGTCTCGCACCCTCTCGTTCCTCGCTCGCTCTCTCGCATGTTTTGCCGCATCATAGTCATCGCTTCGTCGTGCCGTTCACACTGTACCCTCACCGCCTGCAGTCTGCGCATGTCGTCCTCGTTTTGCTCACCCTCTCCCCCTCGCATGTATACCCTCGCTTCGCCTTTCTCGCCAGTCCCGCCCGGACTCGCAGACGCATCTGCCCTCGCTCGCAATGACACTTGCCCCTCCCCAGACCTGTCCGCGAGCAGAGCTGCCTCCACAGCCAGTCATCGCAGTCGCCCGCGCAACTTGCGAAGGTCGATCTTGAGTTCTCCCCCGACTCCCTCGCTACCCACGCCTACGCTTGCTGGTGAAGCTGCTTAGCACCAAGGCGGTGTTGCTCGCTCACACGACAGCACAGCCTTCAGCACTCCGCGGACCGCCCGCGAGCTCGACGCAGCCCTCACCTTTTCCTCTCCTCCTCGCTCTTGCCTCACGCCTCACGCTTCACCACCTCCTCGCTGGGCGCGCGAACGCTTGCAGCTGCTCGTTCTCACGGTCTTCTTGCGTTGCACCTGATCGCTCTCCGGCTACAGCGGCAGGACAGCCTTGCTCGTACTCGTCCCATGGTCATCAACTTTTCGCCTCGCTCCTCACGACCGCCTTCTTTCGCCCTTGCAGCGCTCGCAGCCCGTCTATGCCGCCCTCTAGAGCGCCGTCAGACCCACCAGTCAGCCAGCAGTCACCCAAACGGCGCCCTTCACCCGCATCCCCCAGATCGAGCGAAATGCGTCGTTCGCCACAGCGCGACTCGCCCGTCGATACCCCAGCACGACGCACGGCTTAAGTTACAGGTCAATTGCTGAGCAGGCTGCGGGACGACGGGCGGGACCCCTGTTCCGACGACTTGCCCTCGACCGCGCGCCCCCAACCCTCTCCGACCGCTCCCAGCCTCTTCCAACCGCCTCGCATCGATGCCGCGCGCCACCAAGCATCGTCTGTGTGGCGCAGAGGCTTGCGCGAGTGTGCGAAGACTTCGCTGTTCCGTCCGCGGCCCGCCGTCTTCGCCCCTCTGAGCGGTCGAGACTCGATCCGGCTGTCCGCCCACGCCACCTCGCTTCCGGCTAACTTACGATCAGCTCGTCCGCCGCGCCTGGCGGCAATTGTCATTCCAATTGACCGCCCAAGTATAGCGCCCGATGCGCTTCCGAGAACGCTTGCTCGCCGCTCCAGCTCGGACTTCGACGAGAGAGGAGGAGGAGGACTTGCTGCACGACCCACGTCCGGCCTCTCTTACAGCCGAGCTATGAGGTGCTCCGACGAGGAGAAGGGCGGAGAATCTACGGGGCTGTCGACATCGATGCGATGGTGCGCCCACCAACGCCCACGAAGGGGCAGCAGGAATGGCGGAGAGCCCGCCTCCCTCCCCAGCTCAACCCCGGCTCCTGCTCGCCAACCTTCTCGATCGAACGAAGGCCCTGTCGAGCAAACACCGGTTCTCGGACTGATCTGAGGGCGTTTGCGGTCCGAGCCCTCGATTTCGGCGCTTGGGATTGGCTGGTCCACACGAGGTTACTGATCTGAGCGATGGTACCTGGAAGGGAGTGGAGGCGGGCGCGAAGCCAGGCCCGCCGCAGGCCCCAGCTGGGCCGCCGCGCGCTCGCGGAAAAGGCTCCCAGCTCACGTCTCTTCCTTCTCTCCCTCCCTCACCGTCTCCTCGCCTGCGCTTCGAACCCTACAAGGCGCACGCGACACACTCTAGCCTCTCGACACCGACCCACGCCTTTCCCCCTCGTCTCTCGACACCGTTCTCCCCTTCCCCTTTCCCCTTCACCAAACAAACCCGCCCCTCATGGCCTCTCAGCTCAAGGGCACGGCCGATGTCAACGCCGTCGAGGCGCCCGTCACCCTCAAGGCGTACTTGCTGTGAGTTTTAGTCCCGCGACGTCGCCAGGCGCGACGAGGGCCTTGCGAAGGTCGCTCCTCTGCGAGGTCGCGTGAGCTGACCCGTGATTCTCGCTCGCTCCCCTCGACAACAGCTGCGCCTTCGCCTCGTTGTGAGTCTCGCGCTTTCCTCCCTGTCCTCGCGAAAACGAAGGGAGCCGTTGCTGACCCATGCTTCCCACCTTCTCCTCCTCAGCGGCGGTATCTTCTTCGGTTACGACTCCGGTTACATCAACGGTGTCACCGGCTCGCCCGTCTTCATCAAGGCGATCATGGGCGAGGGCCACACCGCCCTCTCGTCGTCGCGCAACTCGCTCATCGTCTCGATCCTCTCGGCTGGTACATTCTTCGGCGCGTTGATTGCTGGTGACATTGCCGACCGCATTGGTCGTCGCCCTACCATCATCGCCGGATGCTTCGTCTACATGGCCGGTGTCATCATTCAGGTGAGCTTCCCCCGCGCTTTTCTCGGAAGCGCCTCGATGTTGACTTCCTGCTTTCTCGCAGATGTTCGCTGCTTCCGCCCTCGCTACCATCGTCGTTGGTCGTCTCATCGCTGGTTTCGGTGTCGGATTCGTCTCGGCCATCATCATTCTTTACATGTCGGAGATTTGCCCTCGCAAGGTTCGCGGCGCCCTCGTCTCGGGCTACCAGTTCTGTGCGTGTTCTTCCACCGCTCTGGCCCCTGTTTTCCAGCTAACTCGAGCATCGACAACGCAGGCATCACGATCGGCCTCATGCTTGCGGCCATCGTCACGAACTACACCTCGAACAGGTCCGACTCCGGCTCGTACCGCATCCCCATCGGCCTCCAGTTCGCTTGGGGCATTATTCTCGCCACCGGCTTGTTCTTCCTTCCGGACTCACCCCGTTTCTACGTCAAGCGCGGCGAACTCGACCGTGCCCGCGACGTCCTCGTCCGCCTCCGTGGCCAGCCCCCTACGTCGCAGTACATCGAGCTGGAGCTCGCTGAGATTGTCGCCAATGCCGAGGTCGAGGCCAAGGCCATCCCGACCGGATCGATGTCCGCGTCGTGGGCGGCTTGCTTCTCCGGCTCCCTCTTCCAGGCCAAGTCGAACCTGCGCCGCACGATTCTCGGGACCTCGCTCCAGATGATGCAGCAGTGGTTAGTTTTTAGTCCTACGCGCACGCTGGGGAACCCGGAGGCGTCGTTCTGCGACCTCCGAGCCCTCCGAGCCGTCCCTCGAGCTTCTGGGACCCGCTTGGCTCACCTCTTCGCTTATTCCTACAGGACCGGCGTTAACTTCATCTTCTACTACTCGTGCGTCTCGCAACTTCCTCTCTACATCCTTCCGCGATCTCCTCACGGGCGTCCTCATTGATTCGCACTTCCGCCCCTTCCAGGACACCTTTCCTCCAGTCCACCGGCGCCATCAAGAATGCTTTCCTCACCAGCATGATCTTCACGTACGCTCTTTTCATTACGCTGCGCGAAAGAACCGAGCTGACCCTTTCCGTCCTCCCTCGCTCCTCCACCTTCCCTTCGCCTCCCTCGACTCTGACCCCTCCTCCTCCGCCCCTCGTTGCCCTCTTGATTCGTACTACAGCATCGTCAACGTTGGCTCGACTCCCATCTCGTTCTACACCGTCGAGCGCTTTGGACGTCGTCCCTTGCTCATCATCGGCGCCTTCGGCATGCTCGTCTGCCAGTTCCTCGTCGCCATCATCGGTGTTACCGCCGGCTTCAACAAGACGCACGTTGACGCTGCCACTGGCAAGACCATCGCCGACAACATCGGTGCCGTCAACGCCCAGGTTCGTTGCCTTCAGCTGTGTTCCGCTCGTTCTCGCGCTCACATCTCGCTCGTCTATAGGTCGCCTTCATCGCCATCTTCATCTTCTTCTTCGCCTCGACCTGGGGACCGGGCGCGTGGGTCCTCATCGGCGAGATCTTCCCTCTCCCCATCCGTTCGCGCGGTGTCGCCCTCTCGACCGCCTCGAACTGGCTCTGGAACACCATCATCGCCGTCATCACCCCCTACATGGTCGGTGAGGACAAGGGCAACCTCCGCTCGTCGGTCTTCTTCATCTGGGGCGGTGCGTTTCAGGCCTTCCTCTGTTCTCAACCTTCGAGCAGCGCGCTGACTCGTTTCCGGCTCTTACAGGTCTCTGCACTTGCGCCTTCGTCTACTCGTACTTCCTCGTCCCCGAGACCAAGGGTCTCACGCTCGAGCAGGTCGACCAGATGTTCGAGGCCGGTGTCACCCCCCGCAAGTCGGCGTCCTGGCGCCCGGACCACACCTACGCGACCGAGATGGGCAAGGACAACGCCGAGATCCGCCACATCGACTCGCAGGAGGAGCACGAGACCAAGAAGATGGAGGTCTAAACGCTCCCTTCCCCTTCGCCTTTTCTTCTACACCGCCTGTTGGGTCTGTACGGGTCTTGCCTCGTTCCCACGGTCTTCAGTACGATACATTCTATACTAGGGTCCCTTGTCTGTGTGTTCAGGGCCGCGTAATACAGGTTGATACACTTCTCGACGTCCCCTTGCGAAGGTCGCTGCGATAGAGATGCTTGCTTGCTCTCGCTCTTCACTGCTCCCGCGCTCTTCTCTGGTCATTGACGGCTCACCAGCGTCTGTGCCGAGCAGGCGGTACGCTCGACTCGACGTCGGATGTGACTCCTACTGCGCCAGCTCGACCCGGCTTTGCGAACTTGCTCGTTCGCGCTCTCGGTCGCTCGACGCCGTTTGTATTCAGCTTCATTAGCCCAGCCGCATTACCTCGACGAATAGGACTTTTGCGTCCCGAATCCCCGCCGCCGGCAAGCCTGGCGCTCCGTCCCGAACGGGCGACGCGCGGGGCACCCTTCGACCTCGTCCATCAACCGCTCACAGCGCTGCGCCAGCTCGAACAGATGTCGCTCCGTCTCCCCCTCCGCCAGCTTGCCGCCAAGCGCGTGTCGCTCAAGGCGCTCGCCGCCCGCTTCGCCTCGTCGGAGGCGACCGCTCCTGCCGAACTCGCGAGTGAGTTCAGCAGTTCCCCTGCCTCGCGGGCGGGTTGGAGGGCGACAGAAAGTACACATGGGTCGTACTGTACAGTGTGCTGACGCGCGCTTGCTTGCCGCGCCGCAGTGACATCTTCTTTCGCACCCTACCAATGGGAGGACCCTCTCAAGGTGGAGAGCACGATGCTGAGCGAGGAGGAGGTTTCCATCATGTGCGTACAGCGTTCTTTGAACCTTGTGCGGCTGCCACCGGAGCGCAGGCGCCCTTGGCTGGCGCTTCGCAACCCGCCACGCCTTGTCCTCTTTCTCCTCCCTCGAGAATCGGATTCTGACAACAGCTTCTTATGGCTTCTACAGGGAGATGGCGCGCAGCTACTGCCAGGAGAAGCTTGCTCCCCGAGTGACGGAGGCCTACCGCAACGAGAGTGCGTCCATTCACTCCTTTCCGCCGTGAGTCTGGCTGAACTCGTTCGTCCCGCAGACTTCGACCGGTCTATTCTCTCCGAGATGGGTGAACTCGGTCTCCTCGGTCCTACCATCGACGGCTACGGCTGTGCCGGCGTCTCTTCGGTCGCGTACGGCTTGGTCGCCCGCGAAGTCGAGCGTATCGACTCCGGCTACCGGTCTGCGATGAGTGTCCAGAGCTCGCTCGTCATGCACCCTATCAGTGTGTATAGCCTTCATCCGGTCGGAGGAAAAGTTGCTGACTGGTCGCCGCGAAACAGACGCCTTCGGCTCGAAGCAGCTCAAGGAAAAGTACCTCCCTCGACTCGCAACGGGAGAACTCGTCGGCTGCTTCGGCTTGACCGAGCCTGATCACGGTTCCGGTGCCTCCGACCCGCGCTTGACCGGCATCAACTCTCGCGCTCACACTGTTCCCCATGCAGACCCGGCTGGCATGACTACCGAAGCGCGCGAAGCTCCCGGCGGTGGCGGATTCCTCATCTCTGGCGCAAAGACCTGGATCTCGAACGCACCTATCGCCGATGTATTCGTTGTCTGGGCAAAGTGCCAGTGGGACGGCAAGATCCGCGGTTTCGTGCTGGACAAGGTAAGTTGGCGGGCTCGCCGGCGGTTCTTTCGCCGCAAGGTCTTGGCGTATGACGAGAGTGGCTTGCTGACGATTGCTGACTCGCGAACAGGGCATGAAGGGTCTTTCGGCGCCCGCCATCAAGAACAAAACGGCTTTGCGCGCTTCCATCAGCCCGTCTGCTCTCTCCCGCTCTCGACTCTTCTCGCTGACATGACTGGCCCGCAGCCGGCTCGATCTTCATGGATGAGGTCTCCGTACCGGCTGAGCAGATGCTCGACGTCCAGGGTCTCAAGGGCCCCTTCTCCTGCCTCAAGTGGGGCTATCCTCGCGCTCTCCGCCCTCGTCACTGTCCGCTCACGCGCTCCCTCCGCAGCAACGCCCGCTTCGGTATCAGCTTCGGTGCGGTCGGTGCGCTGGAAGAGGCCATCCGCGTTACGAGGGAGTACGCTCTCGAGAGGTACGTCGACAGTCCTTCCCGACTCAGATGTACACTACTCAGTCGCTGACACGGATTCTTCGCTATCGCAGGAAGCAGTTCAAGAAGCCTCTCGCCGGCTTCCAGCTCGTCCAGCAAAAGTTGGCGAACGCGCACATGGAGGCTGCGAGTAAGTCTCGCTTCAGATGCTCTGAGCTTCAGCGCGCTAAACTGAACCGTTCTTGCATAGTCGGTCTTGTCTCGTGCGTCCAGCTCGGCCGGTTGAAGGACAGCGGCAACTGGTCTCGTACGCTCTTCTCCTCTTAACTTCCCTTTCGCCCCGACACATTACGACATTGAGCTGACTCCATCTTCACGTCGCAGCCGAGATGGTCTCGATCATGAAGCGCAACAACTGCCAGAAGGCGCTCGATCACTCCCGCATCCTCATGGAGGTCTTCGGCGGCAACGCGGCGTCGGATGAATACCCTATTGCGCGCATCGCGTACAATTTGCACACGGTCTCGACCTACGAGGGTGCGTTGACGACGCTCTCGCTGTCGGTCGAAGCCCATCGCTGATTCCTCTCGCTCACTCGCTCTTCTCTCGCTTTCCTCCTCCTCCCGCTCGTCCCTTCCACCTTCTCGCCACAGGAACTCGCGACATCCACGGACTCATTCTGGGCAAGGCTATCACCGGCATCGCAGCGTTCGAGTAGACTCGACGATGCAATCAAGAGCTGGCTTTTTTCGTCAAACCTGCGCTTTCACTTCTTCCAGCTGTGCGCCTCCGCGTTGATCCGCTGCGTCACCACGAGCGGCTTGAGTCCGAGGACACTGACTAGTCGTTACAAGAAAACCGAAAATCTCAAGACGTCCTCCGCCAACCGAAACCATCAGCCTTCATCGCTCAGTGCCATTCACCGAACTGGAATTGCGTCTGCAGGCGGTCATCCTTGTCAGCACCGACGACGATCGCGCAAGATGGGCGAGCACCCACGTTACACATCTGCTCGAGCTCCCACACCTCCGCCGGCGAAGTGTTCTTCGTGCCCTCGTCGTCCTGGTCTCCTGCTGCTCCGGCGGCGAACAAGACGGGTGCGTAGTGATCGTCGGTGCCGTGTGCATCGCGGAAGAGAGGGTGGCGCATCAGGCGCATGGCTGCTCGACGGAGCGCAGGTCCCTACAGAGCAGGAGGCAAGGTCAGGTCTCGGTTCAGTTCTCGCGAACGGGTTCTTGGACGCACCGAATTCTTCGTGAACGCATCGAGCGTCTCGTTGCGGAAATCGAGCGCCCACTGCTCGGGCGGCTTGGTCTGAGCGAAGTTGTCGCGGTAAAGAATAATGTTGCGCCAAGCGTTGCGGTACAGGTTGTGGACGGTTCCGCCGGTGCCCACGATGAGGATGTCTTCGTAGCGAAGAGGGCGGATGGCAGCGCCGATGGCGACATGGAAGTACGGGTCGCTGAGCAGGAGGAGTCAGTTCGAAGTCCGAATCGGTCGACTAAGGAGGACTGACTAGTAGGCGTTTGTCGAGATGACGGTCACAGGCGGCGAGCTCTTCGGGAACATCCAGTTTAGGACGAGGAAGACGTCGTGAATCCATTCGACCGAGGGGTTCAGCTTGGCCTCAATTCCTGCGTCTCCCAAGGCAACCTGGACTCGCTTCGCAAGCTCGGGCGACGAGTTGATCTACATCGGAAAGGGTTTCAGGGCTTTGTGGCTCGGCGGGAAGAGACGGAGAAGAAGGAGACCAGACGTACCTCGTAGTCGACGTACTTATCCGGCGTCACCCATGCTACGGGCTGCTTGATCACGCTCTTCGCCCCAGGATTGCTGGCAACCTCGACTCCCGTACCGCTGACCTCCCAGTGCGCGCCAAGGAAGACAACGCCCTTGACGCCGCGCTTCGTCGCTTCCTCTCCGACCGACTGCCAGTACCGCCCCGCCGTGCTGTCCTCGCCCAGCATCATCGTTGAACCATGCGAGCACAGAATGACCTGCGGAGCGAGGCCTGGTAAGTTGCGGTTGTGGTGAAGCCCGGAGTCGAGCCGGCGCCTCGCTCTGCGAGGGCACACCCTCGGGCTGTCTGGAGCTGTGAGCAGGGAATCACAGGTGTAGGGTGCTTTGCCATTGTAGTCTGAAGCGGTAAGTCTGGCCTGCGAAGCGTTGTAGCGAGCGCAAGCAGCGGTCCTCCGCAAGCTGCGAGGCCGCCTTCTCCCACCGGACGTCGCCCTCTCCCCCGCTCAGAGCTGAGTAAGCGTGCTAGCAAGGCGAGAACAGCCGCTGCGAGCTTAGCAGCACGCTGTCCAGTCTTCGAGGCCGCCCGCTTGAGCCGCTGGGGGCCAAAGCGTTGACCTTCCCAAGTGACGAGAGGACGGAGAAGACGATGGCAACTGATAATCATGCACTGCGAACGACATCCCAGACTCTACAGAATTCAGACGATAGGAAGCTGCAGCCAGTTCTGGTGACCCTGTCCGAAGTGGATCACGTTCGTGCCGCCAAAGTCCTCCTCGCTGCGATCCGTCGGCTCATGGTGAAGGAAGATAGCCGCGCCCTGCGTGTCGCCCGTCGCGACCTCGAAGACGATGCTCGAGCCTGGAGAGACGACGACTGCGGTTGGCCAGATCTCGACGAGGCAGTCGTAGGGTGTGTTGGGCTCGAGGTAAGAGACGTCGGTGGAAAGGTAGTTGCGGTGAGGGAGGTAGGCACGGTGGCGAGGCGAGGTCTCGTCGATCTTGCGGAGCGAGGCGCGGAGCCAGCCCTTGACCAGCGGGACAGGGTCGCCGGCCGTTCCTGCGAGGGAAAAGCAAGTCAGTCTTGCGAACGGCGAGAGATTCGAGCAAGAGTGAGGCACACCGGTGTAGAAGATCTCCTTGCCGTCCGCATCAAAGTGGCGCAGCGTAACGAACAAGTCGACATCCCTCGGTGCAGTCCCGTCCTCCCTCTTCTCGGCGCCGACGACAAGGTTCGCAAGCGGGTGTCCAGCAATCTCCGTCTCCTCGTCAAACGGAACCTTGAACTGAATCGGGTCGCTTTTGCCTAGCCCAGCAAGCTTGAGCTGCGCCGACTCAGTCGCAGGTGAGTCGAGGCGCATCGAGAGGTCGGGGTGAAGGTGGAATCTCTCGTAGCGGGTGCGCTCGATCGGCCAGGACGTCTCGGGGCGGTTCGCGAAAGTTGCTTCGGCCGCGGTCGAGTTGAAGCCCGGGTTGCCCTTGCGGACGAGGACGTTGACGGCAGGAACGCCGTTGTTCGGTCCCTTGGTCCAGCCACGGCTGTCCTTGCCCTTGAGCCATGCATCGAGGACTGCGCGCGAAATTCCGTTAGCGTCGCCGCTGTGGAGAGAACGGGCGGGCGGAGTAGTGGGCGCACAGGACTTCTGCAGTTCGACGTAGTGCGGGAGGTAGAACGGCAAGTCATGCCTTCCGCTGATGAACCAAAGCCACTTGTTCTTTGTGCCCGCCTCGAGGTACCCCATCACATTTCCGCGCAAGTGAAGCGTGTTGCCGCCGAGGTTGGCGACCGAGAGAACCGGGACCTCGATGTCGCCGAGATTGTAGACGCGGCTCGCGTGGTAGGGCTCGTCGAGGTAGCGGTTCTTGGCGTTGTCGATTGTTTGGTCGGAGCGGAGCGTGGCGAGCTTCTCGGGAGGGATGACGCCTTCGAGGCATTCGGGACCTGAAAGAGAGACGGAGGTCAGCTTCGGTTCTTCGAAGAGGACGACCCAATCTACTCACCGATAGGCTGGCCGACGAGCGAGTTGGGACCTGCAGACGCGAGTGGTGAGCACCAGGAAGCGAAAGATGGGCGTCTTGCGAGACTCACCCCAGCGACGAACCGACTTCTCGCCATTCCCGTACTGCATCGTCACGACCTGGTTGTTCCACCACTGTAGCGATCACAACTCGTCAGCGCATGCATAGGGAGAGAACAAGGGAGACAGGACGCACAAACTTGACGAACTGGTTCGAGAGGATCCCTCCTTGACGGACGCGGTCGCGGTAGTAGTCGGTCATACCTGGCCAGATCGAGTTCGTCAGCACCTCCTGAAGTCTGGGAGTAAGTAATGGATGCTAGCTTACCCTCCCAAGGAATGATGCAGGTCAAACCCTTCGGTTTGCGAGCTGCGACGCGCCATTGCGTGCCGCCGTAATACGAGATCCCCAGCAGACCAATCTTGCCCGTCGACCACGGCTGGACAGCTGCCCACTCGACGCACTCGGCGAAATCGCTCGAAGTAGACGCAGACATCGTGTCGAGGTAGCCGGGACTCGAGCCGTTTCCGCGCTCGTCGATACGGACGACAACATAGCCTTGGCTGACCCAGTACTGCGGGAGCTCGAGAACGTCAGTATGAAGCTGGCGAGTGCAGGAGAGGGACGCACGTCGGGGTGCGGCGTCTCCCAGGCGGACAAGTCGCTCTTCTGCTCGTCGGGGAGCTCCTTAAACGACTTGACGTGGAACTCGGAGTACGGGGCGTCCTTGCCGTACGGTCCCATCGTCATGATGACCGGATAGCGACGCTCCTCGAGCGGAAGGTAGACATTGGCGCGGCAGAGTCCTCCGTCCTTGAGGGGGATATCGACATTCTTGTCGAAGACGAGGTTCGCACGCCTCTCTGTCGTGCGGATGGCGTTCGAGCCGGGAATAGGGTGCGGGATAGTCATGTCTGGCTGTCGTAGCTGTTGCGAGAGAGTGGTGAGGATGAGCGTAGCGCGAGGAAAGGTCGACCGGCCCGCTCCCCTCCCACTCAGCTCCCCACCTCGCTCGCCAATGCCGCGCTACAAGCTGCGCTGAGCCTCGGACGGCTCCTTCCGTCTCCTGCTACCACCTCGACCTTGTCCCGCGGCCTCGCTTGCACCCCCTCACCCCCCTCGCATCCTCATCACCCACCCGGTCCACCTCCTCACGCACCCTCCGCGCACCGCTCAAACAGACTCGAACGCACCCGAAATGGCTGCCGCGAACCCCCTCCCTCAGATTCGCCGCGTCGTGACGACCCATGACGAGCAGGGGCAGGCAAAGGTCTGGATTGACGGAGAGGTGCCCAACATATCGCCTCGCGGCTTCACGGATGGTGTCTCGTTTGGGCTCGCGTGGACGACCGACACTTCCCCCGCGGATTGCCAGACGGTGCGCGAAGAAAGGGCGCGCTCGTTCGCTGTTTCGAAGCTGACCTTTCCCTCATTCGCAGGCGGTTGATGGCCGCACGCTCCCTATTGGCGAGCTCACAAACGACGGTGCGTTCTCCAGCGTCGCTCTTTCTGCACCGACACACCGACACGGTGTCCTACAGAGGGCTCGGTCGTCCGCTACGTCGACATGCCGCCCAAGCACCTCTCGCCAATGCACCGCACCATCTCGCTCGACTACGGCTTCGTCCTCTTTGGCCAGCTCGAACTCGTCCTCCCCGACGGATCGAGGACGCTCGTCAAGCCTGGAGATGTGGTTGTGCAGCGGGGAACGGACCATGCCTGGGAAAACCCGAGCGAGACGGAGTGGGCTCGTGAGTGCGGTCCACCTCGCTCTTGGATCACGATGACACTGACAAGCACGTGCGCGCAGGGATGGTCTACGTTCTCCTGCCTGCGAAGCCGGTCGTGATCGACGGCAAGGAGCTTCCCGCCAAGTCGATTCACTGAGGAGGAGTCGTTTTGCGGAGTAGCCCGTTCGCGTGCAGTAACAGTCTGCTCAAACCATCGTTGCAGTGCTCGCGACTATCTGAAGGAAGCGAGGAGAGCAGCAGCTGCGGCAAGCAGGACTCCTGTCGCCGTTGAGGGTCTGTGCGGACCTCGCGTGGCGCAGAGTCCGTTCGTCTCTCTTTGCCGGGTTTGCGAGGTCTAAAGGATTCAAGTGCGCCTGCTACAGCGGTACGTACATGCTTCACCAGGTATCCATCTTTCGACTCTTGCAACAGGGGGTCCCTGCCCACCCCGCCCTCTCGCCCGCTCAGCTCTCTCCCTTCCCTCTCGTCGTCGCAGTGGGGTTGGCGAGTGCCGCTGCTTCCGCCCGCCCTCGCCCAGCTTCGCTCGTGGCCCGACGCACAAGCTGACGAGTCCAGCGCTGCGAGAATGCTCGACCGGTGGATCTGCATGGGCGGCTTTGAATTGTTCTCCCGGATCCCTACCGGCGTTCTCGGCTCTGTGGACTCGAAGCCGTCAAAGGGGGCGCAGCGCCCACCTTCTCCCACACGGCACAGCGCCCCCTCCTCCTCCTCCAGCTCCAAGGGAGGGGCGACTGCTCCCCGCCTGGGGTCCCAGGTTGCTCTTGTCTCCGCTACACTCGCTCAAAGCTACTCTCTCGCCATGGACAAGCCATCCGTACAACACCTCGAGCGACACGTCCCCGAGGGCGTCCATGTGCACGACTCGTACGCCGTCGACGAGACCAACACTCCCGTGACGGTCATCGGGACGTTCGGACAAGATCCCGACGCGAAGCAGTCCATCTCGTGGAAGACCTGGGTAATCGTGTCCCTCTGCTGCCTCGCCCAGATGCAAAAGTCCATCCTTCTCCTCTCGCTCGCCTCCCTCGCGACTTTGGATATTGACTTGCTCCGCCTTACAGCACCTTCCTGGGTATCGCACCCGCTGCGAATGCCTACACCATCGCAGGCGTCCTCGGCGCCGACTCGTCGAAGCGGATCTGGATCGTCCAGGCTGTGGGAGATTCTTCCTCTTGCTCCTTCTTGCCAGTCGCTCACGCCTCGTCCTCCTACAGCAAGGCGTGCCTTCCATCGTGACTGGACCTATCATGGCGATTATCTCGGACGTCTACGGCCGTCGCTACGTGTGAGTCCCTCCGTGAACTCCGCTTTCGCGCTCCCGCTCACGCTTTCTCTCACAGCGTCCTCTTCGCCTGGCTCCTCTTTTGCGTCGGCGCCATCGTCGCCATGACCGCCAACAACGTTCGTCGCGCTCCCTTTCCCTCGCAAGCTCGCGGCTGACTCTCGTCGCTGCAGGTCAACGGTGTCATTGCCGGCCAAGCCTTGAACGGTGTCGCGGCTGGTATCTCAGGTATCATGTACGCCATTGCGTCCGAGGTCACGCCTAGCGTGTACCGCGCGTGGGTTCAGTCGGTCGTCAACTTGTGCGTTCACTTCTCCTCATCCTCCCTCTCGAGCTTTACTCACGCTGTCGACTGCACAGGGCCTCGTCGACCGCTGCTATCCTCGCTCTCATCGCCATGAGTGAGCCCGCTTGCCCCTGCATGAAGCGGCCTTTCAGTGACGCCTGCTTCCTCAGCCGCCGCTTCGCAGGCCGACGCCGTCAACGGCTGGCGCTGGGTCTTCCGCACGATGCTCCTCTTCGACGGCATCCTCCTCCTCGGATTCGGCTTCTTCTACCACGTGCGTGAACGTCCGGACTCCTTCGCAGCGGAAGCCTTGCTTACCTCCGCCCTTCGCAGCCTCCTCCCCGAACCGCAACCCGCCACACCCTTCTCCAGAAGCTCGCCTCGCTCGACTGGATCGGCTACTTCCTCCTCATTGCAGGCCTCGTCCCCCTCCTCATGGGCTTCGCCTGGTCCTCCGACTCGACTATCGGATGGCACGACCCGCACTCTTACGCTTGCGTCGCTGTTGGATTCGCGGGACTTATTGCTTGCTGCCTCTACGGTGCGTTCCGTCGACTATTCTGGATTATGGAGTAGAGCGCGTGCTGACGGCGCGAACGACGCAGAGTGGAAGGGCACCAAGACCGGATTCCTCGACCACCGCCTGTTCCAGCATGGCCGCAACTTCCCGCTCTCGCTCTTCCTCATTGCGGTGGAGGGCAGTCTCTTCTACCTCGTCAACAACATCTACGTGTGTCCCGCTCCTCCGCCTCACCTGCACCCAAACTGACTTCTCCTCCTCAGTCCTCGGAGGTCAACGGTCTCTGGGCGATGCCAGGCACCATGAACGCCTCAGCCCGCCTCCTCCCCTTTTTCCTCGTCATCTTCGCCGTCGCACCAGTCATGTCGTGGTACGTCACCAAGTACAAGGACCTCAAGTGGCCCCTCTGCGTCGGGTTCTTGTGCTTCGCGGTCGCGACGATTGGGTTTGCGATGTCTGGCACGAACGGAAACATGGCGACTGCTTTGTGAGTACCGTCGTTCTCTCACTCCAGGTTGACGGAGCTAATGTAGGCTCGCATCGCAGCAACGCCATCGGCGGTATCGGCTTCACCGCTCCCCTCACCCTCCTCATCACGCTCGTCCAGCTCTCGACTCCCCCTCTCTTCATCGGTATCGCTTCGGCGCTCACCATCTCGGTCCGCACGCTCGGCGGTGTCGTCGGCTACGCCATCGCAGAGGCTATCTACGGCTCGTTCACCAACACCCAGATCCCCGAGAACATCCGTACGTTCTTCCGCTCTTCTCCTCTCGCTGAGCATATCCTGATGAAGACCCGCGCAACCTCGCAGTCAAGGCCGTCATCCCGATGGGCTTCAACCCGCAATACCTCGGCCCTCTCATCGGCTTCCTCATGAGCGGCCAAGGCCTCGCCGCGATCCCCAACATCACCGGTCCCATGATCGGTGCTGCCTCCGCCGCCCTAAAGGAGACCCAAGCCCACGCGTACAAGATCGTCTGGTTCGCTTTTTTGCCGGGCTCCGTCCTCGCCGCTATCGGCTGCGCAATGTTCCATAACCCGAAGGAGAGGATGAACTGGGTTACGGACGCTCCGCTCGACACGAAGAAAATTGGAGCGCACCACGACCGCGAGGCGCACGCTGATTCGGAGTGGTCGGCGGAGCAGGAGAAGGTTGCGGTTTGAGCGGGGTTGTCCTGCAGTCTCGGGTTGTTATGGAAGTAAGGGTCATAATGTCGTGCTTGTTCTGTATTCTTATGTCGTCCGTCATCTCCAGCTGTCACAGCGAGCAGAAAGACCAAGCGGTAAAGGCGGAGGAAGCTGGTCGGGCGCCGAGTGAGGCGGACTGTGGCTCGCGAGCCGTTCGTAGATCTTGGCACAGCAGCGATCGCTATGGAGCGCGCGCTCGCCAGGTATAGAAGGCTTGACGGAGAGAAAGCAAGGGCCAGCAGAGCGAAGAGAGCAAAAGAGAGCGTAGAGGGCTGGCACAATCCGGTCTGCCAAGGCGAGAGGGCGCTCAGCGTACTGGAGTTGCCCGGTCAAAGGAGCACAGGTACACCAGCAAAGGAAAGCGCTGCAGGGATATGAGGCTAAGATCCGGGGTCGCGGGAGAGGGGACGAGGAGGATAAGTGCTGACTCTGGCGTTCACCTGCGACCCTGGGCAGCGACAACACGTCCCGCTCCTCGGCAAGTCGTCTCCCAGCCCTTCGCTGGCCGTGTACGGCGTATCCAACTTGTGGTCAGCAAATGTGAGGAGGAGAGGGTGGATGAGAGTGGGATCAGCGAGCAACAGTAGCGTCGAGTCTGACCGGTCTAGCACTCCGTTGCCGTGGCACAGCAAGCGCAATCGTCAGTTAGCAGCGAGCGGCTTGAGGATGAGCCGTCCTCGCTCGTTCTCCTCATCGCTTTCATCGCTCAGACACCTCGCTCGTCATGCAAGCCTCAGACCGGCGGAGATTCACCGCGCCCGATGGTGCATCAGCTCTCAAGTACCGGCAGGACTCTTCACCCGCCGCCCGAGTGCCATCCAGCTCGCGACGAGACGGCCGTCTTGCGGCTCAGGTTCGACCCATCTGTGCGTTCTCTCGGCGCTTAGAGCCGCTTGTTGCTATTCAGAAGGACTGATGAACCTCTCACACACAGTCCTGCAACCCGGCTTGGTCACGGAAGCAGCAGGGTCAGCCTACATCGAGGCAGGACGGACGAAGGTGCTGTGCGCAGTGTGCGTGCGCCCTTCCTGCTCGCTCAAACGACAGCTGACGTGCTCGAACGACAGCTATGGACCGAAACCTACGCCCCCAAGCGCGCCATTCAACCCCAAAGCCCGCTTGAACGTCGAGATCAAGTTCGCGCCTTTCGCATCCGGCGTGCGACGATTCGTTCCGGGCAAGGTGCGCTGCAATCTTCAGAACTCGCCACATCTCTGGCTTACACGGACGCGCGCAGGACACTGAAGCGACGGGCCTCGCAGCCGTCCTCCAACAATCGCTCCTCCCCTCTCTCCTGCTCGAAACCCTCCCGAAATCGCAGATCGACTTGTTCGTGACGGTGCTAGAGTCGGATGGGTGGGACAACGACCTGTCCATGTGCGTCGATGATTTGCTCTTCCTTTCGCCAGGCTGAGCTGACGAGTATTGTCGCAGAGGAGTCACGGCTGCGTCCGTCGCCCTAGCCGAAGCAGGCATCCCAATGCGCGGCCTCGTAACAGCCTGTTCAGCTGTTCGTCCCCATTCCCCTCCTTTGTCCTTCTTTCCTCGCCTTGCTGACGCCTCGAACGCAGGCCCTCCTCCCCGCTCCCAACTCCAAATCCGCCATCCTCGATCCGACGCGTGACGAAGCGCGCGACTCGTCTGCGTTCGTCTCGCTCGCTTGTATGCCGGCGCTTGGGACCGTCACGAATATTCGCCTGAGCGGGGCGGTCGAGCCTGATGCTCTGACAGACGTGCGTTCGTTCCTCTTCTCTCGCGTCGCGAGAGACGAGCTGATGATGGTTGGTGCGTGTGCAGACACTGGCGAAGGCACATGAGGTCTGTACGCTGTTGCATGGGGTGGCGAAGCAGGCGCTGCTGGATAGCGCGCGGAGAAGTCGTACCGACGAGTAGCTTGCAACTCATTCCCTCGTCTTGCTGCGAGATCGTGTGAGAGGATGCGATGCGAGGTTACGACTAGAAAGAAAAGGCTACAAGCCCCTCCCGCCTCGCCTCCTTCCTCAGAAAACTCCTCAGCCAAACCCTCTCCCGCCCGCAAAACGAGCGAGCGAGGGAAACCGCAAGACCAAATCCTCGTCATCCCCATCCCTTCTCCTTCTGCAGCACGAGCGGTTCCGCCGAGGCAGGACCAGAGCGTGTGAGGGGAGGAAGGGGAGGGGTCGGAAGTATCTGATTCTTTGTGTGGTGGGGAGTCATCATTGGAGTCTCGAGGGGCGGGCGAGGCGGGTTGAGAGAGGAGGGAGAAGAACGACGAGAGGGAACAGGCGGTGCAGGAGGGAGGTGAAGAGCGCGATTACTTGTCCGCCAACCTGTCCATCCATCTCGTCAGCTTGTCGCGAGCAAATGGGAGAGACGGGCAAACGCACCTCTTTGCAATCTGCTCCTTCTGCGCATGCAAAGCAGCAACCTTGTCATCCTTCGACGCGTTGTGCGCCATGTGCGCTTGGTTGAAGGGGTTTTGCGGGGACTGCACGACGACCACCGTCAGTGTCAGTGAGCGAGAAAAAGAGAATGGTGTAATGGAGGGGACGAGCCTTCTTGAAGGCTTCGAAGAGCTTGTCATCTGTTGAGAAGAGGCGGAGTCAGCGGGGACAGAGTGAGGAGGAGGGGAGGGGAAGGGAGACGGACGGTATTGGTTCAGCCGCAGGCCAGGGTGCTCCTTCTTGAGAATCGGCAGCTGCTCCTCCTGTGCACGAAGTGGGCGGTCAGAAGCTGTATGAGTGAGAAAGAAGTCGGTTTAGGGCGAACCTTGTACGCCTCAAACTGGCGACAAGCGATCCGCAAGTCAGTCAGCGCTCGTCCTGCGAGAGACCGGGAAAAGAACACGCACCGCCGCCTTGAAGCGCCTCTCGGGGTGCGTCTCGATCTTGGCAGCCTGCGAACCGACCGAAGCCTTGTCGCTCTTTGCGTTGACGAGGCTGAGCGCATCGAGCGCGTCGTCCTGCGCAACGGGGGGAGTCAACTCGCCTGCGCTCATCGGAAGAAGAGACCGCAACGCACGATACCGGAAGCACTGAACGAAGCGCTGTCTGACAGCCCCGAGTCGAACGACGGGATCGCAGGAGCCTTTGGAGGAGCAGCCTTCTTTGCGCCTGCCTTAGGCGCAGCTTTGGGCTTGGAAGGCAAAGAGGCTTCTTCTTCGGCGAGGAGGCGCTCGCGTTCGGCTTTCTTTGCTGTGAGTCCGGCAAGGAGGGTTTAGTCGCCCGTGTGAGAGTGCAGGGAAGAGGGGAGACGTACCTCGCGCAGCCTCTGCAGCAGCAGCCTTGTCCTCCTTGGAAGACTTGCCCTTCCTGTGCGCACGATACCTCCGTGAGCCTCTTTCAGCGGAACGAACTGCGTCGAAGGTGGAACTCACGCTCCCTTCTCCCACTTCTCCGCCTCCTTCGCCTCGTTGTCGGCAGCCTGCTTCGCGGCCTTTGCGTTCGCTGCCTCTTCCTTGCGGGCCTGCGAGCGGTGGATGTTGGGTCAGTCGAGTCGAAGAGGGTCGAAAGGGGGTGAGAGAGGGGGCCTCACACGTCCTGCAACGGCCTTGGCGTTCTGCTTGGGCTGCGAGAAGAGTGGCAGTGAAGTAGAACATGTCAGGCGAGAGCAGGAGGCGTTGTAGCGAGGTCGAGCGTCGTCGAGTGATGAGGATGGTTCGGAGGCGAGTGTGGTCGAGCAGGGTCAGCTCCGAGCGTGCGACTTGCGCGACTGGGTGCAGTGAATGAGTGCGCTTACAGCCATTGTGTCCTTGTGCGAGCCTATGCGAGTGCTGGCGAGGAGCGAGGGTGCTGTATCGATGAGGAAGACCAACGTCTCCTCTCGTCCTCACGCCCTTCACTCTCATTCTCCCACACACAGACTGAAGCAGCGATGGCATCGACACAGAGACGCACGTCGACCGCAGCAGAGGTGCGCAACTCCCGTCCTCGCTCGTCTCGTCCTTCGCCGGCCCCACTGCGTCATTCCCGCTCACCTCCATGCACTCCGACACAGGCCAGGACCTCGTTCCGCCGCTCGTCGAGGACCGCGAGGGGATCTGTCTCGGAGGTTGGGAGGCGCAGCGAGTCGGGACGCTTGCAGTTCACCCGCACGCAGGACGACACGAACCTCCCCTCGGCCGCAAAGAAGGACATGGCCAACTACCTCGGTCGCCTCGAGAAGCAGTTCACCCTCACCCCGCAGCGCATGCGCATGTCCGTCCGACTGTTCTCGCCGGGAGTCACCCGTGTGACCGATGGCTGACCGAACTTCACGTCTCGCGACAGGATCGTCGACTCGTTCGTCGAGGTCCTCGAGCGCGGCCTCGAGAAGCCCGAGCAGGAGGTGGTGAGTCCCGCATGCTCCTTCAACGACGCGACGCGCGAGGACGAGAACCTGACCCTTTGATACCTGCAGCCCATGCTCCCGACCTTCGTTTTCGGCTGGCCCACCGGCAAGGAGAAGGGCTCGTACCTTGCTGTCGACCTTGGCGGCACGAACCTCCGCGTGTGCCACGTCGAGCTCGAGGGAGACGGCAAGTTCGAGGTGACGCAGACCAAGTACCGACTGTTCGTCCCTTTCCCTTCCTGTCCTTTCGCTCGCTTGCTGACGAGTAGTCGTACGCAGGACGGAGGAGCAGAAGCAGGGAGATGCGCAGGACTTGTTCGACTTCTGCGCAGAGTGCCTTGGGAACTTTGTTACGGACCACTTCGGCGACGAGGATGGGAAAGTCGAGTTGGACGAGCCTATCCCGGTCGGATTTACCTTCAGCTACCCTTGCCTGTGCGTACGACCCCCTTTCACGACTTGTGGCGGAACTAATGGGATGAGGTGCGCAGGCAAGAGAAGATCGACCACGGCGTCTTGATCCGCTGGACGAAAGGCTTTGGTGCGCCCGGCGCAGAAGGCAAAGACTGCGCCGCCTTGTTCAGGCAAGGCCTCGAGAAATACGTGCGCCGCTCCCCTCTCCCCCCTTCTCCCACTTATTCCCCCTTCCTTCGCGAGCAGAAGGTCCCAGTCGACCTCGTCGCCCTGATCAACGACACGACCGGTACCCTCATCGCCTCTTCTTACGTCGACCAGGCTACCCGCGCCGGAATCATCTTCGGAACGGGCTGCAACGCGGCGTACATGGAGAAGATTGGGAACATTCCCAAGATCAAGGATTTGGGTTTGCCTGAGGATGCGCAGGTGCGTTCGCTTACCCGACGTGAGTGGCGGGAGCTCAGGCTGATGGAAGGACTGCGCGCAGATGGCCATCAACTGCGAATGGGGCGCCTTCGACTCGACGACTCACGAACACCTCCCTCGCACCTCATACGACATCCACATCGACGAGACCTCGAACAAGCCTGGCGAGCAGGCGTTCGAGAAGATGATCGCGGGGTTGTACCTCGGAGAGATCTTCCGGCTCGTCATGTGCGAGTTGATTGATGAGGGGATCCTTTTCTTGGGTCAGGAGACGTACAAGGTTGAGAAGCAGTGAGTCGCGCTACGTGACTTCGCGAGGGTGTGGAGAGCTGACAACTGGTCGCTCGCAGCTACGTCTTCGACACGGCTTTCCTCTCGCTCATCGAGTCGTGCGTTTCCTTCGCCTTCCTCCACCTCTGATGCACGGTCTGACGGCCCCTCACACGCCCGCAGAGACACCACCGACGAACTCCTCACCGTCACCGGCCTCTTCGCGCACTTCTTCTCCCTCGACACGACCATCGCTGAACGCCAATTCATGCGCCGCCTCGCCGTCCTAATCGGCACTCGCGCCGCGCGTCTCTCGGCATGCGGAATCGCAGCGATCGTCTCGAAGCAGGGATTGCTGGACGAGGCGTATGACCCGGCTAAGACTATCGGGATTGCGACGGATGGGTCGTTGTACAACGTGCGTCCACGCGCCCTTGACTGAAGGCGGGGAGAATGCTCACACGAGTGCTCGAATCTGCAGAAATACCCCAAGTTCCCGCAGAGGCTCGAGGAGGGCCTTGTCGACATCTTTGGCGAGAAGGGCCGGTGCGTTTCCTCCTCTTGCGCTTTCGAATCTGGCGTGCGAGCTAACGAGTACGTCGGGCAGGTCAATCAAGACGTACCATGCCGAGGACGGATCGGGTGTCGGTGCTGCTGTCATCGCCGGTTCGCTCGACTCCCTCTGATCCCCGCGACGGACGAACGCTAATCCCGCCGTTTCGCAGCGATGACCAAGGAACGCAAAGCAAAGGGCTTCGCCGCACACGTCTAGACCTTCTGTCCCCTCCTTCACTCCTCTCGTTCTCCCACCTCGCGCCCCCTTCCCGCCGTTGGACACCCTGTACAGAGCCAGACTCAGAGACCTCGCTTGCTTGGGACTTCGGAGCACTCGCAGAAATCAAAAGTAGATCATCCTTCCCTCTCGCAAACAAGGAAAGAAGAGAGGCCGTGTTGCGAAGGCAGTCTAATACACGGGTCCGTGTCCAGGGACCTTGCTCAGCTCTTCGCAGTGCGGAAGCTGCTCGCAAGAGCGTCAGCGCCCAATGTAGAGACAAGGAGGAGCGAGAGACGCACCTTCTGAGCGAGGATCTTCGCTATACGGTCATGGTCCGTTCCAAATCCGAGGAAGCCTCTTGCGCGTTCCAGTTGGTCGTTCCGGTCGTTCAGCTGCGAGCAGCCGTTGTAGTCGTGAGCGAGGTGCTGTGAACGAACGGAGAAGGAAGCGCACCTCGAGTCGGCAATACGTCTGCAGCCTGTTCACCCACGACCGCTCGACCGTCCGCTCAAAGCTGAGCATGTCGTGCGGAAGCTTGACAGGCTTGCTTTTCTTCTCCTTCTCCTTCGACGCACCGCCTCCCTCCGCAACAGGTTCCGCCGTCGCGCTCGACCGTCGCAAGTGGTCGACCAGATCCCGTCTGTACTGCGCTGAGCCAGGCTGATGTGACGAAGTGAAGCCGAGGGAGGGGTTGGCTGAGAGGAACGATTCGTAGAGCGGATGTTGGGCGAATTGGTCCGGCGAGACGTAGTACTTGACGCCGCTTGCGGTCGATCGAGGAACGGAGAAGTGGTTCGTCTTGTCGAAGCTGAAGTTGGGGGGAGCGGGTGTCGACGAGCCGAAGAACGAGGGGAGCTGGGAGAGGAGCGAGAAGGCGAAGAGGAAGAGGAGAGGGGCGATTTGGAGCCACATCGAAGTCGGGGTTTGTTGCTGGCCTTGACCGCCGGCTCTTCGAGGCATCCCACCGCCCATCGAGCCCATCCGTACGCCTCCGGGCCCGTAAAACTGGAAGCTCGTCCCGCCGAACGGTCCGCCGCCGAACGGTCCTCCTCCGAAAGGCGACCCGCCGAACCCTCCGCCTCCCTGTCCGAAGAACATCCGGAACAAGTCTTCGGGCGAGATCTCCTCGCCGCCGAACCCGCCGCCTTGGAAGCCTGCTGCTGACGGTCCTCGCGCGAATCCACCGCCTCCTCCGCCTCCGCCGCCGCCGCGAGAATCGGGGTCTCCGCCTGTCTGGTCGTAGATTGCTCGCTTGTTCGAGTCGCTTAGTACTTGAAAGGCCTTCGACACCACTGTAAAGCACGAGAAAGGTCAGCGCGGGAAGAAGGGAGATGTGAGCGGAAGGAACGCACTCTTGAAGGCTTCTTCGGCGCCGGGCGCGAGGTTCTTGTCTGGATGCAGGCCTGTAGACAGGAGTGTAAGTACGTCACAAAGTCCGTGTCATCGAGGGCAAACGGACCGAGAGCGAGCTGTTGCGGCAGGAGAAGATTAGCGAAACGGTCGCAGGAGGTACTGAAGAGAGCCCCGACGCACCTTTCGATACGCCTTCTTGATCTGACCGTCCGAGCAGCTCTTCTCCAGCTCTAGAATCTCGTAGTATGCCGTCACCCGACACGCCTTGACCCGCTTCACCATCGCCAACTGCGCCGAGGTGTACTCGCCTCCGCCGCCATCACCTGCTGCCGCGCCCGAAGTCTCCGCCTTGGCCTTTCCAGCCCGCTGCGATGTCGACCCGCTCGTCTGACCGGCCGAAGTTGCGGATGTCGACGCGGTGGATGACCCTGAGGCGGCAGTCCCGTTCCCCGACCCGCCGCCGCGCTGGAGCTGCTCCGCCTTGGCGAGGAGTGCGGCAGCCTCGGGACTCGCCTCGAGCGCGATGCTCTTCTTTGCGAACCTGATTGCCGAGTCGTACTGTCCCGCCTCGAGTTTCCCCCGTGCGATGGCGAGGGCTCGCTGCGCCTCGTCGCGGTTGGCGACCATGGACAGGCAGTAGCTGTGTAGTCACTGATCGTGCTAACCAAGCACTCCAAGCAACAGCGAGAGCTCAGCGTGAGAATGACCTGGTCCAAGGAGACCCGACCGGGTTGGCAGCGAACTGTTCACTGCCCGGGCGATGCTGGGGCATGTCGCTGACGTGCACCGTCCTGCTCTTCACTGCGATACAATGCTACAACGACTGGAACCGCCCCGCCCTTTCAGCGAGCGATGAGGCCTCTTCCTCGTCTCTCTCCTCCCCACGCGACACGTCGCCCGCACAATCCCCCTCGCTGAGACGAAGGACGAGCAGGCGCAGCGAGTGAGTACGAGCAGTAACGTCTTCGCTGAGACGGAGCTGACGGTCGCTTGACAGCTTCTCGCCTCGCTTGACAACGACCCGTCCGGCACTTCCTTTCCTTGCAACAGAGACGGCCTCGTCGAAGAAGGAGGACGGCGAAGGTGTAGAGGTGGAGGAAACGACGAAGCAGGCGGGAGGTAAATCGGACAGACCGCTCGACACGGGAAGAATACCCTCTCCTCCCTCGAATCGCTCTCCCGCCGCTCCGCCGCCGTTTGCGCCTACCGAGCCCGCCACACCCAGCTCAACTCGTCAGCCAAAGCGGCGCACCGCATCCGTCGCCTCTCGCTGCTCATCCGTCTCGTCGTCAGTCGCAAGCGTCGGCTTCCATCCCCTCCCGGCAGCTCTCGCGCCGGTCGTCCAGTCCGCCACAGACGACACGAGCCTTCCCCATGCGTCTTCGGCACCTCCCCCGTCTGTAGCGACGAGTCAGATCGGGCTCGGACGTCCACCCAGCGCTCCCTCCAGCCGGATCACCGCCTCCCCAGCCTCTCCCTCTCCTCGCTCAGCATCGACGACCTCAGCAGCCTCGACTCCAAGCAGGTCCTTCAGCCTACCCTTCCGCAGGCGAAAAGTCTCGACACCGGTGTCGGAGAAGGAGAACGATTTGCCTGCGATGGAACGGTTGAGGTCCTTTAGCGTTCAGAAGAAGTAGAGGGGGTTCGTAGATTGTGCATAAGTAGATGTTGTATCTGTTTGTACCACAACTGGGAGGAGTCTGCGATTTGAGACCGCTTGAAGAGCCCGACGAGGAGGTCAGTGGAAGGTTGGTCTCCACCACCTCCGCTCAGTTGCCGCTTGCTGCTGCTGAAGCATCGCTAGACCTTTCTCCGCGTCTCTGAACTCGTTCTGCGCCGCTTGCACCGTCCTCCCAGCTTCACATCGTGAGTTGCTCCGCTTCATCTCTCGGACGATCTGCTGGGTTCTATAGCAGGAAGGGACGCGCGTAGACCGTGGCGCATCCGCTCAAACGCTTGAGCAGTCGCACTAACACTCCTTACCGCCCAGCCAAACCCGCCAGCCCTTCCCGCTCACCTCATTTGCACCCTCTCGCTATCTCCTTCGCCTTCGATCCGCCCGCCTTCCTTCACCCGCCTACCTAACCCACCATGCCCCGCCCAATTTGCTTCTTCGACGTCTCGATCGGCCAAACCCCCGCCGGTCGAATCAAGATGGAATTGTTCGACGACATCTGTCCCAAGTGCGCCTTCACCTCCCCTCCTTCCTCCGATGCGGCTAACGGTAGAGGGATGAACAGGACAGCAGAAAACTTTCGACAGTTCTGCACGGGCGAGTTCAGGGAGAACAGCTTGCCTGTTGGGTACAAGAACAGCATCTTTCACCGGTTTGTTCCTCGCTCTCCCTCTTCTCGCCGCTCGCCCGCTCACCTCGAGGTGGTACGCAGCGTGATCCCTCACTTCATGATCCAAGGAGGAGACTTTATCAATGGCGACGGGACGGGGAGTCAGAGTATCTACGGCGCCAAGTTCGCAGACGAGAACTTTGAGGTGGCGCACGACCAGGCCGGGTTGCTGAGTATGGTGCATCCCCTCTCCTCCTTTCCTCCTTTCCTCCCTCTCACCCATGCACTCAACCGCGCGCACAGGCCAACTCGGGCCCACACACGAACGGCTGCCAATTCTTCATCACGACCGAGCCCGCCCCATTCCTCGACGGGAAGCACACGGTCTTTGGCAAGGTGTTGGGACAGGACAGTATGCTTGTCGTGAGGAAGATTGAGAACATCGCGACGGGGCCGAACAATAGGCCCAAGTTGCAGTGCACGATCACCGGTGCGCGAGCGTTTCTCTCTACGGAGCGCGGAAGGGAGCGTGGTGCTGACTGATGGGTCTTGTGGTGCGCAGAGTGTGGCGAGTTGTAGGGACTGGCAGACGACGCATCGTAGGCATGGGCATACCCGAAACTGTTGTTCGATCGTTGCTGCGTGCGAGCGAGAGCCCCTTGCAAGTGTCTCCTTCAACTGAGCAAGAGAGTTTTATCGTCGAGCGGATGGATAAGCAGCCCAGGGCAGGCTCGCATCGGCGGGAGAGGAGAACGTGAGGGCGCAAGCGAATTACAAGAGCAAGTCATTCATGAGCCGGAAAACATCCGGCCTGGATAGACAATGCCATCGTAGGTTGCTGAAGCTGCTAGCGGCGTGGTTTGGCGAGATCGCAGAAGGACAGCCGCTCGACAATCCGGTCAAAGTGATTGGGCGAAGCGGCGACGGAGGATTGGCGAAAGACGAGCGTTCCGAGGGCGTGCACCGCGAGCATCCAGCTCGTCGACGCCTGTACACGGTGCGCCACTGCTTCGATCTGCGCGTCAAGTCGTTCGGCGAGGTTGGAAGTGGTTGTCGAGGAGACGAGGATCGGAGGACGACGAGGCGGCGTCGTGCGCTCGTTCGAGTCGCAGCGGGCAAGCATTGTGCGTGCAGGCGAACTGGTAGCTTTAGGGAGCGAAGCAGTCTGCTGTAGCACCGAGAGGGGTCGGTGGGAGGGTTCATTCCGGACCGCTCCGCTTGCTGGCAACCATCTCTCTCGCTCATCACACTCGCTCACAGACTTGTAGAAGCCATGCTCACGCCAGCTGTCGCACGTGCTGCCCGCGCTGCCCCGAGGGTGCGTCCCCCGTCGTCGTCGCCGTTCTCCGCCTCCATCCCACCGACTCGCGAGACGCCCCCATCATCGCACTCGCCACACGACTCCAGGCGGCGCCAGCGACCTCGCCAATGCGTGTACTGACACTGTTTGTTCGACTCGCCCCGCAGCACGCCCGCACCCTCGCGACCGCCGTCGAGTCGAAGCCGGAGCACCTCAAGTCGTTCAAGGTCTACCGCTGGGTGAGCCACCTTTGCGGTTGACCGATCTGCAGACTTGAAGAGAATGCAGGAGTGGCAAAGGGACGAGAGCGAGCGGTGGATAGCTTTGTGGCATCTCGAGTTCGGCACTTGGTGGAACCCGCGGCAGGAGATTGGGTGGACTCGAAGCGCGTGAAGCAGGGCATGGGAGTTCAGGACGACGCGCAACCCCTTTACCGACGCAGGACACTCGCGCTGACATCTCCACTGTCCCTCCAACTCCGCGCAGAACCCGGACAAGCCGACGGAGAAGCCCTACTTGCAGGAGTACAAGATCGACTTGAACAAGTGCGGCCCGATGGTCCTCGACGCCATTCTCAAGATCAAGAACGAGCTCGACCCGACCCTTACGTTCCGTCGCTCGTGCCGTGAGGGAATCTGCGGATCGTGCGCCATGAACATTGACGGTGTGTTCGGCTTCACACTGATTCGTGCGAGGGGGTTTCGCGCTGACGGGGGATGGTTCGACAGGCGTCAACACGCTCGCGTGCTTGAAGCGCATCGACAAGGACTCGAAGGATGTCAAGATCTACCCCCTCCCGCACAGTGCGTCTCCCGTCCATCTCTCCCTCGCCTCAACCAGCCCGCTAACTTCGCCTCCCGCCTCGCAGTGTATGTCATCAAGGACCTCGTGCCCGACATGACCCAGTGCGTTTCGCTCTGCCCTCGGCGCCACGATCTTCAACTGACTCCGCCCGCTCCGCAGGTTCTACAAGCAGTACAAGGCGATCCAGCCTTACCTGCAGGCCGACAAGCCCGCAGACGGTCGCGAGCACCTGCAGTCGAAGGAGGACCGCAAGAAGCTCGACGGCATGTACGAGGTGCGTTCCCGCTCCCTCCCTTCTCCCCTTCATTTTCGACTAACACTTACTCGCTCCGCTCGCCTCGCCTCGCAGTGCATCCTCTGTGCATGCTGCTCGACCTCGTGCCCCTCCTACTGGTGGAACCAAGACCAGTACCTCGGCCCGGCAGTCCTGATGCAAGCCTACCGCTGGGTCGCCGACTCGCGCGACACGCAAAAGGCCGCCCGGCTCGAGAAACTCGCCAACCCGTTCTCGCTCTACCGCTGCCACACCATCTTCAACTGCTCCAAGACTTGCCCTAAATACGTCCCCCACCTTCCTCTCTTCTCTTACTGTGGTGGTCCGGTCCTGACGAGTTGCTTTACAGGGTTGAACCCCGCCAAGGCTATCGCCGCACTCAAGCAGGAGATGGCGTCGGCATGAGCGGACCCGCCGCGCGGCAGAAGGAGGCGGACATTTTCAGAGGGGACGCCAGCAGTAGCGATCGTGCTTGTAACTTCTCGTTTTTCCGTGCGTCGTCCAGCTTGGCCCTTCGGGAGCGGATAGTTTGCGTCCCTTGTGCGTGGGAGATGGCGGAGTGGGGCGAAATGGACGAAGCGAGCGCGGCGGCGAGAACAGCAAGGTAGCGGGATCCTCTCGCCTACGTTGGTTCGTCATGGTCGATCGAATCACCTCACTTCAGCTCGCACCACTACAGCAGCAATGTGTAAGACTGAGCAGAGAGTGGGAAAAGGCGCCTCGGAGCGAAGAGCGACGCCGGAAGAGAGGGAAGCGCGGCGTTAGTTGCCCACTCTCTCCAGCCACCGCTGCACCCGCTCCTCTGACTCTTCCTCATCGTCCTCGTCCTCCTCAAGTGCCGGCGAGTTGCGCTCTTGCGAGGTCTGCAGCAATTCGGACGCCGACACCGTCTCGGAAGCGTCAGGTAGTTCTTCGTCGAGTTGCAGTGTCGACAGGAATCCTTGACCGTCCGCCAACGTCTGAGGACCGTTCCGCAAAGCGTTTGGCGGCAGCGGCGCCGGCTCGAGGTCCGCAAGCTCATGCTCGTCCGGTCGAAGGATGAACGACGCGTAGGCGTTTTCGGGCGCATAGAGCGAGACGAGCCTCTGAGCTTCGTGGACGAGCGTCTCCATCTTGCTTTCGTCGCCGGAGCGGGTGTACCACATGTTGTAGAGGATGCAGGCGAAGTCGGCGATTTGCTGCGACGACGAAGCCAGCGGCGTCAGCGGTGAAAGAAGGACGAAGCTGGTCCGCGAAGACGCACCTTGCTCTCTACTACAAGGGCGTCGGGTGCGGGCAAAGGCTGCGCAACCCTTTGCTGCATTGCCGCGACGACGAGGTTGAGCGAGCACAACACCTCGACTGGCGGGAGCACAGGAAGCTTCAGCCCGTTGCTGCTCTCGTTCGCCGCAACTTCCGCTGCCGTACGAGCGGTGAGGTAGTTGACCGCGGCGGTGTTGGGACGTTCTTGCCGGATCACGAGCAGATCCGTCGAGTGCTTGGTGAAGGCAAAAGTGACCGCTGGCGGACGAGCCTCGAGGCGCTTGTAGAATAGCTCCCATGGCGGGCGGATGGTCGAGTATTCCGCGGCGCGAGTAGCGGAGTTGGCGGACTGGCGCTTCGTGAAGTACATGACTTCCCCGGCAAGGCGGGCGAGGACGTCGTCTAGCGATGGAACCAGGTGGATGCTGTGCGAGTCGAGCTCATTGCGGAAGTCGTGATTCACTGCGGACAGTCACAATGAGCGCGAAAGTCTGGCTGAAAGGGACGGAAGGGAGACTCACGGGGAAAGCGATTCGCAGGCGCTTCGTAGCGAGTACTCGGCGGGATAGCACCGCCTGCGATCAGATCCGCCATCTGTGCAACGGTGTCAGCGAGCGGAGCCTTCGAGAGCAGACAGGACGGGCCCACCTCCTTCTCCCCATGCTCGGGCGAGACAAGGTAGCAAGCCTCGAGTCTCTGGGTCAAGGTACCGGCTAGCGTGCAAGCGCGAGAGACTGTGCGTTTGGTCAAGCCCTCGCGGAAGTAAGGGACACTCGAATACTCGGACCATTCTTCGTCGAAGAGCGGGCCAGAACCTGAAGAGACAGCCTCGAGAACAGCAGCCGTGTATCGCCAGGGATCAAAGGGCGTCTGAGAGGTGCGGAGCAGCGATATGCCTGACCGCTCGGGTTGTGTGAGGCGCTGGAAGGAAGACGGAAGGGGGAACAGACGCGATGAGGTTGAGAAGGACGAGGCAAGGCGCTGGCGCTTGCGGGGAGGATCTTCATCGAGGCAGAATGGGAACATGAGGGGAAGAAGCGCAGCACAACAGCGAAGAGCGAGGATGGAGCAGAGACGAGTGAAGGGGAAGAGGTCAAGAGAGGAGAAGCGGCTTTCGACAGCAGCATTGCGAGCCTGCTGAAACAATCACAGGTGCACCGCAGTCTCGAAACACTCAGTGCTGGCAGCCCAGGAAGGCGAGCGAAGAATCCGAGGCCTTGCAAGAATACGCAACAAGTCCTCCTCGTCCTCCCTACGACACCTGCGTCTGCATGATCCTGGCCGCTAATCGTCCAAACTGTCGAAGCGCCAGCGCTCGTTGCCGGAAGACGAGGACGATACCGGCAATCGCGGCGAAGGCGGCGTTGCAGAGCTGTTCGTAGCGCGGTAGAAAGGTTACTAAAGACCCGTCGCGCGCAAGGCGAAAGTGTACGTACGATGAACTCAAAGTAGTCGTGGTACTCCGATGCGAGGACCTTCGGACACGCCTCCCACGCATCGACGTTCAGCTGGACGCCCGACTGCCGCTTCGATAACCGTTCCCACTCGCGCTCGTCCGCCCGCCTCTCGCTCGCACTTCTTCTCCGACGCCGGTCATTCTCCAACGCCTCCTTCAGCTCCTGCTGTGCCGGAGACAGCTTCTCCCCTCCCACCACAGGCGGTCTCTGTGCTGCCGCACCCTTCGCCGCGTCGCCTAACCGCCCAGATTCGTCGAAACCGTGTGCGTCCTTCACCTCGGCGTCAAGCTTGACGGTTCCGGCGGGATCTGGTTGCGCGTCGACGGGAGAGGCTGACTTCGAGGGGACGAACGAGTTGGAAATGGGTTGTGCGTTCCGTCGAGGGATGCAGCTGAGCGGTCTCCGGTTGCCGTACATTTTGCAGACCGGTGTATGCATCTGCGACACGTCAAAGGGGCCAGCTTGTGAGTCCAGCGCCGTTCGGAGCACAGCCTCTCGACGACGAGTGACGGGTGGAAGTGGACGAACCTCTTCCGCTGGGCACGGCAGACACAGTCCCTCCTCCTTGCAAAGAAAGTCTCCCGCTACGAGCACTCCCGGCACTGGCACTGCTCGTCGAAAGAGCGACGCGCTGGATCCGAGTGGAGCGGATGCGAGGACGGCAAGGGCGAGCATGCGGGCGAATGGGGACGGTGCAGTATGCCGTCGCGAGCTTCGTGACATGATACGAGTAGTTCAGGCCCAGCTGGAGCAGCTTTTGAGCGAGGGGAGATGTTGGAGGAGCGCAAGGGATGGGTTGTCCTCGTCGAGCAACTCGCTGGCGGCCAACTCGCCACGATGCACAACGAGAGTGAGCTTACGCGCTTTCTATGACTCAGCACTGGCCACTGACACGCTGCTCGTGCAGCCCTGCGTGATCTCGCCGACGTTCGCGCCCAGTCGGATACCAAGGCACTCAAGTGCGTCTACCGCCTCAGCAACGCCGTCGGACGTCTGCTGACGCCGTTAATGCTTCCACAGAAAGACGATTGCCACGTACTATGCGCTGCTAGGCGAGGAGATGCAGGGGGAGAAGCTGTACGTACCCTTCTCGCGTCCTAACCCTCCTCCGCTGATCGTTCTCTCGTCTGCCGCCCGCAGCGAAGCAGCCCATGTATCGTTCACGGTCGCGTTGGACCAGCTGGCGCAGCAGCTGGCCAAGTCGAAGCGGATAGAGCAGGTTGCGGCGTGGGAAATCGACTCGTACCGGCAAGAAGTCGCGAGCCTCGGTGCGTGCCGCTCTTGCACCGCTGTCTCGTTCCCTTCTGACACCTCGTACGCCTCGCAGAGCAATCAAGCGAGGAGACACGACAGAAGCTGGCGGCACTGGGGGAGAAACTTACTTCGGCACAGCAGGAGCGGGCGCGGCGGATAGAGTACGACGGGATTGCGAAGACGATCGCGCGGCTGCCAGACCGACAAAAGGGCCAGGAGTGCGCCCTCAGTTTCTACGGCCTCGTCAGGCCCTGCTAACGTTGTTTGCCGCCAGGTCGCTCGACAAGCTGAATGCCGACATTGACCTGCTGCGACAAGAAGAGCGGACGTATGCCGAAACGTGGCAGATGCGCAAGCTGGCGTTCGACTCGATCGTGACGAGCTTGGAAGCGATGCAGGAGGCTATCCGGTGCGTCCTCACCCTCGCTTTCTGAGCCCGCCCCCCTTGACTGACGGCCCTTCTCCTTGCAGTGACGAGAAGGCCGAGCAGGAACGACGACGAGCGCTGGACGAAGACGATGGCGAGGAAGTTGGAGCAGGAACGGCGGGAACAGGCGGTGCGACCAACACCCGGGCTCAATCGCTGGACCCGAATGCGAAGCCGTTCGTTCCTGGTGCTGGCGCGACGGAAGCGAAGGAGGGTGAAGATGTCAATATGGAGGGCGTTGAGGCGACGGAGGAACAGAAGGAGGAAGGCGGTCGAAGAGAGCGGGACAAGGGACAGATGACGGACGACCGGGAAGAGGGGGAGATGTGAGAAAGTCGCGCGCCACAGACGCTTGTTGTAACCATCCTCTCGGCGAATGAAGACGGTATCGAGAATGCATTGCCTTGCAAGAGAGACGGAACGACGCGGTGTATCCGAGAGAACGAGAGAGAGAGAGGAATGGCCCTGCAGGCAGTCTATCGCGACTCGTACAACTTCTTCGCCTCGACAATGGCCTCATCAATCTTGTCCGCCTGGTCGCCGAACCCTTGCGCGCCATCGTCCTTTCCTCCGCCCTTTCCGCCAACGATCGCAGCGACGGCGTTGAACCAGGTCTTGGCGTTGAATTCCTTCGAGATCTCGCCCTTGGGTAGGACGTTCAGGTGTGCGACCTTGGTGCCGTCCTCGGTCGCCGAGAAAAAGTAGCCGGCCTTGGAGAGCGTCTTGGCCTGGCTGATGGCCGACTGGATGACCTGCAGGGCGACGATGGGAGCGTCAGCAGAGCTACAGGCGTTCGTGAGCATGTCTTGAGACGCACCTTCGGGTTGCCCTTGGCGGCGTCGAGACGAGCGACCATGACCTTCGCGTCCGGGTTCTCCTTGAAGAACCGGTCGACCTCGTCGGCGACAGCCTTGCCCTGCTCCTTCTCCGCCGCACGCGCAGCATCCACAATGGCCTTGCGCTCCGCCGCAATACGCTGCTTAAGGCGGTCTCGCCGTCCAACCGAGACCGTCAACGTCGCAACCTCGAGCTCGAAAGCCTTGAGCTGCTTCTCCTTCTCAACCGTGTCGAGCTTGATGATCTGCTCGAACCGGGCCTCCGAGTCGTTCGCGAGCTGCGAAGCCTTGCGCGCGTCTTCGCCCGTGATGGCGATAATGCGACGAATGCCCTTGGCGATACCCGACTCCTCGGTGATGACAAACTCCTTGATCTCGCCCGTCTTTTGCACGTGCGTCCCGCCGCAGAACTCGACCGACGTCGAACGCCACTTGGGGTTCTCGATGTCGGCCTGGATCTCCTCGAGTGAGAACTCGAGCGTGACGACGCGGACGGGGTCGGGGTAGGCTTCGCCAAAGACGGCGCGGAGGCCGGGGATCTTCTGGGCGGTCGAGAGGTCCATCTCTTTGCTGAAGACCTTGACGTTGCGCTTGATCCACTCGTTCGACATGTCCTCGATGCGGTCGAGCTCGGCAGTCGGGATCGGGCTCTTGTGGGAAAAGTCGAAGCGAAGCTTGGAAGGCGCGACGAGCGAGCCCTTCTGGTCGACGTGGTCGCCGAGCACCTCGCGGAGGCAGTAGTTGAGGATGTGCGTGCCGGTGTGGTTGTTGCGCAGGGGCCAGCGACGGAGCTCGTCGTACGACGAGACGACCTTGTCGCCGACCTTGAGTGAGCCCTCGACGACGCGTCCGATGTGCAGGACGTAGCCGTTGAAGACCTGGACGTCCTCGACGACAAAGTCGGCCTGTCCGTCAATCACGATCCGGCCCGTGTCGTACTCTTGTCCACCCGACTCGGCGTAGAAGTTCGTCCGGTCGAGGACGACACCGAGCTGGACCTGCTGAGCATCCTCGAGCTCCTCCGTCGAGGCGACAAACTTGCCCTGGCGGTAAATGGCCTTGACGACCGAGTCGACGTTGCCCGTTCCGTACTTGGCCTCGTCGTTCGTCTTGGGCACGTCGGCGTTCGCCTCGAGGGCGGCGATATCGTGCACATCGAGCCGGACAGCTTGACCGTCTCCCTTCTTCCCCGCACCCTTCGAAGCCTCCTTCGACGCCTCCTGCGCCGCCTCAAACGCCGCCTGATCAATCGACAACCCCGCTTCCTCCGCCATGAGGAGCGTCAAGTCGACCGGGAATCCGTACGTGTCGTACAACCTCCACACGTCCGCGCCGCGCAAGGTGGTCGACCCCTCCTTCTGCGCCTGCTGGACGTACGACTCGAACAGCTTCTCGCCGCGGTCGAGCGTGCGAGCGAACGACTCTTCTTCCTCGTCCAGGATCTCCTTCAAGTCGTCGAACTTGCCCTGGATCTCGGGGAAGAAGCCGCCCATCTGCTCGACGAGTGTCGGAACGAGGGACGAGAAGAACGACCCGATCGGGACGCCAAACTTCTTCCGAACGTAGCGCGCTCCGCGGCGCAATACGCGGCGGAGGACGTACCCCCTCCCGACGTTACTCGGCACGCCACCGTCGCAAATCGCGAACGTGAGCGTCCGGACGTGGTCGGCGACGACGCGGTAGGCGGTATCGATCCCATCGACATCGTCCTTTCCGAGCTTGCCCTCGTACGCGCGCGCGTTGGTGAGTTGCTGGATCTTGTCGAAGAGGGGACGGAAGACGTCCGTGTCGTAGTTCGAGCGCTTGTCTTGGAGGACCGAGACGAGGCGCTCGAAACCCATGCCCGTGTCGACGTGCTTGGCCGGGAGTTCGCGCAGAGACGAGTCGGCTTCGCGGTTGTACTGGATGAAGACGACGTTCCAGACCTGCACCACGGGAGCGTTAGCGAGCGTGAGAGGAACGCTCCCGTGAGAGGGAGAGAAAGTAGGTCCTGAGTGAAGAAAACGCACCTCGAGGACGTCCGGGTCATCCATGTTGACCAAACTCGCCGCGTTCCTGCCCCCAATCCGGTCGTAATGAATCTCCGTACAAGGTCCACACGGTCCCGTTGCGCCCATCTCCCAGAAGTTGTCCTTTGCATTTCCAGGGATGATGTGGTCTTCCGGAACGCCGAGGGCGAGCCAGAGGTTCTTCGTCTCGAGGTCGGCGGGGAGACCGAAGCCTCCTTCAAAGTAGGTTACGTAGAGACGCGAGGGAGGGAGGCCGTAGACTTGCGTAAGGAGGTTCCATGCCATCGCCGTCGCTTCTTTCTGTGTGCGTCGGAGAAAGTCCAAGTCAGCGAGCGGGCCTTTGAGGCGAGGAGACTGCAAACGCACCTTGAAGTAGTCGCCAAAGGACCAGTTCCCGAGCATCTCGAAGAACGTGTGGTGGTAGGTATCCTTTCCGACATCGTCCAGGTCTGCAAACGCCTCCCATCAGCACAAAGTTTCCCGGGACGATCGCGCGCACACACCGTTGTGCTTTCCGCCTGCACGGATGCACTTTTGCGAGTTGGCTGCGCGCTTGAGCTTGGAGAAGGGTGACGAGGGGTCGACGGTGCCGAGGAAGATGCTCTTGTACTGGTTCATGCTACGTGAGGCAGGTCGTACCTATCAGCATCCCCTCTTCCGCAAAAGCCTCGCTGAGTCGACGAGCGCGCTGCACTCACCCCGCATTGGCAAAGAGCAATGTCGGGTCCTCATACGGGATGGTCGACGAGCTCTTTACGAACGAGTGGCCGTTCTGCTCTGTGAAGTAGTCGAGGAAGGTCTGGCGGACCTTTGTCGCTGGCCAGTCTCCGAACTGGGACGCGGTGGCCGACATGGTTGGGCGGGAGATGAAGCGGTGGTGGATGGAGATGGGGCGTGGCAAGGCGAGGCAGGGGATGGCCCTGCGGATGGCGGACTGCGTTGTGAGTGGCTGTGGGCTAGCGTGAGTGACTCGCCAGCAACGGAAGCAGCACAACGCGAGGACAGCGACGAGGAGGCGAGAGGAGGAGAGTCAATGACTCCTGCTCAACCGCGCCAACTGCCAAGCTGAGTGCAGTAGAAATCATAAGATGTTCTAACTAGCACTCCAGTCTAACCAGCACTCGTCCCACTGCAGTTTGACCCGCTCCTGTCCGGACTCGAGTTCCACGCCGCGACGCCACATCGCTTCCACCTCGACACTCGCTCTCTCGTGCTCTGTAGACTGCTGCTCGTGTGCTCTGCTAGACTGGAAAGGATGCGACGACCACGCATCGCTTCACCCGCCTCGGCAGCCCTCGTCGTCCTCTCGCTCTCGTCGCTCGCATCCGCCTCCTCACTCGACACCTCCCCCTCCCGCTCGTCCTCCTCCCAGAATTCGAACGAACCCCGCGTAGGATTCCTCCAAGACGTCCTCTCATCCCGCACAGCCGGTCAAAACTACTGCAAGGTCTGTCCGTCCCCCTCCCCCTCCCTTCGCTCCTCTTCCAACGAAAGCTGACATCATCTCGTGTGCGACGTGTAAAGCCGACGGGACAGATTCACGATGCGTGTTGCGACTACGAGACGGTGGAGAGCGTCAATGAGGACTTGTTTGGGAGGTTGCACGAGCTGGTTGCGGAGCCGTACTTTCGGTACCACAAGGTGCGTCGTGCGCTCCCGCTCGGACTTGCTTCTTAAGCGAGGCTGGGATGGCTGATACCGTGGAGATGGCGCGCAGGTTGACTTGGCGAAGGAATGCCCGTTCTGGGAGGAAGACGGCAGCTGCATGAACCGCGCGTGCGGCGTAGAGACGACCGACGAGGTGCGTTTCGCGTGCCGTTCCTCCCCTCCGTTCTCCCACACTGTGGGGCGACTGACTTTCCGAGGGTTGGGACCCCCGAACAGGACCATATCCCCGAGGCGTGGCGCTCGTCGACGCTGGGAAAGCTGAACCGGACGAGCGCAAGAACGGTTCGTCGCGCCCGTATCCCCTCTTCCGCTCGCTTGACGTGTTGACGGAGCTCGAGCGCACGCAGTCCTCCCCCGCCGGCTGTAAGGAGATCAGCGACTCGGACTTTTGCGTCCTCGAAGACGAACTCGACTCCGGTACGCCCCCTTTTCCCACCCCCTTCTCTCGTTCGCTCACTAACGCTCGCACACGCAAACCAGAGGGCGTCTACGTCGACCTCCTCCTCAACCCCGAACGTTTCACAGGCTACGCCGGCCCGTCCTCCTCGCGCGTCTGGCAATCCATCTACCTCGAAAACTGTTTCTCGCCCGTCCCTTATATCGATCCGTCCCGGCCGAGCTGGGAAGGAGGGAGCGGGTACGCGGATGTTAGTGCGTTCACTGGGGGAGGGGCAGGAGGTTTGGGAGGACTGAGGATGGGAGGATGGGGAGAGGGAGAGAAGAGGTTGATGGGGAGCTTGGCGGGACCGAAGGATCCGACTGAGGAGGTCTGTTTGGAGAAGAGGGTGTTTTACCGCGTCATCTCCGGTGCGTTCCCTCCTTCGCGCGCTTTCTTCCCATTCGAGACTGGAGACTGGAGACTAGAGGCTGACAGCGTACGGTGCGGTGGACAGGTCTCCACGCGTCTATCTCGGTTCACATTTGCGACGACTACCTCGACCAATCAACCGGTCTCTGGGTGCGTCCCTCCCTCTTCCCCTCCTCCCTCCACCCTCCACTGACTCTCTGGCGCGAAACAGTCCCCGAACCTAGACTGCTTCATAACCCGCATAGGCCAACACCCCGAACGCCTCGAAAACATGTACTTCACCTACGTCCTCCTCCTCCGCGCCCTCTCGCGCGCCGGTCCGCAGTTGGTCCAGACGCTCGAGGCGACGCATGCGGCGCGGAACGAGGTGGAGGGGTTGAGAGGGTTGGTGAGCGTCGCGGGAGGGTGCCCGAGCACGTTTGATGAGAGTACGATGTTTAGCGGGGGCAAGGAGGCGCAGGTGCGTTCTCCCTTGCGTTTTCTCTCAGTTCCTCGCCTTTCGAGTGTGTGGCTGATGCAGGATGTGAGGGTGGAACAGCTCCTCAAAGACGAGTTCAAAGCGCACTTCCGCAACGTCTCGCGCATCATGGACTGCGTCGGCTGCGACAAATGTCGACTCTGGGGCAAGATGCAAATCACCGGCCTCGGGACCGCCCTCAAACTTCTCTTCTCCTCCGACTCAGAGGACGGGGAAGAGGTCGTGTTGAGCAGGAGCGAGGTCGTGGCGTTTGTCAATACGCTTCATAGGTTGAGCGAGAGTTTGGCTGCGGTCGATCGGTTTAGGACGCTTTGGGCGCACCGGAACGACGCAAAGCAGGCGCCGTCGTCCTCGGTATCCGAACCAGTCTCGGCATCGGCATCACGGCCACTCGCCTCGTCCCGACCCTCCTCACTCTCCACTCCTTCGCCCTCTCCTCCGCCCATCGCGCAAAACACGAACGCCTCCCTCCCCGCCCTCGCGACCAAAGTCTGGACCCGCCTTCTAGGATGGTGCGAAGGCCGTTGGAGCAAGTGCGTCGAGTTAGTTGTCGGCGGCGGATCTGGAGCGTCGAGGGACGAGTTGTGAGAGTATTCGTCGCATCTTAGCATGAGCATGAGTTTGTGTAGAGCTTTTCTTTGGTTTGTTGGAGATGTACCTGCATTGTTCCTAGCATGTCTTCACTCTCTCGCACTCTTCCCTAGCCCGACGAAGCGGGAAGCGAGGGAGAGAACGGAGGCGTGAGTGATGATGCGGGTTGCAAAGAGGTTCTAGAGTTGCGAAGGGGGTACTGAGAGGATAGTCTAGACGATGAAGGATCTGTTGAAGCGTGTGAGGTCAGCAGCTGAGGGAGAGGAGGAGAGAGGGAAAGGGCGCACTCTCCACATCCGCAAGCGTCCTTGATGTTCGGGTCTGCGCGGGCGAAAGAATTAGCCCACACTCGACGGACAACAACGAGATGGGAACGCACTGTTGAACACAAACCTCGCCTGCAACGCATCCTCCTGCCAATCCATCTCGCTCCCAATGATCGAAAACAGCGCCTTCGAGTCAATCACCACTTTGACCCCATCTTGCTCGACCACCTCGTCAAACTTGTCTGGCTTGTCGACATACTCGAGGTGGTAGCTCATCCCGGCGCAGCCTTTGTTGCGCACGCCGACCCGGATCAGTTTCGGAGAGGGTTGGTCGAGCAGGCCGCGGATTCGGTCGACTGCCTTCGGGGACTGCGAGTCGCGGGGCGGGAAACCAACTGTCAGCGAATGGACCCAGATAGCCCAGCCGAGCAGCAAGTCATCCGCGAACCGGCGACTCACCAACGTCAACGCCGCCTTCCTCGCCCTCATCGCCTGCCGCGGCCTTGCCTTGGGCGGTATAGGTGCCGGGTGCACAGCCGGTGTCGGAGTCTGGTCGAGGATCGGTGCGCGTGCGGGTGCGGTGTACGAGAGTGTTCGGAGCGATGAGGAGGAGGGGTGGCGGAGTTGGGAGGCGGCGAAGGCGCATGCGGGACATGGGGGAGTTGCGCGTGGTGCGAGTGTGCGCAGGGAGGTGCGCAGGAGCTGGCTGGATGTGCGCAGTGACATTGTGCAGCGAGGTGGGCGAGGCGAACGAGCGTGAGCCAACGAGACGAAGCGGAATAGCGACGCCGACTCTTGCTCTCAGCTGTCGAGCTACGCTACGTTGTTAGATTGGACTCTGCCAAAGGCTACTTGCTACAGCTCCTCTGTGGCCGTCCCGGCGCTGCCCCGCTCTTGCTTGCGCTCTCCTCTCTCATCTCCGTCTCCTCACCTTGACCCGCCCATTGAGCGGATGTCGCCTGGCACGCGTCGCCCAGCCAAGACCCTGCAGTATCCCAGACTCTCTCGTGGCTTCGTACCACCCCATTTCGCTTCCCGGCTCTCCCGCTTTGCCTTCACAGACGACCCGCAGTACGCAAAGGGCATTCCTCCAGAGTTCTCGCTCGCGTGCGAGCAGATCTTTCGCCTGATGCCGGAGGACTACTGGCTTGACAAGTGGGACGAGCTGGACAAGTTGAAGGAGGAGCGGGCGGTCATCCGCTCCCGGTTGCGAGAAGGCAAGGGTGTTCGCAGCGAGCTGCTCAAGGTGAGCGAGGACATGCGACAGCGCTTGGGAGAACTGGCTATGGGCTATACGTCGGTACGGTCAACTCGTATGTTGGAGGCTGCCAGCGAGCTGACGACAGTGTTCGGACCGCAGTTCTCGATAACGCTCGCGACAACTTTCTGATCTACCTTCACGAGCGCGGCATCGTCAGCGAGTACTGGTGGCAAGCTCTCGAGGAGTTTGCTGAAGGCGCAGCTGGAGGACTCTCGCTCTACTGGCCAGCTTCGGCGCGGCGGGGGTGTGCGGAAGGAGCGATGGTTCGGGCTGACTGGGTCGTGCAACGGTTTGCGAACGAACGCGCCGGTACGTCTTGTCTCTAGAGCGATACTTGACAGGGTGCTGAACCTGCTTTGCTCTCACGCAGATAACGGCCGACTGCCTCCGCCTCAACTCGCCTTCCTCCACTCCCCTCCTCCAGGTCTTGCTTCGGACCCTCCCTTACCAATCGTCTACATCCCACCTCGTCATATGTCTTCGACGGCTTCAACGGCATCAGAATTCGACGTACCGCCGCCGCCCTACAGCCCTTCCCAGCAGCAGTCCGACTCTACCGTACGTGTGCCCGAATCGCCTCGTGCGAGACCTGCTGGTCACGGCCACGTCGTCGATCTCGTCGACCTCATCGACCTGAACAACGAGCGCGCAACGACACAACCGGATTCATGAACCCTCCTCTCGTCACCTCTCATCTTCCGTCAAGCCTTCGGTTGTCCAGCTAGCCCCCACCTCCCGACTGTCACATTTCACTCAATGTTGAGGCTTTTGTCTTGTTGTCGTTGCAAGTGACGACGTAGCGCAGTCTTTGCTCGCGAACGGAGACGGACTGCCAGAGCGAGCCATTAGCGAGATCTGAGCGCTTGCAGAGCAAGCGCTTGCAAGCACTGGGGTAGACACCCTGCCCCATTCTCAAAAGGTAGCAAAGGTAGCGCTGGAGGAATGGCCTGTGAAGAATTGTCGTGCAAAGGGCAATTACAGTAACACAGTAGTCACATCAAGCGTGCCGAGCCGACGTCGATACTCAGTCGTCAAAATCGAAGCTGCCTTCGAGAAGGAGGTTTGCCGCCATTTGCTCATCACGCCCGCAGGCAATGTACGCCTGAATGGCCATCTGCTCGTCGAAGCCCATGGCGACGAGGCGCTGGATCGCCGCGCGCTCCTCCTCCGTAACCTGGATGTACTGTCCGCCGCCCATCCCGCCCTCGTCGTCGCCGTCGTCGCCAAACTGGTCCAGCAGGGCGTCGAGGCCCTCTCCCTCGCCGAGCCCTTCTTGCAGGTACTCGACGAACGCTTGCTGGTTGCGCTCGATGAGCTGCCGGTCACCAAAGCGTCAGCGGACCTTCTCGTCACTGGAGAGCAAGGGCGCACGCACAGAGAGAAGCTCAGGGTTACTCGCACCAAGCTGCTGCAAGAAAGGCTGCAGCAGCGCCGGGTTCTGCTGGACGAGCGAGCGGAGCTGGCCAAAGACCGGGTTGCTCCTCAGCGCGGCGAGTTCAGGCGATGCGCCGGCGCCACCAGTCGCTGCGGCCGGGGCGGGTGGTGCGTTGCGTGCGGCGGCGGCAGCTTCGAAGAGGTTGCGAGGGGCGTTGGCGGGGGCGGCTGCGAAGGCGGGTTCGAGGTCAGCTCGCGCTTCCGAAACGGTGACGGCGGACTCGCCAGGAGCAGGCGTGGCAGCGAGAGGTGCGGCGTTGCCAGAAGCGGGAGAAGGAGTGCCGGGCGGGTTGGCGGCAGCCGGAGCAGCGGCAGGCTCGGCGGCGGCGGGAGCGTCGGGGATGCCCTGCGCCCAAGTCAAAGTCAGCGGACGTCTCGCACATCGGAGGAACAGTACACACAGTCATGAGATACTCGACAGCACGGTGCGGGTTGTTGAAGCTCGCCCTCATAGCCCTCTGCACCTGCTCCCTCGGGAAACCCATCGCGACCATCTCGCTGATACTCGTCTCAAGCGCCGATCCCGAAATGAACGACGTCGCCTCGTCTGCGGGCTGGTTCGCAGCGGGAGCGGGCGTCTCGGCTTCGGTTGCGGCGGGTGCGGAGGAGGGAGCGGCGGGTCCGGGTGCGTTGGGGGCGGAGGCGGGCGCAGAGGTGGGCTGCGCGGGGGTCTGAGGGGGAGCAGGGGCAGCGGCGGGAGTCGAAGGGGCGGCAGAAGTAGAGGCGGCGGAGGCAGGAGCAGCCTTGGGCTTTGCGACCATCACGACACAAAACTGGGTGCGCACGCAGGTTAGCTTGAACCCCTGCAATGCAAACGAACACACGCACGTCCTTCTCCTTGAAGTTGGCCTCTCCCACGGTCTTCTCATCAGGAAGGATCTTGCCTGGAAGACGAGTTCAGCGATGAAGTCGAAGAGGGTCAGCTGCGAGCTTGCCAACAACGCTAGGCGGTACGCACCGGAGAAAATGATCTTCTGACTCTCTGCGGGGAAGCCCTGGTCGGCCTGGATCTTCTTCTTAAGGTCTGCCACCTGCGGACGAGACGAGGACCTGGTGAGCGAGGAGAGACGGCGAGAACGGCACGCGCAGGGACGGACCGTCTCGGTGGGCTCGGCCTCGATGAAGAACTGCTTCTGCTGGAGCGTCTTGAACTGGATTCGGACCATCCTGACGAGCTGGAGCGGGTGAGCGCAGGTGTGAGGAGCGAGAGGGTGGCGGAGCGTCGTCAGCGTCAGCACGACTGCTTCGTAGGCGGCTAGAGTTGGTCAGAGAAGGTCCTCTAGCTCACAGTGAGGAGTATCGAGCTGTCTGGAGAGCAGTCGAGGGGGAAGAAGCAGTCGAACCTCCTCCTCAGCCTGCTCTCCTCAATGTCGCGATGTCAAGCAGCTCAAGCGGGTCTGTCAAACTCGCTTCCCACGCACGCAAACGACATGAGGGACTGCAAATCAAGCTCAGATTGCCGAAGCGAGGCGAGGAGGAGGTATCGTTTCTACAAGCCAGACGGCCAGGCTCGCAGGAGGGGGGAGTATCGAGTACAGGCAACGAGACGGAACCGAGTGCGAACAGTAGTAGATGCGAAGTGAGGAACGACGGCGATGCGGAGGAAGAACCGGAACAAGCGATGCGCTGGCGAGAAGACGGGGTCGTTGGCCGCCTACCGCTGTCCATGAGGGTACTGCTGGTGAGACGGGTACGACGACGACGAGCCGTAAGAGGACTGGCGGTACTGCGGCGACGGCTGGTATCCGTGCGAGGGCGTGCCGTTGCTGTAAGATTGCGGCGAGCGGGCGTACGACGACGAAGCCAGCGGCGCAGGAGGCGGGGGCGGAGGAGGCGGGAGAGGCGAGGCCGACGAAGCGCTTGGGCGGGCGGAAGGGAGGCGGCTGAAGGAAGGGAGATCGGTGCCGCTGGTCGTGCGCGGCTTTTTGGCGGGAGGAGGCTGCTCGTCGGCAGGGCGAGGGGGCTTGGGCGGCGCAGGTTGAGCGGGCGGGAGAGCGGGAGATGGCGCGGGAGAGTCCTTGGCGCCGGCGAGGTGGTCGTACATCTGGCGCAACTGTTGCGACTTGATCGCCTGGTTCGGCCAGAAGAAGCTCGTCCATTTCCCTGCACGGTGACGTTCAAGGTCAGCCATACACATCAGGGGAAAGGAGACTCATGCTACGCACAGAGGTGCTTGCGCTTCTTCTCCTTGGCGGAGGACGACTTCTCAAAGTCGGCGACGACCTCAATGCGGGCACCGATCGCCGTGAGCGTGTCCTTGAGGTGCGCGAGCTTCTCCTCGCGGCTCATGTCGGTTGTCGGCTGCTTGAGACGCTTGAGCTCGCGCTTGACCGGGCGGAGCGCCTCCTTGCATGACTCCTCGTCCATGCTGTCGTACGAGCTCTCGGCATCCTCCTCCGAGTCCGAGTACTCGGGCGTCGCCTTGCGCTTGACCGACTTGGCTGGCTTTGACGACGACTTGTGCGTCTTGGACGACGTCGAGCCGGCTACCGAGGCCGTGTCGTCCTTCGACTTCGAGCTCTTCGGGCGAGGAGCCGAGCTGCCGGCGCGAGGCTGGTGCGTCTTGCTGCCGCTCGGCTTGCTGTCGCTGCGGCCCGAGCCGTCGAGGTCGTGCAGGAGGTGGCAGAGGTAGTCGGCGCGACGGACGAGGTGGATGGCGTTCGGAATGCGGGCCTTCTCGTCCTTGCTCTTGTTCTTGGCGTCCTCGAGGAAGAACTTGTCCTTGAACCCGAGCGACTCGTCGTCCCGCATCGCCTCCCAGCACCCGTGACCGTACTTCCAGACGCCGACCATGAGGTGTGCGTCGTCTTCGGCCGTCCACTCGCAATTCCATCCCGAGTTGGACTTGACGTTCTCGACCGGGAACTTCCACTTGAGCGGGTCGGACGCCTTCTTCAGGTCTGTACGGTGAGCACCAATAAGCTCGGGAACGGGACGAAAGACAAGAGCAGAAGAACACACAGGAGTGCAGAATCTCGAGCTCCTCGGCGCGCTGGACGACGGTCTCGGCGTTGATCTTGTCGACGCCGCGGAAGGAGACGAGGACGGCCTGGTTCTTGAGCTTGTTCGGGATGTCCTCCCCCTTCTCCTTCATCTCCTCGAGCATATCCTTCTTCTTCTGAATCTCGTCGCGGCAGAGCTTGAGCAGCTCGTCGATCGTCTGCGTGATGACGGTGCGGTTCTTGCTCTCGAGGCGGGCGTCCTTGACGATGGCGTCGTAGCGGTGTCGGATGTCGCCGAAGCGGTTGAAGCCGCGGATGAGGGTGCGGATGTCGCGGTCCTTGAGCTCCTGCGCACGCTGGGCGTCCGTCTTGCGAGGCGCGGCCGGCTTCTTATCCTTCTTGCTGCCCCTCGGCGACCCGGGTGACGACTCGCGCGAGGCAGGTGTCCCGTCCTTGCCCTTGTAGGCGCCGGGCGCGACCTGGGCGGCAGCGCGGCGGGTGCTCTCCGCCTCGGCGGCAGCCTTCTTCTCCTCCTCGGCCATCTCGGCCTTGACGCGCTCGCGGTCCTCGGCAGGGATGATGTCCTCCCAGGAGGTCATGTCAGCCTTGACGTCCTGGACGGCAAACTGATTGAGGAACTCTTCGCCTCCGAGCGAGGTGCCCGTCGGAGCGGTCGCCGTCTCGTACGACTCGGCGTTGTTGATGACGTCGTCGAGATCCATCTCCTCGAGCTTCGACTGCGCGCCGTCCGACTTGAAGATGTTGGCCGCGCCGAACTTGAGGATCGACGCGAGCTCCTCGCGGGTGTAGTTCTCGGGCTTGGTCGGCTGGACCTGCCCGATGTTCTTGCCCGACGTGTCCATCTGGTTGACGATGGCGTACTCGAGAATCATCTTCTTGCGCGCGCGCTCGAGTACGTCCTCCTCGACCGTGTCCTTCGTGACGAACCGGTACACGTTTACGTGCGACTTCTGGCCGATGCGGTGGGCGCGAGCCATCGCCTGCAGGTCGTTTTGCGGGTTCCTGCGGGAGCGAGGAAGCCATTCAGCTGAGGGTCTCACATCGTTGAGCAAGACTTGACGCACCAGTCCGAGTCGAAGATGATGACCGTGTCGGCGGTCTCGAGGTTGATGCCGAGACCTCCGGCGCGGGTCGAGAGGAGGAAAACAAAGTCGGGCGAGTCGGGCGCGTTGTAGTGCTCGATCGCCTTGCGACGGGTCTCGGAGGGGACGGTGCCGTCGAGGCGCTGGTAGAGGTAGCCGCGAAGAGCGCAGAAGTCGGAGAGGATGTCCCTGCGAGCGTGAGAGCAAGGTCAGCGAGACCACCGGAGACGGGAAGGGAGCTTCGACCCACAGCATGCGGACCATCTGACTGAAGACGAGGACGCGGTGGCCATCCTGCTTGAGACGCTGAAGAAGCTTGTCGAGGAGGACCATCTTGCCCGAGTTCATGACCAATCCCTTGAGCGTCTCCTCACGCGAGTCAGTTCGCGTCTCGGCGCCTTCGAAAAGGTAAGGGTGGTTCGACGCCTTCTTGAGCTCCATCGCGATGTTGAGCAGCGAGACGCTGTTCTCGGTCCCGCTGAGAGCGGCGTAGTTCTGCGCGAGAGTGAGTATGTCAGTCGAGAAGCAACAAACTTGAGAGAGAATCGCTGGACGCGCCCTCGTCAAGATGTTCTTGTACCACCACGTCTGCATGTTGGACATCTCGACGCGGAGGATGCGCTCGCTCTTGGTCGGGAGCTCCTTGATGACATCGCGCTTGAGGCGGCGGAGCATGATCGACTCGAGCTTGCCGTGAAGGTCGCGGATCTTGGCCTCGTTCTCCTCGTCTGCGCGCAAGCACTGGTCAGCGACGCGGCGAGCAACGAGAGGACCAGAGGAGACGCACCATTCAGATCAAACTCGCCGGCGAGCTCGAAGCGATCGGAATGCAGGAAGTGCATAAGCGCGAGCAGCTCTGATCAGGAAAACGGTTAGCACCCGAACGAACGGGAAGTCAGTCCTATGCGCACCCTTGACGTTATTTTGCAAGGGCGTGCCGGTGATGAGGAGCTTGGCCTTGGCGTCGAAGTGCTTGAGCGCCATGTAGAGCGCCGACTCTGAGTTCTTGAGCCGGTGCGCCTGTGGACGAGCCATCCTGGGTCAGCTACGAACCAGACTAACGAGAGAGAGAGAGCACTCGCCTCGTCGACCATCAGGTACTGCCACTTCAAAACACCGAGCTCGTGCTCGTCCTTGAGTGCAAACTCGTACGTCGTGAGCAAGACGTTGAATTGTGGCTTCGTGCGCGAGCCAAACTCATGCTCGCGGATCATCTCGCGACTCGCGGCGTTGCCGATGTAGGCGACCGTGTTCAAGTCGGGCGCCCAGTGCGCGAGCTGAGCCTGCCAGGCGGGGAGCGTCGAGAGGGGGACGACGACGAGGAAGGGACCGTACTGCTGCTGCTCGTGGAACAGGTACGAGAGGAACGAGCACGACTGGACAGTCTTGCCGAGACCCATCTCGTCGGCGAGGATGCCGTTGTCGCCGCGAGACCACAGGTAGGCGAGCCAGTTGAGGCCCGTCATCTGGAAGTCCTTGAGCGTGCCGCACTTGGAGATGTACTCGGGCTCGGCCGTGAGCTTCTTGAACGTCGGCCGGCTCTTCGAGTAGTTGGCGCTCTTGTGCGGCAAGCACGAGCTCGACATGCGCTCGAGGAAGTCGGCGACCTGGTCGGCGGCGATGTCCTTGATCGTGTCGTGCGCCTCCCACGTCGCATCCGAGTACTGGAGGCCCTTCCACTTGCACAGGTACTCGACATGGTCGTGGTCGATCTCGTCGTTGGCAGGGGCATTGCGCTCGGCGATAATCCGCTCGACCTGCTTGTAGTTCTCGAGCTGCTCGGCCTGTCGCTCGCGCTCGAGGTGGACGGCTTCGAGGTCCTCGCGGCTGAGGTTAGAGTCCTTGAGCAGGTTGTGCTGCGGCCAGAAGATCTGCTTGATGTAGTTCTCGAGGCGCTTGAAGCCGCGGAAGCGCTTGAGGTGCTCGTACGTCTCCCAGGTGTCGTGGATGTGGCTGTAGTTCTGCCACTTGACGAGGAAGAGCATGTTGCGGTGCGGGTTGTCGTCCTTGTCGTCCACTGCGATAGGGGCGAGCGTCAGCTACGGCGGCGGTGAGAGCTTGAGAGCGCGGCGCACCATGATCTCGCGCGCGCTTGTGAGCGAAGACGCCGTCGATACCGTCGTCATCCGGCTCTGCTGCGGGGAAGTCAGCGTCAGTTATCGACCGACCAAGCGAAGCAGCGATAGGGACTCACCTTGCTCCTCGGTGTACTCGTACTCGTACCCGTCATCCGAGTCGCTCAAGTCAGAGAACATCTCAGCCTCGTTGTAGTTCGGCAAGGCCTTTCCATTCCTGGACGACACCCTCGGGAGCTCAAAGTCCCTCGCGGTGCGCTTCTTGCCGCCTCGCCGGTTCTTGACGTGCTTCTTCTTGTTCTGGATGTAGTCGCCGTCATCGTCTTCCGAGGAACCGTCCTCGGACGAATCGCGGACGGTGCGGCTCATGGTGGAACCTGTGTGAGCGGGTAACGACGGTTAGCAGGCGGTCAAGGTGCGCGAGAGAGTCCTGGACGCACTGGCACGACTCTTGCCTTTGTTGCGGCTGCGGTTCGGCATCGCGGAAGACGACGTGTCCGAGTCGTCCTCGTCGTAGGTTTTCTGCGGGCGTCGAGAGCCGGTGAGCAAGTCGTCGACACGGAGAGCCGCCGGGGGACTCATCTGAGTGCGAGCGGTCGAAGCGCGACCCTGGAGAGACGGAGCGCGAGCAGTTAGTATCGACGGAACGGAGAGCAAGAAGGACACGCAACGCACCGAACGCCTCAGGAGGAACAACTCGGGGTCGAAATCCTCCGGCAACGCCTTCCCTCGGGGCTTCTTCGAGCTCCTCGAAGTCGACGCGGCCGACCTCCGGGCGTGTCCAGGCGCGACAACGCCGTCACTGTCGTCCTCGACGCTCTCCTCGTCCTTGACATCCTCCTTGTACTCTCCGTCGTCTCCCTCCGCGTCGTCCCCGTCTTCGTCCATCGGCTCATCCTTGACGCTCGTCGCGGTCGAGTCGACCTTGATCGCACCGTTCGCGCGGGACGAAGGAGCAACGTCGTAGTCGGACCCCTCGCTCTCGGACATGGGCACATCCTCGAGCGCCTGGGGCGTCTCGGCCTTGACTGCGACGAGGGCGGGGTCGATAGCGGGAGGGAGAGGAGGCGGAGGTGGTGGTGGCAGACGCGCGGGCGGGTACGCAGCAGACGAGGACGAAGAAGCGCCGGCTGTCGAACCGATGGAAGCGGAGAGGATGAGCGAGGGGTCCATTGCTGCGAGCGGGGCGTGGCGGGGCGCTGAGTCGCGCTGTGTACGCTGCGAGCTGCATCCACAGGGTCCCAGTCAGCGTGCGCAACGGCTGCACAGGTCCTCTGAGCGCTCCGAGGCCGCGAAAGGCGACGACGGACCTTGGGCTGGCAACGAGGACCGCTCGGTCGTCACGGGTGCGGGAGCGCTCTGCGCGTGCGTGGGAGAGCGCTGAGAGAGCTGCAGGGCAAAGCTAGGCGCGTCCTGGGCGGTGCGGTGTGTCGTGCGCGAGGTGCGCGAGAGCGTCGTCGTCGGGGCGAGCCAGGCAGCGACGAGCGCGGGCGAGGCCAGCGTGACTCGGGACAGCACGGGCGAGTGACGTGCAGCGTCGAGCTCGACAGCTTGCAGGGGCTTGCGGGAGTCCTCTCAGCGAGACAGGCGAGAAAACAGCAGGAGAAGGAACGGCTTTGCAGACACTTCCGGCGACGGAGAGGTGAGGAGGCAAGGGAGGGGGAGGACGAGGCGCACGAGGGCGTGCAACGACGAAACAACGACGATGCCGACAGCGGGGTCGACGTGGGCGACGCGAGAGTGACGGGCGGGCCAGTCGAAGGATCGCAAAGCCGGCAGGGAAAGTCGAGGTCGAATCGCGAGGAGAGGGGGAGAGCGAGTGCCGCGCCGAGTCCCCTGAGACGTGGACGACGACGCGACGATGCCAGAGAAGCCGGTGGGCGATATTAGGGAGCGCAGGATAGGCGAGGGGAGGGAGAGGAGGGAGGTGCCGCGACTGCCGGGGGTGATTTTGTCGAGAGATGGGAAGGCGGGGTGAGGGAGGACCAGTACAGACGACGCGTCGACGGCGAAGGTATCACGACGAGACTTGGAAAGCGAGAGAAAGGCGAGTACACAACGAGAGGACCTTGGGGTGAAACGACAAGCGAAGAGTTGGGGAAACCTAAGCCGAAGCCTCAGCGGCGGGGGCGTCGTCCTTCTTGGGCTCCTCGACAGGCGCATCAGCCTGCTTGTCGCCCTCGACGCCGTTCTCCTTGGGCTGCTCGTCGACCTGCATAGGCGCGTCGTCTTCCTTCTTCTCCTCAACCGGCGCAGCAGGCTCCGCCTCGTCCTTCTTGTCCTCCTCAGCAGGCGCAGCAGCAGCCTCTTCCTCCTTGGGCGCGTCGCCGTTGGGTGCGGCAGCCTCACCCGAGGTCGACGTGCCGGCGGCCGCAGGCGCAGGCGACTCGTTGCCGGCGCCATCAAACATCTTGGCCCACTTGGACGCGAGCTGGCTCGAGCGCTCCCGGAAGCTGTACTTGTCTTCGTCGGGGATCACGCCGTCCTTCATGAGCGCGATGCGCTTGAGGACCTTGTTGAGCTTCGACTCCTGCGTTCGCGGCGGCGAGTCAGCACGCGTTCTGCGTGTCAGAGACGGTAAGACACACCTTGAGCCACTCCTCCTTCATCTCAAAGTTCTCCATGGCGTCAAAGTACTCGGCGCACTTGGACATCTCCTGCGAACGGGGACGGGGGTAAGCGAAAGTCGCGGCGGAGAAAGGGAAGGCGGACTGACCTCGGCTGCGGGGTCGGTCTTGCCGAGGAAGACCTGCAGAGTGGCTGAATTAGCGCGGGAGCATCAGGCGGCGTGGGGCGGACACACCTTCTGCAGCTTGTGCCGCCAGCTCTTGACGGTCTCGGCAGGGTCGTCCGCTGCTCCTCGTGAGTCGTCAGCTTCATCCAGCTTGAGCACGACGAAGCGCACGCACAGGCAGCAGCAGCAGTCTTGGCCTTCTTGGGCGCGGGCGCGTCGTCGTCCTGCCCAACCCTCGCGTCAGCCATCCTCCTCGCCCGCCAACTCACGCACACTCACCTTCTTCGCCTTGGTAGCCTTCTTCTTCTCCGCGCCCTTAGGCTTGTCCGCCTGCGCCGGCCTCTTCCTCTTCTTCCCCTCAACCTTGCTCTCCCCCTCCGCATCACTCGCAAGCTGGTCCTCCTCATTCGCCAACTGAGCCTGCAACTCGTCCCACTCAGCCTGTGCGTCCGCGCGCTGGCGGTTCCACTCGACTGGGTCCTTGGCGACGCTGTACGCGTCAAAGAGGTCGCCTTTCTTCTTCTTGCTGTCCGAGAGGAAGGCGTCGATTTCGCGCGGCGTGAGGACGAAGATGTCGCGAGAGGGGAGCCAGGAGCTGCGTCACCATCCAACTCCTGCATCAGCGCGCATCCTCGTCGAAGGAGAGGGTGGAACGCACTAGTCTCCGGCCGTGAAGAACTGCACGAGGTTCAAGTTCTTCCCCTTGGGAGGCTTCTCCTTCTGCACCTTCGGAGGTGCCGAATCGTGCTTGACGATCTGTTCCGCGCGCGTACGGTCACACCAGGCGAGTGAGGGAAGGGAGGGAGTCAGCGTTCCTTGACAAGCGGGGATCGAATCGGGTGCTGGATCGCCGTGTCTTGGCGAGTCGGCGGGCGGGCGACGTGGAGAGAAAGTACGGAAGAGTATGGAGACGCGTCTGGCGAGCCGGTCGAGCGCGAAGAGGAAGGAGGGGAGGACGCACCTGTCCAGGCCAGTTCGGGTAACCCTTGACCTTTCCCAGGACCTGCGTTGCGCGTCCACTCAACACAGTCAGCTCCCTGTAGCCTCTGTACCCTTCCCCCGCATTCCTACCACCGCGCACGCTCTCGACGCATCCCGCCCACCCGAGGGAAGAGAGGAAAGCGAGAGACGCACGATATCCCCCTCTGAAAAGACATGGTTCGGATCACCCTTCGGTTCCTGACTCTTCTTTCCCTTGGGCGGCATCCTGCTTCGGTGACTGTCTCGCGGGAAGGGAGAGGGGGGACGGGGGGGCTGTTTTGAGTTTGAGGGAGGACGGGCGGTGCGGTGAGGGGACAGGGGACGTACGGTGTGGGTTGGAGAGGGTGGAGAGGAGCGGTAGGAGCAAGCTGGTGGTGTGTGTGGAGGGGAGCAGGAGATGGGCAGAGGGAGAGAGCGAGGTCAACGGTCAACCCTTGGGCGCGGCGGGGCGGAGATAGGCTGCCGCGCGTACTGAGGCGGGTCGATGGGTGTGCTGGTGCACTCGATGTAGCTCTCAAGGGGCGTGTAGGAGCGCGGCAAGCACCGGGACGAGCGAGGGAGCTGGACGAGGTGCTCCTCTTCCTCCTCGTGGGAAAGAGGCCGGGTCACGACGAGCAAGTCGCGCCAGAGCTGCAGCTTCGAGTCTCTCCTGACAAACGACGAGCACGAGCACAACCGCCATCGACTCACGCAAACGAACCCATCGCTCTCTCCCCTCTTACTCTCCTCCTCAACCCTGAGGAACCGCAAAAGAAATCCTTTTGTTCACCCCTCCCTCCCCTCCCTCCCTCTACCCTCTAAGGGTGTGGCTTAGGCCTTGATAGCCGCCTGCAGCGCCTCATAAACCTGCACCTCGATCGCCGCTTCGGCCTTCTCCTCTTCCGTCCCGTTGCCGGACGCGACGCGTTGGGCTTCGGCGAGGTGGGAGCGGATTGCCTGTCAGGACGAGACGAGCGGGCGAGCGTCAGCTGGCTTGAGCGGGGGTGGGGGAGAGGAGGGAGGAGAGAGAGGGAGGAGAGGCGCGGGGAGAGACGAGGGGGAGAAGCAGAGGGTGGAAACGTGAGTGGAAGATGACTTTGAGACGAACCTCGGGCGAGAAAGCGTCGAGAGGGTCTGTCCCAACGATCCCCCACCGCGATCAGCCTCGAGCCAGAGAGAGGGAAGCAAGAGAGAAGAGAAGGGAGACGCACAAGCCTCGACGGCGTTGACGGTCATGGTGTTGTTACTGCACACGCACAAGGTAGAGCGCCGATCTCGTCAGTACCACCGCGAGCGGGTGAAGAAAAGAACGGCGACGCTGGATGGGGGGACGCACGGGTGAACGTTGGCGAATCCGCCCGAGACTGTGCGCAAGAGACCACGAACTTCAATCAGCAACCTTCCTCACAGCACGGAGGAAAGGACAGAGGTGGGTGATGTACGCACCAAACCACTTCTTCGACTCGCCCGACTCGACAACCTCGAGGACGCCGGGCCTGAGGGCTTCAATCGTCGGGACGTGGTTGGCGAGGCTGGTGTGCGAGGGAGCGAGTGGGGGGGTCAGTTGGGGTTGTTTGGGCGGGCGAGAGCGTAGGTCCTGAGGGGAGGACCGAGTTCTTGCCACCAGCCTGGCGCCATCCGTGTCCTCTCGACAGCACCATCGTCGAGTACGAGGTCTTGCGCCGTCCCTTTGTCTCATCGCCACCAGCCAGCTAAGGGTACCCGCAAGCGAGCGAGCGAGCGAGCGTAGGACTCACACACCGAGGTCGCCCGACTCTGCCGAGAGGTTGACCTGGACGACGTCCTGGGACTGGTAGATGGTCTGTGTGCATACGTTGACCAAGTCAGCACGAGGCGAGAGACGAGAGGTGAGGTTGGTGTGCGATGAGGGGTGGTCGGTCGGTGAGTGAGAAACGAGTCCACCTCGACTCGCCGCGACTTGGCTCGGTCGTCCGTGGTCCAGAGTGGGACTGTAGAGTGTGTCAAGGGTACGAAGGACTGACCTCGTGGGGGAGGACGAGCGAGAGGCGGAGCTTGTCGGACTGGCTGGCGGCTGCCTCTGCGTACCCGCGGCGGGCTGCGACGAGAGCGGCGGAGCGGGGGAGGGCTGCGCGGCGGAGGGCAGAGAGTGCGAACGAGGCCATCGTGAGCGAGTGAGTGAGCGTGCAACACACAACGAGGCCAGCGAGCGACGAGGAGGACGAGCCAACAGCTTTCGCACGACGAGACGTGGCACACTTTCGCACCTCGCATCCCTCCTCTAACTCACCAACCAGCGGCTCACTCTGCCACTCGTGCTCACACGCTCACTGGGACTGCTGGACGAGACACGGGAACTGCACACGGAACCATGTCGAACCGCCAAGTGGTGCGCACTCAGTCCCGCGCGCTCCCTCACCTCCCGCTGACATCTCCCACCCGCATCTCGCTCCCTGCGCCTACTCTTGGCTTGTGACCTGCTGTGACTCGCTGCTGTGCTCTTGCTGGACTCTTGCTACTCGCCACGCACGAACGACGCTCTCCCATCCCGCTCTGCCACCTCTCCTCCCACCCAACTCACACTCCGTCCTCGAACCCACGAACCCACCCACAGCCCCCCGTCTACCGCTCCATCATAACCGACGTAACCGACTCGATCCGTCCCGAATTCGACCAACTCGGTATCGAAGAGGCAGTCCTCCAGGAACTCGTCAGGCTATGGGAATTGCGGTTGGCCCAGTCGCGCGTGGCAGACTTCACGAGCGACGAGAGGATGGAGCCGGTTGCGAGGCAGTTCCCGATGGTTAGTTTGCAGGAGAAGGAGAGGGAGAAGAAGGCTAAGAGGGTCGAGGAGGAGAGGGTGAGAAAGGTGCGCTTCGCTCCGGCCTCTTTCCCTTTCCCTCCCGCTCACCCCTCGTTGTCCTGCAGGAAACAAAAGCCCGAAAAAAGCTCGAAGCCGCATCCAGCAGCGAATCCAAGCCCAAACCCTCGGGCGCCGGCGCGGACGAAGAAGACGGCGGTCTGGGCGACGAAGACGCGATCAACTCGGATTTGGACGACGACGATGACGATGACCTTGCGTTGGACGACGAGGAGGGCGAGTCGGGTGGTGGGGACTTTGTGTTGGCGTTGTACGAGAAGGTGCGCGGCTTGAACCCCTCCTCCTTCGCTCTCTTGCCTTTGCTGCGCGGGACGAGACTGATGCGAGTAAGGGCTTGATCGCAGGTCCAGCGCGTCAAGAACAAGTGGAAGGTGACGCTCAAAGACGGCCTCGCGAGCGTCAACGGCCGCGAATTCATCTTTGCCAAGTGCCAAGGGTCCGTCCCTCCTCTCCCCCTGCCTTCCGCTCCAGCTGTTGCTCACCGTGGCTCGTTTGGGCGGGCAGGGAATTCGAGTTCTGAGATGCTTGCACTGAAGGAGGAAGGGAGGAAGGGACGGAGGGAAGAGTCGCTTGTTTCGGAGCAGTCGCGCTTGTTCTTCTCCCTCTTGCGCGCGCCGAGGGCGCATTGTAGCACCATACGTAGTAACGAACTCGCATTCACCCAACGTCTTTGTCGAGAGCTCCCCTCCACTGTTTCCAGTCACCCCGACCCCGCTCCTCTCGCTCGCCTCTCTCTCCCTCTCTTCTTTCGCCGCGGCACCCCGCGTCGCGCCAGCTCAAGCGCGCGCTAGCTCCTCTCTGTGCTCGAGCTAGTGAGGGCAAAGCAGGCATGGCTGATCCTGATCCACCGCCCGCCGCGCCTCGCTCGACCAGCGCCTCCTCATCAGCACCCTCCTCGGCGGGAGGAGAGGCAGCAGGACCGGCGCTGTTGAGTATCCGTGGGGCGGCATCTGCGTCTGCGTCTGGCTCGACGGGCGAATCGCCTCTTCCCCCTCCCACTCCTCCTCCTCCTCCTCCTCCTGCCGCCTCATCAACCTCCACCGCCCAACCCACCACGACCACGACCACAGCGGCCAGCACCAAGCCCGTCCCAGCCCAGAAACGACCGCGGTTCTCAATCGCTCTCGCGGCTGCCGCATCCGCTGCCGCTGCCTCTGCCTCTTCGACCGCCTCGCCCAAGTCGCCTGCCAAGTCTCGCGTCCCATCCGGCGGGTCGAAGAACGTGTTTGCGATGACAGGCAAGGGGAAGGAGAAGGAGAAGGAGCGAAAAGAGGTGGGAGAGGTGGATGAGGAGGATATCAAGGCGTTGGAGGAGTTGAGGCGTTCTACGGGCCTTGTTGGGGCGGGTTCCGGACGCTCTGCGAGTCCGACCACGACGACGAGGGGTCCGTTGTTACCGCCTAAACCTGTCTTTGGAACTTCTCCCCCTCCCCCTCCACCCACGACGACGACGACCAACCCGCCCGCCGCAAACGAAGGGGACTTGATCCGCCGGCGCGTGAGCGAGGGGAACTCGTATTCGGAGAAAATGATGCGGAGGGATCGGGAACGGAGTGTTAGTCAGAGTCAGAGTGGGGGACGAGGGGAGGGGGAAGAAGGCGAGGAGCGGGAGAGGGAGAGGGAGGGATGGAGGAGGATGGATGAGAGGCCTAGGTCTCCGCCTCATGGCTCGTCGTCGTCGTATGCGAACGGACACGGACACGGACACGGACATGGGTACGGGAACGGGAACGGCTATGGACGCGGCGGCGAGAGGGAGAGGGACAGGAGGGACAGCTACGCCAGTCCTTCGAGGTCTGCGCGGTACGACTCGCCGCGCGAACACCGGCCGATGGCGGATTACGATCGTCAGTCGCAGTGGGCGTCGTACGACCCGTACGAAGGGCAAGTGGGTCTTCCGTACGACCAGGAGCCGGCGCCTTCCTCTTCGTCGCGCGAACCGAGGCGGCATGAGGACGGTCGCCGAGACCGCGAGGGTTACTGGGCTGAGCGCCGAGACGATCGGCGAGGTGACTACCGACGAGGCGATGACCGGCGAGAGGACCGGCGAGGCGACGAGCGCTGGCAGGGTCGGCGCGACGATGACCGCTCGTCGAGCAGGCGAGACCACCGCGACGACTACCCCCGAGACCGCGGATACGATCGTCGACCCGTCTCGTACCACGACGAAGACAGGGACCACCCTTCGAAGCGGCACAAGTCGGACAGGTCGCCTGCGCCTCGACGAGCGAGGTCGCGCGATCCGAGTCGGTCGCCTATAAGCGTGCACGACAGTCCTTCCGAGTCGGGGACGCCGCGCGACCCGTACGAGAAGAGCATCCTAGATCCTCGACAGCGCGAAGAGGTGCAGGAGAGGATGAGGTCGGGCAATGTGAGGAGGAACGAGGGAGCGATGCGGAACGGTGTGATGCAGGATCCCCGAGACCGCTACGCCGACCGCTCTGCGCCGCCGCCACCTCCACAGCCGCATCACCAGCACCAGCAGCAGCATTTCCCGCTTCCCCCGCCGCCTTCGCATCTCCCGCCTCCGCCTGCTTTCGTCCCGCAAGCGGGCTTCCCGCCGCCTCCCCCGCCTCCAGCTCTCCATTCATCTTTCATCCGCCCGGAACCTATCCACGCCCCTCCTCATACCGCCGTTCCAGCCGGATCGCGTCCCGCTTCTCAGCCTTCCGAGTCGATCAACCCCTCTCCAGCCGTCGGCGCTCCCGCTCCTTCTTCGTCTCGCGACGCCGCTCCAACTCCCGTTTCTTCTCTCCAACCGACTTCGTTCGCTCTGCACGCCGATCCCTTGCCGCTCACCATGCGCTCGAACCGAAGTGCGGAAGAGCTCTGGGTGCGCGAGATGAACGACGCCGAAGTCGACGAGCTCGTCGCTCGCGCGCGGGCCGAATCGTCGTCCTCGTCTGCGACGAGAATCGAGCGCAAGTACGTCGGGTGCTCGCATATCAGCGAGTACTCGCTGAATGAGAAGCTGGGTGAGGGGACGTTTGGTGTGGTCTGGAAGGGTATGAGGGGTGGGAACAAGGCGCCTGTGACCGCGACTGAGGCTGAGAAGGAGAAAGAGGAGGAGGAGAAGCTTGTCAAGGTTGGGTTGAGGGTGAGGAAGGGCAATGTGGTCGCGCTCAAGCAGATTATCTTTCACAACGAGGGTGACGGCGTGCGTTCTTCCGGTCTTCGCTTTCGTGTGTCGTGTCGCTCACCTGTTAATTGCAGCTGCCGATCACCTCGGTGCGCGAGATTCGCATCCTCAAGATGCTCGACCACCCGAACGTCGTTCCAGTTGTCGACATCGCCTACGAGCCCGGTTCGTTCATTCCGCCCACCTCCTCATTTCAGGTACTGACTTCCGCCGTTCCCAGCCGATGCCCAGAACTTCTCGCTCGGCAAGACGTTCATGGTCTTCCCCTACATGGACCACGACCTGGCGGGCTTACTCGAGAACCCGCGCGTCAAGCTCGAGACGGAGCACATCAAGCAGTACTCGAAGCAGCTGCTCGAAGGAACGGCTTACCTGCATCGCGTGAGTCTTGAGCGGTGATCTGCTTTCGAATGAGCGCAACTGACTTCGCATTCCGCATTGGGCAGAACCGCATCCTGCATCGCGACATGAAGGCCGCCAACCTGCTGATCAACAACAAGGGCCAGCTCATGATCGCCGACTTTGGTCTCGCACGCAGCATCGAAGCATTCGAGAAGAACGTCGTGCGTTCGGTCTCGTCCGCCTTTATCGCGGGTCCGACGTGCTCACGCTTCGTCCGGCATCACAGGAGTACACGAGCTGCGTCGTCACGCGCTGGTATCGTCCGCCTGAGCTCTTGCTCGGCGAGAAGCGCTACCACACGCCCGTCGACATGTGGGGAGTCGGGTGCGTCCGCTCACACTGCCGTTGCTGGAGCTGAAGCTGATCGAGCGCTTTCACAGCTGCATCATGGCCGAGATGTGGCATCGCTCGCCCATCTTCCCCGGCAGCTCCGACATGGACCAAGCCGTTCGGATCTTTGCGTGCGTTGCCAATCTCCGCTCGCTAGCAACTCCCACTGATCCGTCTCTCTCGCAGTTCGTGCGGACCGCCGACAGACGAGACGATGCCAGGTTGGCGCAGCTTGCCGGGCGTCGAAGGACACGAGACCGTCACCTGGGCCAACAACGGTCGTTCTGTTCGAGCCGACTGGGCGGGGTACGTCCGCCTCCTACATCGCTTTCTCTACTTCTCGCTGACAGCTCTTCACCTCGCAGCAAAGCGAACGACGACTTGTTCGGCGACCTGATGGACCGCATCCTCGTGCTCGACCCGAAGAAGCGTTTGACGGCCAACGAGGCGCTCGACCACGACTGGTTCTGGACCGAACCTTTCCCTTGCGAGCCGTCTCGGTCAGTCTTTCCTCTCCTTTGAGCAGTCTCGTCGCTCACACTTCGTGCAGCATGCCGACCTACGAGGCGTCGCACGAGCTCGACCGGCGCAAGCGCGTGCAAGACCAGCACGCCGCGTTCGGCCAGCCCGTCCAGCAGATGCAGCAGCCCATGCACGCTCGTCCCGCCATGCCCGGCTACGGCAATCCTCCCCCTCAGCAGCCTTACCCAAACCAGCACGCTTCCGCGCCTTTCAACGGTCCGCCCCCTCCAGCCGCATTCAACGGCCCGCCTGTCGCAGCCTACAACGCTCCCCCTCAGCCGATGGCGAACCCGTACAATGCTCCGGCGCAGCAGCCGTACGGCGGTGCAGGGATGGGAGGAATGGCAGGAGGAGGACCGCACCGCAGCTACGCCGCCGCAGGTCCGCCCGTCGCGACTGTCGGTGCTCGCCCGACGAACGGTGCGTATGAGTCGACGAGGCCGTCGTGGCACTCGCAGCCGGCGCGGCCGTACGGAGCGCCTCCAGCAGCCGCAGCACCAGGTCGCGGTCCGGTAGTCAACCTGAAGCAGCGGTTCGCGAAGAAGCATTGACTTTGCGCTTCGCACGCACTCTTCTTTCTGTACTCGCACCCTGCATCGCAAGCCTGTTGTCTCTCATTCATTCGCCGCTGAGGAGAGGAGACTGCCGAAAGACTGCGAATGCACGGCGAGGGAGGGACTACTGAACAACAGACGACTGCTCTACTCAAAGGGAGAAGGGACACATTCAGGACATGGCCTCGAGGTAAGGAATCCCCGTCAACTTGAACGCGCGCTCGCTCAAGACGGGCTTCTGTCGGGGCGTCCAGTTGTTGTGCGGGTCAAGCTCGCCATTCCGCTTCGGGGCGATGAACTGCTCGACGAAAGGCTGGAAACCTTGCGGCCAGTGAGAGTGACCCTTGGTGTTCTCGAAGAGCCACTTCTTCTGGATCAAGTCCTCCTTCGTTGCGGTCGAGACCGGCGCGTAGGCGGTGTAGACGACGAAGCGAGCCATGTCGCCCGTAGGAGCGACGTTGTAGTGAGGCGCGCGAGAGTCCCCTGCGAGGTGAAGGAGGTTAGGAGGCGAGTCTTTCGAGACGGAGGAGGACGCAACATACAGAGAACGAGGTCGCCCGGTCCGCAGTTGACCTTGACCCACTCGAGACCCTTCTCCTCGAGCCACTTCAAGCCGGTGTCCTTGAAGAGGTACATCTGCGGACGAGAGACCTGGTGAGCGCGAGTCGAGGAGGACGAACGGATTCATCGCACCTCGTTCGTCCAGCGGAACTCTTGCTCCTCGTTCTTGAATGCCTCGTGGTACTCCTTCGAGATGAGGTGGCCCCCCTTAAGGACCATGAGTCCTCCGTCGTTGTCGCCGCAAGGGTTGAGGTTGACGAAGCCCTGAATGCAGCGGAAGCCAGGACGGAGCGGGTCCTGGTCCTGGTGTGCCCAGGGCTTGACGGGAGGAAGGTCGCGGCGGTTAGGGAGCGAGACGTTGACGGCATCGAACGAGACGAGGAGATCCTCGGTATTGAAGAGTTTCTCGAAGACCCCGATCACGCCGGGCTCGGAGCGGACGCCCCAGGTGAAGCTCTGTCGTACACGACGTCGCCAAATGTCAGTTGGCCGAGCGATAGAGGAGGGAAGGAAGGAAGCGGACCTCGTGAGGAATTCCGTACGCTTGGAGGAGTCCCTTCTGGTGGATGATAGGCAAGCACTCCTCCTTGATAGTCGAAGGGTCGTCACGCTTGTAGCCAAGGCCAAAGTTCTCGAGCCATTGGTGGATCTCCTCTGCGAGACGGGCCGAGGGAGAGGTCAGGAGGAGAGAACAAGGGCGGGACTGTCGAAGCCAGCGACTCACGGACGTAGTGCTGGGCACGCTCGGGCGAGAGAGCGTTCTTCACGACAGCGAACCCGTCACGAACGATGTCGTCGCGGAAGTCGCCATAGACGGTCTTGCCGGAGAAGTCGATGCAGTCGAGTTCCGGGGTGTCGTGGGTCGTGTTGGCAGGGTTGGGGATGGGCATGGTAGCTTGTGCGGGAGTTGTGCGTGTGTGAAGGAGCTGGAGAGGAAGAGGAGCGCTGCCGCGGCGGTCGTCCGCTGCGAAGTCGTGCGGCTCAGATCCCACTCCGGATGATCTGCTGGCCCCGGCGCGCAGGCTCTGGCTCCACGGGGATAAGCAAAGTCGGCCGGTGGTGGGCGGGCGAGACGCGGGGGGAGGGGAGCAGCTGAAGCAACGCCAACACCGCGTCGCAGGCTTAGGTACCTTCACCAGACGACCCAGCAGCCATGCCTGACGCCAGCTTCGCACCCAACACTCGCAAACTCGACGTTGTGGTGATTGGCGGTGAGCGAGCGCACTCGAGGCCGTCCTGGCGCAACTCCGCTTTGGCTGATCCGCTTCCTTCCTCACAGCCGGCATTGCTGGATTGGCCGCCGCGACCGCCCTCCGCCGCCATAATGTCACCGTCCTCGAGCAGAGCCGCCTCAAGGAGGAGATTGGCGCGGCCATCCACCTCGCCCCGAACGCTTCGAAGATTGCTATCAAATGGGGACTCGACCTCGACAAGCTCGGCAGTCCCGAGGCCAATTGGGTGCGTTACCAGCTCTAGTACTTCCTTGAGCGACGCTGACGAGACTCCTCTGCCCGCAGTACCACGAGTTGGGCGCGGAGGGACACACTCACTTCCGGATTCCGATATTCGCAAACAAGGAGTTCGGCGCGCCTTGGCTGCTCAACCACCGCGTTGACCTGCACAACGAGCTCAAGCGGCTCGCGACGACGGCGGACGGCCCAGGAGCTCCTGCCACCATCCGCACCGCTGCGAAGGTTGTCCGAGTTGTGGGTCTGCCTACTGCCTTGTTCCTCGCAGTTTGCTGACACGAATCCAACTCCGCAGGACTGCAAAGAGGGCATCGTTGAGCTGCAAGATGGCGAGGTAATCAAGGCGGACGTGATTGTTGCGGCCGACGGCATTCACTCCGTCGCTCGTACCGCTGTCCTCGGAGACCAGCTCATCGCCAAGCGTTCAGGACACTCCGCCTACCGCGCTCTTGTGAATCCCAAATCGCCGCTTCGACAGCAAGGCGGCAAAAGTTGACCTTCCCTCCTCGCAGATCCCCGCCGACATCGTCACCGCCAACCCTCGGATCGCTCACATCGTCGCTGGCGACGCGCAAGGAACCGGTCTCACGACGTACATGGGCCCGGACCGCCGTCTCGTCGCCTACCCTTGCCGCCGCAGCCAGTATCTCAACATTGTCGCTATCGTCGTGCGTGCTCACCGCTTCTTCTCCGTGCTGACTCTCGCTGACAGTCCTCGTTACCAGCCCGACTCGGAGGCGGAGGGCAGTACGGAGCAGTGGCAGGTCCCTGGACGACCGGAGCAGCTGCTCGAGTCGTTCTCTGCCTTCTGCGAGGATGCCAAGGACATCCTCCGGTGCGTCGGCCCTCTCTTCAGCTTGAGAAGCATTGTCTCATGGACTACTCGCTCGCAGAAACGTCTCGTCGTGCGCGCTCTGGCAGTTGCGCGAGCAGGACCCGCTCGACACCTGGACGAAGGGCAAGGTCATCCTCATCGGCGACGCTGCTCACGCTATGCTCCCTCGTGCGTTTCATGTCCCGGCCATTGAGCAACGTCACCCCGCTGACGGTCACGATCTCGCACAGACCAAGGACAAGGCGGCGGACAAGCCATCGAAGACGCCGAAGCGCTCGAAGTCTTCCTCCCTCCTTCGACCTCCCCATCCTCCGTCCCGGAACTCCTCAAGCGCGCCGAGAAAGTGCGCTACGAGCGCGCCTCGCTCATCCAGGGTTTCTCGCGCGCCAAAGCTCTCGGACCGAGGGAGGGTGAGAAGGTTGTGAATGCGCAGGAGCACGCGCAGTATAACTTTGGGTACAATGGCGCCAAGGAGTGGGCGGAGAAGATGGGCGTCGAGGTGCCGGTCTAGTTGTCCTTCACTCTACTCTACTCTTTTCCTCCAGTTCTCTTGGTATCGCACCGTTTCTTCGCAGTCTCTGTAAATCTAGCCTGTTCATCCTTCTTTGTCCCTGCTCTGGGAGAGAGCCTTCGCTTCAACCAAAGCAATTTCAGCTTGCGACAGCCGGAACTGCTCAACAGGAGATTGCGAAGGCGCGGTTGAGCCATCGCGCGTCGGCGTCATTCAACGCAAGGACCTCCGGCTGGCGCTTACTACGTCAATCTCCGGCGTACACGACGAGCGGGAACACGAGAGCGCGACGGTGGAAGCTCCCGGGGGCGAAGCGGAGGGAGCAACTCGTTCGGAAGCGAGGAAGGCTGGACAAACGACCGACGATAACTCATAGCACAGCAGAACACACAAATCTACTCCTTACGCCATCCTCAGCGTCGAAGTCGGCAACACCTTCCCACGCAATTCGCCAAACCCAACCTTCCCACCCTCCTCGCCCGCAACCGCACTGAACACCACCTCATCGCCATCCTCAATCCACCTCCTCTCCTCTCCTCCAATCTTGAGCGGCACCTTCCCGCCCTGTGAGAGCTCGAGCATGCAGCCTTGAGAGCGATCGCCCATGTTGGAGATCGTGCCCGACCCGAGCAGGTCGCCTGTTTGGAGGCGCGCGCCGGAGTAGGTTTGGTAGGTCAGGAGTTGGGGGAAGGACCAGAAGGCTTGGGCGAAGTTGGCTTTGGCGACGGGCTCGGCGGTCGAGGGGTTCGAGGCGACTGCGAGGAGGGAATGGTCAGGCCGCGGCTTGACAAGCTCGACGGCGGGAAGACGCACGGTGGAGCGTGGTAGTGCACTCGATGTCGTAGTTCGTCTTCGCACCCTCCTTCTCGCGCAAGTACTCGGGCTCCTCGAAAGCCGTTCCTTCGAGCCTCGGCGGCTTGACGGTCGCGAACGGCTCAAGCGCCTCGGGCACGACGACCCAAGGTGAGATAGTCGTTGCGAACGACTTGCCATTGAAAGGCCCGAGAGGGACCATCTCGAACGCTTGCACATCGCGGGCGCTCCAGTCGTTGAGCAGGACGAAGCCGAACAGGTGAGAGGTGGCGGTCGAGGGCGTTAAGACGGTGCCGTCCTGAGTTGGCTCGGCGACGAAGGCGCCCTGTCGGATGAAGAGGTCAGCAACAGGCAAAGGAGGGAGAGACAGGAGGACTTACGACTTCGAACTCCCAGTCGAGAGCTTGGCAAGATCCGACAGAGACTTCGCGCGCGGCAGAGAACGCCCTCGTCTGTCCTTGCGGGCGCACAATCTCGTTCTTGACGCTGACCGTGCCGGCGCGGCCGTTGTAAGCCATCGGCAGGGCGTTCCAAGCAGGCGGCATCTGGTTCTGGGGGCCGAAAATTGCCCTGCCGGCGCCCAGCGCGTGCGCAGGGAAGATGGAGTAGTCGACAAAGTCGGGAATGCTGAAGGGAAGGTGCGTCTCGACCGAGTCGAGCGTAAGGACGGCGCGCGAATGCAAGTCGTCGGGGAGCGACGAGTTCGAGCGGAAAAGCGACTGGATGGCGAGGCGTACGTTCTGGCGGATCCTGGCAGGGAGTCCAGCGAAGTCATTGAGAGTCGGCTGTGTGTGAAGGAAGTGATATCAGCGGAGGAGATGTCGGGCGAGGAGGAGGAGGACGCATCACCTTTGCAAAGAACGACGTCTCCTTCTGCTCAAACGCCTCCGCCAGGAGTCCTGCTGCCTCGGGTACGCTCAAGTCGACTGCCCAGTCACCGAGACGTGTCGCTCCGACCCTCGCACCGCCGCTGCCCGCGTGCGAGATGATGCCGAACGGGACGTTGGCGAGGGAGAAGTGCGAGTCGGCGGGGATGTCTAGCCAGGACTGCATGGTTGCTGGCGCTGTCTGTGTGTCTCTGTCGTGCTGCTGAGCATCTCCAAGCCGCGGCAACGCTCGCACACCGCTGGTTAAGTGGGACGCCCATCGGCCGGTCTCTCCGGGCCAGCTTTTGTGGTCGATGGTTGCGCCTGAAGAGCTTTCCCGGGTTCTCTCTCTAGCTCACGCATCCTAGCCACCATGCCTACCACGTTCACCATCGCGACCAAGCCCATAGAGTGCGTCCGCGCCTTTCCACGGTGTCCGCTCGCCCCCACTTTGACCTTGTGTTGACCTCTCTTCCCTCGCGCAGCAAGCCGACTGTCGGCGTGAATGGCTACGACGGCTTCCACCCAGGCAAGACGACGCGCCTCGAGAAGGGCAGCACCCGCGAAGGCTTTGCGGGCGAACGCACCCGTCCTCTCGAATCCGACATCCTCCTCGAGCACGATGTCGAGCTCGTCATGCGCGACGGAGCCAAGCTCTACTGCGACATCTACCGCCCCGCCGACTCGGACGAGAAGGTCCCATGCTTGATCATGTGGTCGCCGTACGGGAAACGCTACTCGTCCATCAACATGCTTCCCGTCACGACATGGCGCTGCGGTATCCGCTCGTCCGACTTGAGTGGCTGGGAGAAGTTCGAGGGACTCGACCCCGCGACGTGGTGCCCGCGCGGATACGCCATCGCAAGTATCGACACTCGCGGCGCAGGCAACTCGGACGGTTCGGTGCAGATCATGGGCCAGAACATGGGAGAGGACGGTTACGACGTCGTCGAGCTCCTTGCGAAGAAGGACTGGTGCAACGGGAACGTCGGTATGGCGGGCAACTCGGTGCGTTAGCAGCGGCATCTTCCTGCTCACTCGCTTCCTCGACTGACCTTGCTTTCGCTCTCCAGTTCCTCGCCATCTCGCAGTGGCACATCGCAGCGCAGCAGCCGCCTTCGCTCAAGGCTATCGCACCCTGGGAGGGATGCGGCGACCTCTTCCGGTATGTTCGCTCTCCTCTCGCTCCGTCTCCACCCGCCGACTCGCTCTTCCCTCGCAGCGAGCAATTCGTCCGCGGTGGCGTCTTCGAGATCTCGAACATGGACCTGATCAACAAGCTCATCATCAAGGGCAACAATGGAACGGAGGACTTCTTCGAGATGTACGAGCGCGAGCCGCTCCAGTCGCCTTACTGGGCCGACAAGCGCGCCGACATGACCAAGATCAAGATCCCTGCGTACATCTCCGGCTCCGACTTCTCGTCAATTCACACCATGGGCTCGATTCGCGGCTTCTGGGAGTGCCAGGGTCCGAAATGGATCAGGTGGTCGGGCATTCAGGTGCGCTTCGCCTTTACATTCCCTTTCTCAAGTTCTTTTGCTGACTTACTCGACCTCGCAGGAATGGCACGACCTGTATTGCGTCAAGGAGTCGAACGAGGAGCTCCTCGAGTTCTTCGACCACTACCTCAAGGGCAAGGAGAACGACTTTGTCGCCAAGACGCCGAAGGTCCGCTGGGCACTCCTGCAGGGCGGCGACCGCGATGCGATTGAGAACGTCGAGATTCCCGACTTCCCTCTCCCCGACACCGACTACCGCGAACATTTCCTCGCGGCGGACGGCAAGCTTGCCGAATCAGCTCCGAGCCAGGCGTCGACTGTCTCGTACGTCTCGCGCGGCGAAGGCAAGGGCGTCGTCTCGTTCGACATCAAGTTCGACAAGAAGACGCAGCTCGTCGGCATCCCCAAGGCGATCCTGCACATGTCGACGGACGACCACGACGACATGAACGTCTACGTGACGCTCAAGAAGCTCGACAAGGACGGCAACACGCTCATGCACCAGACTGTCCCTCGCAACCGTGCTTGGGCGCCGACGCAGGCTGAGATCGAGCCCAAGGACCGCACTTCCCTCCTCCTTCACCCCGGCTCGCTCGGCGTCCTGCGCGCCTCTCACCGCCACATCGACGCCTCGAAGAACGTCCATCCCAACTGGCCGTGGCACCCGCACACCTTCGAGGAGAAGCTCAAGCCAGGCGAGATCGTTCGTCTCGAGATCGGGATCTGGGCGATGGGATGGACGTTCGACGAGGGCGAGGGTCTCCGCGTCGAGATTGGCGGTGGTCACGATATGAACCACGAGATTCGTCACTTCTCGACCAAGAGCGTACCCGAGGAGTCGCTCAACAAGGGCGTCCACAAGGTGCACTTGGGCGGCGAGTACGACTCGAAGGTCATCCTCCCCTTCGTCAACATCCTCTAGTCTCCCCGTTCTCCCTCTTACTCGGTTCGCTGTAGACGTCTTGACTTTCGTTGCATTCGCATTTGGTATACCCTGTCTTTCGTGACTCTCCTTGCCGCTCCTTTGCAGAACACCAGAAGCGAGAAGCAAAGACGCAAGCGCTCCTGCATTACCGCTCGATGAGGATAGGCACGACTTGGACGCCGTCCATGGACTCCCTGTCCCTGTCCCTCACACGCTCGTGCCCGACGTCGACCTTCCGCCTCTTTCCTTTCCCCTTCGCATCGTCCTCGCGCTCCTTCCGTTTCGGCGGATGAACAGCCTCGAAGCAAGACCGGCAGATCAGCGCAGGCGACTCGCCGAGAAGCTCGTCGTTGAGGACCGCAAGCTCGATCGCTTCGCGGTCGCAGACGATGCACCTCGACTGACCGATCTGGCGCGAGAGGTGCGTCGTGACTGGGTAGACGAGGCGGTGAGGAGGGGCGTCGTCGGCGTCGCCTTCGGGCGGGAAAGGGGAAGGATCGGACGGGTGCAAGTAGCTGTCGATGAGGAGGTCAGCCGGCCGCTTCGGCGGAAGGAATTGAGCAGAGGGATCGTACCGCACGTCATCGACGGTCCAGATGTGCTCCGAATTACCCTGGTGGACGAATAAGTACGGCTGGCCCATCCTGAGCGGCATCTCCCCAAGCTTCGCCTCCCTGAGCGGCGAGCCCCGGACGTAGTCAAGTTTGGATCCCGAGCGAGCGACGAGCGGTGGGACCTGCGACGCAGCTTGGATGGCGGCGGCGACTTCTGCGGCGTGATTGGCGTGAGGGTTCGGGAGGTCGTTGACTTCGACCGCAGATTCGTCCGCCGCGCGCTTGTCGATCGCAGCGATCCCTTTGAGGAGTATGCTGTGAGGTAAGCATGTCAGCGAGCCTTCTCGTCACGATGGAAAACCGGCACGCACTCGGCATAGTCGCTCACGCCCGGCGCGTCGTCCGCGTAGATCCGTCCTTCAGCAACGAAAGCCGCCCCCGTCACCCTTCGCTCGTTCTTCCACTGCGTCGGTCTCTCTTCCGCCTCCTCCTCGCCGGACTCGCCTCCAAAGTTCCCTGCCAGCCTTTGCTGCGGACGGTCGTAGACCTCAATCGCTTCCGGCTGCTCCTCCGCTTCGTCCTCGTCTTCGACCTCGTCTTCCTCCGTATCCTTCTCAGCCTCTTGCTTTTCCTCGTCATCCGATTCGCCGCTCTTCTCGACAGGGACGTTGTCGCCACCAATCATTAGGTTGGAGCGAATGTGCGAGAGCGTGCTGGACCCGAGACAGACGAGTGTCTGGCGCTGGACCGAGTAGGGAGTCTTGTGCACGATGCGAGGGATGGAGTGGAAGGTGATCGTGTAGACGAGGTGGGCGAGCGGGTCGGTGCGAGCGGGAGGCGCAACGTCGATCTCGCTTGGACGCTGCGAGACGTGGCGAGCAACCGAGTCAGTCAGAGCGTCCACGAGCGAGCTCCAAAGCGAGCGCACCAGCAGGATGAGCGAGTTGAAGTCGGGCATCTTGCTCTTGCGAAGGTAGTGACTGACATCCGGACGCCTGTGCGGTTCGAACGTTGTGAGCGGTCGTCCTGCCAAACTAGACGGGATACGCACTTGAGTAGATTGAGCCCGGATTGCTCCGCCTCTTCGAAAGCCTTGTCGAGCGCAGCCTGTCCCGGCAGCTTGAAAGGTTCGGGTTCGGGTTCGCCGTCTACCTGCGGCTCAACTCCCTGGACTGGCTTCGCCGCCTCCTTCGCCGCTTGCGCGCGCCTCTCGTGCGGACGAGGTGGGCGTGGACGGTTCGGCGGGAGCCAGCGGTCCTCGACCCAGTGCTGCAAGTCGGGGCGGATGAGCGAGTCGTTGCGGATCTGGTCGTTCTCGGCGCGCAAGTCGTCGACGCTGTGAGAAAGGTCAGCAAGCGCCCCTACTGCGAAGGGAGAGTCTGGACGGACCTGCACCTCTCCTTCAGGACCTCCTCGACCTCGACACCCAATTCCGACCAGCCCTGCTTGATCTCCGCCAGTTTCGACTGCGCCAGCGCGAGTGCGTCCTCCACACGCTTCGCAAAGGCAGCTGGGTCAAGCACATCGGACGGCGGGCCCAGCGGCTCGTTGTAGTACCGGATGTTCTTTGACGGGAGATTCGAGGGGGTGGCAGGTACTGCGCCGGGTGTGGGCGACAAGCGGGACGCGCCACGCACAGGACGCGGCATGTCTCAGCCCAGACAGGCAATCAGCAGCCCGCTCGAGCCAGAGAGCGGTGACGAGAAGGACGAACAGATGTCGGGGGGTCCCCCTTGACCTTGAACCGCTCACTTCGCTGGACGAACGGCCTCCGTTGGGCTTGTGAAGGCACTGAAGGGCTCCGATGACACCTTACTGAGCTGCTGCAGCTGCCTCAGTCGCTCCATATTGGACTTCCCCTCCTTGACCGCTTCATCTCTCGTCCGCACAGTTGGGCCCGTCTTGATCGCTACCGCATGGGATGCTGTCTTGAGGGTCTGTCTCCTGCTTGAACCGCACCGGAGCCGGGCAGCACCCGCGAAGGGTTTGCGGGCGAGCGCACCCGTCCTCTCGAATCCGACATCCTCCTCGAGCACGATGTCAAGCTCGTGATGCGCGACGGAGCCAAGCTTTACTGCGACATCTACCGCCCGGCCGATTCGGACGAGAAGATCCCCTGCTTGATCATGTGGTCGCCGTACGGGAAACGCTACTCGTCCATCAACATGTTGCCCGTCACGACCTGGCGCTGCGGCATCCGCTCGTCCGACTTGAGTGGTTGGGAGAAGTTCGAGGGACTCGACCCTGCGACGTGGTGCCCGCGCGGATACGCCATCGCAAGTATCGACACTCGCGGCGCAGGCAACTCGGACGGCTCGGTCCAGATCATGGGCCAGAACATGGGAGAGGACGGCTACGACGTCGTCGAGTTGCTCGCGAAGAAGGACTGGTGCAACGGGAATGTCGGTATGGCGGGCAACTCGGTGCGTCGCGAGGTCTTTACCTCACTGCCTTCCTCGGCTGACCTTGCTTTCGCTCTCCAGTTCCGCGCCATCTCGCAGTGGCACATCGCAGCGCAGCAGCCCCCCTCGCTCAAGGCTATCGCGCCCTGGGAGGGATGCGGCGACCTCTTCCGGTACATTCGCTTCCCTCTCCTCCTCCTTCTCTCTCTGACTTGCCTCATTCTCGCAGCGAGCAATTCGTCCGCGGCGGCGTCTTCGAAATCTCGAACGTGCACCTGATCAACAAGCTCATCATCAAGGGCAACAACGGAACCGAGGACTTCTTCGAGATGTACGAGCGCGAGCCGCTCCAGTCGCCTTACTGGGCCGACAAACGCGCCGACATGACCAAGATCAAGATCCCTGCGTACTTCTCCGGCTCCGACTTCCCGCCCTTGTTCTCTCCTCCTGACCTCTCCCTTGACCCGTCTCATCGCAGAGAAGATCCACCCATGGCTCGAGGATTTTGGCCTTGGCTACAAGCGTGACGACCCTTCAACCATCAAGGAGGAGTGCTTGCCCATCATCCACCAGAAGGGACTCCTCCAAGCGTACGGGTTTCCTCACGAGGTGCGCTTCCTTCCTTCCCTCCTCTGTCGCTCCGCCAACTGACATTTGACGACGTCGTATACGACAGAGCTTCACCTGGGGCGTCCGCTCCGAGCCTGGCGTGATCGGGGTCTTCGAGAAACTCTTCAATACCGAAGACCTCCTCGCCTCATTTGACGCTGTCAACGTCTCGCTTCCTAACCGCCGCGACCTTCCTCCCGTCAAGCCTTGGGCACACCAGGATCAGGACCCGCTCCGTCCTGGCTTCCGCTGCATTCAGGGATTCGTCAACCTCAACCCTTGCGGCGACAACGACGGAGGACTCATGGTCCTCAAGGGCGGCCACCTCATCTCGAAGGAGTACCACGAGACATTCAAAAACGAGGAGCAGGAGTTCCGCTGGACGAACGAGGTGCGTTGGAACCGTCCGTCCTCCTCGACTCTCGCTCACCAGGGTTCTCGCTCGCAGATGTACCTCTTCACGGACACCGGCTTGAAGTGGCTCGAGGAGAAGGGCCTCGAGTGGGTCAACCTTCTCCCTTCGAGTAGAGCACGTGTCTGTTGTGCAGTATTCCTCTCCCTCACCGTGCCTTCTCAATCTTTCGGCAGTCTCCTCGGTTCGCAAAGAAAGGAGAGGGGAGTGCCCGCACTCTCCACCTGAACGCATGCGCCGCAAGGCAACCTGAGCCGCAACACTCAGCCAAAGCGTCTCGTGTACGTGCCACCGGGCTCAGCCGTAAGGAAAACAGAACTCCGCAAGTTGCTCTTCGTCTACATAGTTTTCGCCTCTCCGCACCCAGACACTCCTCGAACGCGCGCTTAGAGCGCACTGGCACCGGCTGCGAGCGGACGAGAGCGTCAGTGGACCGTCGGAGAGAAGAGGGGGCTGAGCGGGCGCACTGATGATGTCGACCAACTCGTTCGTGATGGCGGCCTGACGCATGCGGTTGAACTGCATCTGCAGCTTGCCGGTCATCTCGTCCTGCGAGGAACCACATAGTCAGTGACTGCAAGTGCGCGAGAGTAAGGCGGCGGGTGCTCACGGCGTTCTTCGAAGCGTTCTCCATGGCGTTGCGGCGAGCCGAGATCTCGGCGGCGTAGCCCTCGACGAGACCGGCGTAGATGGCGTTGGCGAGCGCGAACGACGAAAGGTCGCCGGCGAGCTCGTCAGAGTCGACCTCGTACGCGGCGAACGCGGGCGAGCCCTGGAGCGCCTTCGTCGAGTAGATCTCGAGAGCCGAGGCCTCGTACGAGATGACGGACAAGAACTTGTTGTAGATGATCTTGACCTGCGTACGAGAGGCCATCGGCACGAAGCGTCAGTGAGCCGCCTGGAAGCACAAGCGGAGAAGCGCTCCACTCCAGCTCGCACGCACCTTGTCAAAGTCGAACTTCTCCGCCTCGATCTTGTCGGCGATGGCGAGAGCGTCGTTGAAGGTGGGGACGGACTTGCCGATCTGCGAGAACGAGAGCTCGAGGGCCTTGGCGCCCTCACCACGAGCCATCTGCTGCTTGGGCTTCTCGCCGAGCGCGACGACGCGGATCTCCTTTCCGGCACCCTCGCCCTTCTCGATGTCCTTCCTCGCAGCCTTAGCGACGGACGAGTGGATACCGCCGCAGAGACCACGGTCGGACGAGGCGACGATGTAGAGGATCTTCTCGACCTTAGCCTCGGACTTGGACGCCTCCGACTGCTCGAAGACGGCGTCGTTGGCCTTGCCGTAGGCCTTGGCGTCGGTCATGGAGCGCTGGGCACGGGCGAGACGGGAAGCGGCAACCATCTGCGGAGCAGGGGGGAGACAAGGTCAGCCTGCGGTTCCGCCTCGACTCCGAAAGGCCGCGCGCGCACCTTCATCGACTTGGTGATCTTGCCTGACAGCGCGGAAACATCGAATCTGGTCAGCCAAGCGGTTCACAGCAGAGTTGGCCTGCGAGCGCGATGACCCGAGCAGGGAGAGCTGCCCAGCGAATCGGCCCACAGCACCCAGGGAAGGCAGCGGTCGCTCACCAATGTTGCCTGCGAGAGCACACGGAGAGCATGGCAGGGTCAGCGAGCCATCCTGACAGGGAGAGAGCCGAGTTCCGCCAGGACGCCATCTCGAGTCGCTAGCAGACCTCGCTCGCCCCCACAACACCCTCGCGCCGGTTCGAATGGATGCCATGACTCACCGACCGACTTGATGCGCGACTCGAGCTCACGCAGGGTGGCCTGCGGTGCCGGGGTCGACGAGAAGGCACGGGCGGCCGACGGGGCGGCGGCGACGGCGCGGACGGCGGTGCGGGAAGTGGAGAGAAGCATGGCCGGCTGTGTGAGAGTGCTCTGTGGACCAGCCTGTGGCAGCTGCGACCTTGACCAGGAGCAAGAGGGAGCGAGGGGAGGAGGCGACCCCTGGTCTCCCAGCGCCAGCTCACTCGCCAACGCTGGCCACGCTCGCCACGCCACGCTGGGGCTCGTTCGCTGCTGCGAGGGCTCCTGAGCTTACTTCTCGGCTGCATTGTCCGACTGTCACACCTGCAATTGCTGTCGTCGCCAGTCTACAGCTCGCTCGCCCCGAATCCCCTCGGTCTCCTCCCTTGCTCTCACAGGGCAGGGCGATCGGCCGAAACGCGAGGAGAAGGAGCGAGAAGGGTCAGATTGGCTGGACGGACGTCCACGAGTTAGATACTGCGCTGGAGAATCGGGGCGTTGTATGCTCTCCCTCCGAATGGAGTCTCCTAGCTCTCGTCGCACTATGATTGCATCCCATGCGACCCCGACGACGCAAATGGACTGCCCGCTCAGACGCCCGCCGAACGCGCGATACTTGACCGCGCCTGGCTCCTGCTCAGCTCTCGATCCTCGCAGACCTCTTCCACCGAGCTTGAAGAAGTTGACGGATGCCACGCTAGTATACGCCATGCGGACGCCAGCCGTTGTACCTCATCCGCGCTTTCGATTGCGGCGGCGGGACTCGACGATGTACTCGCAAAGAGCGGGTCGATTATCGTCCTCCCTCCTCATGGGGCGTCTCCCTTACCTCTTGCTCCTCTCCGAGTCCGCCACACCCACTGGTGATCACACAGCTAACAGACTTTGCTGCACAGCGCTCCCGGCACGATAGGAGTGAACAAGAGCGAGTCGAGACGGAGAGAAATACCAGTGGAATATCGGTCTCTGCGCCCGGTGTAGCTTCGTTCGCGCCCGCAATGCATCATAAACTCCACTCATGCTGTTCAAGCACGGAGAGGACATAGAAAGCTGCGAACCCGACGACCTCGCCTCGTGCGAGTTCTTGAGCACCTCCCTCACACGACTCGACGGTCGACCTCGCTCGTATGCGCCTGTCACTGCTCCAGCAGCTCCCATCAGAGCTACTGAACCACCTCCTCTCCTGCCTCCCGCTCGACTCGCTCCTCGCACTCTCCTCAACCTCCCGCTCCTTCCATGAGCTCATCACCTCAACAACACTCCCACGGCTCGCTCGTACGGCATACGGCTACTCTCCACGCACGATCAAGCATCTCGGCTTCCATCAAAACGCGAGTTGGGTCCGACGGACGTTGTGGGCGAGGCAGGTTGCGAAGCGATGGGACAACTGGGAGGCGAGGGGGTTCATCGCTGGCGGGCCTGGAAGGGAATTCAAGAAGTGCTTGCCGACGATGAGGATGTGGGAAGTTGAGCGGGGCGTCGAGGTGGTCCTCGTGGGAAAGGGACGCGACCTCGAGATGTGGTTGACAAAAAGGGATGGCGGAGTCGAAGTTGTACCGGTCTTGATCGCGCCAGGTCGACAGCCGCGCAAATCTGGGAACATCGGCGGTCTCGAGGACGTCACCTCCCTCGCTCGCGGGACGAGACCAGGCGAGATCCTCGTCTCGCGAGTTTCGGGTCGTCTTCAGCGACTTCGCGTCGTCCAGCACCCCTCGCACGGCTCGCCACTCGTACTGGAGGAGACGGCGCAGTACTCGGCGGAGACCGGAGCCGGACGAACGGGAGGCGGCGGATTGAGCGGCTCGACAAGCATTCAGGCGTTGCACTCGGAGGGCCCGCTTCTCGTCGCCGCGTCGACAAGTCGGACGCCGCCATCATCGCGTCCTGCAACTCCATCATCCGCCCCCAACTCCACCGCCTCGCTTGCCCACACGCTCAAAGATCTGTCCACGTCCTCCTCGCACGCCGTCTCGCTCTATTCGATCGCTGCGCCATGGCAACCGCCGATAGTCCTCCCATTCAACACAAGACCTTGGAGCGTCCACGTAGGGCCGTCGAAGCGCTGGCTAGCTGTGGGCCACAGCGGGACGAGCCCGCTCTCGCTCATCCACCTCGACTCGACCGGCTCTCCCATGCTCCCCTCAACTTCGCTCGCTCATACGCCGCGGTCAACGGCTGTCTACGCTGTCACGACGCCGCCCGTCGACTCTTGCGGCTTTCTCAATCCAGAACAAACCCTTCTCGCCGCCTTCTACGACTCGACGACTCGCATCTACGATCTTCGCGTTCCCCCTCCACCTTCAGACGTCGTCTCAGCATGGGACCAGCCTCGCTTCGAGCGTCCTTCGAACGAGATCATGCGCCTCGCCGACCCGTGGTCCGACGATCCCGCCTTCTCGCTCGCAGTCGGCGGCACAGCCGGCTCGTACGTCGCAGTCGGTACAGCGCGCAACGCCGCCATCCGCCTCTTCGATGTTCGCCAAGCCGCATCCGGCGGGATCACGGCTTTCGCGCCTGGGCGGGACCGCTCGCCTGTGTATGGGCTTGAGATGGAGGGGTCGAGGTTATGGGGCGTCAGCGAGAAGAGGGGCTTCTGGCTTGACTTTGATGCGTTTCTGGGCAAGGATGACGGGGAGAGGGTCCCGTTCGTTGGGCATGTAAAGGGCGAGGGAGGAGCGTTGAGGTGGATGGGCGAGTGAGCCGGATTGTGTATCGCGATCCGCGTCTGAATTGCGACGTCTCGCGCCGCTATTCATCCCTCATAGGTGCGCTGCGCTCCGCTCAATCCACGAATGCTCTGCTTACAATCTCGCTGACCGTAGCCTACCTGCTAGACGCCCCTCGCCACGCTCCCGCCTCGGGTTTCGGCTTCTTGGCCTCACTTTGGGCCGCCTGTCGACTCGGTTGCGAACTATCCACGCGCTTCGTGCTGCCGCGACCGCTCGGCTGAGGGTTTGGCGAACTCCGCGCCTCCCACCGGACCATCTCCCTCTCGAGCAGATAAGCGGCACGATGCCCGCGCAAGCAGCTGTGTGGGAGTGCGTACTACAGAGCACGAGACACGAGGCACACGAGTACCCCACTCGTCGTCTCCGCTCAAGCCTATATCGTAGGCCGGCGCTCCAGAGGGTCTCCGCTTTTCCCTCCGTCTGCGCTCGCGACGAGACGGCACGACATGTCTAAAGCGCACATCCAGCATCTCGAACATCAGATGGCGGCTACGGACGCTCACGAGAAAGGCGGAAGGCTCGCCGTCGCCAATGGCGCTCAGCACGATCCGAATGAGCAGACGACCATCTCGCCTCGCGCCTGGGTTGTGATTGCGCTTTGCGCCCTTGCTCTGCTTCAGAATACGTTCTTCTCGTACGTGTCGATCTCGCTGGTTGACCTTCATCCACGCTGAGGAAAAGCGCTGACTTGACTTCCGCAACAGTATCGCCCCCGCCGTATGCGCGTACGCGATCGCTACGCCTTTGGGCGCCACAGCGGGACAGCGCATCTGGATCGTAAACGGCGTGCGTCCCTTTCCTCCCTCCACGCTTGCTCTCGCGCGCCCTCACTTCGCTGACGCTTTTGACTTCCTGCTCTCAGCCAGGCATACCGTCAGTCGTTGCAGGTCCAATCATGGGAATCTTCTCCGACATTTACGGCCGGCGATATGTGTGAGTCGGCGGCTCGCAAGACGCGAACCGGTCGAGTCGAAGGACGAGAAGAAGAACTGACTTCGCGCTTCGACGTTCAGCGTCATCTTCGCTTTCCTCATCTACTGCATCGCCTCGATTCTCGCAATGACCGCTTCAGGCGTACGTCTCGGTACCTGACAGGCGAGTTGCTTTGGCTGACTTTCCATCTCCAGATCAACGGCGTCATTGCCGGCCAAGTCCTGGGCGGAATCGGCTACGGCGTCCCCGGATTGATCTACGCTATTCCCTCCGAGATCGTGCCGGCCGTCTGGCGCGCCTGGGTTCAAACGGGCCTCAACTTGTGCGTTTCCGCTTCCAATCTCCTTGTCTGGGCCTGCTCACATCGACCTCGGCAGCTCCGCTTCTGTCGGTGGCATCGTCGCCTTGATGGGCATGGGCGCCGCGACCAAGGCTGACCCAATCAACGGCTGGCGATGGGTGTTTCGCACCCTCCTCATCATGGACGGTCTTCTCCTCCTCGGCTTCACAGCCTTCTACCACGTGAAGACGGCCCTCGTGCTCTCGTGTCGAGGGATGGCGCTCACTCGCGCTCTCGCAGCCCCCGCCTCGCACCGAAACGCGCGCAACCTGGCTCGAGAAGGTCAAGTCGCTCGACTGGATCGGCTACTTCCTCCTCGTCGCGGGCCTCGCCCCGCTCCTCATGGGCTTCTCGTGGTCGGCTGACCCGGACAAGGGCTGGCACGACCCGCACTCGTACGCCTGCGTCGCTGTCGGATTCGCTGGACTTGTCGCCTGTTTGCTTTGGGGTGCGCTTCCTCTCCTCACAGCTTGACCACCACATTTGAGCTTCCTCTCGCTCAGAGCTTGGCCACCACATCTGACCAACAACCAAACACGCAGAGTGGACGGGAACGTCACGAGGCTTCCTCGACCACCGCCTGTTCGAGCAAGGCCGCAATTTTCCTCTCAGTTGCTTCGTGATCGCTGTTGAGGGCGCTCTATTCTTCCTTACCAACAACATCTATGTGCGCCCAATCCCTCATCGCTTCCCTCGCTCGCCCGGCTGACGCGGCACTCCTAAGTCCGCCGAAGTGAACGGACTCTGGACCACACCCGGAACCTTGACAGCAAATGCTCATCTCCTCCCCTTCTACTGCGCCCTCTTCGTCATCGCACCCGTCATGGCGTGGTGTGAGTCTTGCGCCGTTCTCGTCGAGTGGCGGACACTGACCTCGTCCGCGTCTTCAGACGTTACGAAGCACAAGGACGTCAAGTGGCCGCTTTGCGCCGCTTTCCTCTGCTTCTCGGCAGCGATCATTGGTTTTGCGATGTCCGGTACGAACGGCAAAATGGCTCTCGGCTTGTGAGCAACACACTCCTTCTCTCGCTCGTCCAGTCGTTCTTCCTCGCTGACAAGCGGCTTTCTCGCAGTAACGCCGTCGCCGGTGTCGGCTTCTCTGTCATCCTCATCCTTGTCACCGTGGTCGTCCAGCTGTCCACTCCACCGCTCCTCATCGCTGCTGCGACGTCTGTCACGATCGTGATTCGCACAATTGGCGGAAACGTCGGCTATGCGATCGCTGCAGCCATTTACGGATCGCTCAGCAATACCCAGATCCCCGAGAACATCCGTAAGTCAGGCTAAGCCGTTCCGTCTCGCTTCATCCCCCCAACTAACGCCTCTCTCGTCCCGCAGTCAAGGCCGTCATCCCGCTCGGCTTCAACCCTCAATATGTCGGCCAGCTAATCGGCTTCCTCATGAGTGGCCAAGGCCTCGAAGCGATCCCCGGCGTCTCCGGCCCCATCCTCGGCGCCGCCTCCGCCGCGCTCAAGGAAACCGAGGCTCACGCGTACAAGATCACCTGGTTCAGCTTCTTGCCAGGTGCTATCATCGCTGCAGTCGGATGCGCACTCTTCAAGAACCCGAAGGAGAGGATGAACTGGCTTGTCGGTGCGTCGTTTCCTCCTACTCTTCTTTGCCTTTCTTAGCCGCTCACCTTTCGGCTACCCACGCAGACGCACCGCTCGAGGTTAAGCCGGCTGGCCGCGACAACGAAGCAGGCGTCGACACCGATTCAGTCCTCCAGGAGAAGATGTGATCTTGCGCCCCGAAGCTGTTTGGGTTTCGCTTTGCCTTGAGTACGTGGGCAGGCACTGAGCTCTGTGAAGTACAATCGATACCTTTGCTCTGTCTCGTCTGAACGAAGCGAGAGGTAGCGAGACACTAGGTACGATGGGACGCAAGGCCCGCCTCCGTTCTCCTTGCCCAGCTGGAGCCGTCAGCCTCTCGAAGCCCGCTCTTACATAGCCCAAATGGTCTCAAGTACAACCGGGGCGCGAAGCCTACGCGAACCCAAACATCTCCATCTCCTTGCGCCTCTCCTCGTCCCTCGGATCGGGGTTGACCTGCCTCTCCTTGCGCTGCTCGCGCTGCAACTCCCTCAGCAGCGGTCGACTCGGGTGCCGCAAGCTGCCAGTCAGATAATCGTCAGTCATGAAGGAAACGAGAGGGAGAGGGAGGGACTGACTGCATGAAGTTGCAGAAGCCGCCGCGGTCGCATTGGCCGAGGTCGTTTTGACGACAGCAGGCTTCGCGGAAGTCGGTGACGGGGGAGAGCTCGGCGTACAGAGGGCGACCTGCGGCGTGCATGTCAGAGCAAATCAGCATACGATTCTTCGAAAGAGGACAGAAGGTTGAGACGCACCGGCATACCACCGCTTGTTCAGCTCGTCAACCGCACGCTGCGCCTCGTCTTCCCAGTCGAAGCGGGCATAGACGTTGCCGATCAGGTGGTCGCCGACATTGTCGCAAACGTGCATCTCGAGCATGTTGCCGTACTTGACGAGCTCGCAATAGACATCCTCGTCTGCAAGGCGGGGCGAACGACGGTCAGTACAGTCGCAGCAGGAGGTAAGAGTGCGAGAGTGCGGGCGAAAAGCGAGATAGCGACGTACAGAACTTGTCGAAGAACTGCTGCGTCTCTTCCTCCGAAAGGTTGCTCTTCGGGTTCGGGTCGAGAGGCGGCGCGTCCTTTGGCCGCAAGTGCGGGTTCGACGTGGACCCCTGAATGTGCGCGGGATTCTGCGGGAGCGCGAGACCAGGTCAGTGGTGGAGGAGGGGAACGCGATTCGAGGAGGGACGCACTTGGTACATGTTGAGGATTACGATAGTCTGCGAATACTGAGGCTTGATGTGCTTGCGAGAGCAGCGCTCGCCGTGACGGCATGCTCCGATTTTGAGGTAGCTGTGGACGAGGACGAGGGAAGAGAGGGTGGACCAGGTCAGTAACTTCTCCTTCCGCTATGGCACCGTGAGAGGGACGCACAAACTACAGTTGACCTTGTCCTGCTCCGAACCGTCTGTGCAAGCGCACGCGGAAGAGACTTGTCAGCGATTGTCCCGGAAGCTCGTGGATGAAGTGGGTGGCAGAGATAGGTAGAGACCGCCGGTACGCATTGGAGCCTTTCTGAGCCTCCAAGAGTGTGTTCGGCGACCGCAAAAGCCCTGCCTGAGCCATCCTCCAGTCCCACCAACTTCATCTCCTCGAGCCCAGCAGCCGGATCCACCACGCGAACACTGCGCCAGGAGAATCCGTCAAAGCGCGCAGTGGGACTATTACTCACAGATAGCCGCCAAATGGGAAGCTCCACCGCCGTAGTGCCTGTCGCGAGCGAGTTGTCAGCTCGAGGTCCGCTGGATGAGATGAAGAGCGAGGGAGACTCACGCCATCGCTGTGGGTGTTTTGTGTGTGTGGGTACCTGCGTAATACAACAGCCTCTGTCACGAGGACTGTAAAGCGAGCGCGAACTGTGCGAGAGGGTGTGTGGTGCTGAGGAGAGAAGAGGGAGCGCAGGTTGGACGAGTGTCACTCACCGCTGCTGACTAAGGACGCTGCTGGACTCGCGCTGAGATGGAGAGGAAGGACAGGGTCACGCTCACACAGCTCGTGCGCTCGCTCGACGCCCAGCTCCCGCTCATCCGCGCCTCCTCGTCATCCCCACACCCGCAACTCGACTACCTCGCGCTCCTCAGGCTGCAGAGGGTGCGTGGGAGCTTCCGTAATGCGCTCAAGCTCGTGCTGACGCTCGTGTCGAAGCAGACCGCGAAACATGCGCGACAGCTGCTCGAACAGGCGCGCGACGAGCACGAGGAGGAGAGCAGGCTCGCATCGACCAGGTGCGTCTGCACTGTCCACGTCAAGATGTGACGGTACTGACGGTCATGCGTGCTTGCAGCCACGCCCGCCCGAAGCGAGGCAGCCTTCTGGACCTCGACTCTCGCCTGACTTCTGCCGAACAGGCTCTCGCGCACTTCTCCGACCCTGCTTCCGTGCGTTTAGTTGTGACAAAGGCACGGGAGCGTACATTGGCTGAATCTAGGTCCTGCAGCTCGCCCAACTCCCTCGCCCTTCCTTCCCCGACCCGCTTTTCAGCTCCGACCTCGACTTTCTCCGCCCCTCCGCCCCTTTACCCTTTGGCTTCCCCTCCGAACCGTCCACACCCGCTACTCCTCCTCCGAAAGAGCGCGAGAAGCCCTCCGCGCGACGAGCCGCGCTCGGTGTTGCTGCCGGACAAGCCGATGAGGAGAAGGAGAACGAGCGACCTGTTTCGCCGGTCAAGGCGGGCGACGAGGCCATCGGATCGACAGCGTTTGGACTCCGATCGGCCGGTGGAGTGCGGCATCGTGCGGCAGCAGCAGGGGCAGTGCCGCCTTATCTCGCTGCGAAGCGGAAACGGAAGGAGAAGGAGCGGGAGAAGGCAGAGAGTCCTGATGCAGATGACGCGGTGGACGAGAAGAAGAAGGACCGCTTGGCGGCGGCGGCGGCGGCGGACGACCTCCTACCAGCCGACTCGGGCACGTCCGCCACAACCTCCGACCTCCTCTCTCACCACCACGCTCTCCAGTCCACCCTCCTCGACTCGCTCACCTCCCTCTCCGGCGCACTCAAAACCTCCACGCTGACGTTCTCCGACTCGCTCGCAAAGGACAAAGAAGTGATGGAGAAGGCGAAGGAGCAGCTTGAGGGGAACATGGGCACGATGGTCGGCCAGCAGAAAAGGCTCAAGGACGTCAGAGGCAAGACGCGCGGGACGACATGCTGGACTATTGGGCTGCTGGCGATTGTCGCGGTGCTTTGGGTGCTCGTGTTCCTCCTCATCAAGGTCACGTAGCGCGGCATGGGCGGCTGGCAACGTATCGACCTCGTTCCGTTGACCGCTAGTCGCGATTTCGGCGAGGATGAAAAGGTAACCGCGATGCGCGGTGCGAACACACAGACTCCGCCATCCACCGACTTGACCCTCGCAGCTGGTTTCCGGTTCTTACAGCAACTTCCCTCGAGCCCATGTCGGTTCGTGCTCACGGGCTTCCCGGCTGTTACGCAGGACGCCTACTCGGCGATGCGCCCGCCTTGCCGCAAAGGCATCGCTGCCCGACTACCTCGTCCCGACTTCCACCCTCTTTCGTCGACCGCATTCTGCTTCGGGCTTTCCCAGCTTGTCGCCGAGGCACTTAAACATTCATCGTGCGCTCATTCTAGCCACAAGGGGACGCCCTCGTTGACGCTTTGCGAGGCAGACGCATTAGAGAGGAAAGGGAAGCAAAGGGAGTGCGTCAGGGCGGCGTTCGTGTCCGTTTGTGAGCGGCCCACGCTGCGCATTCTGTCACAAAGGACCGCCAGAGACGGCAGGCGTACCCCCGGAAGCCGTGTGAGAGCCGCACGACACCCTCGAGGACCCCTCCTCACCTCTCTTTCCCTCCTTCACCTCACTCGCTCGCTCGCTCGTTGCCAGACAGGCTCGTATGCTGTCTTGCTGGGTGCTTGGACTGCCTAGACATGCTCATCACGACTGCAGCCAATTATCTCGACTCGGCAAGCCCCCCTCGCGCCTCGTCCCGCCATCTCGCCTCCAACGACGCTCGACTGCCTCTCTCGCCTAATGGAGGGTTCGGACCGTTACAAACGCCAGCCCAGTCGACTCTAATGCCATGCATTCTGCCGTCATCCAGCCCTCTCGACCAGCTAATGCGAGGCGGGTCGGTCTCTGTCCACGGAGGGCAACCCAGCTCGCTCCGTCCTGCTCGCGGCCGGATGGGGCAAAGGCCGTTGCGCAGCGTTGATGGCATGAGTCGCACATCAACGAGGAACGGGGGCCCGTTGCCTGAAGCGGGCGATTCACGCGGGAGAAGACTCGCTCGAATATGAGGGCCACGCTTTCGTGCCCGGCGGGCCCCTGCTTTGTTCGTCTGGCGCTGCGACGGAAACCTTCTTTCGCTCTATCGTTTGTCCTGCTTCCTTGCTGCGGCTCTTGGTCCCTCGGTCACGACGCCCCCCTCTCTTCCCTTCTTCCCTCTCTTCCCTCCCTCTCACCCTCGTCCTCTTCGTGTTTCGCCTCAGCGGCCTAGACGGTCCAGCTTTAACTCGCCCCTTTCGCCCCTGCACCGGTAGCTGGTCTACCCTCGCAGCCGTCCGGCCGAACCCTTCGTCTCCCGACACCGCTCTCGTCGCCGCTCTTTTCACGCCGCGCCCATCGACATCCGCCGTCACCCTCATATCGCCTCTTAAGCAGAACCAGGATGCGCACCTTCTCCTTCGGCCTCACATCCGCCGCCCTCCTCTTCTCCGCCTCTTCCGTCTCGGCCATCCCGACTCCTGCCCCCATCGCCGAGCCCATCGTCGTCCTTCCTGATGGCGCCACCAAGGTCTCGCTCTTGCATCGTCGCGGTAGCGCCGAATTGATGAAGGAGGACGGGACGGTCGATCTCGGCAAGGCGCATGTGCGTTTCGTCTCGCTGGCTCTGCCTGCTTGCTGTACTCGAGCGGGCTACTGACAGCGATTACCCTTTGACGCAGGCCCACCTCGCTCGCGCTCGCGCAAAGTACGTCCGCGGCCTCGATAACTTTGCCCTTAACACCGGCGAAGCGCACTTCCTGGCCCCATCTTTCGTCGACCCCTCGCTCATTCCGAACGTCCCATCCGCCAAGCGCGACGCTTGGGGAACGGGCGAGGAGTCGTCTCTCGAGTTCCCCGCTGAGGCCGAGGCAGGCCAGAACGAGCGGCGCGACAAGATCTTTGGCCAGAACGGCGGGCGTCTTCACGGTGTTCCGCCTGCGACTGCATCAGCGACCGATCGACCAGTCGCGAACCGTCGGGCGCTCAAGAAGCGATCGGTCACGAACCCGAAATACGTCTACAACCCCAAAGCGCACCCGTCTTCATCGTCTGCTCAGGCGGGAGCGACGGCGGCGGTCAAGAGGGGCGGAGCTAGCTTGACGAGCTACAACGGCGGGACGCTTTACGCTGGCGCTGCGACGATTGGAACGCCCGCGAAGAGCTTCATCCTCGACTTTGATACCGGGTGCGTTGGACTCGCGCTCCGCCTATGCTGTGAAACGAATCACTGACCTCGTTCGCCTGCTGCGCAGCTCGTCAGACTTGTGGGTCACCTCGAGCGGCTGCAACTCGGCCGCCTGCAACACGCACTCCAAGTACGACCCCTCAAGCAGCTCGAGCAGCCAACTCGTCGCAGGCAAGACGCTCAGTCTCACCTACGGCGACGGCAGCTCGACCAAGGGCACCGTCTACACCGACACGGTCAGCGTCGCCGGTCTCAGCGCAACTTCGCAGACGCTCGGCGCAGCTACCGCTCTCACGTCTGATTTCCAGAACGATCCGTACGACGGCTTGCTGGGCATGGCTTTTGCCTCCATCTCGACGCTGGGCGCCAACCCGTTCTTCCAGACCCTCGTCGCGCAGGACAAGGTCTCGGCGCTGCAGTTCTCGTTCTACCTCGCCAACTCGGGGTCGGAACTCTACCTCGGCGGACTCAACTCGGCGCTGTACCAGGCTGGATCGACGAAGTGGTATCCGGTCACGAGCCAGAGCTACTGGCTCCTCGCGTCGCAGGCGAATGTTGGCGGCAATGCGGTCAGCAGCGTCGGTACCTTCAACGCGATTATCGACACTGGCACCAGCGTCATTGTTGTGAGTCTCGCTCGTTGTTTGCGCTTTAGCAAACGGCAAGGCTGACCTTCCCTCCCTTCCCAGGCCCCGACTCAAGCAGCAGCCGCTTTCTGGGCTGCAGTTCCCGGCTCCGGCACCTACGGCAGCGGCTACTACACCTACCCCTGCGCGACGCCTCCCGACGTCTCCTTCTCGTTCGGCCCGTCGTTCGCCGAGCAATGGGCTGTCTCGAGCGAGAGCCTCAACCTCGGACGGGTCAGCTCGGGCAGCGACAGGTGTGTTGGTGCGGTCGTTGGGGCCGACATCGGCATCAACGCGTGGATCTTGGGCGATGCGTGAGTCCCGTCTCTTCGTCGTTCGTGTTGCGCTGCATGAGCCGAACGCCTGTCCTCCTCATTTCTATTCGCTGACCTTCTCTGAACCTCTCCAGGTTCCTCGAGAACACCTACGCTAGCTTCGACGTCTCCACCAACTCGGTCGGCTTCTCTGACCTGGCGTAGAGCCGTCTCGTTAAGATGGCTCGCTCGCCTCGCCCTCTCGTTCCCTCGTTAACTTATGCTCATGTTGTACTCGTCCGTCCCGCATGTCGTAATCTCTCCATTCGTTCACAAACGCTCTGCAACCGCTGCTTTTCGTTCAGCCTTCGCACAGTCGTGCCTTCGTTCGCTCCTCGTTCTGGCCTCGCTCCTGCTCGACTCGCCGGAATCTCACCGCTTTGGAAGCTTCTCTCGCTTGCAACATGAAGGGTTTCAAACGACTCTTCCTCGAATGACGACGAACCGACGCATCGGACTCTGCTCTCGCTGCGATTTGGGAAGGCCGAACACGCTTCGCTCGCTCACCGACGGCGAGCGGGCTGCGAGGGAGGCGAAAGAGAGTTCGCTGTTTCAGCTAAACGAGCGAGCGGTGCGGTCACAGCCGACGAGCAACCTCCACCTACAAGTCAGCCGCTCCCCACTCGAGGACAGCGAGCGGACGGGACCACACTTCTCCCTCTCACCAACCTCTCTTTGCTCACCTTGCTTCACTCACGTCTCTCCATCGTCAAAACACACCGCTACCACTCATCATGACCAAGGTGCGCCACCGTCTCGCGTCGCTGTTCCTCCTCCTCGTTTCGCTTCCCCACATCGTCCCCGCTCTCGTCGTCTGCGTCGCCCAGAGGGCTCTGTAGCTGACGAGGCACTCTCACAGGTCCTCGTCGTCCTCTACTCGGGCGGAAAGCACGCAGAGGAGCAGCCCAAGTTGCTCGGAACCGTTCGTCGCCTCTTCTTCCCTCGTCATGCCCCTCGCTCTCCTTCGCTGACGCTTCCGCTCCTTCCACAGGTCGAGAACGCTCTTGGCCTCCGCCCGTACTGCGAGAAGCACGGACTCGACCTCGTCGTCACCGACGACAAGGAGGGCGACAACTCGACCTTTGCGAAGGAGATTGTCGACGCCGATGTCCTCATTACGTGGGTCTTCATTTCGTCGTATTTGTGTAGAGGAGTCGCTCACGAGGACTACCCTGAACAGCACCCCCTTCCACCCGGGCTACCTCACCGCCGAGATGGTCAAGAAGGCGAAGAACCTCAAGCTCGCCATCACCGCCGGCGTCGGCAGTGATCACATCGACTTGAACGCTGCCAACGAGCACAAGATCACCGTCGCCGAGGTCACGGGCAGGTGCGGCGCTTTCACGGGTCATTCGCCCTTCCGACTTGACCTTCCCTCCTGACTTGCTTCCCTCTCCCAGCAACGTTGTCTCCGTCGCCGAGCACGTCGTCATGACCATCCTCGTCTTGGTCCGCAACTTTGTCCCTGCGCACGAGCAGATCGTCTCCGGCGGATGGGAAGTTGCGGCTATCGCCAAGGCCGCGTACGATCTCGAGGGCAAGGTCGTTGGTACGCTCGGTGCCGGTCGCATCGGCTTCCGCGTGTTGCAGCGCCTCAAGCCGTTCGACTGCAAGGAGCTCCTCTATTACGACTACACCGAGCTTCCCGCCGAGGCCGCGAAGGAGGTCGGCGCTCGTCGCGTCGAGGACCTCAAGGAGTTCCTCGGTCAGCTTGACGTGCTCACAATCAATGCGCCCTTGCACGAGGGAACGCGCGGCCTGATCAACAAGGAGACGCTGGGATACATGAAGAAGGGCGCCTGGATCGTCAACACGGCTCGCGGCGCCATCTGCGTTGCGGAAGACGTCGCGGACGCCGTCAGCTCTGGACACATCGCTGGTTACGGCGGAGACGTCTGGCCGAAGCAGCCGGCGCTCAAGGATCACCCGTGGCGCAAGATGCAAAACCCGTTCTCGAAGGGAGGGAACGCATTGGTGGCGCACTACGTAAGTCCAGCTCCAGGCTCCTAAGCAGCTGCCACGCCACAATCCGTTGTGGTCGGCGAAGTCCGCCAACCCTTCCCTCCCGACCTTCCTACCATTCCTCCTCTCTCCTTCCTCCCCTCTCCCAGTACTGACGCCTTTCTCGCTTGCACACAGTCTGGCACAACTCTCGGTACGTCACGGTGCAGCTGGATCCGTACTTGCTGCGAGACTGACCTCTGCTCGATTCTACAGATGCTCAGCAGCGTTATGCCGACGGAGCGATTGACATCCTCGACCGCTGGCGCAACGGCAAGGCGCAAGAGCCTGCAAACCTTATCGTTGAGAACGGCGAGTTCAGCACAAAGGCTTACGGACAGAGGTCGAAGAAGTAGCCGAACTCGTCCAGAAACGATGTGTATCCGTGACCTTTCCTCATGTCCTGCAAGCGTTCAGAGAGTTCTGAGGAGTCTAATTGCGAGCTTGGGCGCCGAAGGAACCGCTGGACGATAGTTGAGACCAAGGAGGAGGGGTCGAGGAGGACTTCACTTCCGACCACTCACCACTCTCGCTCGCCGGGCTCCATCCCTTGCTTAGCCTGCTCAAATACACGTACACAACGCCAGATCACCGTCGCTAGCCCCGCCAAGCTGCCGCTACCTCGCCAGAGCTTCATCAGTCCAACTTCCGCCGATGGGAACAACCGCCGAGGGCACGCCTCGCGGGGGCTTGCGGGCCAATTGAAGCGGTGACTGCAGGTCAGAATGATAGCTCGGCGGTCGGACGGCGCTCACGGTGCCGTGTGCAAGGAGCACGGGCGGATACTTGCTAGAGGGGTCAGGCTTGGACGGCTGCTCGCGTCCAGGGATGGCTAACAGGTCCTCGAACCGCTTCAATGAACCATCTGAGTGCGACTCAAGCCGGCCGCAGGCCATCGACGCGACGTGAGCGAGCAGGAGGGCGCTCAATGTCCCCTCGAAACGTGCTTTGGGCGTCCCTCGCTTTCACTCTACCGCCTGGTGCCTTCTGACGCGCGGAAAGCGGAACAGAGCGGACAGTCGAGCTGGACGTGTCCAGGACTAAGCGGCCGATTCCACGCTCGTCATCGTCCACTCGCTGGCGACTCGCTTCTTCTTGGCCGCACTGGGTATCTAGCTCGATCTGCATTTTGCTCGCCTTCCACTGCGCTTGACGCTATTCGTGCTCGCGAGGTGAATCGCACACCGCAACGCCGTCCAGCTGCTTGTCGTTGACGACTTCGTTGAGCAAAGTCAGACGGTCTGCTTTTTTTCTCCTTTGCGATCGTCCTCCTATACTCTACTCTTTCTGTCGTGCTGTACTGCACCTCCTCTCGCTCCACGAGAATTACCCGGACTCCATGGACTTCCGTATCGATTGTTGCCAAGTCTCTCACCGCCCCACCTCGTCACGCTCCTCCCCGCTCTTCTCGCTGCGCTTCAAGCTCGCTGTCAAAGGCTAGACAACGCACTGTAAGGTGCTGTATCCGCCGCAACTGCCCGCTCGCCCCGCGATGCCGTCCAACAACGAGACCGCCGGACGCTCTCTTCTCGCGGACGTCGAAGCTCCCGCCAGCGACCTCTTCACGCGCCATGGGTACCGCAAGCACCACGAGGGACACAAGTACCACCCGAAAACCGTCCTGCGCGTCGTCACCCGCATCCAGGCGCTTACGCTCGAGCTGCTGCCCATACAAGTCGACCTCGGTGCGGTTCTTCTCGTCCTTCATCCAGGGTCGGTGCCGAGGGCCGAAAAGGCGCGCTCAAGCTTCTGATGAGGACTGCCACCCATTCCCGTGCGACTTGCCCGCTGACACCCGCTTCCACTGCCCACAGACGATATCACCTCGCCAACGTCGTCCATCATCACCAAGGACGTGATCGAGGCGTACAGCTCGGTCGCAGGCGACTTTTACGACTGCCTCCCGTTCGCCCTCCTCGAGGCGAGGCGCTACTTTGCCCGCCAGCAGCGCATCAACCCCTCGGACGCCGACGAGAATGCCGGTCGCAAACTCGCCTGCGAAGCTCTCGCTCGCAAGATTGTCGCCCGTACGCCGATGCAGGACCAGTACGGTCTCCTCTCGAGGCGCTTCACGATCGTCGAGTCGGACGGCGACGAAAGCCTCCCGCTTTCGGCGCTCGAGAGTGCAGTCGACCAGCATGCGACGTTCTTCCTTTCGTCGAACGAGGCGCAGCGTTGCGTCTTTGCGCTGTGGAAGGGCCTCCTGATCCAGACGCAGAAGGGCAACGAGAACATCGAGTACCAGAGTGCGTCGAGCGCTTAATCCTTCCCTCCCTTCCCTACGCTCTTCCAGCCGCGACTGATCACGAGCATACACAGTCTATAAGGTCGACGCAGACCAGCAAGGCTTCCTCGCGCACTTCGACCCGGCGCGGATCTCGGTACCTCGCTACCAATTCTTCATACGCATAGCGCTCTGGATCGTCTTCCTAGCCTGCTACACTATCGCCCTCCAGACGCCCGACCGCGGATTCGGGCCTGAAGACGTTCTTCTCTTTGTGCAAGTCGTCGGCTACGTCGTCGAGGATGTTGTCAAGGTGTGGAAGATCGGCTGGTGGGCTTGCGTGTCGTTCTGGCAGATCATCAACATTCTCATCTACACGTTCGCTACGGTCGCGTTCGTCTTCCGCTGCTTCGATCTGGCGACCAAGGATCCGGCTCAGCAGGACCGTTACCGCTACGCAGCATTCCGTATGCTCCCTTCCCCTCTGTTCTCCACCGCTTTCTCCTCTTCGCGTGTCTCACGGACAGCAACACTGACAGCGACCACGCAGAATGGCTCTCGCTCGCGGCGCCGCTCGTCTGGGCCAAGCTGCTCACGGTATTCGACCTGTACCGCTTCTTCGGCGTCACGCAAAGTGTGTCCCCATTCCTTCGTTCTGCGTACTATACGCAAACTGACGACGCCATGCCTCGCACAGTCGTCATCTGGCGCATGCTCAAAGAATCAGCCGTCTTCTGCCTCCTCCTCGCCATCTTCGCCATCGGTTTCCTACAAGCCTTGACTGGCCTTGACGTCGCCGACGAGCGCCGCGACTCGACTCACGGTACGTGCGCCCTGCTGCACCACGCGACCCTCCGCTGACCTCCCTCGTTGACCTCCCTCGCCCTCCAGCCGTCGTCCACTCGCTCATCCAGGCGGTCCTAGGCTCTCCCAACTTTGACTTCTACGATTCCGACGCTGCCTCGTACCCATTCGGCATCATCCTGTACTACGCTTGGTCGATCGCGACAATCGTCATCCTCCTCAACGTCCTTGTCGCGTTGTTCTCGTCCGCCTGTGCGTGCAGTCTACGCATCCTCCGCGGCATCCTTACTGACGACCGAGGCTCCGGCTCTCGCAGACGAGGAATGCGTCGGTGCGTCGACACTTGCCACTCTCCTCCCGGCGAAACGTGCTGACCTCTCGTTTGCTCGCAGACGAATCCGAGCCGACCTTCCTCGCCTTCTTTGCCGGCAAGACGGTCGCAACTATCCGCGCGCCGGATGAGTTCGTCTACCCCGCTCCGTGCGTCGAGTTGCTTGTCTCACTGCCCGCTTCCACCAGAAACTAACACGCTCCGCCTCGCAGATTCAACGTTTGTCGCGCCTTCTCGTCTCGTCGATGGACCAACTGCTGACATATTCTCTCGACTCGCAGCTCATCGAACTCTGCATCCTCCCGCTCGAGTTCTGCCTTTCGAAGGAGAGCTACGCCCGCCTCAACCGCGTCCTTATGACCGGCCTCTTCTTCCTCCCTCTGTGCGCTCCTCCAGCTCCCTCACCTTCTCCGAACTGACAACTCTCGCTTCCTGTCGCAGCGGCTTCATCGCCTTCTGGGAGACGCACCTCTCTCCCCTCCGCCAAAAAGACATGCGAGACCTCCTTGTCGAGCCGGACGAGTACCAGCAGCCTGAAGAGGATCCAGAACCGTTCCGCACTGAGGACGGAGAGGAGGACGAGTATGACCATGCGGGCGAGCCGGAGGGGATGCAGATCAGCAAGGTCAAGTTTGAGGACTTGAAGAAGAAGTTGCCGGTGAGTGGCGTTCTTTCTCGTTTCCTCCGGGTTCGCTGCCGTAGCTGATGGTTGGTTGGGCGCGCAGAACCTCGAACGCAGCGTCGCCGGCGAAACGCTCTACCAAGTCCGTTACCCCTTCTCGTCCACCCTCCTTCTCTCCTCCCCGCTAACAACACGACGCGAGCAGCTCCTCGACCTCAAGAAAGAACTCGCCTCTCTCCGCGCGGAAATCGCTTCGCTCCGGAACGACGAGGAGAAGCGGAAGGAGGAGGAGGAGAAGGCGAGAAAGGCGGGGGAGGCGGCGAAGGAGGAGAGGGAGACGGATCTCGAGTAGAGCAGCGGGTGATGGTATCTCTCGTGACTTTGCGAATTCATCGCTATGCGAAGACACGAGCGGCGGGCGATGTGAGGAGAACCATGAGCGAAAGTGCGATGCAAAGGAGCCTCATCGAGAGACGTGGGCGGCGGGAAAGGGTATACAAGAGGGGTAACTAGTGGTGCATGGGGTAGCAAACGAAAGATGAGTGTAGGATCCGACGTGAGATCTAGAGAGAAACGGGAGGGGTATGAGAGTCCAACGAGCGAGACGAGTCCATCCAACTTCCGACCAGATTCCGACGAGATAAGGTACTCTAGAGCGCGAGACCAGTCGCGAGGACACCGAAGAGGGCGAGGAGCCCGGGCACGACAGCCTGCGAGGCGCCGCTCTTGGCTGCGGTCGTAGCCGCCGCCTGCGAACTCGTCGAACCAGTCGTCTTCATCTGCTTGACCGCACTGGCGCTCGGGGCGGTAGAGACCGTCGCGCCAGAGATGGTCACGCCTCCCGACGCCTGGGCATCGAGGATCAAGCGACCCGAGTTCGGCGCGGCGGTGGGAGCAGCGAGCGAGACTGAGCGGGTGCCAGCGGCCCATTGGGCGTAGTTGGGGTAGACGTAGGAGCTTTGTTCGACGTAGGGTTCGGTGTTGCTGCGTGCGTGCGTCTCGTCAGCTTGAGGAGGGCGAGAGTGGAGGTGAGAGAACGAACTTCATGCAGACTGCGACGGGGAGAACGCCGCCCGTGAACTGCTTCATGATCTGCGGCAGGAACTCTTGACTGAGCTGCATCGTTCCCGCGTCACTGTCCACCCAGTCCAACCATCAGCATCTCTTCCGACAGAAGACGAGGAGAAGAAGAAAGGGAACGCACATCTCGTGCGTCAAGACGATCACACCCGAGTCGTCGTACGCTCCAGCAGACTGGTTGTTGAGGATCGATTGGTAGTTCTTTCGAATGGCGGGGAGACCTTGGGTGACCCAGTTGTAGTCGTCTGTATCGGCGTTCCAGCTGGGAACGCGAGCGAGCGTTAGCGAAGCGCAGGAGGGAGAGGAGGGACGAGAGACGGACATGATTGTACGCATGTCGAGCGCTTCAGCGATGAAACGGATGCGGTCGTCGACATCGCCGTACGGAGGGCGCCAGCACCTATTCGCGAGCGTCAGCGAGCGCCAAAGGAGGAGAGGAGGGAGTGGAGGACGCACCGAACCGTGATGCCGAGGACTTGCTTGATGGCTTTTTTGGAGAAGTAGAGCTCGGCAAAGGCTTGTTCGTTCGTGAGCGAGGTCATGTCTGTCGGGAAGCGAGGGTCAGCGGAGCCGCAAGGTACGAGGTGATCGGTGAGGATTCAGAAAGAAAGGGAGGATGGAGGACAAGGGAGGGATGGACGAACAAGGGTGCGACCAAGTGTGCGAGCAGATCTGTCCACCGCACAATCTCATCAGCTTCTCCTAGACTCGGAAGGGAAGAGGAGCAAGCGGACGCACCTCGTGTCCATCCGCCAAACCCCTCTGCGCCTCCAGCGGCCAATCCAACACATTCGAGCCAATGTCTGTTCCGCAAAACCCACGTCAGTTTAGGTGAGGGAGGGAAAAGTGAGGAGGGGAACGGACAAAAGAGCGTGGCTTTCTGGTTGATCGAGTTCAAGTAGTCGAAGTAGGCGTTGTGCGAGCAGTTGGGTCCTGCGACGTCCTTCCTCGTCAGCCTACGTTACTCATAGAAGGACGCGAAACGCACCATCGTCCAGCGTAAATCCCCACGTGTTGGGCTGGTCGCACTTCGTTACGTCGTCCTGGAGGGAAGCGATCTTAGGCGTCGTGCAACGCGTGTAAGTCCACCAGCAGTCGGGGTCGGAGTTGCCGTCTGCGCGACATCAAGCCGGTCAATCAGGCTTATCTGTGAACGAGTTACAGTAGGGAACAAGCGCACCGTAGACGACGCCCTGGAAGTTACCCGCCCTATCGCCCCTCGGCTGGATCTGCGGAATCGTCGCGTTCAGAGCGCGGAACAGCGCCTTGTCGTCTGCCGAGATCCCTCTAAGTTAGGGAACGTGGGGAGCGAGAGTCAGCGCTAGAACGGCGGTTACGGAGTTGCGGTACCGAGGGGGACGCGACGGAACGCGCGGAAGATGAAGGGGTCCACGACAGCGGAACGAGGGAGGGCGAGGGACGTACGCGGCGGAGAGGTCTGCGGTTTTCCAGATGGCTGGGTACGAGCCAATCTGTGTTCACAGTATCCCAGGTTAGCTCTTGCGAGGGGACTGAGCGGGGAGCGTAGAGGAGGTGATAAGTGGAAGCGAGCCGCTCACGATGGCGTTGACGGGCGGGTACGAGTAGTAGGTGCACTCTGCGTTGGGATCCTTGATCTGCTCCTCGCCCTGCCACGTCGTGCGGTCGTAGGCTGCAGTCGGTGCGGGTTGCTTCGAGGTCGCTGCTGTTGCTGCTGCGTTGACTGCCGAGTGAGGGTGCGAGTGTGCGCCCGAGGCTGCCCATGCCAGCGAGGGCAGTGCGAGCAGTGCCAGTGCCAGCATGTTAGTGTGTAGCGAGTGGTTATCTCGAGTTGAAGGAGTGTGCTCGGGACCAAGTTCGGCACCAGCACACGCGGCGTGCAAGAAGTCACGTGCACAGTTGACAAGAGCACGGTCTTACAGGCTACCAGTATCGTGTAACACTCCCTCAGACGCAAGCCACCCTGGCTCGCCACCCACTCGCCCATGTCGACCTGTACGCCCGCCTGAGCCTCCCCGCCACTCCTCCGCCCTCGCAAGCAGACATCCGCACGGCCTACCGCCATCTCATCCTCCGCCACCACCCCGACAGAGCTCTCCATGGGCAGGATGAGCAGGGGATTGGCGAGGCACGCGAATTGAACGAGGCGTGGGAGGTCTTGGGCGACGAGGAGACGAGGGACGAGTATGACCAGGCGAGGAGGCGTGCGTTCCACATCTGAAGGGGTGTTCCAGGGCTGCTGGTGTACTGACAGTGTCTCCTGACTGGGTGCAGAGTACTTGGCAGCGTCGCGCGCCTCGTCGAACGCCTACGCCATCTCGCTCTCCCTGGATCTCTTCGAACCACACTACGCCTCGCTTTCCTCCACCTCTCCTTCCAGCTCCTCGCCTGAAGACGAAGAGCCAATCTACTACACCCACCCCTGCCGCTGCTCCTCGCACTTCCTCGTCACGCGCGAGCAGCTCGAGGAGGGCGTCGAGGTCGTGGGGTGTGAGGGCTGTAGCGAGAGATGTAGGGTCGAGTATGAGGTGGTGGAAGAGTGAGCGGGAGTGTGTGGTAGGCTCGGAGCGTTTGGAGGGGCCAGGCTCGTGGTAGAGGATGTATAAACTGCATTTGAGGAGGGAAGGGATGGAGGGAGGAGGAGTGAAACGCTGCGTTCTGGGCTGGCGCCATTCTTACTGTCTTGAGTGAGCTACAGTGAGCCTTTCTAGCTCATCTGCAGACCAGAAGCGCGAGTTGTGCCACGTTCGTCGCGTCCCTCGTCCTCCCGCTCTTCGTCGACGCGACTCCTCTCGCTCGCTCACCAATCCGCTCGCGCCGCTAGGCCTTTCCTAATCGCTCACCGGACTCATAGACCCTTGCTTGAGCTACTTCAGTCCCCAGGCCTCCGCCTCGCGCCTCCCTCACCTCGCGCACTCTCATCTCTCAACTCCACCTCCTCCGGCCCGAAACACACGATGACAGCGATCGCAGCGCATCCGCCCGTGTCGGCAGGGTCAACGGTGGGACAGGGGTCTCGAGGTGTGTTCTGTGGCTCCCTGCGCAGTGGGAGGAGAGCGAGGGAGGGGGGTGTTGATCGACTTGCTCCGAGTCTCGAGTGCCTCGCCAAAGGAGTACTGACGCTTTCTACGTGTACGCAGACGCCAGCACCTCCCGCCCACGTCCTCCACGACCCAACTTCTTCTCTCCGCCCGCCTCCTCCCTCCCCCCTCCCGCATCCTCCTGTACAACCCGCCCTCCCCGACAACCCATGGCCGCACTCCTCTCAGCCCACCGCTCCTCAGCCCACCCACTCCGATCAGATTGCGACGCCCCGCTCCTCCCCCCCGTGCCGGAGGAGAGGTTGGTCAGGGATTGTTTGTACCTCTTCCAGGGGATTGATGGGGAGTTTGTGCGCTTCAAGCCTGCGAGGTCGCGCTCGCCGGGTCCGCACCGTACCTTCCTCCGAGGGGAAATCGCAGTACACGGGCCTGCGGCGACAGACCCCGTCGAGGAGGAGGAAGACGAGGGCAAGTTTGAGCAGGGAATCGAGTGGGTCCTGCACGGGACCGGGTACAGCGTCCCTGCGACACAGAGGGCGTTGGTGCATAGTTTGAGTGAGGTCGGGTGGTTGTTCAGGAAGATTCAGAGGGTTCTCTCAAGGGCGGAGGGAGACAAGAAGGGCAAGGGCAGGGCAAGGGGAGGGATGGTCGAGCAGAGTTTGGGAGCGGAAGTTAGGAGGGAGATGACGGAGTATTTCAGGCTCGTTGCGCGATTGGAGGCGAAGCTGGAGGAGGTACCTGAGCAGCAGGAGGAAGGGGAGAAGGAGGAGATCGAGGGACTGGGAGACGGCCTCACGTTGCGCAAGTTGGATGTGTGGACGAGGGACACGAGGTTGAGGATGCGGATGATGGCTACGCTCGTGAGCGACATCGCCGGCAGCAGCTCCTCAGGTCCGTCCTCCTTTTCGCACTCTCTGCCTCGCCCGCTCACCCCTCGAACCGCGCAGTGACCGAAACCTCGCCCCTCTCGCACCTGCACGCCTACACGACCCACGGCGACCCCTTCATCTCCCAATTCTCATCGCACCTCCTCTCCACCCTCTCGGCGCCGTTCTTCACCACCCTCCGCGCCTGGATCTATGCCGGCGAGCTACAAGATCCGCATGCAGAGTTCTTTGTCGTCCCCGCTTCGAGGAAGGGAGAGGAGGAAGGGGAGGAGGTGGCGAGTCATGAGTTGTGGAAGGGAAAGTTCGTGTACAGGGAGGAGATGGTGCCGAGCTTCCTAGGCGAGGCGGTGGCCCGGAAGGTGCGCTCGCTCCACCCCGTGTTCGACGAGTGAGGATAATGCTGACGAATTGTATGTGCGCAGATCTTCTCGACGGGCAAGAGCTTGAACTTTATGAAGTACAGCTGCGCCGATGCGGCGTGGGTCATGGAGCGCAGTCATGCCGACCAGCCTGGTGCGTGCGCCTCACCTCTTATCCTCCCGCCGCGCTAACGCTCACCGGGACAGTCCTGCGGTACACCGACATGTCCTCGCTCGAGCACTCGATCTCGCTCGCCTACATCGCCGCCTCCCGCCGCGTCTTCGAGCTCTTCTTCGACAAGTTCCGCCTCATGGACCACCTCCAAGCGCTCAAGGACTACCTCTTGTTCGGCAAAGGCGACTTTGTCGAGATCCTCATCGAGCAGCTCGGTCCGTCGCTCAAGAGGCCTGCCAACACGCTCTATCGGCACAACGTCACTTCAGCACTCGAGAGTGCGATCCGCGGGTCCACGCCGGCCGGATCTGCGGCGCTTTCAAACGTCCTCCAGCGCCTCGACACCCGCGTCCTCGACTCCGAACAAGGCCTCATCGGTTGGGACGTCTTCCTCCTCGAGTACAAGGTCGACGCGCCGCTCTCGACGATCCTCGACCCGGCGAGTTTGGACGACTACCGCGCGCTGTTTAGGCACCTCTGGACGATCAAGCGCGTCGAGTACACGCTCAACGAGTGCTGGAGGACGCTCATGACCAAGATGCGGCTCCTCAAGAAGGGTTCCGGTGCGTGCGCGCTGCACCACAATCACGAGGATCGGCGCTGACACGCCTCGTTCGCCGCGCAGACCTCGCCTTTGTCCTCCACCAAACCCGCATCACGCTGAGCGAGATGATTTTCTTCGTCCGCCAAGTCGAATCGTTCTGCCACCTCGAAGTCATCGCCTGTCAATGGTCCGACCTCGAGGACTTTATCGCCAAGAAGGAGGGCGACCTCGATAAGCTCGTCGATGCGCATCGCAAGTTCCTGGAGAAGTTGGTCGAGAAGGCGTTGCTCAAACCGCAGGGGCGCAGGAAGAAGGAGACCAAGCCGTTGATCGAGCAGCTGCGCGACGTTTTCAAGATCATGCTCGTGCATGTCGCGGCGGCGGTGGGTCTCGCTTACATCTCTTTCCCCTCGGCTGCGCTGACTCTACCCTCGCTTACAGGAGGACCTATACGCCTTCTCGATGCAGTACGAGTCGTACGCCCGTGCGGCAGCCAGCACCGCTCGCGTGCGTCTCGCGCTCTTTCCCGCTCTTTCCCTACTCACCCTCTCTCCTGCGCAGGGCCAGCCTCCACTCGCCATCCAGCGCCCGACGACCGCACAACTCGAAAACCTCGAAGAGCGTCTCGCGAGTTCCGGCGCTGCGTTCCGCGAACAAGCCAAGGACCTAGTCGTCGCGCTCGACCGGAGTCCCGATCTCGACTTGCGGTTCCTCGCTGTGCGGTTGAACTTCAACTACCAGTTTCGTGAGTCGCTGCTTGGCTGTTTGAGCTGGGAGTGCGCTGACGAGGGTCAATGCGCAGGACCGGACCCTTCGAGCACGAGGTCGGAGGTGTAGACGCGCGAAGGAAGCCTCTCCGCGTCGTTGTCTCTCCTCTACAGAAATTATGCGCTTTGACTGCCGGCCTCTCCTTGCATGGCGCCACGATTGGTTCGATTGCTCCGCTAACTCAAGACTGGACCGCTTTCCGAATCACATCGTGGCGTGCTGCTTCACACCCTCCAGAGGTGGCAACCATCCGACGCGGTCCTTGGTGAACAGCTCGACTGCACCACCCACCGCAATCCGCGGGTCAGCGATCTCTCTCGGGAAGATGAGAAAGAGCTCGAGACGCACTGTCGGGTTTGAGAATCGACTCGTGCAGGCTGAAGTCGTCAACGGCGCCGACTCGCACAAAAGCTAGGTCGGGCATGCCGCTCGACACGCGGTACATGAGCCGGCCACAGTTATCGCACCAGTACTCGGTCATGGTGTGTTCGTTGCGCGGCGAGCCGATCGTCTCGGACTGGCCGAACGACTTGACGGCGTCCTTCCCACGCACGTACTTGAGGTGCGAAAGCGCGACAGCTGCCGGCGGTGCAGATGTTAGTCCGCCGCAGGCCCGAACCCGAACGGAGAGAGAACGGACGCACTGAAGTTGGTCGCAAACATGGATCCACTGATCTTGCGGCAATCGGTGCAGTGACAGACGAATGTGCCCTTGAATCCAGGTCCTTTAGTCGGCTACAGGACAGCAAGTTAGCACGAGAGGCAGCAACAGGAGAGGTGTGGAGAAGGAAGCGCACGACTGAGATCTGCACCTTGCCGCAGAGGCAGGTTGCAGACGCCTCCTCGTCCTCGCCTCGCCTGCTGAAGCCATCGTTGGCGTTCTCGGTGAAGAGTGGAAAGACGGGCTTCGACTTGTCCGCCTCGACGACCGACGGGACCAGCTCGGTGTGTTTCTCTGACGACATGGTATCGGTGGCAGTGCTGGTAATGTTGTTGTGCAGAGGAAGGCAGTGCGACAGGCGGGCAGAGAGAAGCAGAGCAAGCGAGAGAGGCCGAGATTGGGAGATAGTCGTGGAAAGCGGGGGCAACCATGGATTACGCCATCAGATGATCAGGATCGGTAAGCGATATGTAAGCCTCTGTAAGCAGTTATGCAAGCACGCGATAGGCCGCGGGAAACGGCAAAACGTGCGGGATTCGTCGGGCATTCCCAAAGTTCCGCCCCCTCCTCCGCCCTCCCTTTCACCTCTTCTCCCTCCTTCCATCCTCGCTCCGGCACGCTACACGCTCTCGAAGTTGACGTCCGCTCCCTTATCCGCCCCCTCGTCCGCCGCGCCGTCCAAGCAGCCGGGCGGACCGCCCTTGTGTCCGCCCTTGACTCCTGCCAGATAGGAGGCCTGGTCAGCCCGCTCATCCGCCCTCGCCGCCGCCTTCCCCGCAGCCTTCCGCCCTCTCGTCCCGTCCGCCCTGCCCTCAGCCTCCTCATCCGCCTTCCCCAGATCTCTCCTCGCTCAAACTCCGGCGCTTCTCTGGCTCGAAATGATCAGCAGAAAGTGGTGCTTGTTGCGCCATGCTCTGGCCCACCAACGAGCTGTCGAACCCGAGTTTTGCATTCGCTTCTGTCCACAGTGCAAGACGCACCGTCCTCAGCACGATGCGAGGACAGACGGCTGGCGCGGTCGATGTCGGGAGTCTGCAACGAAGCCAATCGATACTGATTTGGGCTCTGTTCCAGAAGCGAGCGGGAAGCGGGAGGGGAGCGCTAGAGAAGAAGAGAGAGAGAGAGAGAGAGAGAGAGAGCAGGAGCTCGGGGTCTACAGCTAGATCGATCATCCAACATCCGTCCTCCTCAGTTCCACCGCAACCTGTCTATCCGTGTCCGTTCGAGAGGAGTTGAGCGAGTCAAGTCGAAGGCGAGAGGAGCGAGAAAGGCGAAGTCGAGGCGACCGAAAGAGTTGTTGAGGTGAGCGGGCGTAGCACACAGGATCTCTTCTCGTCTTGCCCCGCTTTCAGCGCTACAAATGACTGAATTACGTGCACCAGCCACTCTTGGCGTCCACCAGCTTGTTCTCTCGAGCATACGCTATAAACAGTACGTGGAATGGCCAGTCACGCCCGCTGTTTGAGCCGAACTCGCTCGCACGCCTGCTCTGGTCTCTCAGCGACCGCAAACGCTGTCCCGGGGCTACGCGCTTGTATTACTCACTTTGCTGCAGTGCATGGGTGTGGCTATGAGCTGGTATACGTCGCCTATGGCTACTTTCGGCTAGGAAGGTCCGGATCAATTTCTTGTGTATCCTGACTCTGCGGAGTCAGCGTCCCAGTCCTACAGGCTTTGGAGAGTCACTTGGCACCTTCAAGCGCACACGGACGACGCCGTTTGCCTTTACACCCTGGCAAAGCGGGTCCAGTCCGTTCCCTCGCTCTTCACGCCTTCTCCTGCGTCTGGCTGGCGTGACAGTCTTGCAAACGCAGTAGTACAGTCAGGAGGCGGTTGACGGCGCCTTGCGAAGCATGTTTGGAGGCAGGATTGACTCGCAAGCGGGAGAACAGCAGGGAAAAGTAACGACAAGAAGCTGTGGCCAGATACGGTCGAGAGTCTCGGGTCTCGGAGGTGCATACTGAGCAGCGATGTAGGCAGAGAAGCACCACGTTCTGCTGGTCATTTCGAGCCAGAGAAGCGCCGGAGTTTGAGCGAGGAGAGATCTGGGGAAGGCGGATGAGGAGGCTGAGGGCAGGGCGGACGGGACGAGAGGGCGGAAGGCTGCGGGGAAGGCGGCGGCGAGGGCGGATGAGCGGGCTGACCAGGCCTCCTATCTGGCAGGAGTCAAGGGCGGACACAAGGGCGGTCCGCCCGGCTGCTTGGACGGCGCGGCGGACGAGGGGGCGGATAAGGGAGCGGACGTCAACTTCGAGAGCGTGTAGCGCGCGCACAAGCGGGTCCGACGGCTTGCTGCTGGCTGCAAAGCTAGATCTTGGTGCAATGAAGCTCGCGTATCAAGCGCAGCGTGCCGGAGCGAGGATTGAAGGAGGGAGAGAGGTTCAAAGAGCGTCTTGCGAGGGCGGAACTTACGACATACCGGGGATTCGTCTTTCCTCCTCGCGCCCGCTCATCGCTCATCGGTTTCACCCATGACTCCCCCTGCGGCGCACTGCACTTGATCCACGGAACTCCTTTACATCGATATCCTGCTTTACAGCCAGCAGCAATCCGTCGGAACCGCTTGTTCGCGCGCTACACGCGGTTAGGTCTTGTAACGTCTGCTGCTGTACCTTACGCGCCTTTCGGCTCCCGCGGCGCAATGTCTGTCGACGATGCGCCCATCGCCGCTGTCAAGCTTCCGTCTCCCTCTCACGGCACCGCTTCTTCCGACGTCGGTCCTACCGACGGAGCATTGGACTCGCTTGGAACAGTGCGGGAGGGTATGAGGGCGAGGAGATGATGACGGGCGGACGGAGCTGTGGCAGCAGCCGACGTCAAGGCGCCCGCTCCTCCCTCCGCCTCGACGAATACTCCCGCTTCGGCTCAGTCCGCTGCAGCGTCTGTGTCACCCTCGTCTGCGCCGTCTGCGCCGGTTCTCAGGTCGAACGGAGAAGGATCGGAGGCGATTCCGCCGAACAAGAAAGTCGACCCGACTGCGCTCGTCTCGCCCGCCGCCTCAACTACCGGCACCATCAGCCTCGAGTCGCCGCCCTTGTAGTCACCGGCTGCAGCGTCTCCCTCGGTGAAGCCGAAGGGAACGGCTTGCGAGGCGGCTTCGCACGTTGGAGACGACTTGACCGTCTCTGCTTCGCCCGCTCCGTCCGGCTCGCAACCGCTCGACATTGCCCCGCCCTCACTCAAGTTGCAGTCTTCGGCGCTCACAAACCAGGACCAGGGACAGGCGCCGTCCTCCAGCGGCAGCCTCGACCAGAACTCCGCCGCTTTGCCTCTCTCCTTCGGCTCTCCCCCTGCTTCCTCGCCCGCGTCTCGCTCTCCCACTCCTATCACGCCCACACCCTTGTCGAAGCGCAAAGGGAAAGAGCCCGAACAGGTTGCGGAGGATCACGACAGCGACAGCGACTCCGCCGCCTCGACTTCCGCTCTTCACGCCTCTTTGCCCTCTCGCTCGCCGACGCCTACCCCGCCGCCTCGCCCAGCCAAGGGAAAGGGCAAGGCGCCCGTCGACGAGTCCGACGAGTCCGACAAGTCCGACGAGCAAGCGCCGGTTCCGGTGCGCCGCTCTCCGCGTCGCTCGTCGCGTCGCACGCCCATCTCGCCGGCGAGCATCACGAGGAGCGACGATGAGTCAATTTCGTCATCGGATGACGAGCCGCAGTTCTCGGGCGAGGACAAGGAGGTCCAGACGCCGCCTTCTTCGCCGGCGTCGCGTTCGAGGGACAGCTCAGCGTATCAGGTCCCGCACACGCGCTGGACTGATGCGGAGGAGACGGTGTTGCGGATCAGCCGTACGAGCAAGCCGAAGAAGTCATACGCCGACATTCCGAAGAGGGTCGGAGCACACTGCGATAGCTTACAAGGTCCATTGGAACAGACTGAAGAAGACAGTCGCCGGTACGGTGGAACGCAGGCCTGCTTCGGATGTCATGGTCGACGCTGTCGGCAAGAAGGAGCGCGAGGAGCTGTACCTTGCGGGCATGACAGGGTGGCCTCGCTGAGTTTGGATTGCTTCCGCTTCTTTCGCTTGTTTAGCTAGCATATGTCGCAATACACGAGCGTTTCTCCGCACTACTGAACAGTGAGAGGAACTGCATTGCGGAAGTCTACGCCTTGACGTCGCCAACAGTGGTGGTCGCTTCCGGTTCGACGAGGTTGCCGGCGCTCGCGGCGTTCGGCAGCGGCTTCGTGGCGGGGAACAGCAGCACCTCTCGGATGGAGTTTTCATCCGCGAGGAACATGCAAAGCCTGCGTGGAAAGGGGAGTCAGCGTCGGGGAGTGCGGACGAGGTGGGAGGTGGACTTGCCTGTCGATGCCCAGTCCCCAGCCTCCGGTCGGCGGCAGACCATGTTCGAGGGCATCAACCTGTGCAAAAGAGACGTGTGAGCACGAAGTAGAGGAGGAGGGGAAGCGAGTTTTAACGCACGAACACTTCATCGTACCCCTGCGCCTCCTCGTCGCCCTGTGCCTTCTGCTGCATCTGCGCCTCGAAGTTGGCCCGCTGGATGAACGGGTCATTGAGCTCCGTGTAGGCGTTGCAAATCTCGCGCGTCGCGACAAACACCTCGAAGCGCTCGCAGAGTCCCTTGATCGAGCGGTGGTGCTTGGCGAGGGGCGACATGACTTGCGGGTGGCCGACGATGAAGGACGGAGAGATGCACTGGTTCTCGATGAACTCGCCGACGAGCTGTGCAGGTGAATGGAGTCAGCGACGACGCAGCTGCGCAGGTCAGAGCGAAGGCCCACCTTGTCGAGGAGACGAGCGTTCGTGCGAGGCTCGCTGCAGTCGACGTTGTGCTGCGAGAGAAGCGAGTCAGCACGAGATCCTCACAAGAGCAAGAGGAGGCCCACCTTGGTGCAGAGATCGCGGAGGAACTTGTTGGTCTCGGGCGAGTCGAGCTGGTCGCCGGGCGGGAAGGTGACGCCGAGCTGCTTCTCGAGCTCCTCGATCATGTTGAAGCGCTTCCACGGCGTCGAAAAGTCGAGCTCCATCTCGGGACCCTCCTTGCCCTCGGGGTGGTACTTGATCTTGTAGCCGCCGGTGATGTGCTTGACGAGGCCCGAGATCATCGACTCGGTGAGGTCCATCAAGTCGTACATGTCGGCGTAGGCCATGTAGAACTCACAGATCGAGAACTCGGGGTTGTGAGTCAAGTCAATGCCTTCGTTGCGGAAGACACGACCGATCTCATAGACTCGATCGAGTCCTCCAACCACAAGTTCTTTCAAATAGAGCTCGGGAGCGACACGCATGAACAGGTCGAGGTTCAAAGCGTTATGGTGTGTGATGAAGGGCTTGGCCGTCGCGCCGCCCGCAATCTGGTTCATCATCGGCGTTTCGACCTGCGCGTACAGTACCATCAGCCGACGGTCTAGGAAGCGAAGAACAACCCGCGCACCTCGAGGAAGCCCAAATTATCGAGGAACTTGCGGACATAGTTGATGATCCTCGCGCGCTTGATAAATACCTCGCGGCGGTCCTGGTTCATGATCAGGTCGAGGTAGCGCTTGCGGTGCCTCTGCTCCTGGTCCTTGAAGCCAAAGTGCTCCTTCGGGAGCTGGTGCAGGTTTGGCGAGAGGAGGACGCAGGACTTGGGGCTGATCGAGAGCTCGGAACGCTTCGTGCGCATCGGATGGCCGGTCACGCCGAGGATGTCGCCGCGGCGGAAGAGGTTGTGGAGCGCCTCGAACTCTTCGGGCGACTCCGAGTCACTGCGGGTCGAGGATGCGATCGCCAAGTCAGACTTACGCCTCGGACGCCGAAGCGAGACGAAGGGCGACTCGAAACGCACTTGGCGGTCGCCATGACCTGGATCTTGGTTCCCTCGCTCCAGAGGTCGTAGAACCTCAACTTGGCGCCCTGCGCACGCATGCTGTGGATGCGTCCAGCGACCGAAACGACGTCCTCGCTCTTCGAGCCGGGCTCCTTGCACTCCTTGCCGTACTTGTTGATGAAAGACGGGATCGAGATCGTCACATGGAACTTGTGAGGGTACGGGTTGGGCGTGGTGAGGGTGCGCTCGGAGGCGGGGATGGCGCGGAGCTTCTGGATCGCGCGGGAGCGGATCTCGTAGTATTGCTGGATGACAGCCGAGAGTCAGCGAAAAGTGCGATACAGCTGGATAGACCAAAATTGAGGGCAAACGAACGTTGGGCGAGAGCTCCTCCTCGTCGTCGGCGGCGTTCGTCTTGGGGACCGGCTGGGCGGGTGCCTTGGCGGCCTGTTCAGGGACTGTCAGGATGTTCCGCGACCTTTCAAGCCAGCCAACGCACCTTCTCAGCCTTCTTCTTGGCCAGCTCGCGGGCCTTCATGCGCTTCTTGAGCTCGCTGCACGTCGCAATGGTTCGTCAGCTCGGCGACAAATCCCGTGAGACTCCTTGGCGTCTCGGAAGCGCAAAGATGCCCTCTGCGCACCTCTTGGACACCATGTCGCCCGTCTCGGGGTCCTTCTGGAGGTTCGGTACGTCGGCGGCAGCAGCCTGCTGCTTGTTCTGGGGCACATCGGGACTCGTGACGTCGGACATCTTGTTCGTAGGTTTTCGCGGCGGCTGGGAGTAAGGGCGAACAGCGAGAGTTGCGAGAGGAGGACGGAAAGACGGTCGGGCTGCGAGTGTACGGAGTAGATTCGAGGGGCGCAGGAGCATACACTGACCTGTTCGGGACGAACGCGAGTCAGCTCCAGTCCACTCGTTCAGCCACCATCGCCAGCGAGTCAAGGTGCGAGTCGCGAGACGAGATGAGGACGAGCGATGAGCGCACCTCGAGCCACTGACTGCGTGCGAAGCCTCGCGTCAGTGCGAGAACACTCCAATAGAATGTCTGCAGTGCTTACCTTGCTGCTTGGCCTGTGTGTGAGGACCGTCGAGAGCGAAAGCACGGATGGGACAGGTTCGACAAGGACACACCACTCGCACTCGCCGGGCGGGCTCGCTGTGCTGCTCAATGCGTTACCTGGCCTCACTCATAGCCTACAGGGCTTGCGCGACGCAGTCCCATGCGGTGCTCGCTGTTCTGTACTCGCCTCGCTCGACTCGCCTCGCTCCCCTCCTCGATCCGTCCCGCTACTCACCTCGATTCGCCGCTTGAGGGTTTGAGCTCACGCTCGCGATGGGCAGCAGGAGCACAGGAGTTTGCTGTGTGGCGGAGCAGGGCGTGTGAGGGGATGTAGAGGCCTGAAGTGCTTTCTCCCTCTCTCTGCGCTCCATCGGCATGCGGCCGGACCTCTGGCTTTGCCGAGTCGTGAAAAAGGCGCACTGTAGCGAATTGTATCGCAAGCGTTCTGCTGCGACTGCCCTGCCGCTCGCCTCATCGCCGATTGCTTTCAGACTCGGACGCTCTCTCGGCTGGGCCAGACGCCGCGTCAAGCGGATCAAGCGTATTCCAAGCGATTCCAAGCTAAGCGCACTTTCCATCGCACCCCAAGCCATCCCACCCCAAGCCATCCGCTGTGAGCAATCCTCCGTCGTCAAGCGTTCGGCCATTCCCACCTCACTCGTCCCCCAGCCTTGCGACCTCTTCGCCTTCTTCGCCTTCCTCTCTTCGCCCTCTCCGTCCACCGACGCTCCCTCAGCCAGATACTCGCTCAACCACGCCTCCTCCGCACTCGCGTCCTCGTCGCCCATCTCGCTCGCGGTCGTGAAGCCGACACTGCCCGTCGCGTGTTGGACCATCAGCGGCTGCGCGGACTGTAGGACCAGGCGACTGTGCGGGCGGGTGGCCGAGCGGGGCGGCAGCGGGCGAAGGAGGGCGGAAGTGGGCGTTCGAGGCGAGCGAGGTGCTAGCCTGCGCCATGGGGGCAGCGGGCGCCGTCGGCGGAGGAATGAAGCCGGAAGTCGAGCTGGTCGAGGCGGTAGGAGGCGGGATGAAGCCTTGCGGGAGGTTGGTGTTGCCGGGAGGAGCGGTAGGCGGCGGGCGGAAACCGGGAATCGAGCCTGGCTCGCGCACTATCTCCCACCACGCGACGAGCTTCTTCCCCTCGACCCACTTGCCGTCAAGCTGTTGGACCGCCTTCTGCGCCGAGTCGGGCGAGGGGACCCTGAACGAACCCTCGAAATCGCCGTTCGTAGGGGAAAACTTGAGGTCCTTCTCGACAAAGGGTCCGCAACGTGTGTCCCGCGCGAGGTGGTGGAGGACGGCTCCCGGGTCGGTCGGCGGCAAACCTTGGAGGACGACGCGCGGGTGCTCCGGACTTGGCATCTGGAGGCGCTCGCGCTCGACGTACAGCGGGTGGTGGTCGAGCGAGCCGCCGTGAAGTGCCGCCGAGATGCGCTCAAAGTCGGATTTCGACTTGACAGTGAAGAAGGCGGACAGGTAGCGCTGGCGGTGATCGCGGATCCCGAGGTTGCTGTAAGGGACGTTCGCCGAGTCGATGAGGTCCTGAATCTTGGCTTGAGGAGTATACGGGGGCAGATTTCCAAGATGCGCGCGCGTCGCGTTGGCTGGACGGATTGGAGGCGGACGAGCGCTGACGGGGATGCTAGGAGGAAGAGGAAGAGCCGCAGGCGGCGGCGGCGGACGACGAGGAGGCCCGGATGCAGGCGGAGCGATACGAAGAGGAGGACTCGAGGGCTGCGTAGGTGGAAGGATTGGAAACTGAGGACGCACATTGGCGACAGGCGGGCCGGGAACGACGGCAATCGTCGCGGTGTAGAGGTCTGCGAACGTCGCGTTGTCAGCTACGTAGTCCGAGATGGAAAAGCAGCTCAAGCTCACCCTTGCGTCCTTTGAGACGCTGGAGAGCGCCTGTTGCACCGGCGGGATTCGAGAAGGTCAGCACCGCGCCGTTCGCGCCGTCCGACGCCATGCCCTCAAGTCCGGCGAGTGCGGGAAGCTTGTCCCAGAGGTTGTTGAGTGTGACCTTTGGGGCGAGGCTTGACAGGCGGACCTGGCGAGCGGAGTGGACTTGGGAGGAAGGAAGGAAGCCGGGCTGACTGGTCGGAAGGCGGCGCGCGGCGGGAGCTGCAGCTTGTCCGATTGACGAAGCCGACGGTGAGCTACTCGACTGATGCGAAGTCGGGCTGGGAAGCATGACCGTGGCTTGAGGCGCGGAACTTGGCTGCGAAGGACGAGGGAGCGGAGCGTCGAAGGCGTCGGCGGCCGCTTGGACAGGCTTGTAAGCGGCAGGAGGAGGCGGAAGAGGGCCGTTCTGGGTGAGCTTGTGCTTGGGAGGTACGCCTTCCTGCTGCGCGACCCACTCGACGACCCTGTCCATGGGCAGGTCAAAGACCTGTTTTGCGGTCTTGGCTGCCGTCCGGGATAGGGCGTCAGCTACTAGACACGGTGGTTGCTCGGAGCAAGACGCACCGCGCCTCTGACCCTCCTTGGCCCAGGAAGCCATCCTCTCGACCGCCCACTTCATCCCCTCGTCCTTCGCGACTTGGTACGCAATGGTCGCCTTCGGATCCGGGAAAAAGGAGAAGAGGATGTCGAAGATGACTTTGCTGAGCAGCGACTCGGGGTGGATGACAGCCTCGACGATGGGGGATGGCGCTTCCACGAGTCTGCGCGAGCGGAGGAGAGCAAGTCTGTCAGTCAGGCTTCCCGGCCTCTCGGCGCCGGACTCGCAGAACGCACGTTTGGTCAACAAGCCTTCCATGTCCGTCCACGGCTTGAGCAGTCCCTTGCTGTCGAGCTGCTTGAGGCGGAACATGCAGAAGACCACATCCTTCTCCTCGATATGGCAGCAGAGGTAATCGACGAGCTGTTGAAGCGTGAGACTCTCCTGCGCCATGGCGGCGTGAAGCGGCGACGAGTGAGAGTGAGAGGCAGGAGGGAGAGAGGCGGAGAGGAGGCGCGGGAGTGTCAAGGTCCGCGGACGGGTCCGGGGCCTGCTCGAGGCGAGCGGAGCAGAGTAATTCGAGCGCAAGCTGCTCTGGCGTGGCTTGCTGTCATAACGGAAGCGTACGGACGAGCCAATTGCGACTTGAGAAGGCCAACGCGCTGGGAGGAATCCTCCTCCTCGTCAAAGTGCGGAAGAGATAAGGCGGAACGATGCCTTACACGCTGTACGACATGCAGAAACATTCTCAGGATGCCCTCCGCCACTCCGCCCGAATCTTCCGCCCCGACACGAGCAAGCCGTTCAGTCTCGAGACCGTAAGGCGCGCCGCCTCCTCGCTCGGTACCCCGAAGACGCCCGTGCAGCTCGTCTGACCCTGTTGCCTGATGCAGCTGTGGTAGCCGCCGCACTTCGCTTGGACGACGAGGTCGTGAAGAGTCTGCGGACGCGAAGAGGGCGGGAGGTTGCGGAGGATGACGACCGGGTCGCGCGGAGTCGGCCGGTGAGAGAGGCGGGCAACGAGGAGCTTGTGACCTCGTAGCTGAGCGTCCTGCAAGGCGGCAGAAGCGGCTTGGAACTCCTCCTCGGAAGCGACTCGAAGAGTGGCGGTCTTGCTGCGACTGAAGTTGCGGACGGAGACGAGCGAGGGGTTCAAGCGGAAGTGCTGAAAGAGTCGGAGAACCTCCTCGTCAATCGCGTCGAGAGGGAGGTTGCCGAGCTCGAGCTCGACCGGAACCGGTTGGTGCGGCATCTGCACTTGCTGGCGAGGCGCGGCGGGGGTAGGTTGACGAGCGGCGAGCTGCTCTGGGGCGCGCGTAGTTACGTAACTCGCTTGAGGAGAGCTCTGGAGAGACGCGGACGGTGAGCTTGAAGGGGCACAGGCATCGGAGAGACTCGTTGCTGGCGATTCGAAACGGTCGGCATCGTGCTTCGAAGATGGCGGATCAGGCGAGACAGATACGCTGCTGTCGGAAGTAGAACTAGCGCGTGGCGCGTCAGGCGGAGGATCGATGTCGAGGCGAGGCAGAGGACCATAGCCAGTCAAACTGTCCGGTGCCGGGTGAGGCGGAAGATGCTCGACAATCCACGCTTCGGCTTCGAGGGGGGCAATGTCAATTAGTATCTGTAGTAGTCTGGTGAGGGGCGCTGCGAGCGGACAGAGGGTCAGGCTACGGCGGAAGGAATGTAGCGAAGTGTGCGCACGAAGGTCCTGCTGACTGTCCCAGGCGTTCAGCAACTTGGCAGCCCACTCGATTGATCCAGACCCTGCTAGCCAGAAAGCTGCGGTATGGTTGACTTTCCGCACGAAACGAAGAAGGATGAGAAGGATCGCTTCGCGAAGCTCGGAATGCGGCTTGATCACGGCAGAGGCGAGCGCAGAGTAATGCAGGGACGAGTCTGGTTCGAGAATCCTCAGCTCACTTTACCATTATCAAAGGAGCGTACGCACGGTCGAGGTCGATGCCCTTCGCCGCTGCCTCCGAAGTCGAGTCGAGCAGCCCCCTTCTTCGCATCTCCTGCAGCCAGTACACCACGTAGAGCACGTCCGACTCTTCGACAGCTGTAACAAGGCGGTCTACGAGCTCTTGCTGTCACAGGGCGGTCAAGTCGGCCATCGCAGAGAGGGAGCAGTTGACGTCGAGGAGGGCGATGGGGTGAGAGGGCGGGGGGGCAGCGTCGACTTCGAAGCTTTCGCAGGTCTGTGTGGCATAGAGAGGTGAGTTCACGGCCTCGGAGGCAGCGCAGTCTGTACGTACGGGTGTCTAGGGGAGAGATGAAGCGATGAAGTGATGAACTCGAGAACTCGACGTCAACGACGTGCGGCAGTTGGAGTGCGTCACCAGTCGTCGAGGGCAAGTAGCAGAGTCCCTCGCCACAAAGTCGGCTCGAAAGGAGCGAGCGGAAGAAGCTGAAGGAGGAGAAGGGGAGAGAATCGCCAGCGAAGGGTGCCACAAAGACCGTCGTACGGCCGGCGAAAGTATGGAAGCTACAGTTCAGTGTCAAGCAAGACGACCCGCAGCACAAAAGAGCCAGCGTGGAAAGACAGTGACGGAGTTGCGTGCAGGCGAAGTTGCAAACCGAGTGTCGGCGAGTATAGTGTGAGCATGCGATACTGGAAGACTACAAGAAACACAGCACAAGAAGACAACAAGCGCGACCGCAAGTCCAAGCAATCACTTCCTCCGCTTCGCCGCCCTCTCCTCGCCGCCTCCATCCGAACTTGCCTTCCTCCTTCCCTGCAATTCCTGACCCCACAAGTCGCTCGTCGTGCGCGGCAAGTCCTTCGTGACGATCTCTGGCGAGACGGGCGGCGTGACGTTCGCAACGAATGTCGCAGGAGTGGAGTACGAGGAGGCGGGAAGGGCGAAAGGTTCGGGGAGCAATGGCGTCTCTGGCGCAGGCGTCGCAAGAGGCGAAGGGGGCATGTGGACAGGCGCACGACCGATAGCTGCGTAGTCGGGCTTACGACGGCGATCGTCGCGGGTGCGGCTGCAGTGGTCCTTGTCGCGCTCGTCTGGCTCGACGCGCTGTGCTCTTCGGCGGCAGGCACGGCAGGCATCGGGGGATTGGTCGCCGTCCCGGGCTGGTCATCGATCGGGATCGCCGCTGTCGCCGTGAAGGAGGCGAGCTGTCCGCCCACTGCGTCGGCGGTCGATTGAGGCGCACGACTCGGCGCCGATCCGTCGCCGTTCGTCCAGTCGGCACTGATGGTCAGACCGTCGATCAACATGCCGTTGAGCATGTCGGCGGCCTCCTGCGCCGTCACTGGCGACGAGACGCGGAAGCGTCCGATTGCTGAGCCATCCTCGAGAGGTTGCATCGCTTCGCCGTATGCGCCGAGTCTCGTCAAGCGACCGAGATTGTGGACGACGTGTAAGCCCATGTGGGAAGGGAGGTTGCGGATGACGACAAGCGGATGCTCGGCGGAGATGTGGCTGGGCGCCTCGCGTTCGACGCGGACTCGGCGACCACGAAAGTGCGAGTTGTGCAAGACCGACGAGATGCGGGCAAATTCCTCCCTTGTCGACAGCCTAATGTACGCTGATGTTCGGTTGCAGCGCCGCTTTAAGTCGAGGGCCCAGTACGCCACGCCGGCGAAGGCGAGCAGAGCCTCGACCTCCTCGCGGGTAACGTCGACAGGCAGGTCGCCAATGTGTACCCGCATGCCGTCGCCCTGCTTTGCGATCGCCGGAGACCAGCCGATGGGAGGCAGGCGAGTCGAGGGCGCTGGCTTCGCGGACGAGCTAGACGCTTCCGATGCGACGTTGACCGCCGGAAGGTGATCAAACAAATTCAACGAGAGCGGAGGGACCGGGGAGACTGTCGTCGCTGGAGAGGACGGCGCAGGCGGAGGGCAAGGGTCGGGCTTCGAGGCTGCCTGAAAGACCGATTCGAGAACGGCGGCGCGGAAGTCTGCGGCAAAGATTCGTGAGCACATGGTAGGCCAGAAGAGACGGCGAGGTGCGACGCACACTCGCTACCCTGCAAAGGAAGAAGCGCCTTGCGAGCCAATTCCGGCGAGTCGAAGGTCAAGACAGCGGCGTTCCGGCCGGCAGGTGTTGTCTCGCGGAGACCTTCGATGGGCGGCAGGAGGTTGCAGAGCCTGCCGATGTTGATGGAGGAGCGGATCTCGCAGAGCCGGACTCGTCGGTCGGCGAGGCTGGCGGTCGGCGGGACAGTGGATGCAGGCGGAACGGTCGGGAGAGCCGCAGCCGCAGGAGCTGAGTAAGCTTGAGTAAGGGAGGACGATTGCGCCTCGTTCTGCTGAGGGGGATCGGGAAGAGGACCACAGCCGGTGAAAGATTCTGGCGAAGGATGAGCGGGGAGGTTCGCGTCGATCCAGTCGGCGGCCTCGGTGGCGGACATGGCGAGGAGCTCGCGAGGCGTTCGCACTGTGCGAGCGTGATCGTCAGACTAGGAGGCGTCGTGAAAAGCAAAACTCACCGATTGAAGTCCCCTGAACTGCCGGGCTCTGCCAGCTGGTGAGAACGCTGATTGCCCACATAGCCCGCAATGCGATCGCAGCCGTCATGGCGGCGCAGGACATGACGTCGCGGACATGCACGAGGAGGAGGGTGAGGATGAAGTGGCGAAATGGCGTCGCAGGACCGCTGACGGCGGTGACGAGTACCGAGCGCTTCTTCCAGGAGTCTGCGTATGACATGCAATGAAGTCACCTCATCACTCGTCGGCCAAACCGTACAGTCGGATAAAGCGGCAGCGACGCACGCTCGAGGTTGATCCCGTCTGCCTTCAGCTCGCCCTCCCTAGAACAGACCATCCCGCGACGCGCCATTTCCTGCAGCCACAGGACGCAGAACAAGACATCCTCCTCCTCGACGGCTTGCACGAGGTAGTCGACGAGCTCTTGTTGCGAGAGTTTGGAGGGATCCGACATTGCGCCGGCGGCGAAACGAGCGTAGCGGGTGGTGCGAACGCGTGCGGAGCGGTACAAGGCACAGCCAGAGCCTGAAAGCGTCGCTGGACAGGCCTGCGAGAGTGAGCTTGGGTGACGAAGGAAGACAAGGAGGACAGGAGGTCGTGGGGAAGGGCCTAAGGGATGACGAGGCTGCAAGACGAAGGCTGAAGGGTCAGCTACCAGCAAATGAGCACGAGAGGACGCACTGTAGAGACTCCGGAAGCGACCGGACAGAGAACGAGAGTGCGAGGCGACCTTCTCCTCCTCGAAGGAGACGTAGCGAGACAACAAGGGTGCACTGCTCGACAAAGTGGGATCTACAGTACCTCGTCCTCATGTTGCAACCGCTGCAGGCTTCGGCGCCTCGTCGGCCAGCGCCATCGCGTCGTCGCCATCCGCATCGACCTCGTCGTCGTCCATCTCCTCGTCGGCCGTCCCGCCATCGTCCATGTCTCCGTCCATCCCAACCATCACCCGCTCCTTCAAGCCCATCGAGTCGCGCAGGAACTCCCACACGCGCTCAATCTTCTCGCCCCACTCGCCCCCGACGCCCTCTTCGGGTCCAAGCAACTCGCCATTCTTCTCCCGGACGACCGCCCGCCGCGCTTCTCGCGCCGTCATGTTCCCCTTCAGCCGGACGTACTCCCGCAGGAGAACCTCCTTGAGGAAGAGATACGGCCGAGGGAGGATGCGCAGGGTCGAGCAGAGTTGCGTCTCGAGGGGTGTGAGCAGCTGGAGCGAGTCGGCTGTTGCGAGAGTGAGAGGGGGCGCAGGGCGGTTTTTGAGTTGCTGGACAAGAGTAGACTGAGGGGTTGGTCGACGGGAGGCGGCGGCACGGTCGAACGAAAGCGAGATCGAGTCGCGGTACGAGGCCGCTTTAGACGACAATCGCTGCTGCTTCGCCTGCTCATACCGCGAGGCTTCGGCGAGCGTCGTGACCCCGTTCCGTCGATACTCTTGCAGTTCGGCGATGCGTCTCCGCAGGGTGATCTCGTCTGCGAGCAAAAGTTAGCTGAAATCCGATGCGTGCGCCGTAAAGTCGCACGCACAGAGCAATCCCTCGACCAAGTCCTCGTGATCTTGCGCCGTCTGAATGCGCGCAAAGACTTTTGTTCGCGTGATGAGGTCACGCTCCTCCTTGGACCGTTTCCGCTCGGCCGCCGAGAGCTGCGAGACAGGCCTGTCAGCGAGAAAGAGGAGCGAAGGGCGCAAACTCAACATACCGTCTTGTAGTTGATCAACCCTCGGTCGAAGATGAGCTCCTTGGCTTGCATACGCTTGTCGTACCGCTCGTTGAACAACTCGAGTATCGCGAGCTTGAGGTCGAGTTCCGCCTCCGGCTCGTCGCCCTCGTTCTCGCCATCCGGCAACGGCTTCTCCTCCTCCGCCGCGCCATTCGCACCTTCCGCCTCCTTCTCCGCCGCCGTTTTCTCCGCCGGCGGCGCAGCAGGCTGCAACTCGCCTCCAAAGTGATACACCCTCCCAAACTCGAGATCCTTGATCAACACCTCCGCCTCGTTCTCATACTCGTGCTCGAACTCGAGACGGCCGGGCATGTAGCCTGCGATCTCGTGGCATGTCGGTGCGGAGGCGAGCGGTTTGGGAGGAGGGAGCGGGATTGGACGGGATTGCAGTTCTTCCAGTCGCGCTTTTTTGCGTTGCTGGAAGGACTCGGCGTTTGTTGGGTCGATTTCGGGAGGGATGTGCTGCGAGAAGACGAGTCAGGTGGCGGCGCCTTCAGTCAAAGCGAGGGCAGACGCACCGGAAGAGGATAGTCTGGACTCTCGATGTACGTCCGCATGTAATGCTCGTAGCACTCCTCCTTCGTCCGCCCACCGACGTGTTCCGCAATGTCCGCCCAGTTCCCGAGCCCGTACATCTCGGCGCCCTCGATGAGAAGCAGTTCCTCGTCTGCTCCCCAATCGGGGTCGAAGATGGGGAAGGCGTGAGAGGAGATGACGCGGTAGGCGTGGTTGGCACGGTGAGGGCCGAGGGATTTGCCGTGAAGGAAGCACTATGAGAAAGAGTGACCCCCAAAGATGAGCGAGCCGTCTTTGCGCTAGGAAGCAGGCGCTCAAGCGAAACTGCCCCGACTCACATCGACACAAAGATCAAAGTCCGGACACGTCAGCCTCTCTCCAACCTTCTCCGCACACCGAATATGCACCGTATGCGTAATGTCGGTCGAACACGAGTCGCACGTCGCCTTCATGCCCGACTCGAGTTGCGGGGCCGAGACGGCCGTATCAGGTCCGCCGGTCTCGCGGGGCTTTTGTTTCCGCTTTGTGACGGTCATGGCGAGCTAGAGAGGCGCCCTAGCGGCGAAGAGCGGAAGGATGATCGGGAGAAGGTGGAGCGGTGGTGTAGGGAGGAGCTGGTACGAGGCCAGGGTCAGCCGTCTCAGCGCACTGGTTGATGATGTTCCGCGACTGCACTCACAGCGCTCAACCTCCGTGCAGCCCTTCAGACGCCGCCGTTGCTCCGCTCCGAGTTCAGCTGATGAGACTGGACGAGTCGATGGTGAGGGCCGCCGACAGTATGAGGGCGGAAGCTTGTGGTCTCCAACGCAGTCAATCTAGTAAGTAGCCGCCTCAAGCAGCTCTTTATGCGCGTCTGAGCGGTGTGAGCGTGTGTGAGTAGGAGGAGATTGAGAACTCGCCGTTGCTTCACGACACTCGCAGCCAACTCGCTCAATTGCTGCTTTGACGGGTTGGACAGGCTCTGGACTTGATTCAGCACCCGTTCTTGACCCGCGTCCGCCTTCCCATCGCCCGCCATGGCTCGCGTAGCGCTCCCAGGCGACCCCCTCCCCTCCGCGCCCTCATCCTCCTCGACTCTGCACCTGGGACCGGGCTTGTCCACTTCCACAGCACCAGCATCGCGAGGCGGGAAGGGCAAGGAGCGGGCGGTCGAGCCGGCGGCTACGAGGGCGGGTTTGCTGGGACATTTGAGCCAGGGCGACAAGGAGAGGTGGTGGATCGAGGGGACGATGAAGCGGGTGCGTCCGGACGCTCTCTTGGCTCCCGAGAGGTCTGTGTGCCAAGCGGCCACGAGGGACGGGCGGTCGAGTGCAGAGGCCGCCATGCCTTCGGCAGGTTCGCCTTGTGGAAGACAAGGCTGCCCTGCTTCTGTTCAGGTCGCTCTGACATCTCTTTCTCGCGCACACAGTACACTCCCAACCCACCCGAGCCCGTACTCGGCATCATCGTCGCCCGCCATGCGGAAGGCTACCGAGTCGACATCGGTTCTTCGCAGGGCGCTTCGCTTGATGCGCTAGCCTTCGAGGGCGCCACGAAGCGGAACAAGCCTAATCTGAAGGTGAGTCGAGTCGAATGGCTTGCTGTCTTCTGGGCAATCCTGCCCAGGGTCAGCTCAGCTCGCCTGTTGAAGATTGACACTCCGCCCTTCTTACAGGTCGGCACCCTCGTCTACGCCCATCTCCTCTCTACACCACCCTTCTCCGAACCCGAGATTTCCTGCGTCGACCCTTCGACACAGAAGGCGTCCGGTTTTGGCGAGCTGCAAGGCGGGTTCTTGATTCGCGGCGTCGAGCTGGGTCGGTGTCGAGCGTGCGTTCCGTCTCTCTCTACGCTGTTACTGCATGCTGTCCCTGCCGGGGACACTGGCTGATGCGTTGTCAAGCTGGCGGACACAGACTCCTCGCCCCGAAGAACCCGGTCCTCTCGAAACTCGGCGCGCGATTCCCGTTCGAGGTCGCGGTAGGGATGAACGGACGAGTGTGGGTCAAGGCTGCGCAGGAAGGCGACGAGGAGAAGCTGGTCGAGGTGATCAGGGAGTTGAAGGGACGGTAGAAGAGTGCGAATCCACGACTGCATCGTCTAGTTCGGGCTGCTGCTGTGGTCCGCGTCTGTGAAGCTCTACGAAAAGCCAGTGAGCGCCTCCCAACAGCGAGTGGACCGACGCTCGCTCTTGTCCTTGTCCGTTTCCCTTGTCCGCTTCACTCGCTCGCATGCTGTCACCTTTCGCGGCCCTGCTGGCTGCACTCACGCTCCTTTCCAGCTCTGCGGACGCTTACGAGCCAGCCTACATCTCCCTCTCGTGCGTTCATCCTCCTGCACACCCTTCCTCCCCACATCACTCCAAGACCTGACTTTCCTCGTCTCCTCCCAGGCAGCTCGACTCGTTACTCGAAGACTCACGAGCACGACATGCGCAACGACTAAACGCGTACGAGACGAATCGCGCGAGTCGGCCTGAGACGATGGAGCGCGCGAGGAAGACGAGGGTCTTGGCGGTCAGGTTGGAAGAGGCGGACGGGCGCGGGCGGGTGAGGGAGAGGCGCGAGGTGGGCGAGAAGGTATTGATGGAGAGGCAGAGCGCGGGAGGGGATCAGAGGAAGGGTGTTGTCGAGACGCAGGACTTTTGTGAGTAGCGGTGACTTTCATGCGGTCTTGCGCTCGTCCACGCAGGATGTGCGTACTGACCGTGTACTTGCCATCGCTGTCTCAGTCAGTCAGCCCCTAGATGTCATGTACGCCCTCGACTCTGCCGTCACCGTCGCCGGCCCGACCTCCGTCCTGACCCTCCCTCTCCCTACAGGATTTATGCCCCCATATCTATCGGCACACCCTCACAAACGTTCAACACACTACTCGACACCGGCTCGGCCGACCTCTGGGTCTACGATACCACGACTGGTTCGACGCAGCCTGAATGGGACGCGAGCAAGAGTTCGACGGCCGTAACCAGCCCGCAGATTCCGTGGAGCATCAAGGTGCGTCGCGAACGTGATCCTTCGACAGCACGAGCGGATGGGCTGACACACCTGCGCGCAGTACGGCAAAGGCTCGCAGTCTGGCTTTCTTAACCAAGACACCGTCTCGCTCGGTGGTTACACCGTCAACGACACGATATTTGCGGCTGCCGACACGCTCAACGACGCGTTCACGTACTACCCTATTTCTGGGTTGTTCGGACTTGGATTTGGCGCGATTAGCGCGAGCGGGTGCGTCCAGACTGCTCCACTCACTGCCTCGTCTTCTGTACGTTGCACTGATCAGTGCATGATGTATGGCCGCACAGCTACGCCCCGTGGTTCGAGCGCCTCCTCAACTCGGGCGCGCTCGCCCAACCTTACTTCTCGCTCTTCCTCGTCCGCGCCTCGGACCTTACCAACGAAGCCGAAGGCAGCATCGGCGGCGGCCAGATGTGTATTGGCTGCATCGACAGCTCCAAGTTCACGGGGGACATTAACTGGAACCGTGTGCTGAGCGACGGATTCTGGTCGGTCGCGATGGACGGCATCGAGACGAATGGCGAGATCGTTCCCGGTACCGCAACTCGCGCAGCCATCGACTCCGGCACTACACTCATCCAGCTCCCTCCCTCCGCCGCCGACGCGTTCTACTCCTCCATCCCCGGCGCACAACTCGCCAACACGACTTCGAGCGGACTGTACATCATCCCCTGCACGACGACGTTCTCGTCCCTCGCGCTCGTGTTCAACGGTACGAGATACGAGATCCCGCCGCAGGATCTGTTGAGGGCTATCAACAGGGATGGGACAGAGTGTGTGTTGACGATCGCGGCGAGTAGTGCGAAGGATGTCGATGGGAGCGAGCTGGCCATCGTTGGCGACGTCTTGTGAGTCCGGACCGCATCTTCCTCCAGTCGCACTCGAGTAAGCGCTGACGCGCGTGCGAGCTGTCTTCCGCAACTCCACAGCCTCAAGAACGCCTACTCCATATTCTCCTACTCGTACAACGGATCGCCAGCCGTCGGTTTCGCTCGTTCCACTATCGCCGGCTCCTGGTCAACCACTTCGTCCTCCGCCAACGGGTCCAGCTCGAACTCGAGCGGTGCGGCGTCGTTCTCGCAGCCTAGCAGGACGGGCAGCATCAGTCTCTCGGGCGCACCGGTACCGACTGTGGGGAGTGCGACGGGCACGAGGGAGTCGGCTATCACGACGGGCGTGCTGGGCGGAGGGTTGACGAGCAGCTCGAGCGGCGGCTCGACGCCTACACGAGTTGCCAGCGGTTCAAACGCCTCGCCAACTTCGTCACCCACCTCCTTCGCTCCCTCAAGCCCTCTCCCTTATACTCTTACACTTATCAGCACTATCATAAGCGTGGCGGTGGCGCGGATTCTCGTATAAGGCGTTTCACGCTGCTTCGAGGAATCTGTCCCTTCTCTCGCCTTCGTCCAGCCTCCTCCCTCTGTAGCGCTTTCGCCCGCCTTCTATGCGAACGCAGACACTGTTCCCCGTTAGAGCAACAGCGCAGGAGAGTGGGCAGCGAGATGTCCCTCCTCCCGCCTCTTCCCTCTTTCGCTCCCTGTCCTCGTCCTCACCTCCTCTCGCTCTCCCCGCTCTTCTGTTGACCCGCGTGGCTCGGACAGAAGGGCTCTCGATCCGTTGGGCTGTCCTTGGTCGCCCACGGAGCAACGGTCGCGGGTCAAAGCGTCCTTCCCGACTTCATCAGGAGGGGAAGCCTCTCACTTCCCTTCGCCCTGCGCCTGCTGGGCAAGGGTGGAGAGCCCCTGACAGCTTGCTAGCTCCACGATGAGCACCCCTACCACCTCCGCGACGCCGCCCGACGCCGCCCTAGCTTCCCTCACCCCGTCCGGCGCAAGACCTCGTCGACCACCTCGTCCAGGCGTGCGAGGAGCAGGATGTCCTGTATGTCGTCTTCTGGCTGCGCAAGATGAAGGACAAGGGGCTGCTCTGGAGCGAGGGCGGGAAGGACGGCGTCGATGCTCCTCGTGCGTCTCCTCTGCCTCGTGAAAGTCGCCGGAGTGCTGAGTGTGGGCTTACGCTCCGTCTGCTTTTCTTTGAATTACTCGCAGATACGTGGAAAGGCATCTCGGCTCTCCAGCTCGTCTCTACCTCGCCTTACACCCCTCTTCGACACTTCATCCTCGAACTCCTCCTCCTCAACCTCGAGCAACCGCAGTTCTCGTCTATCCAGCCTGCGCTCAAGCACAGTTGCAGCTCAATGGCGCTGTGGGCGAAGGATGTTGCGCGAAGGGTCGTCGACAGTCGAGGTCAAAGCGGTAAGCCTGGACTTTTCCTTCGCCCAGGGCGACTTCAACTGATTGCATCCCCCTCGCCCGCAGCTGTCAAGGCTCAAGAACTGCTCGCGCTCACCGACGACGGCTCTGCGGCGTCCTGGATCGACGCAAACCTCCCTCCCTGCCCGACGCCGGACGAGCAACTCACAGGCTTCAAAGCCCTCCCTCCTCCTCCTTCTCTTTCCGCCGTTCGCACGCCGAACGGTCTCACTCAGTCACTTGCAGACGAGGCTCGCACGCCATCTCCGCCCATCAAGCTCGACTTGCCCGTCGTGAAGGTCGTTCCTCCGACGCCTCAAGCAGCCATTCGAGTCGCCAACATTTCCGCCGGGGACGGCGCTCAGCCTCCTCCCGTTGACCACGGAGGCGAGACGGTACCCGCTCGGGCGTCAAGCGGCGCTTCGGAAGACTCGTTGCGTGTTGCGTCGCAGGTTGACCGCGCCAGCCCCGTCGAGGAGGGAGAGATCCGATTGACCTTCTCAAGCGATTTCGAGGCAAAGCAGGCGGAGCTCGGCAGAGAACTGCAGCCTGGTGAGTCGTCCGTCTCGGCCTGGACTTGACTGTGGCTGACGAACCCGGCCCGCAGCCGTCAGCGAAGTCCAGCTCGGCACCAGCCACAAAGCGTCGTTCCCTTCCTCCCAGCCCTCCCGCCCAGTCGAACGGTTCTCGCCACCTCCAGCTGCCACGTTCATCGCAACGCCGGCTCCTCCCTCTCGCCCTCTCGCCGGTCCGGTCCGCCTCTACCTCACAGAAATCCCGCACGAAGCGACAGGCTCGAAGCTGCGCAACTTCCTCTCAGCGAAACTCGGCGTCCAGCACCTTACACAGCCCAGAATCTTATCCGACGGAGCGACCGGCTTCAAGCAGGCCTGGGTCACGATTGCCGATCGCGACGTCGCCGTTCGAGCTGCTCAGCTCGCTAAGGACAAGGTCGTCGAGTGGAACGGATTGCGAGTCGCAGCGCGAGTTGTTTCGACCAGTGATGGGCCGCGGAAGAGCGTCAAGAGCTTCGGATACGCGTCCAAGCGTGCTGAGTCCGAGCCAGCTGGTTCGTCCTCGTTCGCTTGTTCACAGCTCGTTCATGTGACTGACAGTGATACTCCACAGCCGTCGAGCCGAAGCTCAATCAGAAGCAAGAAGAGGCCGACTTCGCGCGAAGCCACCCCGTCTGGCACAGCGCTTCCCCCGAACTCGAGCGCAAGCCCGGCTTGCCCGACCGCAAGATCCTGCTCAACCCCGAAAGCGACGAGTTTCCGAAGGTCAAGATCGAGGACGAAGACGTCAAGATGGCCGACGACGAGGAGGAAGCGAAACCCTCGCCCCCGCAAGACCTGCCCTTCTCCCTTCCCTGCCTCGCTTCGACATCTGCCGCCCCCGCCGTCATCCACAGTCCCTCGTACGCCTCCCCGAGCCCTACTCCGCCTCCTTCGCACTTCGTCGCCGGCTCCAAGGCGTCCGAGAACCCGTACAGGTCTCGCTCGCCCGTTGACCGCTCGCGTCCGTATCGTTTTTCGCCTCCGCCGCCGTACCGCCTCTCGCCCATCCTCGGACCGTCGAAGCTCTCGCAGGAGTTTCGTAAGGATGAAGCGGGAGTCGCTCCTCGCCCGACTCACTCGTCGCCCTATCCTTCGCCCGAACTCTCGCCGCCTCCCGCCCTTCGTCCGCTCCCCGCGTCAACGACATTGACGACCGTCCCCTGGGCGACCTCGCCCGCTGCGCCGGAACTCACCGCAGACGACGTCGAAGCCAACCCTTTCGCCGCACTCTTCGCCTCGTCCATCTCGCCCGCCGCGCCGTCTGTCACGTCTTCTCCCGCCCCACCTGCGCCCAAGCCCGCTCTCCGCTCGTCGCTGAAGCGATCCGCGATGTCTGCGTTCAGCGTCGAGGGGACTCGCGATACCAAGCGTCGCAGGACGGAGAAGAGCGTGCACTGGGCCAAGGAAGTTGCGGTCGTCGTCGGACACGGGGCAGGTCACGTCGCGGATGTCGAAGAAGCAGGCGGAGAAGGAATCAAGCAGCAGCCTGGCGGATGGAGCGAGAAGCGAGTTGGCGCAGGATTGAGGTGGTGAGCGGTCGAGCGGGTTCTCTTTTCGTCTTTCTTGATGGCGGGGTTGTTGGCGACGCTTTTTCACGAGTTGATGTTCATCTCATGTAGCCGATTTGCTGCTCATACAAAAGTGCGCCCATGTGGCTGCCTCCCCCTCCCTCTCCTGTAGAGCTAGCCGGAGATCCTGTTGGGAAGCGATCTCAGAGAGCATACAGATGCATACAACAGACTGCGGCATTGCACTCGTTCGTCAACGCTCAGTCATCGTCCTGGATGACAATTCCCGCTTCCTTCGCCGGCTGTGCCCTCGCCTCCTCCTCCTGCAACCGTCTCAGCTCATCCGCCTCTTCCTCCTTCGTCATCCCCCTCGTAGCCGACACCTGCAGCTCCGGTCCAGCCTCGTCCTCGTCCTCTCCGCCCGACGCATCCCTCTCATCCGCAGTCCTGAACTTGAACCCCGATCCCCCTGCCAACTTCCTCTTCTTCTCCCCTCCCTCTCCCTCCCCCGCCGCTCCATTGGTGGAAGAAGTCTTCGGTTTCCCCCGCGCCTCCTTCTTCCGTTGGCGTTTGAGACGGTTCTTGGCGGTCTTTTCTTCCGCGGCGGCTTCGGCGGCGCGTTGCCGTTCGAGGGCTTCGCGTTTTTGGCGTTCCTGAGAGATAGAAGGGGGAGAGAGGGAAGAAGAGGAGAGGGTCGGGAGTGAGCGGACGAGGCGGAGTTTGAAGCGAGTTGGCGAAGTAGGCGTGGCGAGGATGTAGGAAGAAGCACATTTGGAGAGTTAGCAACTGATCGATCAGTACGATCGCGCACTCTCCTCCACGGAGGAGAGAGGTCGCGAGAGCGTAGACTGGACAGACTGCCGACTCACGAATTCCTCCTCCTCGTCCATCAGCTTCAGCCGCTCGTACTCGCGTCGTCGGCTCTGCTTGTAGACGTGCTGTAGGAGGGATAGACAGCAAGAAGCGTCAGCGAGTCGTCAAAGGACAGCCTGCGCAAGTAATCCCTCGCCCTCCACGGCGAGACCAGGCGAACGCAGATCCGCCCAACCGCCTCGAGCGCAAGGAAGAACCACTCACAAAGTCACCCGATCCCGCTCCCGCACTGGATCCCTGCACATTCTTCATCATCTCCCTCGGCGGCCTCAACGACTTTCCCACTCCCTCTTCCTTGCGTTCCGGTATGCGCACTTCGCGGTCCGGGTTCGAGAGGAGCTTGTTCAGCGCTGCGGCTTGTTGCTCGGCGGGAGTTGCAGTGCGCGAGAGTTTGGGCTTGGAGGAGGGGCCGGGGGAGGGGGAGAAGGACATGGCGACGGCACGGGGCGGTTGGTGAGTGGTCAGACGGGAATGACGAGTCGCTCGTTAGTGTAGTCGAGCAGTAAGAGGTCCTCCAGCCGTGTTCAGCGAGGTCGACGTGAGTTGGCGGAGGCGAAGCGACGAGTTGGCTCTCGCTACGCACGTCGCACACGCTCGGGAGGACCGCCAGGATGCGCATGGTGAGCTTGCGAGTCTCCTCAACCGTCCTGCCCAGCGCTGACTCTCTCCCGTTCGCGGCAGCTCGAGAAAGACGACCCCTCGACCGACGTCCCGGTTACCAAGGTCGACCAGGACAGGATCAACCAGTTCTCGCGGTTGAACAGCCGGACAGACGAGATTGTCGACGTTCTCGACGGACTGCGTAAACAGAAGGAGGATCTTGAGGAGATTGAGACGGAGATGGAGTTGGTCGACGAGGACGAGGTCGTCATGTGAGTGTTCAGCTCGCTCGGGCGTCTTTGGCTGCGTGGTGTGCATCGGAAGTCCTGCTTGCACGCTGCGGGGCCTCCCGCCAGTTGTCCGCGAGCTGACGCCGTCCTTCTCGCTCCTCGTCGCGACCCTCTCTCCCTCTCACTCGGAATAGGTACAAACTCGACACGACCTTCGTCCACATCCCCGCATCCGAAGCACTCGAACACCTGCAGTCCCACCTGGAGAGGATCAAGAGGGAGGTCGAAGAGCTCGAGGAGGAGAAGACCAAGTGCGAGGAGACGATGGACGAGTTGAAGAAGGAGCTCTACGCCAAGTTTGGGAGTGAGTCGCGGGTGTTCTCTGCTCTTCCTGGAGGAGCGACGAGGCGGGACCGGCTAGCGAGCCACGACTCTGCTCCGTGTCCCTGCCTCCTTCTTGCTCACTCTTCGTTGACACCCTCGTTCGTGCTGCGCAGACTCAATCAACCTCGAACGAGGAGACGACTAGGTGCCCTCGTCACCCTGCCTACCCGCACCTCACCTCGCCTCTCGCAACTACCGCAACCCTTCGACCCAAAATTCGCACTCTCGCATCCCCATACCCGTCCTACGCGACACCGTCTCCGATACCCGACACTACAAGCTCGAGTGCATTCACAGAGATGTCTATGACTGTCCACAGAGGGACTGTAGAGCGTAGCCAGCCTGAGGAAACGCAGAAACGCCCGTTCGAGCCACTGCTTCTCCCGCTGGAATTGCGCTTTCGCTTCGCCGTATTCCTCTGCATGCTTTTGACATGCATATGGACCGCTCCGCGTCCTGGACAGCGTTCAAAGAGGAGTCCTCTGTTCTCTCTCCGTCATTGCGAGGCGAGGCGGTGCAAGGACCTCTCTCTTGCTCGTCCCGTTCACACAACTCGGCCGTGCGACACTTACAGCGGCTCAGACTCGCTAGACAGGCTCATTGGACCTTTACACCCGCCCGCCAAGCTTCCCCCGCCGTGCCCACCTCTCCCCATCCTGATCGTGGCCCTCTCATCTCTCGCACGCTCCATCGCCCGCACAGGCTCGCAGAGGATGACCCGACCGCTCTCTACCTCCTCCAACAGCGAGTCCATCTCCGCCCAGCTCAAGCGACGCAACATCCCCTCTTCACTCCCTCGCGACATCCTCTCGTTCCTCTTGCACTACCCCTCGCAGTCGCCCAACCCGAAGCGAAACGCCAACCTCCTCTTTTACAAGAATCAACATCCTGCACGACCGAGGAGGACTAATTGCGAGGAGTTGCAGGACGTGCTGAGAGGGAATTGGGACGAGTTGGAGGGGAGACATGATTTTGTGCAGTGGTTCTTTCCGATCCGGTGCGTCTTGGCGGGTCACAGACGGTTGTGCTCGTGCTCCTCGCGCTAACCTCTTTGTTCGTCTTGTTCGGCGACTTGCAGCGAACAAGGGGTGAACTGGGACGCCCAGCCGCTCGAACTTCACGAGAGCGAGGGGATCAAGTCTGACCCAGCGGCCATGTCGCGCTTCATCGAGTCGTGCGTCCCTTCCCTTCCTCCTCCCACTTCGCCCGCTCACGCGCTGGCTCGTCGCACAGCTACCGCATCATGCTCGCCTTCTACGGCCTCACCCTCGTCGACTCCCGCACAGGCGAACTCGCGCTGCAAGACGAGGTGCCCGCCCCGCATCCGAGTAGCTACCTGAGGAGGTTGAGGAATCTGGAGGAGAGGAGCCATAACTGGTTGAGGGTTACGAGGATCTTGAAGTGTCTGGAGGAGGTGAGTTCCGCTTCAGTTCGCTATGGCACTGCTTCGAGTCCTACGGGACGAACGAGGCGGTGCCTTCACATGAACGAGCCGGGACTCGCTGCTCACCTTGCCTCATCGCACAGTTCGGCCTAACCCCTCACGCCCCCTCCCTCCTCCTCTTCCTCCTAACCCTCCAATCGCCTCCTCATCAACTCCTCACCTCCCCCGCCCTCTGCCGCTCGATGGACTCCTACTGGCGCTGGTGCGTCCGCGACGACGAGGATCGCGAGTTTGTGGGACGGGTGGTGGAGAGGGTGAGAAGCGGTGGGTCGTGGAGCGAGGAGGAGTATAGGGAGTGGATTTGGAGGAGGACGGAGGAGAAGGCGAGGAACAGCGAGGCGGGGACGAACGGGGCGAAGGAGGAGAACGGCAACGACGAGGCGAACAGCGCGGAAGGAAAGCTGTAAGGCCGCGATCGGCTACATCGTTGCATTCGATAGACTGTCCTCGTGCACTCTACGCTCGTGACGAACGCTTGCTTGCGATTTCGCTCGCTTTGCTTTGCCTGATTAGATCCGCTCGCGCCTCTTCCTGCTTGACCCGATGCCACTCGCTCGCTCGGCTTGACTGCGCTCGTACAGATTGTTACAGAGCTACTAGGAGTGCCGCAGATAACCTAGCGTGCACATCGACCCGCGCCACTCCCGCGACCTGCCCACCCTCTCGTCCCGGTAACGCCGCACGACCTCATCGCCTCGCTTTCGACGAGCACGCCGGCTGGACGGAAAGGAGTGGCATTGCGCGACTCACACGCTTTGAAAATCCCGTCTGCCAACCGACAGCACGCGGAACGACTCACTCCCACCCTGCCGTCACCACTCCTCTGCTCCTCACCGAATCGACCCGCCGGCAACCCTCCTCGCCCTTCTAGCGGGTCAGTCACCCCTCTCGCCGGGCCATGCCTTCCCCCTCACGGCCTTCACATCCATCCGCCTCGTCGCACAAATCCCCCTCGTCTTCCTCGGCGACGAAACCTCACTCTGTCCCTCGACCGCTCGTCTCGGCTCTGACGGGCACGACCTCCGGTTCTGCGACACCTTCGACGTCGTATGGATCGTTCCCGCCTGCGGACGATCCTGCCGCTGCGCATGGGCATGTGACGAAGAACGAGGTGGAGAGGTTGTTGAGAGCCAAGTTGGGGGCTTCGATTGGTGGGAAGGGCGGGAGGGGGCGGAGGAGGTGGACGAGGAGTAGGGAGAGATTGGTGAGGAGCGGGTCGGAGGATGTGTATGATTCGGATGCGAGTTTGGAGGGAGGGCGGAAGGACGGGGAGCGGATCGAGGGAGACGGACGAGGCTTTCGCTCAGAGACGGACGAAGAGACGGATGAGGACGAGCGAGGAGCGGTACGTTGGGACGAAGGCGCGCCGTTACGACGGAGAAAGTCGGCCTCTGGAGAAGACAACGGCTGGCGAGACGTTCCTTCGACCCAGCCGCGGGACCAGGGCGAGCGGAGAAGCGGCGCGGACGGCTCGACGAGACAGCCGGAGGAGGACAAGCAGTGGGGTGTGGTAAAGATGGAGATCATGGCGCGGACATGGGGCAGGAAGGGACTCTTTACGATCTACGCTGGGTGTGTGGCTTCGCTCGTGGATGCGGCTGCTTCGCATGTCAGCTGACGAGTCGTTGATGCAGCCTCTACCTGATCTCGGCGCTCATGTCGCTCGAGGGGAACACAACGCCGACGATCGAGCCGTACTTCCTGAGTCTGCTCGGCGAGCACTCGATGCTCAGCTCGGTCGTCATCGTCATGTCGGTGCGTTCAGCCCGTTGTAGTAGCGCTTTCGAGCTCAAGCTGACGGCCACCGCCTCTCAGATCGCCTACGCTGTCGGCAAGCCCCCAATGACCAAGATCCTTGACGTATTCGGCCGAGCAGAAGGGATCTGCTTCGCCGCCGCTCTGTACTCCGTCGGCTACCTCATCACCGCCGCCGCGACCGACGTCAAAGTGTACATCGTCGCGCGCGCACTCTCAGCGCTCGGCGGCCAAGGCGTACAACTCGCTCAGCAGATCATCGTCGCCGATACTACGACCCTCTCGAACCGCGGCCTCATCACTTCGACGGTCTCCCTGCCGTGGCTCTTGACGACATGGATCGGCCCGCCGCTCGGGGCCTTTTTCCAGCGACGAGGACCAGTCGGCTACCGCGCCGCCTACGCAGTCTTCGGCATCCTACTCCCGCTCGTTGCGTGCCTGTTGTTCTGCACGCTCTACCTCGAGTGGAGGAAGATCAAGCGGAAGGCGCTCGCGGAAGGTCGGAAGCCGAGCACGAAGGACCTCGGCTTTGGCGTGACGACGAGGCGGCATCGGACGCTGTCCAGCTCGGCGTACTCGACTAACGGCTCACCAGCGCGACCGAAAGCGCCGCATCCTCCTGCCGCTTCTTCGCACCTCGCGCCTCCCTCGCACGATTTCGCCGACCACCTCGACCTCGAGTCATCTTCTGCACCCGGCTCGAACCGCCCGCTCACAGCGCGCGAACGCCGCGAAGCCTGCGCCGCAACAGACGCAGCGAACGAGCTCACGAAGCGCAAGAGGTGGAACATGTCGCCGTGGAGCAAGGCGGTCGAGTTGTGGCACGACTTGGACGTGCTCGGCCTCGTGGCCCTGACGGTCGGATGCGTGTTGTTCTTGTTGCCGTTCACGCTGGCGACCAAGCGGCCCGAAAGCTGGGGTGACCGTGCGTCTCGTCCATCTCATCGACTCCTCCGACCGGCTGACCGCTTCGTTTCCGCCAGGCCTCATCTGGCTCCTCATCTTCTCCGGCGCGCTCATCCTCGTCTTCTTTGGCTACTACGAGCTCCACCACGCCTCGATCCCGCTCCTCCCGCCTCGACTGCTCAAGAACCGCACGATCGTTGGCGGGAGCGCGATGGGCTTCTTTCACTTTGCCAGCCAGTTCTGCTACGAGAGCTTCTTTACGAGTTTCTTGCAGTGCGTTCGCTTTCTCACTCACTCGCTCGAGGTTTTGCTGACGTATCTCGGTTCGCAGGGTCGCGCGCGGCCATTCGCCTCAAGACGCCTCCTACATCAGGTGCGTACTCGCGAGACGTCCTCGCTCTACGGCGGCTATCGGCTGATGCGCGTTTGACCTCGTTCGGTGCACAGCCAATCCTACATCTTCGCCGCCTGCGTCGCCGCCCTCCTCGCCGGCTACCTCGCCAAGATCACGAACCGCTACAAGTGGATCGGCATCTCCGGCGTCTTGATCCACGCCGTCGGCGTCTGGCTCATGATGCGCTCGCGCAACCTCGACGGATCGACGTTCGAGCTGGTCTTGAGTCAGCTGATTGGAGGGATCGGGGGTGGGTTCACCACGATTGCGGTGCAGACGGGCTGTCAGAGTGTCGTCGGTCACCAGGGTGCGTCTGACACGTTGCAAGAGCTTCTCTACCATGTCTGACCTGCTCGCATCGCACGCAGACGTCGCCATCGCGACGGCAATCTTCTTGACGATCACGCAAGTCGGCGGCGCAGTCGGCGGCTCGATCGCTGGCGCAGTTTGGTCCACCTCGCTCCCTCGACGCCTCGCCCATCACCTCCCCTCATCCGAGCAAAGGCACATCCCGTCCATCATTGCCTCGCTCCCCTACGCCCTGTCTTTCCCGTCCGGCTCGGCCACTCGCATCGCCATCAACAAGGCCTACGTCGACGTGCAGAAGGTTCTCAACGGGCTCGCAATGGCCATGCTCGTGCCTGGCTTGCTCAGCATGTGCGCCATGAAGGACGTCAACCTCGGCAAGGACGACCAGGGAGGCGAAGGTGTCGTCGTGCTTGGGCGGGCGAGCTTCCTGGGTGCGTGCCGCCGCTTTCTCTCTGCCTCTCAAGCTTGGGCTGACGTGATGATACGCGCGCAGCCTGCGAAGACGAGCTCACCTCGAGCGAAACTTCCAGCCTCCTCGGCGGCAGTCCCGAGTGACCCGCTTCTCCCGCCGTACCGCTCATTACGTCGTTCGTTTCACCTTGTTGTCGCTATCTTCGCATTCTCTCCTGTATCGCCACCTTCATTTCTCGCACGTCGTCGGCACCCCTTGCATCCCTCGAGATACCCTCCGACCTGCACCAGTTTGCGCACGTAGCATTCTGAGACCTGCATCGCGGCTCCTCGTTAGACTAGCACGAGCAACGAGATACGAGCGAGAAGAGGCGGGGTCTTGAGGCTTAGCGCAACGAAAGCGAAGAACAGCATCCGCTCTCCGCGGCTTGAAGCGGACGGGTTGGCTTGACGATGTGTAAACGTTGGATATCACAACGAGACAGAGCATCCGGTCGATGTAATGTACAGGAGACGGCAGGTACTTTAGCTGAACGACCGAAGGTTCGATGGAGGCGAGAGAGGCCAAAGGAGATCCGGTTGCGACGATTTTGCACGCTAGCTGTTGACGTCGACAAGGTTGACGGAGTCGACAAGCTCAACAAGGTGACTGTAGTCAGAGACAGCCGAGTGTCTTGCGCAAGGCGAATCGGGCACAAGTGCGGTAGAGTCGGACTGCTGCTGGGGAGGGCTGTACGGGGGCGGTGCGTCGCGTGTCGATGCGGCCGCGAGCGTAGGGGACGTACGACGAGGCGGAATGGTAACGATGGGTATGGGCGGCTTTGAAGCAAGACCTGGAGGAGGGAGTGGAGGAAAGCGAGGTGAGGCGGGGGAAGTTGGCCGTGATCTGCGTGTGAGCAAGGCAGGTCAGCACCTTGTCAAGTACCGCTCTAAAGACAAGATGTACCGGCGCATTCGTTCGCAAACCGTTGCACAACCCAGTCGGCCCGAACCATCGCTCCTTCCGTACACTCCCGCCGCGCCGAAGCTGGCCAGTAAAGCGAGAGTCCTCCAGCTGCGCCTTCGGCGAACTCCTCAAGAGCCTGCCACCAATATTCGCTGACAACACCGCGTTCGTGAAGGTAAATGGCGAAGTTGTAGCGAGCGTAGTCGAGGACTGCGATTCCGAACTGTTGTCAGCTTGTGGGAAGACGTCAGCGAGACGAGTTGAACGTACCGACATAGCCCATCGCCAGTTCTCCCAAGCGCTGTCGCATGTCCTCGCTGACCTTGAGCAGCTCGCTGCGAACACCCTTGCCTTCTCGCAAGCGCGAACGGATGACGTTCCGCTCTTCCTTCAACTTGTTCATCTCGCTGCGCTTGGTAACCCAGAAGTCATCTGGCATCAGGCGAAAGATCTGCTCGCACGCGAGCGAGAATTCGGGAGGAGTGCGCTCCGCGTACTGCGGGTCATCTGTGAAGGCGAAGCGGGAGAGTCGGCTAGCGAGATGGGGTGGAACGAAGCCACGAGAGACTTTGGGATACGAAGATGTCTTGGCTGGACGAGACGTGCCGGGCGACATCCGCTCAATGGGCCGAGTTGAGATGAGGATATGAGAGCGCGAGCAGGAGCGGGGCAGCCCCGGGACGCTCACAGACGAGCTCTAGTAAATAGCGTTTGTAGAGTCTCCGTCTACAACGTAGCGTAGCTCGACTGCCGGGTCAGAGAGATGGGATGGAGATAGAGAAATGAATCATCGCTTCGTCCGCGCCCATCTCCTTGCACGGGTTAGGGCTCGCAAATATGGGCGTAGCGGCTGCGAAGAGGCACACGCTGCGCCTCCTATCCATAAGCGGGCCGAGCTGCCGGGAGAGAGTGCTCGCTCTCCTCCTCTTCCGCTCCTCTGGCTTCCCTCCACCGCGACTCGCTCGTGACGGGTCCAGCGACAAGAAGGTACATTAGAAGTGTCTAGCAATGCAACGGGGCGAAGACGGAAGGCGCGGCGACATCCGGCATCTAGATTTGCGCGTCCTGCGGGTCCGAACAGCCTGAGGTCAGCCAGACAGCTTCGGGACGAGCTGGAGAGACGTATACGCACGGTGAAGAAGAACTTGCCCGCGAGCTGGACAGAGACAAAATGTATGTCAGCTTCGAGGAAGGAGGCAAGGGAGGGAGAAGGCGAACCTTCTGCTCTCTGCGAGCGTAACAAGCGACAAGAATTTAGCTCTCGTTTTCTGGCTTCATCTGCGAATATCACGTACGTGTCGAGCTGACTGCCAAGCTTGTTGATACGCTGCAGGCGGAGGAGGGGAAGGTCAGCCGTCAGTTGAGGCGAATGACGTAAGGCGGTCATAGCCGGTCTTACGGGGCGGAAATTGGTCTGTAGGAGAACATGGGATGTCAGTAAGGAGTACAGAAGCAGAACGTTCGCAGAGGAGCGCACCGGGTCTCGTCGGAAGGTGATCTCGAGCGACTTCAAGAACTTGTTCCTGTTGGCCGTCCAGCAGCATCGTCAGCACAGCTCCGACATCGACGAGCGGGAACGTGACGTACATGCCGGTAAGGAGACTCTCGGGCGCGGTCGCGAACGATTCGACCGAGGGCGTGCCCGAGTAGACGACGACGCGGTCGGCGAGGTAGGTCGCCATGACGATGTCGTGCTCGACGATGAACGCAGTCTTCTTGGCGTGAAGGATGTACCTGCGAGGGCGAAAGATGAGTAGGAAGCTTCAAGTTAGAGGGAAGCGCGAGACCCACCGCTTAATGACCCTCGCGGCGAGAATACGCTGCTCCGAGTCGAGGTAGGCCGAGGGCTCGTCGATGAGGTAGATGTCGGCGGGCTTTCCGAGTGCGAGGACGATGGCGACACGCTGCAGCTCACCGCCGGAGAGGGTGGTGACGTACTGGTCCATGATGTTTTCGAGGTTCATGGGCTTGAGGACGTCCGTGTTGAACTGCGGGTGCATGAACGCGGCGCGGATCTGCTTGAGGAGGAGCTCGCGAACGGTTCCGGGGAACTTGGGCGCGATCGTCTGCGGCTTGAGCGAGACGGAGAAGTGCTGCTCGTCCTTCTCGTTGTCGGGCTTGAGCTTGCCGGCGAGGAGCTTGACGAACGTCGTCTTGCCCGTGCCGTTCTCGCCGAGGAGGACGATGATCTCCGAGTCGGTGAACGAGCCAGCGTCGAGGTTGAGCTTGAAGTTGCCCTGGGTCTTGGTCATGGCGGGGTACGTGTACCTGCGCGACTTTTCCGCAATGACTTCCTCCTGCGCATCGGCGATCTTGAAGGTGAGCGACTCCTCGCGGAAGCGCAGGTTCTCGGTCGGGATCTTGCCGTCGAGGAAGATGTTGATGCCTTCCCGGACCGAGAAGGGCATGGTGACGACGCCGTACATCGAGGGCATGCCGTACAGGCAGCAGATAAAGTCGGAGAGGTAGTCGGCGACGGACAGGTCGTGCTCGACGGCGATGACATAGTTGTCGGGGCGGAGGAGGGAGCGGATGATGCGCGCGGCGTTGAGACGCTGCTTGACGTCGAGGTACGACGACGGCTCGTCAAACATGTAGCTGCGCGTGTGCGAGACGTGAGCTTGAGCCGAGGAGACGCTAAAAGAGCGCGGGACGCACACATCGGCGTTCTGGACACACGACATGCCGATAGCGAACCGCTGGAGCTCTCCTCCAGACAGCTGGCTGATTTCACGGTCGAGGACGACGTCCAGGTCGAGGTCGCGAATGACGTCGTCGAGGTTGTCCAGCTCGAGCTTCGAGTCGAGCATCTGCTTGACGGTCTGGGACCCCTTGATGGCGCGCGGGATGTGGTCGACATACTGAGGCTTGATGAGCGGCTTCAAGTTGTCCTCGAGGACCTTCGTAAAGTAGTTCTGCAACTCGGATCCGCGGAAGTACCGCAGGATCTCTTGCCAGTCGGGCGGGTTGTCGAACCTGCCAAGGTTGGGCTTGACCTTGCCCGAGAGGATCTTGAGCGCCGTAGACTTGCCGATACCGTTCGTGCCGACGAGTCCGAGGACCTGACCCGGACGAGGGGTGGGGAGACGGTGGAGCTTGAACGAGTTGGCAGAGTACCGGTGCGTCACTTGCGACTCGAGGTTGGTCGGCAGGTTGATGATGTTGATGGCCTCGAACGGGCACCTGTGAGAGCGATGTCGGTGAATTGCAAGCTGCTGAGTGGGAGGAAAGCGTACGCACTTTTTCGGGCAGATACCGCAACCAATGCACAATTCCTCTGAGATGAACGCAATCTTGGACGACGGGTCGACCTCGATACACAGCTTGCCTGTGAATGTACGAGCGTAAGGCAAAGAACGGAGGAGAATGGCAGCAGCGAACGCACCCATTCGCACGACCGGGCACGACTTCTTGCACTCCTGCCTGCACTTCTTCGGCTGCGGGCACCATCACCGTCAGCTCCTCGTCCTCTCATACCTTCAAAGGCGGTCTGCCACCCTCACCTTGCATCTGCGGCGTATGGAATGGAGGTTAGCCTCCATCCGTCTCTATCGCCACGACTCGCGTCAGTGGAGGAAGCAAGCGAACGTACCGGTCGGGGTTGACCAACGCAATCCTCGTCAACTTGTCGCTCATCCTGTCGGTTCCTGCTTAGGGAAAAGGGGAAAGAGAGAGGATGAAGAGGCAGGCGAAAGCTGTGTGGGAGGGAAGAGGTCAGCGACGGAAACACTGCGGCTGTTGCGCGCACTGCTGAAATTCTGTAATCCCACAAACAGCCTCGTACGCTGCCCTGACCCGCCAGAGTGCCACAATGACGCCCGCTCTCCTCATCGCTCCTCCACACCTTGACGAGGCAGCCACCCGCCCGCCCTCCCTCGAGCAACCCGCGTATGACCCTGACCGAGCTGCAACAAATTTGCAGTACCCCCTTGACACCCCCTCGCTGTTCCTGCGCCCTCACACGACGAGCCTGCCCTTGTTCCCCGATTTTTGGCCCCGACTCGACCGCCGCTCAGCCGTCCACCTCCCTCGCGGTGCAGAACCGTTGGCCGGGTCGTAACGAGCGCAGCTGAATGTGAGCTCACAGCTAGAGACAGCCCTATCCGAGGAAGACGGCGAGAAGTGAGGCGGGCGACCACTCGCACGAGGCGAAGAGCCAAGTTCAGCACTCGCTCGCAACGACGCAGACTGTCAGATGCGTACCAGTACAGCGTGTCTGATACACTCACTAGATTTGTCAAATGTCGACCCGCTCCTTCTGTCGAAGCGATACCGCTGTCCTCCTCGTCGCGCCTCTCTTTCCCTCTGCCAGTCCGCTCCTCACCATGCTGGCCTCGCTCGCAGCAAAGGCAGTCACAGCAGTGACCTCGCCCATCAAATCCGTCTTCGCTTACTCGCCCGCTCCCCCTTCCCCCGCTCCGCGACCGCCCCTCCTCGACGCCGCAGAGACGCGTCTCGGAAAACGCTCACAGAGGGAGGAATCGGTCGAATCGGCTCTGACGGAGCTCTCGGAGGACGGAGGACACGGAGCGGACGCGGTCGAGCCGGAAGAACGAGCGAGTTCCGCAAAGAAGCCTCGTTTGGCGGTCAAGGAGGACGTGAACGAGGGACAACAACAACTGCCGACGCCGTCTCCGTCGCGCTCGTCGGGTTCTTCAGAGCCTGCTGCATTCGAGGCTGCGCCGCCGAAGCGCGCAAGGACGACGCGCGCCGGCAAGGCGGATGGAGAGGACGAGGAGGACGACCCTTCGCTCGGCAAAGACGGGAAGCACTACTACGTCGCGGGGCTGTACTGGTCGTCCGACGTGCCTGTGCAGAAGCGCTCGTCGTCCGCCGCCTCGGAAGACGTCGAGATCAGCGAGTCGGGCGCACGGAACTGGCGCTCGATTGTCCCTTCTCGCTCGACTGCACTCCCTCCGCCCATCCACCACGCCATCACTCTCCTCTCGCCCTCCATCGACGACGATGCCCCCACACCCTTCCGTCTGCCCTTCGATATCCTCCGCGACTTCTGGTTCGTCGAGGAGGCCAAGAACAGGAAGGGAAAGGGACGGGTCGGGGAGAGTGCGGCGGCTGCCAAGGCTAGGCGCGAGGGGAAAGGAGGGGTCAAGACGACGGAGGAGGACATCGAGAAGCGCGAGAAGAGCAAGAAGCCTGAGCCGTATCGCTATATCGGCAAGAGTGCGTCGGCGTCCCTCTCGCTCGTTGTGTGCGCGCTTCCCGCTGATGCAGCTTGCTGACCTTGCCCGTTCGCTGATGCACAGACGTCTATGTCGGCCGCGGACCCGACAAGGCGCCCATCCCCGCCATCTGCGCCTGCACGCCTCCAAAACGACCAGGCGAGATGGGCTGCGGCGTCGACTGCATCAACCGGTTCGTCCGCCGTCTCTCCAATAATCGCTTCTCCTCCCAGATAGCGATACTTATTGGGTTTGGCGGATTTGAACAGGCTGATGCAGTATTGCTGCGACCCGAAGCTGTGTCCCTGCGGTCCGGACAAGTGCGCGAACCCGCCGCTCAACAAGCGCGAGGGTATTCCCGAAGGCAAGGACGGTTTGAGGGTCATCTGGGTGCGTCGGCGTGCTTACGCTACCTACGGCTAGGCTTCGACGTTCTCCCGTGAGTCGAAGCTGATGGGCATCAGCGAGCATCTCGCACAGACTGGGAATCGAGGGTTCGGGCTCAAGACGATGGTGCCGATCAAGCAGGGCGACTTTGTCATCGAGTACCGTGGCGAGGTGCGTCCGGCGCACCCTCTTCAGTGGATAGACTTCCCGCTGAGTCCGTTCGCTGATGCAAGTTCGCGCCTCGGAGTACAGATCATCTCGCGCGACGAGAGCTACCGCCGTGTCCTCACGACCTACGCAGACAAGACTTCCTAGTCCGTTCCCTCGCTCCTCCCTTCTTCTCCCCGCTAACTCCGCCCAACCTCGCAGTTACTTCATGGACTACGACGGACACGAAGTCGTCGATGCCGGACAGCGAGGGAACGCAGCGCGGTTTATCAACCATTCGTGTGGTCCGAACTTGGAGGTTGTGAGGTGGCGGCTGGCGGGTGTTGAGGAGTATCAGGTGCGTTCGAGGCGGTTGCGTTTCTCTGCGGTCCTTCTTCAGTGGGACGGCGCTGATGGCGGTTGCTGCTCTGACAACGCGCAGATGGGCTTGTTCGCGCTCCACGATATCCCCGCCGGGACCGAGTTGACCTGTACGTCCGGCTCTCATTCGCTCGCTTTCGCTGCACTCGCTCGGCACTATCGTCGACGAGTGTAGCTGGACGACTCCGCGAAAGAGAAGCTGTACACTGATGCTCTCCGCCTGCAGACGACTACGGCTGGCAAGACTTTGCCGCTCTTGCTCCCCCTACTCTTCCCTCCACCAACCTCCTCCCTACCCCTGCCCCGACCTCAACCTCCACCACTCCAACTCCTACTACCACTACCGCCAGCGCGACCAACGAATCCACTATCCTCCTCTCCACCGGCACCGCCATCGATCCCTCCCATCAGAGGTGTTACTGTGGTGCGGCGGAGTGTTCGGGCTTCCTTGGTGGGAGGGCGAAGGGCAAGAGCAAGAAGAAGGGGAAGGCGAAGCCTGCGCTTGAGCCGAAGGAAGAGCAAGAAGAGGTAGGGAGGAAAGAGCTTGGCTTTGTGCAGGCCAAGATCCGCGTCGTGGACCACCAGCGCCGAGCGTCAGGAGCAGGTGGAGGGACACCGATGAGGAGCGGGAGGGAGGCGGCGAGGAGGGCGAACGAGAAGTTGGTCGCTTCCGGATGAGGAGGAGGAGGAGGAGGGCGGGCGATAGATGCGAGGCTGGGGATCGTATTGGGTTTTTCGGGCATGTACGGCATACGTTCTGTTGGCTTGTCATGACTACTAGCGGCATCTTTCTTTCGCGAGGGAGAGGAGAGTGCGAGGGGAGCTCACGAACGACGACTCGTTTTTAAGCGACGCTGGGCAATGCAACGTCCTTGCGCTGGCTTTGCGAGTGTAGGAGAGGGCCGGGCATGAGCAGCGAGCGGCTAGAGAAGGAGCGTCGGATGATTGGGAAGGTCACCTCGTCGAGCGTCGAGGAGGAGTGCTCGCCCTCCTCGTCCTCTCGTTCCTGGAGTGCGCAGATACTGATGACGAATGCTTTACAGGGTACTGATCGAGAGTAGAACCGGAAGGGAATCAAACAAACCGACACCCTCCTCCTCCTCCTCCTCCTCCTCGCACCTAGTTCCTCTTCGCCCTCACCTCCTCACCCCAGAGGTGCTCCGCAACCTCAAAGTAGCCCGAGGCCATAAAGTAAGCAATTGGTTCCTCCCCCTGGTTGCTCGTAAACTTTGCCTCCTCGTCCGCAATCTGGATGACTTTCGTCCCGAGTGACTGGGCGGCCCCGTGCGCGAGGAGAGAGACGCGGCATTGTTCTTCGGCGAGGATGAAGCGTGCGACGGCTGCGTCGATCGTGTGGCCGACCGTCCTATCCCGCCACCAACAAACTCCCATCAGCTCCTCCCATCAACCTCCGGAGTCTGGGAGGAAGGGGACGCACAACAACCCATGGTTCTGCAAGACGACCAACACCCCATCTCCCAACTTTTCAGCGATCCGCGCGCCCTCGGATTTCGAGAGGACCACGCCGCCGAACGAGTCGAGGACGGATTGGCGGCCGTAGAAGGCGCACGAGTCTTGCGTTGTGTATTCGAGCTGCGGGCGCCGCGAGGGGAGGGGAGCATTAGCGAGCCTGTGAGTGAGAGAAAGGAGGGGAAGGGAGGAAGGGACGAACGGGAAGGCCGAGAGTTGACCAGGCTTTGCCGTATGGCGAGTGCGAGTGGCAGATCGCCTGGACGTCCGGGCGGGCTTTGTGGATCTGCTTATGTACACATCAGCAGTGACCTATTCTCTCGAGCGAGAGAGGGCGAACGGACGGAGGAGTGGACTGCGCGAAGAAGGGTCAGCGCACGAAGGAAAGCGAGGAGAGAGGGAGATCGGACGGACTCAAGAACCCAGCCTTGTTGACCACCCTACGCCCAGGCTTTCCACCGCCAATCACGTCGCCCTCGTGCGAGACGGTGATGATATCCTCGGCATCCATCACTGCGCGACCTCGCTAAGTGTCAGCGGGTTTGACGGGGTTCAAGATGGCGCTGAGACGGACACTTGAAGCTGCGCGAGAATGGGTTGACGTAGAACGAGTCGGGCTCGCCCGGAACGCGGACGGTGAGATGGCCAGCCTGGTAGGAAGGAAGCGAGGGTCAGTTCTGGCAGTTCCAGCGCACCCGGCGTCGATCCGACGACACATGCAGCCTCCAAACGTGGCAATGAAGCTGTAAGAGGTCGCCCAGCTCGCCCACAGTCGTGTCAACCGCGCAAAGTGGCTTCCCCGCACCGCGAGGAAGAGAATAGCCGGACCCTCGTCGCGTCAACTCACGATGTGGTGGTCGAGTCCGTACTGAGCAAAGATCCTGCATGCGAGTGCGATGCGTTCCTTCAAGTACTGCCTCTCGTCTTCGAGCGAGTCGAACTTGGGTGGCGTGACGAGTGCGGCCAAGTCTCCCTTCTCGAACCCGAACGACTCTGCGTCCTGGTCCTGCCTGGTGCCCGAGTGAGGAGGCTGCGAGAGTGCTGCTGCGTCCGGTGCCATCGTCGCTGTCGTCGTCCTCGTCGTTGGAAGAGAGAACGAAGAGAGAGTCTCCGCACGAAGTTGGGCCTCCGGGCCGAAGGAGTGGGGCCGGTCACGTGACTAGTTTCTGCCCAGCTGCCACGTCAGTTTCGCACCCAAGAGAGTTTCGCACCCAAGCTCGACCGCACCTTCATCACCTTCGACTCGCTCTCTCGCTCGCTGGTTTGCTGTGCTACTTCGTGTGCACGCTACAAGGTCTAGACTCGCTTGACTCGCTAGGCTCTCCCGTTTGAACGGACCCGCCGCGATGGACAGCGACTCGGACACTCAGGTCGACATCTCGTCCGCCCTCCTCGGCCCATCCACCTCGCGCAAGCCCACAAAGACCGTGCGCACCAAACCCTCCACCTCGTCCAAGCCCGCACCAGCCGCAGCGACCGACTCGGGCGACGAAGGTGCCGAGGATGCCTTGTTCGCCTCCCTCGCGTCCCTGCAGCACTCGAGGAACTTGTCCGAGGGAGCGGCGCTCGTGCGAAAGGGCAAGGATGCGAAGCAGTCCAAGGGCTTGACAGGCGGCGGATCCTTCCAGTCCCTCGGATTGCCTCCCCTCCTCCTCAAAGCCCTCCTCCAGCGCGGGTTCACCACGCCGACTCCAATCCAACGCCTCGCACTCCCCTCGATCCTCGGCTCAACCGAATCGATCGTCACGGACAAAGGGAAGAAGATCACTGTCGCGCGGGACCACCTCTGCATGGCGCGCACAGGGTCCGGAAAGACCTTGTGCTACCTCCTCCCGCTCCTCGCGACACTCTGGACCCACTCGGACAAGTTTGGTGCGCGCGGATTGATCCTGGTCCCGACGCGCGAGTTGGCGTTGCAGGTGTTGAAGGTCGGGAAGGATTTGGCGAGGGGCATCAAGGGAGAGGGAGAGGCGTTGAGGTGGGCGATGATTGTGGGTGGAGAAGGGATGGAGAGCCAATTCGAGTTGATGGCTGGGAACCCCGACATGTGCGTGCTTACTCTCCTCCCTTTCTCTCTTCTCAGCCGAACTAATGTTCTCCCGCCCGGCAGCATCATCGCCACGCCCGGCCGATTCCTCCACCTCCTCGTCGAGATGTCCTACTCGCTCTCCTCGATCCAGTCACTCATAATCGACGAAGCCGACCGACTCTTCGAACTCGGTTTCGCAGAACAACTCCACGAGATCCTCCACCGCGTACCCGCAACTCGCCAGACCCTCCTCTTCTCCGCCACTCTCCCCTCCTCGCTCGTCGGGTTCGCGAAAGCCGGGTTGCAGAATCCCAAGTTGATCCGCCTCGACGTCGATCAGAAGATCAGCAAGGACCTCCGGATGGCCTTTCTCGAAGTCAAGGCGAGTGAGAAGGAGGCCGTCTTGCTTGGGTTGTTGAGGGAGGTCGTCAGGGTGCCGGTTATGACGGAGCAGCAGAGGGTGGAAGAGAATGCGAGGGTCAAGAGGGAGAATGAGGCGGTTATGAATGGCGAGGGGGAGCGGCGAGGTCATTCGCATGGGAGCGGCGGGCGAGGGAAGGGCAAGGGACGCGGGTTCGGCGACGACCGCGGGAAGAAGCGGAAGCGTGGGGCGGACGAGGACGACGACGAGAAGGACAAGGTCAACGGTGCCGAAGTCGCCCCGCACCAAACCGTCGTCTTTGTCTCGACCAAGCACCACGTCGAGTACATCTCGTCCCTCCTCTCTGCCGCACACTACGCCGTCTCGTCCATCTACGGCTCGATGGACCAAACAGCGCGCAAGATCGCCCTCTCCCGCTTCCGCTCGGGCCAGACTTCGATCCTCGTCGTCACGGACCTCGCAGCGCGCGGTATCGACGTCCCCGGGGTCGAGAACGTCGTCAATTACGATTTCCCGAACGGGACGAGGAACTTTGTGCATCGGGTTGGAAGGACGGCGCGTGCGGGACGGACGGGTTGGGCGTATACGTTCGTGACGAGTTCGGACGTGCCCTACTTGCTCGACCTCGAACTCTTCCTCTCCCGACCACTCAAGACCTGCCCTCTCGACTCGACCGACGCCTCAGGACCCGACTACTCCCACACCTTGATCCTCGGTACCCCTCCACGCGCCTTGACCGACCTAGACCTCGAGACTCACCGCTCTCTCCTCACGCACCACCCACACCTCGAGATCCTTCAGGGCGTCGCAGCGCGCGGACAGAAGATGTATGAGCGGGGACTGGGGAAGGCGAGTCCCGAGTCGTATAGGCGTGCGAAGGAGATGGCGCGCGCGAAGGCTGAGAGGGCGGCGAAGGCGGGACGAGGGGAGGTGGGCGCAGTGGGAGAAGAACATCCGGTTTATGATGAGGTGGTTGGAGGAGCGTCGAGCGAGGAGGTTGGCAAGGTCAAGCAGACGGAGCGCGAGAGGGCGGACCTCCTCGCCAAGATTAGTGGGTTCCGGCCGCCTGAGACGGTGTTCGAGGTGACGGCCAAGGGCAAGAACGGCGGTTCGGAAGGCTCGATCGCGCAGCTGATGAAGGAGCGCAGGAAGGCGATCTTGAAGAGCGAGAGGGCGAGGGAGTTGGTCAAAGCTGTTGGGGAGGAGGATCTGCCGGCGCTGCCTGAGGGCGCGGAGCGGGACGACGACGAGGAGATGGAGGTTGCTGAGATCGAGCAGCCGAAGCGGCCGGCCAAGGTTGACCTTGACGAGGCGGACGAGGAGGAACTCGAGGTGCGTCAACGTCGCTGCCCTCTCCCGATTACTCCGTACTGATGTGACGCGCGTCGCAGGCCGTCTTTGGCAAGAAGCCGGCGAAGCGCGCCAAGCAGTCGGAAGGCGGGTCGGGCAAGTCCTGGCGCGATGACCGCTTCTTCATGGGCTACGAGCAGGAAGGCGCCGCGACCGAGGCTGGGTGCGTTCGAGCTCTCCGTAATCTCAGTTCTGAAGAGTGCCTTTGCTGACTCTCCCGCTTCCGCCCGTAGCTACGCCCTCACGAACGGAGAGTCGTTCGTCGCGCAGGCCGCCCACTCGACCTACGACATCGCCGGCCACGGCGACACGGAAGGCACTCCCGCCGAGCTCCTCGCGCAGCGCGCCTCGACGCTCAAGTGGGACCGCAAGTCGAAGAAGTTCGTCCGGGCGGACCAGGTCGGCGCCGACAACAAGAAGCTCATCCGCGGCGAGTCGGGCCAGCGCTTGCCTGCGTCATTCAAGAGCGGCGTCTTTGACGAGTGGAGGAAGAACACGCGCATCAGCGTTCCCCGCGTTGGAGACCAGGAGATCAAGGGCCGGACGGTGCAGGGCGGCAAGCGCTTCCGTCACCAGGGTGCGGCGCCGAACGAGTCTTCCGAGGGCGGAGCGAGCGGCGGGAAGGGCAAGGCGGCGAAGCGGAGGGTTGGAAAGGCCGGCAAGCCTGGCAGCGCGCCGGGAGGGCTCAAGACTGCGGCCGAGATTCGCAAGGAGCGTATCGCCAAGGAGAAGCGCGTGCGCAGGTCGAATCAGCCGAGCAAGAAGAACCCGAAGGGCAAGGCTGGACCGGCGAGCGGGTCGATGGGCGGTGGTGGAGGTGGACGGAGGAAGTGAGCGGGCTTCTCGTCGTCCCTTTGTTGTTCAGCCTCTCGCACTTTTCGCAACGCAGGTTTTCTCGCATGTCTACTGGATGGGCGTTCACAACCGCTACAAGTCGAGGAAGAGAGAGCGAGGAGCGCAGGAGCAGTGAAGCGCGAGAAGCATACGACAGTCTAGGCATACAACTGCGACGTGAGAGAACGTCAGCTTGCGCAGAGCGGTCGAGATAGGGAGACTCGACGTACAACGTCCATGTCTGCAGCAAGCGAAGAAGAAAAGCGTCGAGATCAGCTTAAGTTCAAGCCACCGAGATCAAGGAAGAACGTACAGCGAGACGCCATCTCGCCTACCAATCCCGCACCGACCGCGCTGCTCGATCCGAGTCCATCTGCGTTCGTAGTGTGTCAGCGTGGTGTTGATCCACCCACAGATATGCGCGACTCACACAGCATCACCATGCTTCCCTTGCCCGCCTCCTCCATCGCCTTGACCTCGTCGACCGCCGCACGCAAGTCGCGCAGCAAGTCGTCAACGACGGGAACGGTGAGGCGCGTGCAGGCGATGTGCAGCGCCGGAGGGTTCTGGAGGGCGTTGACTGCGCGTGTGGGAACAATTCAGCTTGCGGGGCGAGAAGAGGGCGAAAGGAAAGGCGCGCACGGTGCCACCCCATCTTCGACATCCTGTCTCCAACCTCGTAAATCGGCACCCTTCCCAGCCCATTCCCCTGTCCCTCCGTCTTACTCCCAAACGCAACTACACTAACGAGCGGGTCTCCCAGCACGTAGAGTTCGGGAAAGTCCTTCCGGATACCGTGTACGATGCGCTTCGCGGCGCCGACGATGGAGTGGCAGGATGCGGTGTAGCCATCTAGGCCCATGTGGACGAGAGATGCCCATGCGCCGGCGAGGATCGCGCCTGGTCTGTTGCGCCGACCGCCTGTCAGCTCGCTTGCTCTTCCGAGAAAACTGCGCGTGATGGTGACGCACCGAGACCCAGCCATCGAAGGCGTCGCGTACACTCCGCCCGGCCAAGTCGTGATGACTTCGTACTGGTACTTCCTCAGCGCTTTCGAGCGGTACATGATGACGCTCGCTCCCTTGGGTGCCATTGCGTACTTGTGGACGTCGCAGGAGATGCTGCGCGGGGAGCAAACACGGTCAGTTGCGGGAAAAAGAGAAAGGCAGGGAGGAGACGCACCTCGTCACGCCTGGAACACGGAAGTCGAAAGGGACGGACTGGTACCCCGCCCGCTCGAGGAAGGGAACGAGGAACGAGCCGAGGCAGCAGTCGACGTGCAGGCCGAGGCGGTACTTGACTGCGAGGTCCGACAAGGCTTGGATGTCTGTCCCGTCTCGTGCCGTCAGTACCCTCTTGAGAGCGAGCAGGAGGAGAGAGGAAAGTACCGTCGATAGCGCCATCAGGGAAGTTAGGTGCCGACCCGACGAGCAAGATCGTGTTCGGGTTGATAGCCCGCCGAACCTTCTTGATCTGCACCCGCCGCGTCTTGAGGTCGACGGGGATGTGGTGGATCTTGATGTTGAAGTAGTGAGCGGCTTTGTCGAACGCGGCGTGGGCGGAGATAGGGACGATCCTGCGCTCCACGGGTCAGTCCGCGCAAGAGGAGTAAGGAGGGGGACGACGCACATCTCGGGCTCGGTGATCCCGTACTCTGCCCTCGCACGGTCTCGATACGCCTTGCAAGCCATGAGGATACTCTCTGTCCCGCCCGAGGTCGTCGTGCCCGCGCCGCCGTATTCGTCGATTGTAGAGGCGGGCAGGGGCGAGTTGTACAGCGAGAGACACATCGAGACAATCTCGGCGTCCATCTGTCGGACGCCTGTACCATCGTTGAGCGAGTTAGAACCCGTCTCAAAGGCGAAAGGAGCGGGAACGAACGCACCTGGGAAGACGTCCGCGTGCAACGGATTCGCCACTTCAAACTTTCCAAACGCCTCCTTCCAGATCTCGCCCATGTCCTTACCGCCATGGTAGACTGCTCCACTGACACGCCCGTTCTCCCACTTTGTGTTCGGCAACTCGCTCATCTTGGTGAGGGCTGTCGAGACGTCTTCCGCCGAGAGACCTTTGTCGGGGAGCGAGCGGAAGGACGGTGCGTCGGGGTGTTTTGGGGCGAGCTGTATGCCATTCAGTGGACTCGTTAGCTTGGTGGGGCGCGCAGCAGGGGATGAGCGAGCAAACGCACCTTCTCCTCCAATTCAAGCGTCACCTTATCCAGCTCTCCCGCCACCTTGTTCCGCACCGACGGGAGAAGCATCATCAACCCGAACCCTCGCTGGACCGTCGCAAGATAGGCCTCGCGCGCGGCCGTGAGGAGACCCCTTGCGCGGAGGTGTCGCACAATCCGGACGCACTGGCGGCAGACGAGGGTCCTGCGTAGGCGAGGGTTAGCTTGAGCTTTTGGAGGAGATGTGAGCTCCTTCGCACCAGAACACGAGCTGTGTGAGGGTCGAGCGAGCCGTGTCAGCTGCATCGTCTCGGAGGGAGGCGAGACTGCGAGCGAACGCACCGTTTTCGCTGTTTCGACGGTGAGTACGTGTGAGCGGATTGCGTCCATGATGGTGTGGCTGGCAGCAGGCGCCATGGTGAGCAGTGAGCGGGAGGAGAGCAACGAGTCGTGAGCGAACCCCGAGGCGAGCGACGACAGGCTCTGCCATCGCCCACAAACCCTTCGAGCGCGGATGGACCGATTGGCTGGACTGTACGATGCTCAGACAAAACAGCTGACTTGCTCGGCGGTCGCCTTCGCCGCTCGCTTGCCACCTCACCCGCTCGTCCTCATCAGTCGCAACGCACACCTCGCCGAAACGGCTGTGCAGGGTTGGGAGAAGCGAAGAGATGCACGCTGAAGGGTTCACGTGGGTAGCTGGCTCGCTACGGAACCGCCAGGCCACTCTCTGCTTACACTTCCTCCTCCTGCGCTCCGTCGTCCTGCTTTCCTTTCGTTTCCTCACCTGACTTGCTTGAAATCGCCGCTATCGAACACAGAAGGAGGCGCCGTTGAAGTGCTGAGCTGTCGAAGCACGATGCAGCGGCAGTGCATCCGCTCGGAGTATTCGACGCTGAGGCTCGCTGTGCCCCGCGCTCGTTCTTGCCCAGGGTTAGCTCAGTCCCTCACCGTCGCTTTTTCCGCTCGCGCACTTTGATTCAGTCTCCGGCAACGAGTCGGAGGAGGGAAGCGAAGCACAAGGAGCTAGAGCATGGGCCGTCGCTTCAAGTTGGCCTGTTCGGCTCCCTGCTGTTTCGCTCTGGCGCCCAGGAAGTGCTTTCCGCTCGACTTGCGTGCCGAGCAGGCTGCCAGCCCGCCGCTCACATGGAACGTCGACTCGCTGCTTCAGACTAGACTGCCGTTTCGAGGAAACCCGCCTACACCGGCAGCGGTTTGCGAGCAACTACAAGAGATGCTCTCACTAGTCAAGAGGCTGCACCTAGGAATACGGTGCGTAAGAACACAGTGTGGAAAGAGAGGAGGGTGAGAGCCGGGAGAGGCGAGGGGATTAGAACGGTTTCAGAGGTCGCGCATGATAGCGTCCTCCCTGTGCTCGCCCTTCTCGACCGGGTTCTTCTGCGCACCGGCGTAGTAAGCCTCCTTGTCCTCGTCGTGGAGGTTCTCGTCAAGGCTGCGTGCGAATCGAGTTAGCGCGAGGATCTGAAGGGAGGGGGAGACGCGGACGCACATCTGCTTGCGGAACTTGTTCGAGTGGAGGGCGTTCGAGTTGCGGTAGAGGATGTCGACTTGCTCGAGCGCGAGTCCCTTGGTCTCGTAGATGAAGCTGTGCGAGCGAGGGCGGGGGTTGCGAAGGTCAGCTCGAGCTTCGTCTGCCTCCTCGAAGGCGATGAGATGCTCACAAAAACGTGAAGATGAAGCACGCGACGCAGCACCCGCCCCACTCTTCGCCAGGGAGAGAAGAGAGTCAGTTGCGGACACCAAGCGGCACGAAGGGGATGTCGGACGCACGATCCAGAAGACGTTCGAGCCGAGTCCGGCAGATCCGGGCTTGTCATCGACGAGTTCGAGCGTGTTATAGCCTGTTCGACGTCTCGCTGTGCATCAGCCAGAGTGCGCAAAGTAGGAGGCGAATTGCGAAGGTCAGCTAGAGAGCTCACTCTGAACGCTGAGCGAGGGGGAGGGACTCGCCAGCGAGCAGCGCCGCAGGCTGTCGAAGTAATTCCGCTGCGGTACATAGTGGTGGCGCTTCCGCCGCGATCCTTGGGGTCCTCCCTCATCCTCTCACTTCTCCTCACGCCTCACGGACCGACCGACGCCGGACCCTCCTCGGCCTCGCCAGCTCGGTCTCGCCACCACCGACTGGACAGCGCCAAGCCTTGCAATCGTTAAATAGAGCTTACGGAAGCTGGCTCGGTGGTTGGTGTGGCCGCGTGCGTCTGCAGTGAGCGGGTCCTGCGATTTCTTCGGGCGCATTGTGACGTTCCGCCTTCGGTGACAATCAGGTTGACATGCGTTGAGCAGTGTCATAGCCTGGTGACCTCGAGCGAGACGGCCGAGTCCTCCGAGCGAGAAGGGAAGAGCAGGAAGCGGAGCTGCGAAGGGACGGGCGGGGAGTTTCGTTTGGCGGGAGGTGCGAGCTAGACGGCCATTGATGCGGAACGGTACAGCAGTTGCGGGGGAGCTGCTCGATGCCCGCAGAACCAGCAAGAGCAACAGAAGGGCGGGTTGAGCAGCTTGGAGGAAATTAAGAAACGACACCGCTGGACCTTGCGGGGACGGCAAGAGCGAGTCCCGCCCAGCAGCAGACGAGCTGGAGTATCTCCTGCAATGTGCACCGTCCAGCAGCCAGCAACATAGCCAGCTGCAATCCCGCCCACTCCCCGCCTGCCTTCCTCTGGCACGCTCGATCGCGCGCCAGAATGATTTGCGCGGCGTCTTCGCGCGCAGCACGCGAGATCAATCTCGAGCTCGCCGCAACCCCGTGGAAGCAAACCTCCTGAGACGGGGTCTCCGCGCTCGTCGCGTCGGCGAAGTGCGGCGAACAGGTTGGCGGATCGTGTGTCCCGGATGCAGCGGGACCGCGGCTTCAAGAGGAGGTCGAAGAATGGCAGCGGAGGAGCGGGAGCGGGAGCGGGTCACGTGAGCTGGTATCGATGACGGCGTTGAACGCAGCAAGGCAGGCAAACCAAGCGAGGAGGCGAGGAGAAGGCTGGTTTTGATGGCTGGACGGGCAGACTCGGGGGGATGGCGGCTCGTTCGTGGGCACATCGACAGCCCGCGCCGTCTGTCGACCCCAGAAAGGAGGAGGCGGAGAATAGAAGACGAGAGGGGGAAAGACCGAGGGTTGTCGCGGACCACGAGAGAAGCTGTTCCTCGTTTCGAAACGGTGCAAGATGACGTCGACTGTCTGCCAGAGCAAGGATCGCCCGACTGGAAGCAAAGCTGACGCGCTGGGAGACGAGTGTCTTGCGCAGAGAGGATGGCGGCGAGGAGAAGGAGCTGGGTGGGCTGAGGGGGGCGGAGAGGGAGAGTCTGGGGCCGCGTCTGCCGAGGTTCGTGGAAAGAGTGTGGCCATCGATCCGAGCGAGACGAGGGACAAGCGGGGGAAGAGGGTGGAGCTCGGTTGGGAGCCTGAGCAGCGGGCTCCGCTTTCTTTCCTTTCCCTCTTTCTCCTCGCCATCGCACTCGTGTGCACCCGTGCAGTCGCAGACCACTCGATTTTGACGCAGAGCACACGCTCGTGACCCTCTCACTCCTCGCCGCACACCAGCCGCCCTCCCTCACCTGCTCGACCCGACCGAACCTCGACACTCAACAATGGTCACGTCCGGCGTGCCCGTCCCTACGGGGCAGATTCGCCCCCTCGCCGTCGCAATGTGCGTAACATGCGTCTGCTTCGAGCGTACGGGGAGGACAGCGGCAGGGGAAGACGCGAGTCCCGCCTCGCAGCTGTTCTCCCCGGAAAGATCGCTCGCTAGCTTTCCTCGCAAACGAATCGAAACTGACCCGCCCGCGTTCTTCTCGCTTTCCAACGACACAGGGCGTCGTTTGCTGCCTTCGGTGCGTTCAGAGCGCCGCTCCAGAGACGTCACTTGGTCCCGTGCCATTTTACTGAGCCGCGCTTCCTTTGCCGCTTCCGCAGGTGGTTTCCTGTACGGCTACGACACCGGCTACATCGCGGGTGTCAAGGAGATGAACACCTGGCTCCGCATCTTTGGCGACGGCCCGCCCGACGCCAACGGCATTCCCACGCTCTCGTCTGGCCGCGACTCGCTCGTCACCTCGATCCTCTCCGCCGGCACCTTCTTCGGCGCACTCGGCGCCTACCCCGTCGGTGACACCCTCGGCCGTCGTTTCGGTATCTGCGCCTACCTCATCCTCTTCTGCATCGGCGTCGCCTGCCAGACTGGAGCGAAGAACATCGCGACCTTCGTCGTCGGCCGTGTCTTTGCCGGTCTCGGCGTCGGCGGCACCTCCTGCTTGGTCCCCATGTGCGTAGCGCGCTTCCTCTTCCGACGACGAAGCGAGAACAGCGACTGACGGCGACTTCCTCCCGCTCCTTCGCAAACAGGTACCAGGCCGAGTGCGCGCCCAAGTCGATCCGCGGTGCCATCGTCTCCGGATACCAGTGGATGATCACCATCGGTCTGCTTATTGCCGCCGTCGTCGTCAACGGCACCAAGAACCGCTCGACCGCCGCCGCTTACCAGATCCCGATCGGTCTCCAGTTCATCTGGGCTTGTGAGCCCGCACTTCCTTGTTCTTGCGATAGGAAAGACTTGCTCACGCTCGTCTCGCCGCAGTCATCCTCGCGACCGGTCTCCTTGTGCTCCCCGAGTCGCCCCGCTGGCTCCTCCTCAAGGACAAGGAAGAGAAGGCCCGCAAGGCTCTCGCACGCATCTTGTCCCGCGACCCGGACTCGCAGGAAGTCAACGAGGAACTCGCCGAGATCGCGGCCAACTTGCACCACGAGCGCTCGATCGGCCAGACTTCGTGGCTCGCATGCTTCTCGAACGGCGAGGGAAAGAACGGACAGCGCGCGTGGACTGGTATCGGTCTCCAGGCGCTCCAACAGCTCTCGGGCATCAACTTCATTTTCTGTGAGTCCGGCGGCGCTGTTCACTCGGCCAGATGCGCGTTACTGATCGCCTTTCGCGCGCAGACTACGGCACGACCTTCTTCCGTCGCTCGGGCATCAACAACCCCTTCATCATCACTATCGCCACCAACGTCGTCAACGTGGGCGCCACCATCCCGGGTATTCTCGCCGTTGACCGCGTCGGACGTCGCTCGCTCCTCCTCTACGGTGCCGCCGCCATGTGGTGCGTCTGCCGCGCTCTTTCCCGCTTTCCCACCCGTACTGATGCACTCGCGCGCGCAGCGTCTGCCACTTCATCGTTGCCGGAACCGGCGTCGGCGTCTCGGCGGACAACAAGGCCGGCCAGAAGGTCCTCATCGCCTTTGTCTGCATCTTCATCGCCCACTTCGCCGCGACCTGGGGACCCTTCGCCTGGGTCGTCACGTCCGAGATCTACCCCCTCTCGATCCGTGGAAAGTGCATGGCCATGTCGACCGCCTCGAACTGGCTTGTGCGTTGGCCTTTTCCTCGCTTTTCCTCGAGTGACGGCCCCGCTGACGTGTTGGCGTGCTCGGGCGCAGTGGAACTTTGGTATTGGCTACGCCACGCCCTACCTCGTCGATGACAAGCCCGGATCTGCCGGACTCGGCTCGAACGTCTTCTGGATCGTGCGTCCGACTTCCCCTTCGTGTCGCCTGGTGTCCGCAACTGACTCTCGACTCTCCCTGGCGAGCAGTGGGGCGGGGCCTGTGTGTTGTGCTTCATCTTCACGTTCTTGTGAGCAACCCATCGCCTTCGAGGACGCAGACGAATCTCGAGCTGACCTTCGTAAACCCCCGCCCTCGCACAGCTTCATCTACGAGACCAAGGGACTCGCGCTCGAGCAAGTCGACATCCTCTACCGCAACTCGAACGCCCTCCACTCGAACAAGTTCCGCAAGCAGATGTGCGTCTACGCCTTCGCCCGCTCGAGATTCTCACGCTGACTCGACTTACGCGCAGCCTCGACGAGAACCTCCACGACGAGGACAAGGAGGCTTACTACGCCGGCGCGCAGAAGAACCCGGTCGAGAAGGGCGAGCACAAGGAGGACGCCGTCATGCGCGACCTCTAAAATACCTCACTTCTCTCACCTTTCCCGGCTCTCTCGAGCTTTCCTCATTCACCACCATGTTCTTATGTACAAGCCTTACCATTTAGCACGTCGGCTGAGCGATCGAAACGCTGCCGCTGTGTGGGCGAATTTGTCTACGCAATGGCAGTCTAGTCTGAAGCAACGGGTCTCGAGTCCGATCGAGGGTTGCCTCCCAAATCTAGGAAGTGTAGCTACATCGTCATAGCAGCTCCTGCGCGCGAGAAGACGAACTTAGCGGCGAGTCGATTCGCAAGCGCGTCGACGGGAAGGTCAGACGCACAAAGTCCTCCTCCTCCCGCTCCTCCCTCTTCCCGCCGAGTACCTTGTCCTTCCACGCCTTCCAGCTCAACCGCTCCAGCACCTTGTCATCCACCGCCATCTCCTTCAGCAACGTCGTCCGGTCCCAGCCCAAGAGCCTTTCGACACCGAGTCATCCACACCGCATCAACCTTGATACGCGAGACGTCGTCGATATCTTGAAACGCTTGACGGGTGGCGAGACCGCGCGTGTATGAAGCCGCGGTAAAGTTCGTCTCGCGAGGGCTGGAAGTGCAGAGAGAGGAAGCGACCGTCGTGCGTGTGTGGGTGGTCGGGGTGGTCGTCGAGGCGGTCGTGGTCGTTTGACCGGCGTGAAGAGGAGTGCGGGGGAGGTGGAGGCCGGAAGTCTGTGACGAGGCGGGCGAAAGTCGAGACGAGGGCGTCTTTGATCCCGATGTAGGTCGTGCCGGGCCTGATGGTTGCGAGGGCGGATTCAAACGTGCGGATAAGGAGCAACGCAGAGATGGGGTCGAGACTGTCAACGAGAAGTGTGAGCGGGAGCAGCAGCAGAGAGCGGTGGACGCAACGGACGGGTCTTCGAGGCGAAACCGGACGTAGGCGGCCTGGCGTTCAAGTTGGTACTGCGTAGCGTGTCCGTCGGCGGCCTGCGCTTGAGATGGTCAGTCCAGCGCTTCCAGGACGGAGCCAAGAGCGCGGGACGAACCTGTCTCGAGTGAACACCGAAGGCCTTGTTGCGCTCAATGATGTGCGGTAGCTTCGTCCATCTGTGCAGCGATCGTCAGCGCCGCTCATACATGAAGGAAGGAGAGGCGAAGCACCTGTACCACTCGAGCAGCTGGACGCAGTCTGCCCAAGTCTCGACTTTCACATCCTCCGAGTACTCCAATGTCTCCCAACCCGGCGTCGGCAGCAACCGCTCCTTCAGCGCCCAGTCGACGTACTGCATCCGGTCCATCGAGTTGAGCCGGCCCGAATCGGAGACAAAGTACAGCCAGGCGATGTAGACCGTTTCGGGCGCGACGGTGTGGTGGATCCGAGGCGGGATGTGCTTGAGGAGCGAGGGGAGGCAGTGTCGGTGGATGTGAGCGAGGAGGTCGCTTTTGTTGTCGCCGCGATACTCGTTCGGCTTCATAATTCGCCAGAGTTCCTCGAACATTTCGAGGAGGAACGAAGCCGCAACATCGCGGAGGCTGGGTGTTGCGGCCGGCATCAGCTCGAGCTTGTGATGCATTCGAAAGAGACAGCGGCACGTACGGGTCAATCTCGTGCGGCGCAACCTCGTCAAAATTCTCGTAGGCGTGCTTGGCGTGGACGTGCGCAAAGCCGTCGTCGTCTTCCGAGTCGCTTTGTACGTTACTGTGCAAGAGTGCGTCAGCTCACAATAAGTAAGGCGAAGAAAGGGCGCGGCACGTACTGATGCGCGTGAACTACCGCCGAAGAACCCTGCCCGCCTGAGCGAATGCCCACTTGCGCCGAGGGCAAGAAACGCGCGCCCGGTCGCCACATGATGTCAGTCGGTCGTAGGTTGCAGTAGATGAGCGGAAGAGGAGAAAGAAGCGAGAGCAGCGCAGCAAGGTGGTCGGAAGAGACCAGTCCTTCATGGAGGTTCCGTCTCTCCCGTCGGGGTCCGCGGACCTTCACGCTCGCACCGAGATCTGGAAGCGCGCAAGCCTTTTCTGGCGAAAGGAGGCGCGCGTCCCGCAAGCACCGCCGCCGGGACGAGTGAGCGGGAAAAGGTGTCGATACGGGGCCTCCCTCGAGCACAGAAAAAGTCGAGCAGCCCAGGGAAGCCGCAAGCAGTCTGCTTAGCCCTCTGCGCCCTTCTGCGACCCTCCCATGGCGCCCACCACGTTGTTGAGCCACCTCGACCATGTTGAGCGACGAGGGAGCCTCGAGAGTCGTCCAACGCAAGGGCGCTCCGCAAGCCCAGCTAGCCTTGAAGAGAGACCCTACTCCCGTCCACTGCACTCGACAAAGCCAGCAAGCGCGAGGAGAGCCACAGGCGGGCGAGGTCAACCTGCGATGTCAACCTGCGACCACACGCTCGTCCTCGCTTGCTCTCGCTGCTGCGCTGCTGAAGGATGTCGCGATCGTTTGGAAGATACGGTGAGCACGGTCTGACACGCGCTCCAACCGCCGCGACGCCTGCTGACGCCGCTTGTTCCCCGTCGACCCGGCAGACGAGTGGACGGCTGGAGTCGACAGCGACGACGAGGATGACCTCCAGGAGGACTACCGGTACACCAAAGACTCGATCTTGTGGTGCATCGAGGCGACACCGACCATGCTCGAGCCAATGCTCGCTCCTTCGTCCTCACATCCCTCCGACCCGACCCCCACTTCGACCGCTGCTCCCTCGTCGCAAGCCAATGCGGTCGTTTGGAAGGGCGCACCGGCGAAGAGCAAGATGGAGGAGTGTCTGAGGGCCGCGTATGCCATGATGAAGCGCAAGGTCATCGCCAGCCCGAAGGATCACGTCGGGATTGTCATCTGGAACACGGTATGTTCGCTCCTCTGCGGCCGCCTGACATTCAAGACTGACAGCTTGATATATAGGCATCGTCAAAGGGCGATGTCGGCGACAACTGCTACCTCCTGCTCCCGCTCCAGCAGATCACGGCTCAAAACATCCGCTTCCTCAAGGACCTGCTTGAGAGTGCGTATCCGAGCGTTCTTTGCCGTAACTCACGCTCATCATCGCATCTTCTCACCCCCGCACAGAGGCTGAGGCGGACGAGAACTTCCTGGCAGGAATGTTCCGGCCGAACGAGGGGCAGAACATCGTCGCCAACGTCTTCAGTCTCGCAAACAACGCCTTCCGCGAGCTGTGCGTTCTCTTTGTTATCCGTGGAGTCAACGCCGCTGACCTCAGACTTCCTGGGTAGCACGCCGAATGCGAACAACCGCGCGTACTGGGTGACGGACAATGATGACCCGATCAAAGGTGTCGAACAACTCTTCCACGTCGCCAAGGCCAAGCGCATGGTTCGTTCCCTGGCTACGTTGTGTCAGGAGAAGCGCTGACTGCCACCGTCTCGCAGGACCTGCACGACATGAAGTTCCATATCGAGACGTTCTTCGTTCCGCCAACTTTCGGCAGCGAGTTCGACCTCGACAAGTTCTACGGCGTGAGGCTTGCTCCTCTCCTCCGGATGCGCTGAACTCATGCTCGCCCACGCAGGAGGTCATCACGCTCGAAGGCGACGAAGAAGGCGAAGGAGTCGCCGAACCCGTCGTCAACCTCGACCTTCGCACCGCACTCGAGGGCATGATCACTGCGATGAGGACGAAGGAGTCTCAGAAGCGCGTGGCGTTCAAGATCCCGTTCGTGCTGGGCAAGGACTTGAGTATCGGGATCGTCGGGTGCGTCCGGGTCGCTTGCGTATCGACTTCAGTTCCGGCGACTGGCGCTGACGCTTCCAGCTACCGTGTGGTGCGTGCGCAGCTACAACATGATCGGCGAGGAGACGAAGAAGCTGCCGACCAAGGTTGTCCTCAACACGCAGGGCGGACAGGAAGTCGTTTCGAAGACGGTCTACAAAGACAGCGTGCGTCGGGCGCCCACTCTTCCGGCTCACACTATCTCTGACTTTGCTCGTCGACGCAGGAAACGGGCGCCGTCCTCGACAAGAAGGACATTAAGAAGTACTTCCAGGTCGGTCGCGACGACTTCGAGAAGGGCACCAAGGCGGCCAAGATCTTCTTCAACGAGTCGGACGTGCGCAAAGTCAAGGTCCGCTTGCGCTGCTTTCGATCGACACGGCCGGCGAGACTGACGGCGAGCGCTTCCCGCAGACTCTCGGTCGTCCGCCTAGCCTCAAGCTGCTCGGCTTCAAGCCGCGCGAGGGCAATCTCCGCTTCTGGGAGACGGTCAAGCACAGCTACTTCATCTACCCGGACGAAGATGTGCGTACCGGCTTCCTCAATCCCTCCCAAGCGAGCTGAGCTGACTTCTCGCATCGAACAGCGCTACTTCGGCTCGACACGCACCTTTGCCTCGCTACTTAAAACAATGATCAAGAAGGACGTCATTGGCTACGCGTCGTTCATCCCCAGGACCATCAGCCGACCGCAAGTTGTCATCCTCATCCCGCAGGCAAGTTGGAGCCCTTCACGTCCGCGACAAGCCTCTTGTGCTCTCGCTGACTCCGTGATTCGGGTCCAATTTACAGGCCGAGAAGCTCAACGCCGCTGGCGTCGCCATCGAGCCGAACGGAATTCACGTCTGCCAACTTCCCTTCGCCGACGACATCCGCGACATTGCGATCGACAGCACGATCAGCGTCGTGCACAAGCCGAGTGGGTCATCAGTCTCTTACGCCCTCCTCGGTCTCGCGCTGACAAGTTGTTCTGCAGCGGAGGAGAACGAGGATCCCGATCAGCCCGAAATCAACCAGGCGAACAAGATCATCAAGTACTTCACCAAGCCTTACAACCCTGACGTGTACCCCAACCCCGGTGCGTCGCCTCCTCCGAGGTGGCTTCCGCTGTACTGACACGTAGGCCTCGCAGCTCTCAACTACTTCTACGAGGTGCGTCCTGTCTCTGCGACGTCCGCAGTCTTGTCTCGCTAACCTGCCTTCCCGCCTCAGACTCTCGCGGCCGTCGCTCTTGATGAGGAAATTCCCGAGCCGGACGACCGCACTTTGCCGCTGTACGAGACGATCCATGCGGTGAGCCGCGCACCTCCCTCTACCTGTAGAGGCACAGCTTGACTCTCTCGCTGCCACAGCGCGTCGGCAAGTACGTCGCTAGGCTCAAGGAGCTCATCCCGCCGGATCAAGTCGACCCGACGCGCATCAAGACGTCAAACAAGAAGCGTGTCGTCAAGAAGGACGCCGCCGACCCGAACGAGCCGCCTCCCGACCTGTCCGAATTCGTCGACGACCTCAAGCAGTACGGCAACAAACTCACGGTCGCGAATCTCAAGGCTGCGCTCAAGCAGATGGGCGAGAAGACGAGCGGGAACAAGTCGGAGCTGATGGAGCGCGCGGTGGGATACCTTGTCGAGCATGGGTTGTGGGAGGAGAAGAAGGCCACGGACGAGATGGACGTCGACGAGGACGAAGAGGAGAAGAAGCCGCGCATCAAGAAAAAGAGGAAGGTCATCGTCGGCGATGAGGAGGACGACGACTGACTTTCGCCCCCGATCGCTCTCGCCTGTGTACGTTCGCAGTAGTCCGTTCGCTTGTTGTGTCCTACTTTGCAAACATCGCTTCACTCTCCCCACGCAATGAAGAGACGTCAAACAAGCCAGTCGTTGCGTGAGAGAGGCTACAACAAGGTCCAACGATTCCAACGATTTTCCAACAAGAAAGCAAGACACTAAGACGCATGCGACGATCCAGCTATGCATACTGTTCGCTCCTCACTGCTGCACCCCGTTCGCCTGGACTGCCGCCGGGGCCGTACCTTGTCCGTTCAGCATGGTTCCTCCCGGCATCGCCTAGAATGGCGGAGGCGGAAGCGTCGAGGCGGAGGATGCGGCGCTCTGAGGCGCCTTGGGCTGAGGAAGCGGAGGAGGCGGCATCGAGGAAGAAGGGAGAGCGGGAAGCGGCGGAAGACTAGACTGCGATCCGGGGTGCGACTGGTAGGTTGGTTGCTGAGGTGGAGGAGGCGGGAGCGTCGCCGATCCGTACGACGGGAGGTTCCAGCTCGATTGCTGAGGTTGGCTGGCGTAGTGATGCGGCTGAGCGGACGAGTACTGATACTGCGGAGGCGGAGCTGTACCAAGCGCGTAGCCGTTCGAGTCGGTGAGAGTGTAATGGTAAGGCCAGCCGTAAGGCGAGTAGGGAGCGGCGTTCTGCGTCTGCAAGTTCGCGGGATGGTGGGTCATGGCGGCGGCTGAACCGGGCACGGCGGTGATCGAGGGCGGAGCGGGAGGGCCGATGCCGTTCGACTGGTACGATGCCGAGTTCGACGAGGGAGCGTACGGCTGGTACGCTCGCGAGCTGGCCGCAGGGAACTTGACCCGCTCAACGATGGTGATGACCGTCCGCGTCTCGACGACCGGTCCGCTCTTCCCGTTCGGATCGAGCGGGTCATGCTCCCACCGCCTGACAACACTCTGCGTGCTCCGACTCTCCTTGATGTCGGCCACCATCGCGCCCTTCTTCGCCGACCCACGCGGGTCGATCCGCTCCTCCCGCCTCGAGACGCTGACGACGGGAATCGTCTGGCGCCCGATGATCTCGCCGTCTGCTCCCGCTCCGTTCGCCGGCCCGTACGGCGGCCCGACACCGTTCGACGTGCGCCGCACCTTTGCCTTGGCTGCGAGCGCAGCCTGCGCATCCGGCTCAAGCGACTCGGCCTTGCGCTTCGCTCCTGCTCCGTTCGCCGCGGGCTCGTCAATGTGCGCGACGTGCGGGAGGAAGCACTCTTCGTCAAGCGGCTCGCCCCGGGCCTTGAGAACCGCCTTCCTGAACTCACGGCTGAGCGTGACCGGGTCGGGTACCTTGTTCCACGGGACGTTCTCCCTCGCAATCTTGCGCCGCTCGTTCGAGACGTTGGCACCTTTCGCGAAGCGGGTCGTCTGCTCGATGAGGAATGACGAGAGGTCCTTCAAGCCGGCGAGGACGCGAGGGGAGCGCAAGTCGGCGGGCAGAGGGCTTGGAGGGGACGAGAGGAGGGTGTAGTAGTGGAGAGCGACAAGCCAGAGGAGTTTGACGAAGAAGGGGAAGCGGAACTTGCGCGGAACGCGAGTGGCGATCTCGATGCGGTACACCTCGAGTTGCGTCGAGATGTTGAGCGAGTGGACAAAGTTGCCGCCGATGACCAGCGAGTCGGCCGGCGTGTACTGTGAGCGGGGGGCCGGAGGCAAAGCTGGTCAATCTCGCGGACGAAAGGTGAGCGAGCGAGATCATCTCCATCCGAGCTTACCACCGCATGGATCCAACCCGTCGGGATAAACGCCGTGTTCCCCTCCTTCAAATCAACACGATACACCTTGTCAACCATATCCCCAAGCCAAGTCTGTTCCTGCTGCTCGCTCGAGCCGGACCACTTCTCGTATGCGGCGAGGTTGGCGGGTGTCGGGCGGATGAAGAAGAAGGTCTTGCCGCCGCGCAGAACGTGGTAGAAGACGGACGAGCCGGCGAAGTCGACGTGCCAGTCCTGCGTGAACGCGATAATTGCAAAGGTCAGCTCTGTTCGGCGAGAGCAAGCAGGAGAGCGTTGGGCGCACGGTCCAGCAGCGCTCGACGCTCATCAAGCAGTACTTCTGAACTCGCGGATACTGCCCCGGAATCTTCATGTCGTCCGGCCACACATTGTCGACCCAGTCGAGTTTCCTGCACGGGAGGCGGACGACTCTATCAGCATCTCCTCCATTTCGTACGCAGGAAGAGTACCAAGAGTGAGCCACCAAACGCACCTAACAAGCTCAGGCGCCTTGACCATCCTTCCCAACTGACTCTCGCTAACCTCAAGGCTGATGACGTTTCGGATCTTGTCGCGTTGCGGGTCCTCGTAGTACGTCGCCCATTGTCCAAGTGTCCAGTTAGAGAGCGAGGATTGGGAGGCGCAGTCGATGACTTCGAGGGGAGTCGAAGGGCCTGCGGGCGAAGGAAGGTGAGTTAGGCGCGGGCAAAACGCAAAGAGAGGAAGGCAACGCACCGACGAGCTCAGCCACGTCTTTCACCGTCGTACTAGGCGGCGGCATCTCCATCCCCAATCCCTCCGGCCTCTCGACCACAAATGGTTCCGTCATGCCCTCTCCTCTCTTCCCCAGGCCCCCGTTAGGACCCTCTCCAATCCCATAAATCCACTCCTCGACCTCCCTCGCACCCAATTCCCTTCCATCACCAAACTTCCTGAACCCTCCCTCAGTGAATCCATCAACGATCCCGCCGCTCGCTTCACGCGCAGAGATCGTGCTGATCCACCGATCGACAGACGCGGGAAGATGTTGGTCCAGATTGGCGTAGTCGATGCCTTTTGCGCGGGTTGTGCGGGAGGACTTGCGCAGGGCTGGTTGGGAAGAAAGGGGAGAAGCGAGAGCGAGGAGTGAGGAGGTCGAGGCGATGGGCTGAGCGGGTTCGGTGAGATCCGCAGGCTCGACTGGTGCTGGAGGCAGCGCAGGTGCGGTTGTGCTCGATTCGGCGACGGGGGCAGGCGGGGGCGCGACTTCGAGCTGAGCTTTCGGTTCAGGGCCGGGCGAAGAATTGACGGAAGACAAGGGCGAGGAGACGCGCGTGTCGGTCGAGTCGTTCTTCGTCGAGCAGTTCGTAGCCGGAGCTGGTTCGGAGGGAGGGGAAGTTGGCGAGACCGGAGACGTCGCGGAGCAGGTCGAGCAGAGCCACTGAAGGAGAGATGCGAGTGGTCAGCCTCTCGTACGAGTTTCCGAGCCGTCAGGCACACCTTGCCAATCTTCGCGGCGTCTGAAGATGTACGAACGGTCAGCCGTTGGGCCACAGCGAGAGAAGAAAAACAAAAGTCACCTTCTGCGGGATCCGACGAGAGGCAGGACCGGTGGCTGGGAACGAGGGAACGTCAGCGTGCGCATGCAAGTGACGCTGATGGTATGACACGCACTACCGCTTCTCGCATCTGCAGCACGAGCAAAGCACGAAAGTCAGCAGGGAGAGCGGACGCGACGTGCAACGGCCTGAGAGATCGGCAGGACGGGTTGTCGCACCCCGCCGCGCAGTCTGCAAATGACTCCAACGCCCTGCACCTCCGCAAAGGGTCACACCGTGCAGCAGACCGACTTCCACCCCCCACCTCGACCCGTCCGGACAGAAAAGCGAGAAGAACGAGAGCGCACCTGTCGCATTCGACCCAGGTCGCGTCCTTGCCAGTTTTCTGACACTCGGCACACACAGCCTGACCCTCTCCGTCCGCCGCCTCGCCCTCGTCGTCGCTCGCCGCCTGCTTCTTCCCCGCGCCGCGGTCCTTCTTCACACGCTTGACCGGCAGCGCAGGCTTGCTCGTGCGCTTGTCCTTGCCCTTTAACGGACTCTGTGCCTTGTCTTTGCCCTTCCCTGACCCCTCCTTGCTGGCGTAGGGCGAGTTGGCGACGGCTGTTCGTCTTGGAGGACGCGCGGGGTCGGACGACGGCGTGTCGGGTTGGGCGCGCTGCGAGGCGCGTCGTGAGGCGGCTGTCGTGCGACCTGTCGAGCCAGAAGGGGCCATAGCAGCCAAGCGAGCGGTGGGGCTGAAGTTGACCCCAAGACTCTTGCCGGTTGCAATTCGACGATGAGAGTCGACTTCGCTGGAGGCTGGCTAGGCCTGCTGTGGCTGATGCTTGATCTGTGCTCGTGTCATTACGTTAGCCTCGCGCTGCCCCATGGCGTTGCTGCGCTGTGCGACGACCTCCTCGCTCTCCGGGACGAACGGGACGATGGCGGCGGTTGACGCTAGCAGATTTGAGCTGAACGAGTGCGGCAGTATAGAGCGAAGGCGTGTCAAAGATGAGGCCGGGCATCTGCTACCCTCACGAGCGCGACGTCGCCGTCCGCTAGCTCACACAACCTCCCTCTCCTCGCTGCTTTCGCTCGGCTCTCGCCCTCAGACTCGTACAGTTCAACGAGTGTCTTTTCCAACGCCAATAAAGAGTGTCTGTCCATCGACTTCCCGCCCTACCGACCCAGCTGGTAAACAGGCGGCGGCGCATTCACCCCTCCAGCCTGCTTCTGCGCCATCATCGGTCCCGAAATCACGATTCCGTTCGGCCCGTTCCTGCTCGCGCTCCTCTTTGCTCCGTTCTTCGACCCGCCCGTGAAAGGGAGGAACGACCGCCTCTTCGACTTCTCCTCCGTCTTGGCGGGAGGAGCGGCATCGAATTGTTCGTAAGCGTGCGAGTGCGCGACGCCGGAATCGTCTTCGACATAGATCGAGGGCGAGACGGGTTCGGCTGCGAGGCGGAGACGGCGTTTCGCGGAAGGGGTGGTCGAGTCTTGTGAGAGCGAGCGGAGGACTTTGAGGCGCGAACCAAAGGCGAGACCCTGCGCTCGTGAAGGTCAGTGAAGAACGGAAAAGGAGTGAGTGTAGGGGAACGCACGGCGAGGAAGTTGAAGATCCCGACGAGGAAGAGCAGCCAGGCCGACACCTGGACCCATCCGGTTGTCCTGCGCGGGTTCACGCGTTAGCGTCTCTCAATCGACATGCGGGAGCAAGCGAACGCACCAGTGACTCAACACCTGACACGCGATAAAGACCTGCACCGCACCGAGCACGCCGACTCCGTATTCTTCGCCAAAGGGAGGGAAGAAGGCGGCCCAGAAGCGGGTGAGGAGGCGTGCAGGTCGGGAGAGAGGGGCGAAAGGGGGCGGGAACTCGGAGATGAGTGAGAGGATGAGGATGAGGGCTGTGAGGACCAAAAGTTATCAATGAGAGTTATGAAAGCGGGAGAAGGAAGGGAGACGGACCTGCGAAGATACGCTCGAGAGTCGAGAACAACGCTCCTCCCGCGCCTTTCGGGATACTCGTCCGCCCAACATACGAGCAACTCTGCTGCGCACCAGCCGCCGCAGGCGTCGAAGGCGAAACAGGCGAGTTGACGCTGGTGGCCGTCGGACTCGCCGCCGTACTCGTCGCCTTCTTCCCGGCCGTCACTGCCAGCGTGGAGGAAGTGATGTGCTCGCGCTTGGAGAGGACATCTTCGTGCGCTAGGCGACGTTGGAGCGCGCGGTGGACCTTCTCGAACCGTACGGGAGGGGTTGTTGGACGTGCTAGAGCGGTGAGGGGATTGTCGATCGTAGAAGAGGCGAAGAGCGGCTCAATGACGGCAGACCGCCGGGTGATGCGAAGAGAGGCGGTCGTCGAAGGAGGAGCGGACGAGGAAGAAGCGGCAGCGACCGCGTGCATGCCCTTGATGTCGCTGCGACGACTCGAACGTGTCAGCCACGACGCTCTAGACACGGTGGAAGTGAAGGAACAGCTTACCGGTCGATGGTGTAGATCTCGCCAGCGAAGACGAGGCAGATCGCAACGACGCTGAGAAGGCGAAGGACGTTGAGAGAGATGAAAAGGATAGTCGGCTTGCTGAGGAAGGCCATCGTCGAAGTAGTAGGGGAATGAGGAGCGATAGACCGGCTAGCGTTTGATGAAGACGAAGGGATGCGATGCGAGGTTGCGAGGCGAAAGAACGACGAAGAGGACGACCAGCGTCCGGTGAGCAGGAAATGTACGACAGTGAGAGAGACACAGTAGAGACGAGCAAGAAACAGAGCGAGGGAGTCAAGATAGTGGAAGACAAGGCCCGCAACCCTTTGTCGACGAGAAGGTCTGTGCGAGGACAAGGTCCGCCAGACAAGGTGCGGGCGGACGCTCGTACCAGCTTCGAGCTGCTCCGAGCGTCGCGAACAGTGCGTCGTGACGTTGAACTAGTGCCGTCGGAGAGGCGCAAGCGGGAGAAGCGGGAAGTGTGAGGGAGAGACTCGAGAGCGCTGGATGTTGGCTGGATGGGCTGCACTTGCTTCGGCGGGCGGATGATGGTGCAGCAAGTAAGATGCGCTGTTCGGCAAGACTGCGCGGAGACTGAGGTCGAGGAGGGAGTATCTGCGCGTTGACGAAGGGCGTCGAAAGTCGACCTCCGTGCACCGCTACTCGCTCAAATCCGGGTCCCCTCCCGCCTTCCGCTTCTTCCCACCCGCTCCCGCCACGCCCCTCCTCCCCTTCCCTCTCGTACCCTTCTCCGCCTCCCTCCTCCGATCCTCCCTCGTAACCACCTCAAATTCCCAAGTCCTCATCTGTCCCTTCCCTTCCTTCTCCCTCCCTTCCGCCCCTCCCGCACCCTTCTTCTTCTCCAACCTCTCCCTTGCACTCAACCGCAAATCCTCGTTCGCACCCGCACTCTTCCCTTCCTCCCATCCACGAGTCCGCCGATGCTCGTACCCCTCCCATTCGTCCGGTTCGAATTCCCAGCTCCGTACAGTGCGGTACGTCGGCTGATCTGCGAGTCGAGATTTAGGCGTGTGGGAGGGGAGGATCGAGGGAGCGAGCAAAGGGCCTTTGGTGGCTAGTTGAGCGGGGAGCCAGGAGGAATAGGGTGCGTTGGTGCGGAGGGTTAGGAGGATCGTGCCGCGTATTGACGGAGGTGGAGGGATCGGAAGAGTCGGGTTCGCCTCTTCGCCGGTCGTAGCAGAAGCCGACTCGAGGATGATACGTAGTTCCTCCTGCTCGTCCTCGTCGAATCCGTCTTCCACGCCCGTCGCAGCGATACCGTCGGTGTCTACAGCACGCTGGTTCGTTTTGGAGAGACCTGGCGCGCGAGCGGTACCGCTTCGAAGGAGGAGAGACGCGGAACGGTAAAAGTCCAGGAGGAGTGTTTGGTTCGCGCGGATGTTGCGCGTCTGGTCCGTGATGCCTTGACCTGCGTGCAGACGGACTCGTTAGCGAGGTAAGTTTGCGTGAGGGAAAGTGTGCACGCACCGACGTGAGGAAAGTTGAACACGATCTTATCGAACCCAACCTTACCCTCCTCCTCCCTCTCCTTCCCCTTCCCCTTCGCTCCCATCCCACAAAACTCCCTGACCTCCTTATGATCCTCCAGTCTCGTCGCATCAATCCCAAACAACACCGTCGCGCCCGCTTCACGCAAAGCCGAGACGTGCGTCTCGAGGTCGGGGTATTTTTCGGCGGCGGTGGAGGGCGAGTCGTAGGAGGTGCAGAGGAGAAAGGAGGGGGTTATGAGGGGCTGGGGAGGAGGGAGGGAGGAGGAAGAGGAGGCGGAGGTCGAGTGTGGGAGGAGGAGGGAGTGAGAGAAGGAGAAGTTGCCTGTCGTTGAGGGCAAAACCAGTTAGTTCGGATTGCTCACTCCGAGCGCAGGATTGAGTCAGGGTATCTCGCGTGCGAGAACAACCTGACAACTGCGCAGTTCGTAGGAGAGACGTCGCAACGCACCTTCGCCGACGAGGAGGATCCTCTCGCCACGCCTGAACGGCTGTACGCCGACTCGTCTACGCTTCTCCTGCACAATCTCCTTCCCCTCCACCTTCCCTTGCGCCGCCTCTCCTCCCACACGGATGCCCGCGCCCTCCTCGCTCACCCTGCGCTTCTTCGTCCCGTTCGCGCCCTGCCCACCCGCAGCCATCTTTGCCTTGACGGCCTTGGCCCTGTCTTCTTCAGCCTGTCTCGCCCGTGCCTCCTGCTGTCGCTGCGATGCCGCGTGCTGCTGTTTCGCAAGGGCTGTTCGCGGACGGAAGAAAGTGAGTGAGCGTGAGCGACGGAGGGCTGCGAGTGGTTCGTGCGCACCTTGAGCGAGTTTGCCTTTGCCTTTGGGTCCCTTTGCCATGCTCGACGGTGCACAGGAAGCTTGAGCGAGTGAATGGAGGTCTGTGAAGCGCTGAAGACGGAGAGTGAATCTCGCTCGTCGCCTGGAGACTTCGCGGGTGGCTCGACAATTCCTCATAGAGTGTATTGAATGTGCTGCAGGTATCGCCCGTGCCCCAGCTGGCGTTGTTGGCGAGCCGTGTGACGACTTGAAGTGAGCTCGCGCGCTCCCACGCTCCCTCCTCGTCTCGTACCGCCGCCTCGACAATGGGCAAGTCTGGCTCATCCATGCACTCGCTAGAACGCTGCAGCAGTCCACTCCGACCGCGCCCGTCCAACTCCCGTCCACCCGCGACACTTCGCCGTCGAGCCACGCCGCCGTCAAAATCTGCCACACCCACGCCTCGCTCTCCCCTCGCCGCCCGTCCTGCGCACCCGATCGAACCAACCAGACGACCAGCCGACTCGACGGACCGCTGCAGCGTCGGAGCGAACGCGCGAGGTGGAGACACGGGCGAGCTGACCCCCTCGACCCGCAGGATCCTGCAAGCCTCGTGGATTGCTCGCCGGACGCAAGCTCCGTGACGACCGCCGCGACAACCGCTGGGTGGGTTACCGTCACTTTGATCGCGGACTCGCAGCGCCGTGTCGAGGTGGATCTGGTGTGCGGCGGGATGGACTCGCGCTGGGATCGGATGGCGGGAGTGGCATTTGGTGGCGCTTTGAGGCTAGAGGAGCGTGGTGTGCGGGTGTACCAGGACCGGAGGACCGAGTAACGGGCAGCACAGCGGACAACACGCGACACCCTCTCGACCCTTTGCCCCTCCGCTCCAGCCAGCTCGACATCACCATCCCCTGTAGCCGCTCGCTTCGCCCCGCCTCGACGTGCTGTCTGCTCTATGCGCGGTCAGGGATGAAATTGAGGTGGACTCGTCGCACGCGGAGCAGTCGATACGGCGGTACCTCATGGCGGTCGTGCTGACCGTCCCGCCTCTTCCCTCCCCGCAGGCCGACAAGAACTACAAGAAGCGTGCTCTCGGCACCGCGTACCGCTCGTCGCCCACCGGTGGCGCGTCGCACGCCAAGGGCATCGTCCTCGAGAAGGTCGGTGTCGAGGCCAAGCAGCCCAACTCGGCCATCCGCAAGTGTGTCCGTGTGCAGCTCATCAAGAACGGCAAGAAGGGTCAGTCGCGCTCCCTGCGAGTCTGGGCAGTCGGAGGCCGTGGGCTGACAGCCGGCTCTCCTCGACCTCCTCGCGACTCTCCTACATCGCTACCCGCCTCACGCAGTCACCGCCTTCGTTCCCAACGACGGTTGCCTCAACTTTGTCGACGAGAACGACGAGGTCCTCGTGCGTCGCGTCCCCTCTGTCCCCCTTCTCTCCCCACCGAGCCGTACTCACCGCCCGCACGCGCGCAGATCTCTGGCTTCGGTCGCAAGGGCAAGGCAAAGGGTGACATCCCCGGTGGTGCGTCCCGCCCCTCTCCCTTCTCATCTCGCAGAGCTCGGCTGAATCGGTTGTGTGTGCGCGCGCAGTTCGCTTCAAGGTCGTCAAGGTCTCGGGTGTCGGTCTCCTCGCCCTCGTACGTCCCTTCCCTCCCTCTCTCCCTCTCACACGACTTGCTGACTCGCATGCTTGCTCGCGCAGTGGAAGGAGAAGAAGGAGAAGCCCCGCTCGTAAACTCCTCCTCGCGTAACGGCCGCCTCTTCCGACCCCGACCCCCTCATTCTGTAAACTCTTGCTGGGCTTCCACGGCCGGTGCAAAGCAGCGTCGTCCCTTGCAGGCACACACTGCGCAGAGTGTGCGATGGCGAGCGGACGGAGGAGTGGCTCGCTTCGCTTTGCTTGTCCGTTGCTTTCGCTTGCTTGGGCTAACCGCTCATTACATCTCCCTTGAGTGAACACGCGCACGCTTCCTTCTGGTGAAGGACGGAAGGCCCACGTGGAGAAAGGACGACGCATGAGCAGAGAACCAGCGGGAGAGCTCTTGCAGTTCGATCGTTTCCTGCAGAGCCGCGCGGGTTCGCGGGAAGCGCAGTAGCGAAACCGAAAGAACGCGCATCCCGCAGAGAACGAGAACGAAAAAGGTCTTTGCACAAGTACGAGCGAGCGAGCGAAAACACCAGCTTCCTCGGCGTCACCTCCACCGACGCCTTCCAGCGCGCGCGCCTAATCGCGCTTCAACCGCCCCTCGCCTCCTCCTCCGACCGCCCCCAGCGTCCCGGGCAGCGGCGCGGACCCGATACGCGCGAGGAGCGAGACGGAGAGGATGATAAGGACTAGGAGGGCGAGGGTTGTGAGGAAGAGCAGAGCGAATGGTCTTTGCACGGAGGGGGGAGCGTCAGCGAGCGCCGGGAAGAGACACTGGGGAGAAAGCGGGAAAGGACGCACGACGAGCGGTCTTCCTTCTCGCACCCCTGCCCGCTCCACCCTTTCTCGCACTTGCAGACCCAGCACTCTTCGCCCTCTCCCAACGCGCGGGTCGTGAACCCTTTAACGGGCGTCCCATGACCGAGGCATGAGGCGGTAGCGTTCTTCGCCGCCGAGAGGGTGGGGAAACAGGTGTGAGAGGAGGGGACGAGGAGCGTCTCGTTCGAGGACTTCCCGCCGTCTTCTTGGCGCGGGGAAAAGACACTGCGCTTCTTCAGTCCCCCCTGGTGGGACCCGCCGCTCGAGGACCCAAGGGACCCATACCTCCTCCCCCTCCTCTCGTCCTCCAAGAACCTCTTCAACCACCCCTCGCGCTTGCGGAGCCAGACGACGCCGCCTTTTGAGGGGTCTGGAAGGGTAAGGGCGAGTGTTGTGCGCGGGGAGAGGGTGGAGAGGAAGGCGCGCAGGGTGTGCGAGAGGAGGGCGGAGGCTTGCGTGTAGGTGGGAGAGGAGGGGGAGTGGTGTGCTGAGAGGGACTGCGGGATAGCACGACTCGATCAATCGGGCTCGATCCCTCGAACGAGGAGGCGAGCAGGACGAGAGAGCGGCCGTGGCGCACGCACCTTGAGACCCTTGAGATGCACCACCACCACCTCGTTCCCATCCGCCCGCTTCCCGCGCTCATGCGCATCAGCCACCTCAACCAACTTCTTGAGTTCCTCAACAAGTTCCTTCGCGGACTGTGCGCCGGCCACCCAAATGAATCAGCTCGTCCGTCTTTCAAAGGGGAAGAGAGGTGAGGCAGGGGCAGGGGAACGCACGGGCTCGGTCGAGAGGAAGTCGAGGGAGGTCAAGAGGTTGCTGCTGGGGGAAGAGGGCTCGACGGGGAGGGTGATGGGACGCTGCGTGCGACGAAGCGGGGCGAGAAAGTGTCAGTTTCGTCGTCTGTTCTCCGGATGCAGGGCAGATCCGGCCGCGCCATGGCAGCCTTCCCGCCCATGCGGGAGAGCGTCACGAGACGGACCTTGGGCATCTCCCAGCCGATCAACCCGCCCAACTCCTCCTCGACCCACCCCTGCCACCCCCTGACGCCCTTGACCGCCGAATCGACAAACTCTTGCAGGCCCTCGACTGGCGCGGCGTGAGAGCGCGCGAGGCGGGAGAGGTGCAGGGCCAGGAGGGAGGTGTAGGAGTGGGTGGGGAGGGAGGGGAGGGTGTAGGACGAGACGGAGGGAGAGGAGGGGGAGAGAGATGCTGGGAGGGCGTCTGCGGGGGAGGATTGGGCGGATCAGCCAAGATGCCTCTCGCGTCGGACTCGTCTCGAACTCACCCTCGCAGTTTCCCTTGCCGCACTCGAGGACGACGACGACCTTTGAGCCGTCGTCGGGTGCCGCATCGTCACCGCCGTGAAGGAACGCGAGCTGGTCGTTTGCGCCTCGGTGAGCGGGTGCAGCGGTGTGTCTCGACACGCCCAGCAAGTGTGCCACGAGTGCGTTGGTCTGCGGGGGTGTGAGCGGCGAGGGGTCGTGGTGCGATGAGGAGGACGCGGGCGAGGGCGACACGAGCAGGAGCGGGTTGGCTGCGAGTGCTGTCGTGGCTGAGAGTGTGAGGCCCAACAGGGCGCAGCTGGTCGCCCGCATCGTCGACAACGAGCTCGTTGGTGAAGTTGGCGAGCAAGAGGACGACCACGAGGAGGAAGGACACCTCGCTCGACGCAGAGTGCAGCGTGGGTCAGCTGGAGTACATTGCTACGCTGTACTCTGTATTACCTAGCCACTCCCGCATCACTCTGAGCGGTGGTCGATTTACTGACATCGCTCCCTCGCTCGCTTGCGCTCGCTCCACTCACCCTCGACTGCTCAGCCGGGTCGATTGTACCGCGCAACAGACACCGTGCGTCCCACTCTCAAACCCTGTCGAAACGGCGAACCCGCCAGACTCGGTGGACGCCCAGCATCGCTCCACCTCCTCGCCGACACTTGCTCGACCTCGCTCGCTCTCACACGGGCGAAGGAGGGCATGCGCGCGCTTCGTCAGCCAGACTGACGTTGCAGACGCGCACAGGATCGATCAGACGCGCCTCTCGCCCCCTGCATCTCCCTCACACGCCCTTCGTGCCCCACCTCTCCCCTCCTCACCGTTAACGCGCTCCCTCTCGCTCGTTCGAACCCGACTACACTCGGAACAAAGCGACCATGTCCGAGCAATTCAGCGAATCGGACCTCAAGTCTCTCACGGTGGTCAAACTCAAGGTGCGCCCCTGCTCCCGTTCATCCTCCGTCCTTCTCGCAGACTCAGGCTGATTGATCAAGAATGCACGGCGCACAGGAGTTGTTGGCCGAGCGCTCTCTCCCCGTCACAGGTCGCAAAGACGATCTCATCGCCCGCCTCCTCTCTTCTTCCACCACGTCCACCACCGGCGCAGAGGCAAGCACCACCCTCCCCCCTCCCACGACCGACACCACCGGCCCCGCATCGAGTACGGACGGACCGGATGGCGCTGGGTTGAGCGGGACGGCGGAGGTCTCGGCTGCTGCGAATACCGAGACGGATCTGAGGAGCGCAGAGGAGAAGGATGAGGGACTCAAGAGCGCCCCTCCTCCCCCCGAGGTATCGGAGGACGAGAGGAAGGCTCTCTTGGCGGCCCAAGCGAAGGACGAGGAAGAGCGCCGTCGGAAGCGGGCGGAGCGGTTTGGGCTCAGTGCGATTCAGGGAGAGAAGGGCGACGATAGCGACGAGGCCAAGAGGAAGAGGGCCGAGAGGTTTGGGTTGCAGAATGCGGAGGGAGAGGAGGAGGGTGGTGCGCAGGTCGACAAGAAGATGGGGAAGGTGCGTCGCTCGCTCGCTCGCCCGCTCGTTGGTCGTTCCACTCGGAAGCGCGACGAGCTGACGTTGAGCTTGTCTCGTGCGCACGCAGTCCCTCGAAGCCCTCTCCTCTGCACTGGGCTCCTCCCGCACACGCAAACCCAAAGCCGACGCGACTTCCAAATCCGCCCCCTCGACCGAAAAGTCCGTCCCACAACTCGCTGGATCGAAGAAGGGTAAGGACGAGGCAAAGGCTGAGCCGGCTGCGAAGGTGCAGGCGGATCCCGAGTTGCAGAAGCGGTGCGTTCGGCGTTCTTACTGCGTTTTCTCGGCTGCGAACCTGTGCAGAGGCGCGGTGCTGATTCTTGAATGACGTTCGTGCGCACAGGATCGAGGAGGAGGAGGCCAAGAAGCGCAAGAGGGCCGAGCGGTTCGGGAATGCCTCCGCCGCTGCGCAGGTCCGTCCTTGTCTCGAGCGTCTCTTCGCTTGCCAGCCTTTGCGGGCATGCCAGCGGGATGAGCATTTCGGAAGAGGTAGACTGACGCATCGCTTCGCTCGCGCAGCCCGAGAAGAAGCAAAAGACCGACGATGGCGCTGTCGCCGCCTGATCGTCTCGCACCGGTCAAAATCGTGGGAGTAGTGTACAAAGCTGTGTGTGAAGTCGCTCTGTAGGCTGTGCGAGTGCAAAAGGAGTTGAAGTCGCTTCAAGCTCTCTCTCGGACGAACGAAGCGAGAACGAGAGGCTGCGATTCGTACAACAAGCTACCCAGCACTACTAGACCGCCCGCTCACGCATCGACATCCATCTTCCCCCCGTCATCGACATACGCGTCCGCCTCGTCATCCTCGTCCGCCGCGCCCTCCTCGTCAAAGTCGTCCTCGTCAGGCTCCCCGCCCTCGCCCGCAGGCAACTTCAACACCTTCCCCCTCGTCTTCCTCTTGCCCAACTCGAGCAACTCATCCGCCCCTCCCTGTCCGACTCCGTACCCGAACGCTTCGAGCCCCAGTCCGGCGGTCGACGCAACCCGCTTTCCCTTACCCTTGATCACCCGCTTCGCACCGGCCCCGGCTGCAGAGGACTCGGGCGCTTTTGTGGTGACGGCTGCAGGGGCGTTGATCACTTCTTCGGTTTCTTGACGCCGGGCTTGGGCGGTCGACAGCGGGATAGCCTCCGGGATCACTTCGTGAAGGTAGAACCACTCGGGTGACTGAGTGGCCGTCTTGGCTGTGCGCGCGTTTCCGTTTGTTAGATCTGGGAAGAGAAGGAAGAGGGAAGCGCGACGAACCGAGGTCTGAGTACTTGACCATCTTGGCTGGCGCGCCCTTCTTCGAGAGACGGGCGGTCTGGTACGCCTGAGACGACATGCGCTCGATCATGTGTTCCTGAGGTCGAAAGCGGTTCAAGCGAGTGAGAGGGAGGAAGGCGGGTCCGAGGAGGAAGTACGGTACGAGGAGGAGAGGGAGAGGGAGCCAAGGTTAGCGGGCGGCTCTTCAAGCGCGCAGACTCGTCCTGCATCGGAGAGCGTCCACCACACGGTCGCATCAAGCCTCCTTCGCCTTGCACCCTTAGTTCCTCCTCATCAACCTTCCCCACGAACAACCCTCCCAAAACTCGCTCCCCAACTCACCGTAGCCTTGGCGATCAAGAAGACAGCCTCCTTCGAGCACAACCTGACGTCCTTGTCCGCCTTGATGATCCTGTTGACGCGGGCGGTCGGGATTTGCGTCGACATGGTCGGGACGAGATGAGGCGCGACGGGCGGGCGACGCGGACTGGTTGGACGTGTGTGGGCGACCCAGTCGGTTGAAGGGAGTGCGAAAGAGGGTTCAAGGCGCGAATCGAGCAGGAAGAGCGTGATGAGGCGGCGAGGTGAGGACGAACCTGCTCTTTGCCTCCTCCCGTTGACATCCCGTCGGCTTAACCCGCTCAGACTGCCTCGAGACGCTCGCAAGCTGCGCTATTAGCTTCAAAGATTGCTCTCGTCGTGCCACGGCGGTCAAATCAGGGTCTCGCGGGCCTTGGACGTTCTTGTCGCTGGGTTCGCTTCAGGAGTACGAAGCGCGCGAGCGGACGTAACGGCGGGTTATCGGCGAGCAGGGGCGGACAGTGCGAACGGGCGGAAAGGGTTCGAAGAGGACCGAGGCGTCTGCGAGCGGCGGGATGTCGTCCTGCGATTTGACATGTCGCTCGAGGAGGCGGATGAAGAGCTTCGACGGCTGACCCGGTGTCTTTCTCGGCCTTCCTACAGCAGCGGAGGAAGGGACGGTACGAGGCCATTCAGCCGACATGGGCTTGCACAGTCTCGATCGGCTTCACGGTGGACGACTTTGCCGTCAATCTTGCTCGCTGCCTACGCTCGCTGCCGCTTTCCATTGCCAGGCAATCACATCCGAGCATTGTAGTGCCGTCACGCAATGTCACGGCGAACGCCTTCGCCGTCGCCGCCCCAGTCTTCCCGCCGAACCCAGCACATCGCTTCGTCCTTCACCGCCAACAGCCGTACGCCTGACTTGTCTTCCTCGTCCAGCTGCAGCTAGGCGCGGCTCGTCAAGTCCCAGCGTGGCGGACTGCTCATCGACAAGCGATACCATTCGACTCCGGCGGAACCGTCGGTAGAGCGGGTGGGACTCACGGACGGTTTCCAGGTGGGCGACTGCGTGGAGGCTAGCCATGCCGTCACAGAGACGCAGAACGCATGGAGATGCATAGACGTCGTTTCGAACGAGTGGATATCGCGAGCTGTCTCTCGAGAAGTCGAGATCGATGGTCCGCCTGCAGGCGCTACAAATGCATGGCCAGAGTAACACAACGTGAAGCGAAAGACGAAGCAGAGAACATAGGCAGATAAAAGCGGCACCCCCCTCCCTCACTCGTCGTCGTTCCTCGCCCTCACCTCCGTCCCAGCCAGCGCCTTGACCCCCGCGCTCCTCGCCACCTCCGCCAGAAACTTCTCCCCCGTCTTGCCCTTCCCCTTCGCGCGCCCGCCGTTCTTCCCAGCGACTTCGGACTGCGACATAAAGATCGCCTCGACAAACTTGCCAATCCCCAACTCTCCAATCTCCGCCTCGGCGCGAGGTCCCCACCGCCACTCGATACTCGGATCACCAGACTCGGTCTTGCCTCCCTCTGCATTCGTGCGCTGCGTGCGCTGAGTTGTCGCCCGACCGGATTTGGCTTGCGTCGAGCCTTGAGTCGCGCCGGTTTGGCCCGTCTTCGAGCGCTCGAGGTATTGCTGCTTGACGAGGTTGTTGAGGAAGGTAGAGAGGGTGTGCGAGGTTGGGTGGGCGGAGGCGAGCGAGGAGGGAAGGACGGAGGACGGCGTGAGGGCGAGGCGACGGAGGTACGAGATGAGCTGGTCTGCGGGACGCGTGACATGGAAGTCAGCAGCCTTGGACACGGCGCAGCACGTGTCTACAAGCACGGGAGCCCGAGAGACACGGCAGCTGCGGACGAAAGCGCCGACTCACCGTCTCCGAGCACCTTCCCGTTCACCAAAATCAACGCGAGCACGATCCCGAGCAGGCCATACATCTCCCCCTCCTCCCGCTTAACGTCCCTCATGACCGCCCCGTCCTGGTCCTCCTCATCGTCGTCTTCATCGCCATCCGCTTCCCACGCTGCGAGTTCAGCGCGCAGGGAACGCTTGCCGCCTGAGTCGGCGGTCAGGTCGGCTGAGGGCTCGGAGGCGAGGGTGCGGTAGAGATGGGAGACGGACTGGTGAACGAGGGGCTGGGGGAGGGCAGAGCGGAGGAGCCAGGATTTCGCTTGGTCTGCGCGAGGAGGCGAACGAAGCGACCAGTCAGTCCTGCCGTCCATCAGATCAGGACATAGACGGTAGGACGCACTCTTGCCGGTGGCGGTCTCCTTCTGACGCAGCAAGACGAGCTCGAGCCCGAGGACGTCCTTGAGGATCTTCTGGACCTTGGGGAGGAGGTTGTTGAAGTGTCGGCCGCGGCCGTCAACGAGGACTGTGGGCGTGGAGTCGAGTCAGTACTTGCGAGTCTGGACCCACACCAAGAAGGCGGGGGAGCAGCGTGCAACGAAGCAGCCGTTCTCTCGCCACGAAAGGAGCGAATCTAGCAAAGGGACCCACCGTTCTTGACGATGTCTTCGCGCTTGAGGATGCGCCTGTGCGACTCGTTGAAGAGGATGTAGCGGACCATGGCCTGGATGTAGTGCTTCTTCTCCTGTGAGGAGAGGGCAGACGACGAGGCGAGAAGAAGAGGGTCAGCACTCCCTCGCTTCGCACCATAGGCGTCCACGCCCGCCACTCACGTCTTCTGTGAGCTCTCCCTTCTTGCCCTTGCCCGCACCCTCGTCGTCGCTGCGGTCAGTTGCCTCCTCCTCCTCCTCGTCGTCGGAGTCGTCCCTCGCCCGCCTCTTCCCCTTGCCCTTTCCCTTCCCCGCCTTGCGCGAGTCCTTCTTCTTGCCTGCACTCTTCTTCTGTGTCTTGTGCGCGCGCCTGTCCTCGTAGTCGGTCGCACAGCCAGACGATTCCTCCTCCGCGTCCGAGTCGGCCACACGGCGTTTCTGAGCGAGCGGGAAAGCGTGCGACCGGTCAGAGAGCGTGTCTGTGGGTCGTGTGGGGGTCCCTGCGTGCTGACCTGGGCCCTGGCCATCGTTGTTGGGAGTCGAGGTCACGGTCGACGGCGAAGCGACGCGGTTCTCATCAGCGAAACACCTTCGACTCGTCCACACCGCTCGTGCGTCCCGTCTGACAAGCTAGCATTGCTCCTTAGAGTGTACTGACCCTGCCAGTCGCTGTCCCGTGCGCCTGCGTCCCACCGTCCACCCGCTGCAGCGCTCGATCCCTCCTTCCCTCGAACGATGTCGTCCTCGCCCGTCTACGAGGCTACCTGCACTGCGCCCGTGAGTAGACGCTCTTGAGGATCACCGCGGATGACTGGCGGGCGCTGGACCGGCTGGAGGAGGATCGATGCCGCTTCGACCCTCTCTCCCCTTGTCCTCGAAGAACGGAAAAGACCGGTTCGCTGACCCGTTCGTGCTCTGCTGTGCGCAGGTCAACATTGCCGTCGTCAAGTAGTGCGTCGCCTGTTCTGTTCACATCGCCAGGCTCCGTTCGCTGACCCTCCTTTCTCTCGCTCACTTCCTTCCTCTCGCTCTACTCCTTGTTTATCCCGACCCAACCTATGAAACACACCTCCAACTACGCACTATTAGCTGGGGCAAGCGCGACACCTCCCTCATCCTCCCAACCAACTCGTCCCTCTCCGTCACTCTCTCGCAAGACCACCTTCGATCCCTCACCTCGGCGCGGTGCATCACTTCGGGCGGCGCGGACGCACGGGACAGGCTCTGGCTTAATGGAGAGGAGGAGGAGATTAAGCAGGGCGGGCGGACCGAGAGGTGCTTGAGCGAGATGAGGAAGATGCGGAAAGAGCTGGAGGTGCGTTTTATGCTTTCGTGCGGGTGGTTTGCCTGGGTCGCCTGGTCCGGATGTGACTGGGTGACCTGCAGGAGGAGGTATCCTGTCTCGAAGCGCAGAACTCAGTGGACCAGCTCGACGAATCTCGCATCTCACGCCCTGCTTTCGCTCGCAGGCCTCCAACTCCTCGCTCCCTCACATCGCCGACTTCCCCATCCACATCGCCTCCGAGAACAATTTCCCTACGGCCGCCGGCCTCGCCTCGTCCGCATCTGGCCTCTCTGCCCTCATCGCGACCCTCACGACCCTCTACGCTCTCACTCCCGAGAACGGCGTCTCCGTCTCGTCCCTCTCCCGTATCGCCCGCCAGGGATCTGGATCGGCGTGCCGGAGCATGTTCGGCGGCTACGTCGCATGGGAGATGGGCTTGAAGGACGACGGCAGCGATTCGGTCGCGGTCGAGGTCGCGCCCGTCGAGCACTGGCCCGACTTGCACGCCCTGATCCTCGTCGTCAGCGACAAGAAGAAGGGGACCCCGTCGACCGCCGGTATGCAACGCACGGTCGCCACCTCTGCGCTCCTCCAGCACCGCATCAAGGAGGTTGTTCCCGCCCGCATGCAGCGCATCACGACGGCGATCCAGAATCGCGACTTTGATGCGTTTGCGGAGGAGACCATGGCAGACTCGAACCAGTTCCACGCCGTCTGCCTCGACACGTTCCCGCCCATCTTTTACATGAACGACGTCTCGCGCGCGGTTATCCAGCTCGTCACCGAGTTGAACCGTGCCAGCGTCGAGAAGGGCGAGGGCGTCAAGGCTGCGTACACGTACGACGCGGGTCCGAACGCAGTCCTCTACGTCCAGGAGAAGGACGTCAAGCAGGTCCTCGAACTCGTCCTCCGCTACTTCCCCCAGACGGCCGAATCCTTCCCCGACCCGTTCAACGTCGGTGCGAAGCCGGCGCAGGACGTTCCGCAGGGCTTCAACAAGGCTGTCATCCCCGAGCACGAGGTCGGCGCCGTCGCGCGCATCATCCACACCAAGGTTGGCGACGGCCCGCGCGTCCTTGCCAAGGAGGAAAGCCTCCTCAACGCTGAGGGGATGCCCAAGTCGCTGAAGTAGGCGGCCTCGTGTCTCGAAAAAGCGCGCAGTGAGCGCAGGGTTCCCTCGTTGTGCTTCCCTTTTCCCGGTTCTTCGTTCCTCGTTCTATCGTTCTTGAGCAGTCTCTTTCGCGATGTCTTTCGGCAGCAATGCATATTTGGCAGCCAGTCTCGGTCGTGGGAAGCGGAGAGATCAGCGGCGAGTCCGGCGTTACAACACGATACGAATCGACCCATCTTCCCTCCTCGTCCGCCATCTGCACGCCGTCTATTCTGCATCCGTTGCATCCCCGTCCTCGTCGCCCAGAAAGTCGGCGTAGGCAGGATTTGACGTCTCCTCGACGAAGGGATACTTCAAAGCGACGACCCACTCGTCGAAGATCGAGTTCTCCTCCTTCGGGACTTGAATGCCACATAGGATCTTTCCCACGTCTTGTGGTCGAGAACGGAGACCAGGGTGAAGAGACAGGGCGAGCGGAAGGGAAAAGAGAACCCGTCAGCGAGTGTCTGCATCCACGAGGCAGTCACGGGATGCGCACGCACCGCCGCCGTGATTCCGGTAGTGGAACAGCGATATGTTGAACCGCGTTCCGAGCGTCTCGAGGAACTTGCGGAGCGCGCCTGGCCGTTCGGGGAACTCGAACCGGAACATGCGCTCGTTCGGGACCTTGCTCTTGCCGCCGACGAGGTATCGCGCGTGGCTCTTCGCCAGCTCGTTGTCCGAGATGTCGAGCGCTTTCATGCCGCCCGCTTCGAGCGCCGAGACGATCGACGAAAGCTCTTCTTTTCGCTGTTGAGCGGGAGTAAGGATCGGAGTCGACGTTCCGCCGCTTGCTGCTGCGCCCGCCTGCGGCGGAAGAGCTCGTGATGATGAGGATGAGGACGAAAGGTAGAAGGAGAGGAAGATGAAGGCGCGCTTGGAGGACGAATAGCGGTAGACGAACTCGGTGACGGCTCGAGGGTGGATCGCCGAGTGGAGCGCGAGGAAGCTGCGATGGAGACGAGTCAGCTGTTGTAGCGTAGAGGAAACGAGACACACTCACGCCCCGGGCTTTTCAGGGATGATGACCCGCAACATGGCCTCCTTGCCCTCGCCCAACTCTGCGCGCTCGGCGATGAATCGCAGCCGGCTAAAGTTGATGTTTGCGCCCGAGACGATCGAGACAAAGTTCATCTTCTTGCCGATGAGGTTGTTCTGCTGGATCCACTTCTTGGCGCCGGCCACGCCCAACGCGCCGGAAGGTTCCGGGACGGAGCGGGTGTCTGGCGGACGAGGACGGTCAGCTCTCCCTCGTTACACGATTCGCGGCACACGCACCCTGGAAGACATCCTTGATCGCGGCGCACAGCTCGTCGTTCGAGACCAGGATGATCTCGTCGACCAGCTCCGCGCACACCCGCAGCGTCTCATCGCCCATTCTCCGCACCGCCGTCCCGTCCGCAAACAGCCCAACCTCGTTGAGCGTCAAGTGTTCGCCCTTCCGCAAGGTCTGGGCGAGAGCATCGGCGTCGTGCGTCTCGACGCCGATGACCTTGACTGACGGAGGCGCGACGGCCTTGATGTACGCGGCCATGCCGGCGAGGAAGCCGCCTCCGCCGACGGGAATGAAGACGGCATCAAGCTTGCTGACGTCCGTCTGGCGCAGGACCTCGACCGCTGCTGTTCCCTGGCCGGCAATCACATACGGGTCGTTGAAAGGCGGGATGATCGTGAGGCCGTGCAGCTTCGCTAGCCGTGCGCATTCGCGCTGGGCCTCGTCAAAGTCGGCGCCGTGCAGGACAACACGCGCCCCGAGCCGGTCGACGTTCTGGTACTTGATCGAGGGCGTGTTGAGCGGCATGACGATCGTGCAGGCGACGCCGAGTTCTCGCCCCGACATGGCGACACCCTGTGCGTGGTTGCCTGCGAATGTGTACGGCGTGAGCGTGAAGCCCGGCCAAGTACTCGCAGTCGCCAGCCTGGAAAAGCGCGGCGGCGCAACTCACCTGCTGAGCAAGCGATCACGCCCCGCCACCGCTCCTCCTCTGTCAGCTGCCGCATCATGTTGTACGCCCCTCGCAGTTTGAACGAGAAGACAGGTGTCATATCCTCCCGCTTGAGGAGGATGTTGTTCCCTAGTCGTTGCGAGAGCTGGGTGGGCGGGAGAGTGGGGTTAACGCGACGGCGAAAGGACCAGTGGATTTGTCGGAGAGAGTAGGGTTCGAGAGAATCTGGTCAGCCGCGGTCCAGCGACAGAATCGAGGAGGAAGGGACGGACCGAGACGGCCGGGGTGAGCGGCGTCCCCTCGGGCAAGATCGAGTAGACATTGCTCGTGAGGCTCATGAGCATATAGTTCGGAGTCCCGTCCGGCTTCATCAGGTGCGCTGCGCCCATGGACGAGCGCGATGTCAATTCCCCTCCGCGAAGACTCAAAGGCGAGTGAATCGGGAGTAGGAAGCAAGACGCACGTGGTACCCGGCTGTACATTTCTTTGTTCGCTGGAAAGACGGGTCTCCGCACCCGCTTGCCATCCGGGAGGAGGATCGTTCCGCTCGCATCGACCAGGTCGTCTGCCGAAAGCGATGAGGCGGAGGACGGCGTGGGAAGCGATGCGACGCCGTTGGTGATGCGCGAGAGAGTCCCTTCAGTCTCTGAGACGAGCCCCCGAGCAGTGGGCTGGAGCGGAGGAGCCATGGCAGCGAAGTGGTGCAGCCCAAGGAGAGTCGTGAGGAGGAGGGGGAGATGTGGAACCTCGGCAACTCGTTCCTTTGGCTTGTCGACCCTCGCTTACGACTGCGAGATTTCCACAGTGACGTTGATAGGCGCGGGAAACCGATACGATGCGAGTTGCGATGCGAAAATGCGAAGACTGTCCCGCCGTCTATGTCCGCTTCCCCTTCTCCTTCGCCCGCTTGTCCCTCCTGACGACCTCGAACTCCCAAAAGTCCCTCGCAGCCCATACCCGTCTCTCGCCTTCGCTTGAAGCCCCGCCGCGCAACACCTCGTCCGCCTGCCGCTCAATTTCCCGCACCATCGCCCGCGCCTTCTCCCGCGTCTCAGGACCCATCGCTCGTTGCGCCTCGTCTGCGTCGGCGTCGGCGTACTTGACGCTCAGGTGGTTGAGCAGCAGTGTCTGCGCGCCCGCGCAACCGGCGAACGAGGCGGCGCCCTGAGGTGTCGAGTGGCCGTGCGAGCGTGCGAGTTCCGTCACGTACTCGAGAGTCGTCGGCTGGCCATCTCGGAGCTTCGAGGGGTGGTGCGAGTCGTCGAGGTCGGGTAGGAACGCATTTGTCGACTCGTGCACAACGACGTCGACCAGGTCGTCCGTTTCGATTCCTTCAGGGTTGACGAGCGGCAGCATCGCGCTCGCATCGTACGTGTCACCGAGAATGACAATCTTCCTTCCGCCATTCGGGTCGAGCGGAGGCGGCTCGAGGACTGTCCCGTCTGCGAGCGTGATCGGTTTCCGCTCGGTCTGGATGAGCGAGAGCAAAGAGAGAGGGTTCTTGATCCCGTCGGCGGCGAGAGCGGCGGCGTTTGTCGGGTTCTTGAGGTGCGGGATGAAGAGCGCTGGTTGAATTGGGAGAGGGCGGGGTGATTCGGAGAGGAAGTAGCCGATGCAATTGACTGCGGGCGAGGGAGCGATCAGCTTCGTCCAGTAGACACTTCGCGCACCCGAACACTCACTGGTATGCAGTATAGGACCCGCACTGACGCTCACCGACCCGCCCTCCTTCTCGCTCACGATGTCCCTCCAAAACCCGTCCTCGCCCATCCGGATATCCCGCCCCTTCCGCTCGCTTGGATGCAGTTCACCCGTCTCGGGTTCTTCGCCGGGGAAGAGCAGCTCGTGGACGACGTAAGGGCGGGAGAGGATCGAGGCGGTGAGGGAGAGGGTGGTGCGGAGGAAGAGGCGTAAGCCAGACGGGCCGTAGATTTCGGTCGGGGGCTGCGAGACGAGAGTGTGTAGTATCAGTCCCCTGGAGCTCAAAAACTAGCCGATAGCGTTGCCTCAAGGCAAGTCGTGAACTTCGGAGACGGAGACTCACGATTTGCTGCGAATCGTCCAGGCGCGGGTCGTCCTGTCCGGGCAACACACTCCCCTCGCCGGCGCTGATCGTACACAACAAGCCAGGGAGACCGTTGATGTGGTCGCCTGCACAGGGCGAGCGAGAAAGTCAGCTCGCGCGTCGTCGGCAGAGCTTGGCCGCTCAGATCGTTCGCCCAGCCTCGCGCGCAGTGCTGACAGACGCAGACTCACCGTGCATGTGCGTGATAAAGATGCGCGAGACCTTGCTCAACGGCAACTTGCATCGCGGGTCGATGAAGCGGTGTTGCGTGCCCTCGCCGACGTCGAACACCCAGCTGTGAAGGCGGAGGCATGGTCGATCAGCTTGAAAGCATAACGCGAGATGAGTCGAGCTGAAAGGACGATAGTCGCGCACTCACAGCTTCGAGTCGAGCCGCACCGCCAGAGACGAGACGTTCCTCGTCGGACTCGGCTTGCCCGCCGCCGTGCCGAGGAAGGTGATGCTGATAGAGTCGATGGGCATCGTTCGGCGAGGTGCGTGGGCTATCCGAGAGGCGAGCGAGGGAACTTGGGTTGTCGAGTGATGGGAATCAGGAGGGGGAGCGGGCAAAGTGGACAAGAGTCGCGGCGCGATCGGTCCCTTCGCGATGGGTCGGCTGAGCCTCAACAAAGCGACTGCACTCCTCCAAGCCGGTCCAGCCAGTGTTGTCGCTGCGTGAGGGCGTTTCGAAGGCGAGTGGGGAGTCGAGTTGGCGAGTTTGGCTGAGCAGAGCTGTGCGGCGGGTCTATGGACGACTGGGAAGCGTCAATCCAGCACAGTCTGCCGTCCGAGCGAGTCGTTCTGAGCGAGCGGTGAACCGTGGCAAGCCAACCCTCGTCCCTCTCTTCCTCCCGCACTTCACGCGCCATGTCCAACTACGCGAGCAAGCTGATCAAGTGCACATTTCCGAGTCAGGGCGTCCTCCAAGTCACGCTCGCACGCCCGCCGGTCAATGCCTACAACTCGGAGCTGTCTGCGGAACTTCAGCGGCACTTTGAGCGGGCAAGCGGCGACCCCGACGTCCGCTGCGTCGTCTTGAGGAGTGACCTCGACAAGGGCTTCACTGCGGGACTTGATCTATTGTGCGTACGCTCCCTCACGTCGTCGTCGTCGTCGTCGCTGACATTGTTCGTTCGGATCCGGCTGTCGGCGATGCAGCGCGACGAACCTGTTGCCAGAGGCAGACGACCCTGCGCGGGCAGCACTAGCTCTGCGTCAGGTGTGTCCCAGGCCGGTCGAACCGACGCTGCGTGCTCTCGTTCTCGCTGACCTCGTCCTCCTCGTCTCGACCCGCCCCACCTCATCTCGCGCAACAGCACATCATCTTCCTGCAGCAAGCCGTCTCGTCCATCCAGAACTGCGACAAGCCCGTCGTCGCTGCCGTCCACGGAATCTGCTTCGGAGCGGGCGTCGACTTGTTCTCGGCGTGCGACGTCCGGCTTTGCGCAGAAGGGACCGTCTTTTCCATCAAGGTGCGTGCGACGAGGATTCGCCTTCAATCGCATTCAGACCGCGCTCGAATTTTCTGCTGATCCCAGTGACCCTCGTCTTTCGCAGGAAGTCGACATCGGCCTCGCCGCAGACATTGGTTCGCTTCAGCGTCTCCCTCGCGTGACCGGCAACGCCTCGCTCCTGTACGAGCTCGCCCTCACCGCGCGCAACTTTGGACCGCCCGAGGCGGAGAAGCTGGGCCTCGTTTCGCGGGTCGTTGGCGGAGGAAAGAAGGGAGTTCAGGAGGCCGCGATGGAGTTGGCCAAGGTTATCGCGTGTAAGTGCTGATTATCTCCTCCAAAATAGCGACATGATATCGACGGAGTTCGTCGTTCGTCGCGCAGCCAAATCGCCCATCGCTACACTCTCGACCAAGCACCTCCTCAACTACTCGCGCGAGCACACGGTCGAGGAGGGTCTCCGGTACACCCAGGCTTGGTGCGTTGTGCCGCTCGTCCCTGCTGGCTGATTTGTTTTTTCATTGACGCCGTACTGATTGTGGGATTGTGACCGTTTCGCAGGAACATGGTTTGTTCTTTCCTCCGCGTCCAGCCTCTTCCGAAGTTGATGCCGCTTCCTTCGGGCGCTTACCTTCCCTTCCTTTGCCTCGTTCGCAGGCTATGGTTCAAGCATCCGACGTCCCCGCATCGTTCCAGGCGTGCGTCAGCTCCTTTCCGTTCCCTCACAGCGCTTGTTTGCCCCTCGCAAGGCGTCTACTGCCGTGGAAGCGACCGTGGAATTCGCTGATCAACTTTGCACGCTCTTGGCGTCTCGCAGATTCACGCAGAAGAAGCCAGCAACCTACGCTCCCCTCCCCGGTCCCGCCAAGCTCTGATACCCCTTCCTTCGTTTATTCCCCAGTTCGCTCGGCTCAAGGTTTGTACGGATGACTTTGCGGGGTATGGAATGCAGTGGTGGTTGCTTCACATCGCGAGGGAAGAGGTTATCCAGCTCTACGCGAAACAAGTCGGCCGGTCTCTTCGTTCCGTACGAGGCTTCCAGTCAACGCGCCCAGAAATCCTCGCTCTTCCTCGCGGGACATCGTAGGACGCGTGTAAGCGAGAGTGACTGCATACTGAGATTCCAACGGACAAGAGTGAGACTGCAAGACTGCGAGGATGAAAGGGCGAAGGAATGCGAGAGAATAGTGGTGACTGCTTGGAGATGCGAGGGCGCCCGTCCACGGAGAGAGCGCGGAGTCAGAGGGTTAGGCGGGTGTGGGCGGGTGAGGTGTGCGCGGGAGGATGGGAATCTAGAAGATCTCGCTCGCGAGCGGGCAGTTCTCGAGCGAGTGACCAAACTCTGCGCGACAGAGACGAGCCGTACAAATCAGCCTTCACTCTGACTTCGCGGAATGAGGCGGACAGGTCGCTGGAATCCTCGACGCACCTTCGCAGTCGTCGCACCACTCTTTGCCGCCTCCGTTCGTGCCATTCCTCGACGAGGCAGAATGGCGGTCGGAGAAAGACGACTTGGTCGGCGAAGCAGGTGCGACTGTAGAAGGAGCACGATCAGCGCGACAGACAGGAAGGAACGGAGGGCAGGACGCACAATCGGGACACGAATCCAAGTCGTGGCCCTTCTCGCCGCACATCTCGCATTCGGCTCCGCCCTCCGCATCCGAGTTGGCCTTGGACGAGCCGTGGCCGTTGAGGCGAGGTGTCGAGGAAGAGGTTGACGCGGCGCCGGCTTTCGCGGCGAGGGCCTTGTACTTTTGCAACTCGGTCTCGAGTTCGTCTTCGTGGTAAATCTTGGACTCGACGAGCGACTCGAGCTCGTTGACCTGCGCGAAGGGGTCGGGCACAGAAATCAGCACTGTGGCCATTGACCTAGCCCATCGAGAAGTCCGCCGAACGCACCTCCTGGTTCAACGCCTTGATCTCCAGCTCGCTCTTCCGCTGGACCTCCTTCAGCTCCGATCGCAGCTGTTCTAGCTCGCGTCGGAGGGAAGAGTCGGAGGAGGGCGAGGTCGGGAGGGAAGACGCTTCTTTCGTGGCGGAGGGAGGATTGTCGAGCTGCGACATGAGGCTGCGGACGGGGCGAATGCGTCAGCATGGCGTGAATCGACACGTTCAGCACGGCGTGAGGCCCTCGCAAAGCAGATCGCGCGTGCAGACGAGACCGGAAGCGACACGCACTTCTCGACAGTCCGCTCGAGCGCCTGCTGCGCATCCTTGAGCTGCTTCGCCTCGGCGACGACCTTGCTGTTCTGCTCCGCGAGGTCCTTGTTTTCCGCCGTGAGCGTCTCGATGATGCTCTTCAAGCCGACGATCTGTTCCCGCGTTGCAGCTGCATCGTCGCCGCCGAGCGAGCTCCGCGAACTGGCGACAGATGTGCGCCGGTTGGTCTCCGGCCGAGGCGAGAGCTTTTGAAGGCGGTCGATCTCCCGCTCGGCGCTGCGCAAGTCCTGGCGCAACTCGGCGACGAGGTCGGCGTGCTGAGTCGCCTCGCGCTGCGTCTTTTCGAGGGTCGCCTTGGTCGAGACGAGCTCCTTATGCACGCGCTTGAGGTCGTCGGCGAGTGCAGAAGTCGCGTCACCGTTGGCGTCGTGCCGCAAGCCTTCGAGTTCGGAGCGTTCCGCCTCGAGCGTCGACTGCGACTCCACGAGCGCAGCCTGGAGCTCCTGAATGCGGGCGGCGGACCGTGATTCGGCCTGACTCGACCGTTCTGCATGCGGTGGCGTTAGCGGGACGAGCGGTCAAGTGTTACGATGGCCCACGTACCGACGACCTCCTTGAGCGACTTGATCTCGCCCTTGAGAACCTGCTCCGCCTCGACATGCTTCTGCCGCCGAGCTCGTGCGTCTGCGACCTCCTGCTCGAGCTGGATGCGCGCGTCTTCGAGTTGCTCCTCGAGCGAGACGAACTTGGCGCGCAGGTGCTCGAGTTCGGCGCGAGCGGTCTCGGCGTCGATGGCCTGGGCTGCAGAGACGGAAGCGGAGAGTGTGCGGGAGGTCGAAGGCGAGTCGGCGCGAGCGGCGTCGGAAGATGGCCGCCCGTCGAGCTGCGCCTGAAGTGTTTCGGCGAGGTCGACCGCCTCGAGTCGCGCGAGCTCGATCTCGGCAATCTTCTCCTCGTACGTCTCGCAGAGGGCTTGGCCGGCGCTGCGCAGCTTGTCAAGTTGCGAGTTGAGGTCGTTGCGCTCCTCCTCGTGCGCCTTGTTCGCCTGCGCGAGCCGATCGCGCAGAGACTCGACTTCGGCCTCCTTCGCCGCCGTCTTGTGCTTGTCCTCGAGCTTGAGCTTGTCGTAGCTGGCTCGCCGGGCGTCTAGAGCCTTCTGAACGTCGGCAAGCTGTGTCTCGAGGTCGAGGATGCGTGCTCGATCCCGCTCGCGCGCGCCCTCCTCGCCCTCCGCGCCGGCCAGCCTCGCCTTTTCCGCTTCGCGCGCCCGCTCTTGCTCCTGGTCCATCTGCGCGACCCGCTCCTCGAGCTGCTTGATGCGGTTGTTCTTCTCAGTCAACCGGTCCTCCATTTCCCGCCCGAGCTTCTCGCTTCCCTCCAATAGCTGCCGGATCTCGGCCTCGCGCTGACGAGCCTCCTCGACCTGCGTCCGCAAGTCGTCAAAGTCGTCGGCGTCGCTCGCGGAGAACATGGAGCGGTGCGACTGGCGCGAGACGGAAGAGGCGAAGGATTGTCGTGATGAGGAGCGGAAGCTGGGAGTGGTCGGACGAGCGGCGTGGCTAGCGGAGAGGTCGCTCTGGGCGGCGCTCGTTCGTCGTCGCATCATCGCGCCGGGAGTCGAGGGAGTGACACGACCGGATATGGAGGAAGGTGTGACGGAGCGTTTGAGACCGTAGGCGGCGGGAATAGGCGGAACGTCGGGTGCGGTGTGGCGGAGGGAGGAGGGTGGTCGTTTGATCGAGGAGGCGAGTGGGGCGCGTGGTGTCGCTGACGGACCGCCCAGCGATTTGCAAGCTGTCGTTGGGGTAGCACCGCCAAGCGAGGGTCGTGCCATGCGAGTCGGACGAGGTGTGGCGAACGTGGTCGGTTTCGTCGGGGATAGAGAGGTTCGAGATTTCGCTGGGGGCTTGGTCGGCGAGAGAGACTTGCGAGGCGTCGGTTTCGTGACAGTCGGAGTGCCGCTTGTCGATGCTGCGAGTCGTCGCGCAGGGAGGTCCTTGGCGCTCATGGCGGCGTACTTGCTGGCTCGTGATCCGTCCGTCAAAGCTGGTGCGGCTCGCGGCTTGGGCGTGATCTTGGCGAGTGGGAGGAAGAGGCCGCAGAGCGGAGGGCAGGCGAAGTATTGGGTGCTGCGCATGTTTGTGGGTTCAGCTTGCGACGGCGAAGATGCGAAAGCGCTCTCTACAGCGAGATCCGCTGGCCTCGGGGCACGCCGCGCCAACTCACCCTTGCACGCTCCCGTCGTTCTTTCCTCGTCCAGCGAAAGCCTCGTCGAGCTCGACCCCGCCGAACGTCCCCGCTTTCCCCTCGACCTCGCCCACGAATCGCAACGTCCCCTCCATCTTCTCGCCAGCGACCTCGAACGAGACAGGCGTGCCGGGGAGAAGCATCGGCGGGGGAGGCGGCTCGTCTGCTCGAGAGCTCTGGCGGGACGGCGTACGGGTTGCGGTGCGGGAGCCAAAGCCGGTGGGTGTGCGAGCACGGGCGTAGGAAGGCGTCGTCGGCGTCATTGGTCGAGCGGCCGTTCGCATGCCGGGCAAGACGGGTTGACGTCCGCCTGACCCCGCGTTCCCTGCGACTGCAACGCCAACGTCGGGTGAGTCGACGTACTTGGCCGGGTCATTCTGGGCGATTGCGCGTCGAAGGGACGAGAGGTCGGGGTTGGCGAGCGAGGAACCGGGTCGATGGAGGGCAGACTTGCGGCGCGCAGACGGCGTCGGAAGTGCGGTTCCGCCGAGGGACGCTCGTGGTGTAGAAGGTGGGCGGGAGGTCATCTGCGAGCGTACGACTCTGGGAGGTCAGCGTTTGGGAAGAGGTTAGGTCGGGAGGTGGGGAGGCGAAGAGGCGTCTACCTCGGTCTGCAAAGCCTGCGCGGGCAGAAGGGAGGCGCGTATAGTTCGCTGCATTCCTCACCATGCCCCGCTGTTCAGCAGAATGAGCCCTTCGTCCCCCGCTCGAACCGCGAGTCCCGTTCGACAAGTCGTCCCCCATTGCGTGCACGGCGAGACGACAGGACGGGACACGCACGTTGATCTCCAAGTCCTCCTGTACCCGTCAACACAGTCGCACACCGTCCAGTCCGTGTTGTCGCAGAGCGAGATGAGCGTGTTGAGCGAACGAGGCGATGGGAGGTGCGACGGCGTCGGGTGAGGTTCAGCGGGTCTAGCGGTGATGTAGAGCGTCGTACGGAGCCAGCGAGTCGTCGAGGACGTCCAAGAAAGCAGAGCAGGGGTGTTGTTCGACGTCGACCTTCGCCTCGCGCCTCTCTCTCGAGGGGACACTCCGCTGCACTCGCTCAAGGAGGCTTTCGATGCGCTTCGTTGTACGTTATATGCATTACTTGACGACGACTGGTGACGGCTACAGCATGTACACGAGTTGCGGTCCAGGGACGCAGGATGCCACGGAAGAATGAAAGAAGTCGGCGTGCTACGCAGTCTGGCGAAACTGCCGGTGAGCGAGAGAGTACGAGCGGAGCGCTCCTAGGCAACTGGAGCATGGCAACGGCGGACGAGTCTGGCGAAAGTCGAGGCGACGCCAGACGAGCGGGCTCGGGCGACGGGCGGGAGGATCAGCGGAGTCGCTTCGTCATCCAGCACGAACTCGTCCGCTGCAGACTCGTCGAAGCCGTGCAAGGAATACGTCCCTGCGTCGAGTTGGCGCCTCGCCTTCTCGCTTCGTGCCGTCGGATGATCAGGCAAGGCGTACTCGGTCCAGTCGACGCCGAGATCGCCCAGACAGATGAGCCCGGGACAAGGCGGTGAGAGAGGTAGCGGCCACACTGCAGATCGATGCCGAGTCAGTCCTGCGCAATCTTCCGGGTAGAAGCAAACTCACGAGACTGCGGTGCTGCTTTCGGCGGCACAAAGTCTTCGCACGAAGCGAGCGCGTCCGAGATCATCTGGTGATCGAGGAAGCTGCAGCCGTGGCGCTTGCCCAGGTGTCGGAGGAACAGATCGCGGACAACACGAAGCCCTGCGCGACGGAGGAGAATCAGTCGCGCGGTTCGACAAAATTGTAGCAGCTACTCTCACCGTAGAGCCTTTCCAGCCTAATGCGACATCTCGTCGTCAAGCACTCCATAGCCGACTCCAGTCTCTCGCTAGATGCTCCCGCCTTCGAGCGTTCGCACTCGTCAAGCCTTCTCCGCAGTTCCTCCAGCACCCGCATGTCCTGGTAGTGGTCGAGCGCCAAGCACACCCACACGCGATGCTGGAAGGTTTGGTAGTGCGCCTCGAGCTCAGCGGTCCACGGAGGACAGCCGTTATGCGTCGGGACGATGTGGGAGAAGAGAGTGGAGTACGGATAGAGGACGTCGAAGCGCACGCTCCATGGCAAGAGCTCGGGGATGTGCGCTGGATCAATGCGCGAGTCCGGCACGAGCGAGGCGACAGACATGGGTGCGGAAGGGCGGGACAGGCGAGGACAGGCAGAGCGGGGAGGGGGAAGGGGACGCCCGCGACGAGACGACGGGACGGAGTACGCACGCTGGTCAGCAGGCCCTCCTGTCCTTGTCAACGCAGTCGCACGCCGTCCAGCCTGAGTCGTCGCTGGTCGAGATGAGCATCTTAGGGTTAGGGTTAGGGTTAGGG